AGAGGAGGATGTTGAGAGTCGAAGCAACAGATCGCTGAAGTCTTCGTAAAGAGAAGCAGTCCTGTGAAGGTGGACTGAGAGGAGGATGTTGAGAGTCGAAGCAACAGATCTCTGAAGTCTTCGTACAAGAGGAGGAGGATATTGAGAGTCGAAGCAACAGATCTCTGAAGTTTTCGTAAAGAGAAGCAGTCCTGTGGAGATGGATTGAGAGGTGAATATGAGAGGTGTTTGGATGAAGAGTTTTGAAATCAGACTCGTAAGTCAGAAGATGAATGTATCCGATGATACGATGGCTCTTGATTGAAGCAACAGATTTCTGAAGTCATTCGTAAAAAGAAGCAATCCGATCAAGGTTGATGAAGGAGGTCAGAGGTGTCCGTCTGAAGAGGTTTGGATGAGAATTTCGGAAAGTGAGAAAGTGACTGCGTCCAACGATGTGATGGCTGTGATTCGAAGCAACAGATCTGTGAAGTCTTCGTAGAATGAAGCGAGCTGATCAAGGTGGACAAAGGAGGACAAAGGAGGTCGGAGATGTTTGTGTGATGAGAATTTCGGAAGTGAGAAAGTGACTGCGTCCAACGATGATGGCGATTCTGGTTGAAAAGCAGGAAGATGCAGGAGAGGAGACGAGAAGGTGCAAGCAGGAGAGGTCTGAAAGTCCACAGTGTCTGTAGAGTATCAGGCTGAGCAGAAGACTTGAGTCTGAGAGCGAGCTTGCTATCGTCGAGATGAAACGAGGCTGAGAGTGATGATGGAGAGAAAGAAAGAAAATGAGAGACGCATCTTGCAGACGCGCTTTTGTTGTGCCTGTTTGTTGGGTACGGCAGAAAAAAGGTGAGGCAGAAAGGAGAGAGGGTGTGGCAGAAAGACAATATGCAGTGAATGAGAGGCAGTGGATGGTTGAACACAAGGTGTTGTCTTCACTTGTTTTGGGCTCAAAGGCAGTACATTCACCGCACCAGCGGGACCATTTCGCCGCAACCTTCTCTCGAGGCAGTGACTGTCTGAAACCATCACTGACCGACGTCGACATTCACTATTTTCATGTACGCAGTATCCGATGTTGAATGAAGGCATAGGCAAACCTCGTATTGGAGCCCGAACATGCTGACGGCGAGGCTGTAACGCGCGCATAAGGTCGAATACGATAAGAACAAGATCATCGTCCGAGGAAAACCACGGTCGCTAGGAATGGCCTCCCCCGAGCAACGGCTCACGCTCCCCTTTTCCCTGGCCATTTTTACGTCGCCGACGCTTTTTCTTCTTTCCGCCTTCTTTCTGTTGTCCTTGATCTTGGTCACCGCTGCCTCCCCGTAATTTTAGGTCTGAAGCGTGCGCAAGCTCCTCGAGTGGTGTATGAACCTTAGTGGCGCCGCCGTTCTCGTCCTCCCCAGTGGAGTCGCTGCTCGAGGTGGTTTCAAGAACAACTTTGCGAAATCCGTTCGCATCGATGATGTTTTCCGTGATGCTACCACTTCTGGCAGGCCCCTTGGCATGGTAGAAGGGACTTCTTGAGCGCTGCCTTGACCCAGGTAGACTCCCAATGGTGCTTTCGCTTGTCATGGCTCTTGCTGGCGGCCTGGATTGTTTCTGGTCGCCGTTGCTGCTATGGATGTCAGGCGTTGGACTCCCTGCGGCTGGCGAGCCGACTTGTATGCCCTTTGTCACACTCTCCGGCCGCCTCTCGCCAGGAGGAGAGGTAGCTCCATAGCCTCGTTGAAGAGCTAGCACGCCATCGCTTGCTGCTTTCCCGCCAGATGTCACAGTCCCTTCACCAATGCCGCTCTGGTATTCAGACAGCGTCTCGGAAATTCTCCTGACAGGTGTCGCACGACTATCGCCGGCGTTTTCCTTGGGTGTTGTATCAGTCCCTCGCTTGATTTTGACGGTGTTATATCGTGTTGTCCTGGGTCTGCTGGCAAGGTTCGAAGGGCCAAGGTGTTTGAGATGTTCCTTGATCTCATCGGTACTTGTCCTCTTGTTGCCTTTAACATCTCCGCCAATACTGTTCCCTGCGCTCGATCTCCGTCGAGGTCCAGCAACGACTTTGAGTTTTTGTTGGGCATGCTCGAGCGTCTTGGCTCTTTGTAAATCGGTGGGGCTGAGCGTTTCACCCTCGCCAATGTCGACTAGATCAGAGGCAGTGCCATTTGTGGTAGGCTGCTCGGGGACAACGAAAGATTTTGGAATGCGACGAGTCGGCGCTGGCATCGCGCGTCGAATGGCTTTGTGCACATCAACAAAGACATCCGACTCATCCACAATTTCCTCGCCAATCAATTCCTCGATGACGTCTTCTAAGGTCACCACACCAAGGGCACCGTGATCTTCGCCCGGGTACTCGGACACAAGGACCATGTGCGATTTCCCCTCTTGAAAGAAGTTGACAATGTCCAGACAGCTTGTCTCCGGGCGAGTCTCGGGCAGTGTGGCCAAAACGAAATCGCGGACCGGTTTAGCATCTTCGGGGTCGTAGGTGATCAGCATTTTGACCAGTAACATGCCGACAAAGTCGGAGTCATTATCTGGGTGGTGGATGGGGATTCTGGAATAGCCTTGCGACAGTATGTCGTCCATGGTGGCCTCGTCCAAAACATCGTCCAAGGATAGCGTGAAAACGTCCTCCATCGGGGTCATGATATTGCCGACTGGCTTGTCCTTAAGATCAAGAACTGCGCTGATAATTGTGACTTCGTCGGAGTTGAGCTGTTGGCCCGCTTCTCCCAGACTTCTGTGCAGGGAAACCAATGTTTTCAAGCCCGCCTTCTTATACACTGTTCCATGGTCTTCCCCCAAGAGGTAGTCGAGCAATTTAGCGGTCGGCCATGCTACCGGGGCAAGGATGTACATGAGGACGAGGACAAACGGGGCCATCCACGATCCAATAGGTAGGCCATAGCGGACACAGACCGACTGAGGGGCGACCTCGCCGAAGATGACTGCGAAACGTCAGTAAAACCCAGAATTGGACCAAGCTAGGCAACACATACCAATGAGTACTGTAGATCCTAAAACAGCAGGCCATCCACCTCCGAGCGAACGGTCCAAGACGATAGGTAGAGTTTCGTTGGTGATGACATTACTGAGCAAGAGTGTAACCAGAACCCAGTGCTTCCCTTTCCGCAACAGGTTCAACACTTTCGCAGCGTGTTTCCTTTCCTTTCCTTCACCGGAATCCCGGATGACTTGAAGATAGATTTCATCCTTATTCTCATGTCAGTGCCACCACAATGTGCAACGTAAGTGCCCTTACCTGTCCCATCAAGGCTATAGTCAACCCAGCAAATGCTCCTCCAAGCAGCACCAGTACCGCTGCAAAAGTAAGATATATCCATAGCGTAGGCTCACTAGGATCTTTTCCCTCTGGTGTTTCGGCTGCGGAGAACAGCTTGAAGGTGTGGATCGGGGCGGCTTGAACTAAGGGAGTCTGCCCGATTGAGAGAACAATGACCCTCACGAGGCCTAAGACCATAGGTCTCAAGGCGAGAGAGGGATTTCTCATTTGTATGTGCATGCTGCAAGCTGGTCGTGGAGGATTAAAGCGTCATGATGGCGGGGGAAAGGACGTTCAGCGGGAAGAGGAGGTGAGGCTATGCCACGACCGGCGGGATTCGAACGCCGACAAGACGATGGTATAGTGTCTGGCAACGGAGATATGTTAATTTAATAGGTATCGCAGAGAAGAGAAAGCTGCGGAAGACAGACTGGACTTTGGCTTTGGGGTCATATAGGAAAACATGGTGAACCGTCGGGCGTAAGTTAAGAGCTCACGATTGGCGGAACCGACCAGCGTGTGGCTGGAGCCTCTTCGTCATGTTAGGTCATGGATCGCTTATAACGCTAATAATTAGCAGGTCTGGAGTCCTAAGGTCCTCAACCCCCGTGCCCGGCGTGCGCCTAGGTATTCGTTAGGTAAGCCCGTCGACTTTTGCGCCTCTTGTTCTTTTGCTTGACCAAACGTCTCCCTCAGTAGCTGCGCCCACCACGTGATATCACATGACCGTCATTCGGATCGCGAGCACAATCAACCTCCGGCCGATTCGGTCTGGTCGCGCAGTTGCGCTTATCCTCGGCTACCACAACAGAACCCCTTCAAATACCTGGGTGTGTCCTTGCTTTCGCTCCATGTCTCCATGTTCCCCATGTCTTCGCGGTGACGAGTTTTGTGTTGTTCGCAATGTTCAGCTGTCGGAGGAATACTCGTACTGTGTTCTCGAAACTGCTCAGGTCTACGAGCCAGTGTCGTTCTGCCAGTCAAGCATCCACCGCAGCCCGGTTAAACAGGCCGGTAGATTTCAAGAAGACGCCCATCCTACATCAGACACAGAACAGTGCTAGGGCTGCCTTCGGCCTTTCCCAAGACGCCCCTGTTGACTGGGTGAATCTCCATGGCGCGATCAACACCACGCTGCATCATGCCCTGAAAACCGACGAGAGCGTACTGCTATTCGGCGAAGACGTGGCCTTTGGAGGCGTCTTTCGATGCACCAAGGGTCTGGCTGACGAATTCGGTGCTGCCCGAGTGTTCAACACGCCTCTGACCGAGCAAGGCATCGTGGGCTTCGCCATTGGTTGTGCGGCGGAAGGAATGAGACCTGTTGCCGAGATCCAGTTCGCCGATTACGTCTACCCTGCCTTCGATCAGCTGGTCAATGAAGCTGCCAAGTTCCGCTACCGAGAAGGAAGTACAGGCGGAAATTGCGGAGGAATGGTGGTCCGAATGCCCTGCGGGAGTGTCGGACACGGGGCTCTGTATCACTCCCAAAGCCCGGAAGCCTTGTTTACACACATCCCCGGGCTACGGGTTATTATCCCTCGGTCACCATCCCAGGCCAAGGGCTTGCTGACGGCGGCAATCCTCAACTGCAACGACCCTGTCATCTTCATGGAACCGAAGATCCTGTACCGAGCTGCAGAAGAGTTTGTGCCTCGAGATGCCTACACGCTACCCTTGGACAAAGCCGAGGTCGTCAAGAAGGGCAAGGATCTTACGATAATATCTTACGGGCAGCCACTTTATCTCTGCTCTGCAGCCATTGAAGCTTTGGAGAAGGAGATCAAAGGTCTGAGTGTCGAGCTTATTGACCTGAGGGCAATATATCCCTGGGACCGTGCCACCGTCATGGAAAGTGTACAGAAGACCGGCAGAGCCATCGTCGTCCATGAGAGCAATTACAACGCCGGTGTGGGAGCCGAAGTGGCCGCGAGCATTCAAGAAGGAGCTTTTCTCCGGCTTGAGGCACCTGTGGCACGAGTCACAAGTTGGGGTACCCATCATGGCTTCATTTTTGAGAAATTCCATATTCCGGACATCACAAGTAAGCATATTGGAAGCTCTGTTTCGATTACGAGGTGCTAATCAGACCAAAGGGATATACGACACCATGAAAAAGACCCTCGAATTTTGACCGGTGTCAAAAGTCGCGATTGGCCTGCTTGAACTTCACCGTGCCTGGCGTCGCCGTTCTCGTCGGTGTTCACCCCAAAGCGTCTCACCTTCACAGTCTGACTGCGTGGAGAGGGGGCATCCTTTCGATATCCTAAGGAAGAGGACGAAACTGGCCGCCACTATCGAGGAAGCACCTCTCCCATTTTGGATGGAAAGCGTGCATGACATGATGACCTAGTTGGGGCGTTGGCCAGAATGACTGGGAAAGTTGCGTCGGTTGTAAGATCCACGAGATTCTTGAGGCATCAAACCTGAGAGGAACATGGGATATCAAGCCACACTTATCGATCTATTCTCACAGTCTTCATGGCAATGAGCAAGTCAAAGGGGTTGCTAGTCTTGTCCGTCTCTCACAACTTGAAGGAGAGGAAAGCGAGAAGCAGAATCTAGAACTCGGAGAGTACATCACGCTTACCGTTAACGGCTGTAACTGCAGGACTGGAGAGTCAAACACTATGCAATGTACAGTGCGCTCTTCAAATCTTTGTCAATAGACATCATCGCCGGGGGCGTGAGTTGCTTGAGCAAATTAGAGCAGAATCAAGTATAGAAGCGCTTTGCGGCCTATGCCACCATCTCTAGCATCTACGAGTATTCGTCAACATCCCCATCTAGTCGTCGTTGGCGACGCGCTTTCTCTCAAAGCGGGATGTTCTATCAGTATTCCTCTTTAAAGACCATCGCCCGAGGCTTCTCTCTTTGTCCCTGTTCATCAACCTCAAAAAAGGCTCGGAACAGCCCACCACAATTGAAATCAAATACCACCTTGCCTCTCCTCTTTTTCCGTCTTGTCTTGCAGTCGGTTCGGTGCCTGCCATTGCGACTTTCCGGACTCGCACCATACATGGACGGGTCATCGTCTGCATCAAGGTCATCGCTGACTAGCTCGATCCCAATGATTCCGCCCTGACCTTCGAATGTACGGTCCCATCGATTACCAGCGGAGGACTGCAACTCGCCACCGGGCCCTGCAACTGCAGTGACCGCCTCCGAAAGAGAAGTGGCGGCGGAGAACCGACACATTGCCGCGGCAGTGCGCACGGCGTTTGTACGGAGGAAGGAGTCGCCGTTGCCGGTCCCTGACATGGCGACTGCGCGGCGGCGTCTTTGACTTCTGTGAGCAGATGGGCATACAAGGGACGACGGAGAGCGATAGGGCTGGGATGGTGAGGTCGGCATAGGCGTGTATGCTGGAGGGTCGCCGTTCAGTGGTTGGTAATCCCGAGACTGGTCGAAGGCATCAAGACATGGTCCAACCCAATGGCCTAATTGTGCCCATGTCTGGTTAAAGACAGACCTGGTTTGGGTGTGAAAAGATATCCTGGGCATCAGGTCGTGGCCGTGCCGAGTCGGTGGAGAGATGGCTTCTTCCCAGCCTTCGGCCCAAAAACCTGCTCCGACTGTTGGTGTATCTCCAATGCGTCCAGCTTTCTTGTTCGTCAAGCCTCCCGTCGAGGTCGCAACAGCCAGGTTTCCCCACGAGTCGAGACAGACCGCCCCCACCGTGCCCTGGCTTGGGATATCGGCTATGCCCACGGTCTCTTCCTCATGCTCACGCTCACGCTGGCGGAAAGAAATCGAAGATGAACCTTCGGAAGCAAGCAGATCCTCGAAAGTGTAAGAGTCGGGCTTTTGCAAGCCTCTCCTATGCTCTTCCCAACGCTCCTTGGTCCAAAACCACTGGTCAGGTTGTTTCTCCAGACCCTTCTCATTCCAACCCCATTCCTCAAGCCGCCTCCCACTCAGATGGCAGTGCATGGTATTGATCTGGCCTAGGCCGCCGTCATCGTCTGCTGCTACCAAAACCTCCTTGGCCAGGAGGATAGGGTGTCGTGTGTTCTGCACAAGGCTCACGGCTGCACTACGCTTGATGCCGCCAGCAGGCGGACCGGCGGGATCAATGGAGCAGACCATCAAGCTTGCTTCCAGCTCAATCGTCCCCTGTTCCGTGAAGACGGCACCGCGGCCGCAGTTGAACAAGGGGTCATCTTCGAATAGGGTCACGGCATAACATGCGGCATCGAGAGCGGAAGCTCCGGAATCAAGTAACTCGCGGGTCAAAGTCAAATACTTCAGCAAAGAGGCCTGGTAGCGCGACCAGAGTTCGGGAGGGAGAGTGGCGCGTGAGATAGAGCCTGCTCCGCCATGGAGGATGAGTGTTGGCTGGTAGGGACCAAGAAGTGACGCTTTCTCGGACACAGTGGTTGCCATTGCTGTCTTTGCAGCAGATCTGGACAGAGGTGTCGGTACAGTGAGTAGCAGAGGGCTGTTACACGAATGTGCAACCTGGGGCCAACATCACGCCATCGGGCTGAGTCCCTTGTTCTTTCGGTCGGCTGAGAGACAAGACGTCGTTCGTCCTCGAGCTTCTCCCACGTCTCTATACCAGGCGCTTCAGAGGACTCGCATACGACCCTATGCCGTCCAACCCACCCACGCTCTGAGACACACTAGCAGCCACTGGAGACCTGGAGACCGACCTGGGGACCTGAGCAGCTGGAGAGGAGACTGGAGAAGGGGCGGGCGTGTGAAGATGTGCCAGATCGGCGAATCGGCGTCTGGCCTGCGCCCAAGTCCGCCGCCTGCGCCTTCGTGGGGGAAATCGAGTCCACCAAGTCTTTTCCAGCGACGCCAGAATCCGCAGAATCCGCAGAATCCGCAGAGGTCGAAGCCGACTCCTACTCGTACCTTTCTAGTGAGTGCCACATCCACTGCCTCTCCCGTCCGTCTCTTCTCAGCCTGAGCCTGGGATCCGCCCACGGCATGGCGACGACCGAGACCGACCAGGCTAATCCCGGTGACCCTACTATCCAGTCACACCCAGTGCCAGTGCAACCAACGGCTGCCATCACCGAGGCAGAGAATGGACGGCATTTGGAAGGCTTAGGCTCACGCTCAGAACCAATGTCGTCGTCCTCGGCGTCTCATGCCCTAAAACACCCCATTCACCGAATCAAAGCCCCTGGGAGTGTCCAAGCTCTTGCCGTCGACGACGATGTTCTCTTCGCAGGCGTTCAAGGGGGCAGCATCGGCGTATGGTCTCTTCAAACGTACGAGCTCCTTACGGCGGTGCCAGCTCACAAGGAGAGCGTGCTAGGCCTTGCCCTGTCTGAGGACAGGTCCCTTCTTTTCTCCACGGGCGCCGATTCGATCGTCAATGTCTGGTCGACTCAGACGCTGCAGAGACTTTATTCTCTGCATTCGTACTTCGAGATTGGCGATGTCTTCTGCGTCGCCCATTCCATCAAGGAACAGACGTTGTTCTGGGGCGCCCAAAACTCCAGCATTCAATGGTACAAGCTCAGCACTGACGCCGCCGGGATCCCGTCTCCCACTCTGTCAGCTTCTCCGGGTTCTCGAAAGCATCGCTTCTTTGATTCATTGGGACCCGGTGGGATTGCCAATGTCATCTCGGACGAAGATGGCACCGCGGACATCCTGAACAGCCTGGGCGGACGAGTGCTGACCATTCCCACCCGGAATTATCTTCAATATGCCCACAAAAGCTACATCTACAGCATGATCCTGGTAAAAGGACTCTTTAGTCACAACAAGGATGAAGAGGTCCTCATCACGGGCGCCGGGGATGGAACGATTAAGCTGTGGTCAATTGACGCACTCTCCACGACCGGCATCGGGCAAATAACCAAGTTCAAGAACCCAAACACCAGCGTGTTGAGTCTTTCATACAAAGCATCCTTCCTCTATGTCGGCCTGTCAGACGGCACGGCCAACATTTACAATCTCGCATCGACACAACTCGTCCAGAGATTACATGTCGGCCACGGGGATATCAGTCAAATCGTCGTCAGCGCAGATAGCATCATGTGCGGGACTACCCAAGGATGGGTCAAGGTGAGAGAGCTTCGTGGACAAAGGCACCTCCATGGCTAACCGCTTTGCAGCGTTTCAACGACCATTTCACAGAAACCGAGTGCTGGCAGGCAGCGAACGGCAAGATCCTGGCGCTGAGCCTGACGACCACCCCTGATCATGACATGCTTGTTGTGGGAGGGAACGATAGGGTCGTGTCCTTCTGGCATGCAGAAGCAGGCCCTCACACCTCGACAGGGTCTTCTGCGCGAAGCAATGGTACCACCCCCACCCCGCCCCGTACTTGTTGTGTAATGCTAATCTCTGAGCAGACGAACTATTGAACGCCCTCCGAGAGTTTGTCTCCTATCGGACTGTTGCCCTAAACCCTACCTGTGTACGTGACTGCCACGACGCCGTGACATTCCTCCGTAAACAGTGCAACGCCTTTGGTGCAACGACCACCCTTGCCTCGCCGCAGGAAGGTGTCAATCCCATCCTGCTGGCCAAGTTCCCAGCTTCCCATGTCTCCGAATCCACCCGGTCTGTCCTGTTCTATGGCCATTACGACGTCGTCGATGCTGAATTCGACTCTTCAAATTCAAACCAAACCTGGTCTGGCGACCCATTCAGTCTGCAGCCACTGAACGGTTACCTCTATGGCCGTGGAGTGACGGACGACAAAGGGCCCATCCTTGCGGCGATCTATGCCGTGGCCGATCTGGTACAGCATGGCTCTCTGTCCTGCAACGTGACGTTCCTTCTCGAAGGGGACGAAGAAGCCGGCTCCCGGGGGTTCCGCAATACGGTGCAGTCGATGCACGACGCCATCGGACCGGTAGATTACATTCTATTATCGAACAGTTACTGGCTCGACGACCACATCCCTTGCCTGACGTTCGGAATGCGCGGCGTAGTGCATGCCAGTGTTACAGTGTCGTCCAACAAGCCAGACCTCCATTCAGGCATGGATGGGAAATCCAACCAGCACGAACCGCTCAAGGATCTGACAGTATTACTGGCCTCGCTCATCGGACCATCTGGCACGAAAGTCACGATCCCGGACTTCTACGACACCGTTGACGAGCTGTCCGAGGGCGAGATGAAGGCCTATACGCGCATCACCTCGGCGCTGCTGCCCGGCCATCCGGAAATCCAAAACGAGAAAAAATTTGCCTTGTCGCTTATGCAACGCTGGCGGTACCCGAACCTGACGGTGCACCGAATCGAGGTGCCTGAGGCGAAGACGGCGGTGACGATCAGCGGCTCTGCAAAGGCGACGCTGTCGATCCGCATCGTGCCCTCGCAGACAGCCGAGCAGATCGCCAACAGTTTGTCGTCGTACCTGCACGAGCAGTTTGGCCAACTCCAAAGCTCCAACAAGCTCACCGTGACCATCTCATCCAAGGCAGACCCGTGGCTGGGTGACGTGCGGAGCGAGATCTACAAGAGGCTCAGGTCTGCCATCGTCGAGGTTTGGAACCCGGAATCGGCCAGTTCGTCGCAGCGGTCGTTCCAGACATCCACGCCCACCTCCACGCCCACATCTACGCCGACCCCCGGCACGCCCTCATGGATCCCGGCCGACGCGTCTACCACTCCGGATGCCAACCGAGCGTCACACCGTCGCGCCTCTTCCCTCGCCACGACGGGTACATTCACGGTGTCAACGATGCCACGCGAGCCGCTGTTCATTCGCGAAGGCGGGTCCATCCCGGCCCTTAGTTTCTTGGAGCACGAGTTCGATGCCCCTGCGGCCATGTTCCCCATGGGCCAGGCGAGCGACAACGCGCATCTGGACAATGAGCGGATCCGGCTCGAGAATCTCTGGAAGGGTCGAGAAGTGCTGAAGCGTGTTTTTGCACGGTTGTGAGCATCGTACAGGCAGGGGGTTAGATGGTAGCAAGCAGGCAAATAGTGGGCGGCAGAGCCAAGAGGTGTCTGTGTTAGAAGGAAAATTAGAGTCTTACAGGTCCGTTGGGCGTCCCAGGTTATCCTCGTTCCAACTCGATCTTGTCATTCCATACCCTAGACACGCACACGCACACGTTGGACCAGACTGGATGGTTGGACTAGACTGGATGGTTGCACTAGACCGGAGGGACGACTTTGGCTATCATCAAAAGCGAAATCCATCTCTATAAAAGAAAAGTGAGAAATATACTCTGTAAAGATACATATGCTGCGATCTTTGACTATGGCTCATGGGGTATATCTACATAATTAGGTACCCTAACTCAGTACAGATACTAGGTATGCTGGGTATGCATGTAGGTAAATAACCTCAGGCTCACGCTTACGCTCAGGTTCACGTTGAAGATCACGCATGTTTGTGTTCACGCATATTTATATTCACACATGTTCATGTCCCTGTCGTCCTCGTCCTCGTGCCCGTGTCCATGTCATAGTCCATGTCCTAGTCCATGTCTAATCTCTCTCCGTCCCGGTTCCCGTACGTACATATAGGTGTGCATGTCCCCTTTCCCGTACCCGTATGGACATATAGGTGTGCATGTTCCCCTTCCCGTACCTGTACATACATATAGGTGTGTATGTCCCCCTTCCCGCACATACATATAGGTGTGCATGTCCCTTCCCAACGTACATACATATAGCTGTGCATGTCCCGTTTTTTCCTTCCGAGAGAGGCGGAGCCAAGCTGGCCTGGATGGACCGGCCCAAACAAAACCAAAAACAAATTGAATGGCGCCGTCGCTATGTCATGCCAATGCCGCCAGGGTAAATGCCAAACATCCCAATATACTCCGTAGGCAGATTGTCTTCCTCTAGCTGTCCAAGAACAATCCCCTCCATTCGGTAGCTGGTCTCATCCAAATCCAGCAACGTGATTCGATAGTCTTGCCCATTTTGTGTGCATATATCCCGTAAAGACAAGAATCCCAATATCCGATCCAAACTCCTTCCCCTCATTTTCATCTCATGATGGTATGTATCATTTCAGATTGAGACAGGATCACACATTGCTTTCCCGGAAATCCAGGTCGTTAGATCCTGTTGTGTCGGCCACCTTTTGGCATTATGTGTTGGCTTCTGTTTCTGAAATTTTGGGTTGGATCCATGGGCCAAGATGTCCGTAGGCAGCTCATGACACGATACTCCCTCCGCTCAAATTGATGCCTCCCAACGTCCACTTCCCCGCGGCCCAGATCCAAGCGCCGAGCTTGGGGGTCTCTCCTTCTTTGACCTGATTGACGAGATCCATAACCCCTTGAAACGACGACTTGCTCAGACTCTGGTTATCCAGATCCTCGCTCGTGTCTCGGGCTGGAGGCGCCGTGCGGCCGACCGGGTCGGAAACACCATTCATGGCATCAACCGCATCAATGGCGGGGCCTTGGTCGAAGAAGTCGACGAGCACAAAGGTCGAGGACTTGCCGTATTCCGTCTTACAGGTGCTCAACGCGTAGCCGAGATTGCCAACCGAGTTGCCGGCGGAATTGGTGGTGTTGATCTGGTCGGTGTTGGGGGTCTCGATGTCGAACAGGCCCTCTTTGTACAAGAAGTGGTTCGTCAGCGCCATGCGGTTCGACGAGATGGCAGCCTGCGAGTTTCCCTTGACCGAGGTGGGGCGGTCCGGGGTGCAGGTGAAGTCGGTGACGTTGGTGTTGTCGAAGGGGTTCTCGAACACAAAGGTGAATTCGTCCATGAGATAGGATTCGCTCGATGTGACGGTGCTCGTGTTGAGTGAGGCCACGAAAGTCAGCAGTCTCGTGCCGGCGGAGATGAGTTCCTGTAATGTCGGCCAGGTCTCCGGCGGCGAAGTGACGGATGAAGGCGTGTACGCGTAATCCGTGATGGAGGCGGCGGAGAATTGCTGGGCCAGTTCGGACGGGGTGGCATTGTCGGAATTGACCAGCAGGAGGGTCACGACTTCATCGGCATTCTTGTCCAGCCACTCCTTGACCTCTTTCAACCAGTCCGACAGTAAGCCGGCATCCAGCAGATCGCAGGACGAGTGGCACAGGTGCCATTGCCCATTGGTCTTGTGGACTTGAGCAGACAACAGCCGGACTCCTGCCGACAACTGCACCGACGAGTTGTAGTATTGGTTGCCGGACGTGGAAAACCCGGTCGAGGCATCGCGGACGAAGGGCGAGTCGTGGGCTCCGAGGTGGACGATGTTGTTGTAGGATTTGGAACAGAGATCGGGCGAGTTGTTGCAGGCGGTGGAGCGTTTGGAGAGGTCAATGGACGTTTCTGTGAGAGAGCGTTTGGTGAGGTCAACTGACACTGCTGTAGCGAGAGAGAGCAGAGAACACAGAGAGACGAGTGCCGCCAGAGGACGTAGTAACATAATGCTCTCGAGAGAATGGGTATATTGACACACTGTGCGTTGCGGTGTGGTGCGGTGTAGCGGAGTGTCGTTATCACCGGGATAGGGAATAGGGAACAAGAAACAACAAATAGCAATGTATCCGTACTGTGTATGGTCGTCTCAGTCTATCCTCAAAGCCAAAGCCAAATGAAAGCACAACTTGAAGGAATTAAAAGAAGAAGCAGCAGAGCAACAAAGGAATAAGCACCAGCATCAGCATCAGCATCAGCACGCGCAAAGTCCAGCTTTGAGCGCAGTCGGCAATACGTACTCCTACCCCGTAGTACTCCGTACTGTGCTGTTGATCCGTATGGACACTGGGCAGTGAAGATGCAACAGATTCATCACACAGGTAACCAGAGACCCGAAACCACGCTCGGGCCATGGCTGGGACTGGGACTGGGACTGAGACGCGGACTGCCAGTGGACGCGCGGAGAGAGGCGCAGTCTCTTGAGCCACGCGCGGCCTGAGCAGAAGCAGAAGCAGACACAGAAGAAGGATTGAATTGACAGCTGGCAGTTGGCAGCTGGCAGCTGGGGAACGGGGTCGATAATGGGGCTTAGGGGCTCAGGCTTAGGCTTACAGTAGGCTTAGGCCACCAGGCCGCGACATGGATCAGCGCCCTTGGGGGCATTATTGGGGGCCTTGGGAGCCGAAGCCTTGGCCTGAGGGCCTCAGGTCTGAAACAGAACAGAACAGAAAATGAAACGAAACGAAACCAAAGGATCTACGGAGTACTCGTAGGCGTATGGACACGAAATCTCTGGGTTGTCTATTTTTGGGCACCACCTACGCACCTTGAGGAAAGTATCCGTTGCTAGGTACCTACCTAGGTATACAGAGTACTATTAGGTATATACATACACAATATGCTATGGTATCTGAACACCACCCCTGTTGAGAGTATCGGATACCACACAACAGCTGTCGTATGTACCCTGGAGGTATGTCGTATCCGTACCTCCGAGATACCTGGTACACAGCAACCAACAGCCATACCGTTGCCAGGTACCTAAGGTAGGTAGGTAGGTAGGTACCAGGTACAATAGTGTATCTGTATACCTTTACATGTCGTTCTAGGTACACTGTAGGTACCTACCTAAGCTAGCTCTGCCGGTCCCATGACTGACCAAAAAATCATGCTCTATGTGCATTTTGGGCTGGTCTCAGATCGATCTGGCTCCCTTGCCAGAGATCCGCCTGTTTAAACATGTCCAAGATCCGACTGTTCAAACGTGTCAAGACAGAGACAGAGATCCGACTGTTAAAACATGTCCAAGCAGAGACAGAGACTTCAACACACCTTACCGCCTCCCTACATCTACTATTCGCATCATCCTCTCCGTGTCATCTTCTTCTCCGCCTTCTTCCGCTGCTTCTCATTCTCTCGTTCCAGGAATTTGCGCTGTTCCTCCGCGCTCATCCCCTTCATCTTCCGCTCTCTCTCCTCCTTCTTCACCCGGTCCAGCGCCTTCAGCCGCTCCTCTTCCGCCTCCTTGTCGCTAATCTTCTTCAGTTTGGCCTTCTCCGTTTCGCGAAGCGCGTGGATCTTCCTCATCACCTCCGGCCGGAACCGCGCCTGGCTGACCAACAGGTCTGGGAGTCTCAGGAACGCCTGGAAGAGCGGCAGGGTCGGCAGATAGTTCCCGTCCGATGGCAGTTTCAGCGAAATGTGCAGCCGCTTTTTCGGCGTCGTCTCGTTCAACGTGGTCGGCTTGTCAGCCGCCTGGTCACTGACGATAAGATACTCGAACAGATCTCCGGCCTGGTTGACCGCCGCGACCAATTCCTTGGTCAACAGGGTATCGGTGACCTCGGCGCTCTCACTCATCACCGTCGTCCAATCAGGCAGTTTGGCGTTGTCCTTGGTGAATGTCAACGACAGATCGTACCGCTCATCCCGTAGTCGACGCATGGCGAGCTTGTTGACGATGGCAAACACGAACGGGTCATAGGCCGAGTTGCCCACCGATTTTGTCTTGCCTGCCTCCGCAGATCCCGGCACCGGCGGTGGCACAAAGTCCTTTTCTTTACCGTCAAAAGGGTACAGAACCGCCTCCACCCTTTCAGGCTTAGGCTTGACCGACTCGAAGAACATGCCGGTGATCTCCTCCGCAGCCAGGTACAGCGGATTCATCCGTCTCTTCAGGTAGATCCGGAAATCCACAAACGCCACGTTCTGTCGTCCGCTCGCATATGTCTCGTACTCCCATGCCGCCTTTTCCTTGAGCAGGTCGTCCGGGAGGTTGTCACCGGCGAGTTTCGCGCTGGCCTCGAACAGACTGCTGTCGCCCTGCACCTCGCCGTACGGAGTGACCTTGGGGATTTGACTATATCCAACCAAGGCGAATTCCCGCTCCAGCAACGGCGCATGCACCGCCATCCACTTCTTCGCCTTGCGCTTGTTCTGCCGGGTGCCCCAAAAATATACCAGCAACGCCAGGAGGATGATGGGCACAAGCACGGCCTCCATCATGAAGTCGGACGGTTGTGTGCGCTCCCAGACCCGATACCATTTCGTGTAGGTCCCACGATGTCCGGGGGTGGCAGTCGGTTCGGCGGCCTGCGCATCGGCAGGAGAGACAGGGATCGAGACCGGCGAAGGGGCCGGCGCATCAGCAAAGTCCGCAAAGTCTGTGTATAAGAAAGAATTAGCAGGCGACACCAGACCTCGAGCGGTGCAATGGATAGGGCTTTGTCTCTGTATACATACCAGAGTCGTCTGCCACCACCGGGGCCTGCGAGGGCGTCCCGCCCACCAAGGATTTGAAGTAGTCCATGTTGTAACGACTGGCGACTCTCCGGATGCAATTGAATGGTCCAGACACAGACACTTTCTTGATCCAACTCCCAAGCCACAGTCCACAGTCCACAGTCCACGTCGACGAGATTCAAATTGTTGCTCGAATCGCCGGAGAAGCGAAGCAAGCAGAAGACGATGGGCAGAAGCGACGAGCTCCCCACAAAGCGAATCTGAATCCAGTCGCCGTTGTAACGTAATTTGCCAAGCCCTGGCACGCCCAGCCACAACAGCCACAGTTATAGTAGCCACTGTAGCCACCGCCACGTTCTTATATCAACCGAACCGAAACTACCATCACCATTTCTCCAGATCCCAATCCCACAGCTGAACATCCAACCTTGCAGTTGACTCGCCCTTCTTGACCCGTCCCAGTCCAGGCAACACAGGTTGCAACATTCATCACAAGGTGCAAGAATGAAGACGTGGTGGAAATGGGCTTCCATGAGAGAAGACATCAGAAGAACTGCCCTGCCCTGCCTTGTTGTCAATGGCAGTTCTCATGACTGCTAAATTCCGAGGCGATTCTTTGTCCTCTTGAGCTTCGAGGAAAACCAGCCACGAAGGTCATGTTGAGAGATCACAAACATAAAGGCTGATACCGTCAAGCCGCATTCAGGCATTCCTGTAGTGCCAGACCTGGAGACCTACTGGAGCAGGGGATCCTAGATCATGTTCCAAATTCATCGACTCCTGGACAAGGGAGTGATCGCGGTTGGGAACAGGCTGTTGCCTGTTGTCGGCACGACGAGACTAGATTCGACAGGTCAGTCCGATTTGAACAGGCTTCGGCTCACGTACATCACAACCAGGTCACTTTCAGGGCAAACTTCAAGATTATCTGACATTGTGTGCTGAGAAATCCCTCCTGGAGTATTCGAACCGCGCATCAATTTCATGTTCACCTGGGCAGGCGATGCAAGGCTGGGACGGTTCCTACGCCTTCCAGCCCAGCATCAAATCCCAATTCTGGCTCAACTGCTTTCGATCCGAAACTGCACTTGCTTGGCCTCCAAGGCTCGACAGGAGTTCTGTTTATTGCGACCGCGTCGAAACAGCTTCAAGCGATTTTTGACAATTCCTTTGTCGCTGGGATTGGCGTTGAGACGCTGACCTCTGGCCCCTACAACAACCTCGCCAGCTTCGACGGTGGTTCCATTGCCCTTCAGTTTCTGTATAATCTCATCGAACATCTTGTACTTTTCGTGGCTACTGTGCATTGTGCCATGTTGTTCTGTTGCCCACAAAGCAAACGCTCCCAGTATCTTGGCTTCACGTTCGGTCGTGGCGTGCAACCTAGCACCCGCCCCTATCAATTTGCACGTCACCTCCAGCGCAGTCATGGAAAATTCGGACTGGTGGGAAATCCAGGTCAGCCAACATTCCCAAGGTGAAAGTCCTGGCCCCAAGTCGCTAGAAGTGGTCCACTTCCAACCAAATATGCAGGCGTGCTGGATGGAATGGTTAGGGCAAGTCCCATGGTCAAGGAGAATTTCAATACACTGAGCTACGGAGTCTTGTAGCTCCCGCCCACGAATGAGCAAGATCAGCGCGTAGAGCAAGATGATACACCTATCATTAGCATGATCACAGTCTGGAATGGCTCTACGGAAGAGCTCCGTCAAACCTCGACATATGATGTACATCATCAACGCCGTCCGAACAGGTGCGTATGCGCATTTGAAGATGCCGGTTGGGAGCTGGATAAGCGATGGGAATTGACTGTATGTCCACTTCACGAACAATGCAAAGCGATCGTCGGTCGACAGCCAATGATCGAGATGTGTCGCACTTGACGCACGGATGGTCCACAGATCGGCATACATCGTCCATGCCGGACCTTCCGGTTGCGAGAAGTTCATCATCATCAAAAGGGCTTTATTGGCATATTCGATATAGTGCTGGTCGCCTGTTCTCGCACGGGCAGCAGCATAATCGAAACAGGACCCAAAAGACCCAAAATACTTAGTCATAGACCAAGTGTACACGAGACCAGCCTTGTATTGTTGGTCCACGACATTAACCACGGGGAAATTTTGTCGGAGCTCGTAGACACACGCTGACAACAATCGGTGGTCCAGCGTTGAATCGGGCTGCGGGTTGAGCCCGACCACCCTCTCCCAGACGGCAGTGTTGCTCAAATACTCCTGAACGGTCTTGTGGAGGAAGCTAACCCAGTGCACGGCGCGTGGACCGCCGGAACTCTTGTGGTTGTGGTTACTCTCCACCAGGCCGCGGCAGCGACTCCGTAGCCTGCCCTCCATAGCCTTTATCAACAGGGTATACATATTGGGGGTCAAGTCGGGAATAGAGGCGACGAGACCGTCTTCACCGACCTCGGCGTATGACAACTGCAGAAGGGTAAGACGAGATTTCTGCACCTTGAGGCTTCGCATCACCAGCTGGATTATCAGCGACGCGTCTTTCTTATATTCTGCATCGAGCGAGTTGAATATGTGATCATAGAGCTTCTCCAGATCGTTGGGTAGTTTCTCGATCGTTTTCAGAATCTCGTCCTTGCGGTCGTAGTTTCCAAGCCCTACGAGGATGTCTTTGACCACGATGATGATCCAGAGGAACACGCCCGATGCCTTCTAGGTCAGTGATTGCTGAACAAGTGCGCTGAATCCCGGTTCGCGAGCTTCCATCTCTTGCATCAGCTCGTCGGAAAGGAGCTCGTCCTGGATGTACTTGAGAATGTCTCTTTCTGTCAAATCTTGGACCCGTAGACCAGGACAGCGAGAGAAGACTTGGTAGCAGGAAGATATAGGTCTGCTTGACACAAGGACCTTGACGTTCTCGGGGCTGGAGATGTTGAGGAATAACTTGGAAAGATCGAAGTGGTCTCCTGAATACTCGTCCACCCCGTCGACCAGGATGAACAGCCTGACTGTGGGAGACAGACATTTGGTGAGCCTCGCAAAAGCCGCGCGTAGTTCCTGCATGGTGAGATGAACGGAAAGGGGGAAGTCCGTATGTTGCAGTAAAAGTTGCCGGGAAAGACCAGGGAACAATGCTGGCACTAGCCATGGTTGCCGACCGACAATCTGAGCCAGCAGAGACCGAAGCATCCCTTCATACGACCTTTGAAGAGCAGAGCCCGCATGCCAAAAGAAGAATGAGGCAGTGATCAACTCGTCTCCCTTGGCCCACTGCTCGAGCAGATCATAGGTTCGTTTTTGTTGGTATATATACTTCATGAGTGTTGACTTGCCAGATCCAGCCTTTCCATTGATCCAATAGCATCCATGACCGGATTGGAGCCACCGGCTGAAGTCGCTGGAATTGTTATCGCGCGCATGTCCAGCAAAAATCCATTCAAACGTCTTTTCGTGTGCTTCAGCAATAGCTTCTTGTCGGTCATCCTCTTCACGGAAATGCAGTGCATCCACGACACGCCCAATGAATGGCGACGGACTTCCTTGCACCATCGTATCAGGTTCTGTTCCGTCTGCATGCTCCTCGGACGTATACTGTATGGAGCTGAGATTTGGGACTGTAAAGAGAGTCTGTGGACTCCCGGTCTTTTGAGGAATGGTAATATTCGTCCCGTTCCGAAAGGTCAAAATAGCTGCAACCGATTGGATCGTGGAGAAGATGGATTTGTTGATCGAGAGGACCTCGACGATCTCGTTGCGCTGTGCATCAACTTTCTCGGACAGTGTTTCATTCTGGGTGCCCAATGTGTCCATCTTAGACAGGAGGCGATCGGCCTTCTGGTTGAGTACGGTGACAGTCCGTAAATTGAGCTGGGCCCGGTACCGATCCAGACGCTCAATGACTTCTGCAATCTCTTTTCTCTTCCAGAGGAGCATAAAAGCCATACAGAAGCTGGTGAACAGCCTCTCTGCTTCGTTCCGGTGTGGCCTTGCAGCCGACAGCATCTTCTTCTTGACGATACCTGTTTGTGATGCTGCTATAGCCGTGTTCAGGTCAGGAAGGATCGGTGCGAAGGAAGACAGCAATGCCTCAGCATCTTTCTTGCATGCCGAGGCCAGGTTGAGTAGAGCCTAATCAACAAAGTCAGTTATGGTGCTGGGCGATTCATGGCATTCGGGGTTCGAATACCTGGTCGGAGGTTTGTAAGGTAGGGTCATCCTGGAGTCCGCCGAGCTGCGACTTTAGATTCGAATAGATCATCGACAAATCGTCCATGTGCTGTCTGATCTCGAAGAGACCCGTATTGGTCCGACTGCCGTGGCGTATGTCGTTCGCGGACTTCATCAGCCTGATGCCAAAGTCGACAAACTGCGCGACATTGGCGGCAACGCCCAGGGCTGTAAATGGATCCATGTGGCGCCGCGGACACAGTATTGCAAATCCCAGATGTCAGCATCAAGAGAAGAAGACGGCAAAGGGTGACTTCAGTCTACATGTGTAGGATTTCAAGCGTCAAGTAGTCTGCTGGATGTATGAAGAAGAGGGGTAACCGAGTCAGCCTGATGCCGGCATAAAAGTTAAAAGGCAGCCGCCGCCCCTAGGCTGACAAGGCTGAAACCCTTATCCCAGCATTGAAGGAAGGACCCAGGACCATAAGTGGTCGTTGGGAGTGCGGCATTGTTGAGAGAGAGAGAGCCTACCCGTCCCTCCTCCTCCCCCTGCATCAGTGCGTATACACAGGATCCAGGTGCATGTAGGTACTGCCCACCCTGAGATAACAGTCAGTGTTTTACAGACTGTTATCAGTACTCCCTACAGTTACAGAGTTGTCCAGCCCGATCGCAGACCGCAGACCGCAGCCACGGCTGATCTTCGCGGAAATCGGCGCGGGCCGAAAGTGACCAAATACGTACGTTAGTAAATCCCTAGTAATACTGAGCGGACAATAATTCATGGGCAGCCCCAGCGCATGTGATGAGCCTCCTGAGCCCACTTGAACTTGAAGCTGGTGTGATGGATCGCTTGATGCCGCAACCCGCAAGTTCTAGTTACGGCACCACTGTCAGTACAATATGGTGTCTACCGCTTGATAAGTGTCACTAGGACTTGCTAACAATGCTTCTAGGAGCAGAGCCCCAGCCGTCACCCACCAGGAACACCAAACGCCAGTGCCGGTCTCGAATCTTCGACATTTATATACATTAAATCGTAGCATCATCACGCCGTTACATTTTGGTACATTGTGCCGACGCCGTCGCCACTCGATCCAAAAGAAAAAATCCAGACAAAATCCGCGGCTAAAAATCTCATCGCGCATAAGCGGGAGGTGGAGTGTGTTCCATGTCACGAGGAGACATGGGCCCAAAGCTGCCCCTCAACCGTTCCTCCTCGTACCGTTTGGCCATCTCGCTAGCGATCTTCATCATCCACGCTCGTTCAGCGATGGTGCCGGCATTGGAGGAATCGGTGACAAACGACAGAAAATTCGGGAGGGCTGGTCGCGAAGGCCCGGCCTCCGAGGGTGAGCCGGACTTTTCCCTCTGGACCGAACGTGCCTCAGGGGCTGGTTGAGAAACTGAACGCTCTTTTTGGTCCGGCAAGAACATTGAAGCTCTTGGTGTCTCATCATCATCAAGAGATGCGAGGACTGGTTTTCGGGACCGCACACGGATGGTCGCATCAGGGTCTCTCGCTCGGGAAGACTTGTGGGCTTCGTGTGCAGAATCTTCGGCAGCAGACGAGATGACAGGTCCTGGGGTGCCTTCGCTGACGCTACGCTCTCCTAGAGCACTGTTACTCCGGCCTTGGAGAGTCCCAATGCGCTTAGCTACCACTGGACTTTCAGGCGGTGTAATGAGACCGAGCCCTCGCGTGGGGTCTGAAGACATGGTTGCTGCAGGTGCAGAAAAGATAGTCGGTCCCGTGGACGTGCTTTCTGTCACGCTTGCTGTGTCGGGAGTCAACCCATATTCACTGGCCGTCTCAGGCGTGCCAGTTTCTGGATGTGCTCGCAAGTCGACCACGCGCTTCTTCCTTTTGCGCGTTCTATGTCCCTGGCCGTGACGTCCACTGTTCAAACCTAAGCCACTACTGGTGGACTGGAAGCTAGGCAGGCCAGGCCGAGAGTGGGAAGTGCCATCAAGTGTATAAGTTGTCGTAGTACTGAGACTTGCGGCGTACGAGTGTGTCCTAGACAGAGCCGGGGTAGTCGCTCGGCTATGCAATCCGTTCATTTCTCCACGCTCCATGGGTCCTGTCCAGGCCCTAAAAACAGCATCCTGGATCGATGGAGTGAAAAGCGATAGCGTGCGATGCGAGTCGGTCAGAGTTGCCAGACGTATTAGATTCTTCCTCGAAAACAGCGACTGGGTTTCCACCGACGAGTCTAAAGACAAGGAAGCGACCTCCGCGGGAGTCAACACCGCCCCCGTCGAGTCCACAGGATCCTGCGGAGGACTGGCCAGCGGATCGACCACCACCTCGTCCTTGAAACTCTCGGCAGGCCCGAGCTCACGCTCTTCACGCGCTTTGTATTCGGGCACCCACAGCCGTAACGAGAGTCGATGGATAATGGCAGGCAATTCGTCCATGAGGAGACCTCTCAATTGGTTCTCGATTTCTCGCTGCAAGAAGTTGGCAACGAAGGGAATCGAGTCGAAAGTCGAAGACACTCGCAGAGATTCGAGGGGGTCATTCCGGAAGACCAAAGTCAAGCCCTTCTGGCGGGAAAACACGAGTATAATGAAGGCGGACAACCGGAACTCCGACAGCGTGATTTGCAACGGAATGGTCAGGCCCTTGTCAGCAGCCAAAGGCTGTGGTGACGCGAAGGCTGGTCGTGTATGTAGATAGGTATTCAGAGGATTTGCTTGCACCTTTGTCTTGAGGGTCAGATATGCATTTCCTCTGTATGTCATTTTGAAGGTGCCGCGAAATCTATCCTCTGCTAGGTCGCCTATTTCCAAGATCTCCAGCTCGGGGGCAACATTGCCCAAATTGAGCTCGTTGACGATTATATCGTCCACAATGATGGCGGGCTTAGGGTCGGCTCGATTGAGAGCATTGGTGAGGAGTTCCTGGGCGCGTGGGAGGAAACCGGCGTCGGTAGATAAGGGAGACCAGTTGAAGTTGAAGGCCATGGTTCAGGTCAAGACCTTGCAGGTGGTGTCTATCAGGGTAGCAGTTTATGATCGAGGGCGACAAACATGGCTTTGAACGAGGACACCAGCGATATCTGCGGTCGTGGACTCAATGGCGGACAAGTCAATCAACAACGCTCGTGGCCTGCAGTGGTCTGACGAGGTCGCGTGATAAGGTTGTTTGGTAGATGGCAGGCGGAAGGCGGTACGACCTCACGCGGCCTTGCAGATGCTTAGCTCTGCAGATGGAATGTACAATAGATGGATTGCAGTGAAGACGGGCTGCTGACACGACGAGGGTAGAATATGATTGTTGTTGGAAAAACCCCGTGCATGGGTTGGTAGACGAAACTGCAATCGCAGCTTTCCTGGCAGTTTAGTTTGATTTCAGTTGGTTGATCCGCTTGCACCGAAAGTGTCCAAGAAAAGCAAACACCCGGTCGGCAAACCTGCTGCACGGGGCGTGGTTGACGTAGCTTGTCGGACATTCACATTCACAACACACCACATCGAACATCGAGCATCATCGACAGACAGAGACGCAAGAGATGCTCAACCAACACAATGTCCGACATCGAAGGCGGCAGGCCCCAAGCCCGATGGTCAGTCTTGAAAGAAAAAGTGCCTCATGTTTGGCGCAGGAATCGCCGAGGTTTGATCCTACGCACAGCTCCGAGATATCAGAGAAACCCCTCATGAAATTTTACACCAAGTATTGTCTGCCGCTGTGCCTTCCTCCTCCCTCGGACATACTCCGACCGGACATCCTTGAGTTACTCGCACTCATCCCGTCATTTGCAGTACAGAAAGGCCTACAGTACCTTAGTAGGTAGAGAACTACTGCCGTGTAGATACGATGTGAATTCAGTACAGGTGACCTCTGGAGGCAGAGACTTCCTCAATGCCAACACAATATTGTAATACTTTTTATGTAAGACGGGTATCTCAGATGTTCAAGTCGTAACTTTCTTTCCACCACAATCAGACAGCATCCCCTCAGTTAACACATACACAGGGCATATCTATTCATTAAGCCATCTTCAAAAAATGCTACTCCAGACTGGCGCCAACCGAAAAAGTTTTGCTGATGCAGATTACACCATTTCCTTCGAAGGCTGGTCCTGCACCTTGGAGGATGGCTCGCCGACAGAGCTGGGAGTGTCAGATCGCTTGTGCTCTGCCAGTTCATCATGCTCGAAATCTTCAGGGGTATCCTCGAGCTCGTCGGGCAGGGTCAAGTTCAGGATCATAGAGATGAAGGCGGTAACGGCAAAGCCCGTTTCCATGACCAGGACGATGGCATCATAGAAACCTCGCAGAGCATGGTTGTTGCCCTGGTACGTGAAGACGTTCTCGAACCAGGTGGGCACCAATGTGGCGCCGAAGCCGACGGCGAGCGAGGCTGTGAGGATGAATCGGGTGCGGCGGTTGAATGGGACTCGGTTGACAATGGCCATGCCGGAAACCGCGACCTGATTTCTTGCTGTCAGATAGAGTGAACCAAGATCTCTGAAGACAAAACACTTACGGAGCAGAAGAGAAAAGTGGTCATGCCACCGAGCACTGCGCTCGGGATGGCGACCAGGGCAGCCGAGAACTTGGCAAAGAGACCCATGATGAAGAGGAAGACTGTCAACTCTGGTCAGCAAACCGGCCATTTGAAGGCTGGACTTGAGAGGGGTTTCTTACAGCAGCACCAGTATCCGGCCTTGCGGTTGGCACAGCGCGTCAGTGCAATGACACCGTTGTTCTGGGCGAAGGTGGACATGGGAGTGATGGTCATCAGAGCAGCGAGAATGCCGTTGCATCCATCCGCCAACACGCCACCCTGGATACGGGACTCGAATTCGGGGCCTTCGACATCGAGACGGGACACATCGCAAGTGGCAGTCACATCACCAATTGCTTCGCAGGCGCAGATGATGAAGACGGTCAAGACAGGTAAGACCAGTGGTCCATACAGCTTGAGAGGGAACGTCTTGACCCAGATGAAAGATGCCACCGGGGCACTCTTGATGCCGGAGTCATCGAAATACCCACACGCGGCCGCGACAATGCAGCCCACCAAAAGGCCGATGATGACGCTGGTGGACTTCATGATCGGAGAGCCGAACCGTTCGGCCAGGATGATGGTGAGAAAGACGAGGAAGCCCAGGCCGATGAAAGAGGCACTGCCCCAGCGGAGAGCGTGAGGCGCGGTGATATCGGGGCAGAGCCTGAAAAATCCATCATCGGGCAGTGTGTCGCAGAGACCGCTGCCACCAGCCCAGTTCTGGAAGCCGCTCTGGATCAGGTGGACGCCGATGAGCATGACGGTGGGGCCGGTCACGATGGGAGGAAAGATGCGCTGGAGAGCTTTTGGTGGCATGAAGGAAATGGCGACTTCAATCAAGGCGCAGAGGGCACAGGTTCCAATCAGGGCACCATAAGCTTCAGGACAAGGGAGTCTGTTGCCGTCTGCGTCGACTGGGCAGAAGCCGTTCGAATACATCTGGTTGAAGGCACCCTGGGCCACGGGGATGATGGCGAAAGAGGTGCCGACGACCGAGATCAAGCCGGTTCCAAGGTAGTATCTGGACGAGTCTGGTCAGTTTTGGGCAGTGGCTCAAAGTCAACGATGGACCTACGGAGTCTTGTAGATGTGGAAGCGCGTGATCTGGATGGCTGAGAGAATGCCGCACACGATCAACGAGGTCGAGACAAGATATTGCTGGTAGTCGACCGTCAGGTTGGCACCCCCTTGGCCGGCCAGGATGATGGGGGGAGTCATGATACCCGCCAACATGGCCAGGGCGTGCTGGAAGCCGAGCAAAAATGCCAGGACGACGGGCATGGGATCGTTCAGGCCGAAGAAGGGGCTCGCGCGACGAGGCCTCTTGAGGAAGGGAATGTTTGGGCGGAAGAGAAAGGCGTAGTCGTACGTTCCGATGAGGCCGTTCTTGGTGAAAAAGGTCTTGCGCAGACGGTTGGCCCGGTCGGCCATGGTTTGCTTGGGGCTCATATTAGGCCCGATTCTGTCTGCTTCACCCATGGCTGGGGGGTTGGTGGCTCTGATGCTAGCTGAGCCCAATGTTGTTTCAGTATGGGGGACGGATGGAGGAGAGGGCGAACAGCAACACGGTGTGATGTGTGATGGGTTCGCGGGCTCCAGGGAGGATGGACGAGGGAGGACGAGTCTTGGTACAGGGCAAGTCAGCGGAGAGCCAGGGTGTCGGGGGACTCTTATACAGAGTCCAGATAGATGGTCATGGCCAGTTCCGTCGGCATCGAGCACTGTTCGACTCGAATTGCTGCATCTTGCTGCATATCCCGTGGCAGGTCTGTATTCTGTAGTGTGCGGTGGGCCAGAAGACCAAGGGCGGTGGAGACCTGATCAGCTCTAGCGGGCAGCCCACAGCAGGAGGCTGTCGGCCAGCGGCGACGAGCAGCTTCCTGCTGTAAGCCTTGGAGCCCAGCAAAAGGGTGCGGTTTAGGGGCCTCAGGAGCCCCCAGAGAGGTGAGCACAGGCGGCCATCGCCTGGATCGGGACCCCCCATGGCTACCTCAGGTATGGAGGCTCCTTAGACCCCTGTCGACAGCTTTCGGCCTCTATCTCGGCTCGTCCAGGCCTGCTGGTTGGGCCGGAGGCGCCCGAACATGCCAGCGATAGGCGGCTTGGCGGGCAGGAGATGACCGTTTCATTCGAATCATCCCCGTTATCTTGCCCTCTGCTAACCCGCTCCGGCTAGAGAGTTCAGAGATCCCGCGTCGAGCGTAAAGCAATCGACAAAGAATCAACCATGTTGCATTGTCATCGAGATATCAGGCTCCCATCCGCCCGCTGCCATTGGTGCATCTCTTTCCCCCAGTCATGCCATTACTTGCACTGCTTCCCTGGCGAACAGTTTGCATCGTTTCTTTTTTATCACTTGGCTCCATACATGCCTGGCCTGTCATGCTCCCCTAGACCGCTGGTGGAACCTGGAGAAGCTGTAGGCCAACCGATCCATCGCTTCCCTTCACTTGAGATAACTCCATCGGGCCTGTTGGTCTGTTGGCAGGAGCAGATCACGGTGATCCGAGGCCGGATTAGACGAATCACCAGTAGCTCAAGATTCTTCGTCGATGAGGTCCTCCTCAGTACGAGTAGAATCGAGAATCCATTTCACCCTGTTCCTGGCAGTCAGAGCATAAAATTGCATGAGCCGGGATGCTGTTGCCCTCTTTGGTGCTGAGGATGTATCAAGCGTCATACCAGTGTCGTTATCAGGATCGACCAACAACTAAGTCACACCAAGACTGATAGCCCGTGACGCCGAGCTGGCCTGGAACAGCCCAGAGTCCAAACTCAGCTTTCTAACCTTCTGATGGGTGATAGGAGGGTTTCCAAGTGGCATGATGCTCGTTGCCGCTACGTGCAGGGCTCCTCAGGCCTGATGTCAATCCTGAATCTGGGTGAGTTGTCGGCTCTGCTAACCCAAGATCTCGGTTTAGCGTCGCGTGCCTCTCTTCTGAAATCGATTTGAGCACAAAGCCACGATTCGGGTTTCTCTGCCTCCGATGCCTCCGAGAATGCATCATGTCCTTATCAGATACTGTGATGTTGTCACCTCAAACCCAGCTGACCTGTCATCGAGATCCCTTTGCTCACGCAATGCGAACCATCCAGGCGTCCCGGGCTTGTTGATCTCGGCACCAAGATCAGCAATCTATACATCTGCCAGCCCACAAAGCTCGAATTCGCTAACCGGACCGCCGTGCCGTGCTCGAGCCTGCATCTTCCGATCTCAATGTGGGATCTGCCTTCAATACTTCCTTGCCAACTTGCTCCACGACCGCAGCTTCGGACCGAAAAAGAATAGGACATATACCAACAACACTAAACCAATGCTGATGAATCCTAGAGTGGCGAATGCCCACTTGGCAGACATGTTGGCAAACATCGCCACACCGGCATGGGCACATCCGGCCGCGATCAGGAAGCTTGGAATCAAGAAGGCGGCAATGGCACTCGCAGCCACGTTGGGATAGGAGTCGGTGATGTATGTCAGCATAGCGAGCCAGAGGAGCGGATCGCAGAAGCCAAGGACAGCGCCGGCAACGATGGGTGACCAGTAGGACGCAGACCCTGATGAGCTCTTGATTAGCCGAGATCCTTTTGGGCGAGTCGTTCCAGAGGGTACGTACCATCGCAGGTCCATGCAAACCAGAATAGCGACGCGGGGAATAGCCACACTGTGACCAGGGAAGTCAGGAACCGGGCTTCTGGCCGGTGCCGCCCACGTCTCAGCCTGTCACGGCGGAATAAGTAGGTCTGAACTGGGACAAAGCAGAATGTCACCGTGACCCCTGTTCGAATGCATCAGCTTCTGCACGAAGCAGTCTTGGAGCAAATCCAACTCACCAACGCAAAAGTTGAGATAGGTCAGCGACGCGCCGATATAGCTGAGTCCATTGTTGACCACGAATACGCCAAACACTCCGTCCAGGTAGAGAAAGAGCAGGCCGTACGCAAAGCCGTTGTACCTAATCGCCGCGTGTCAATTCGAGGTGCACAAGCTCCCTGCTGGAGTGGTTTCCTTACAGCCCAAGCGAGATCACAATGGGTTCGGTCACCATGATCTTCAACGCCATGGTGGTCACAAATTTCAGCTCCCTTGCCACGGACAATCGACTCGACGCCAGAGCAATCTCGACGGCATTTTGATCGACGCTTCCTCGACGCTTCACCTCCCGAGTGATGACAATGCGGGGAAGGGTTTCGGGTAAGAAGCAGAGCACAAAGGCAAAGGCGCCGCCAATGATTATATTGATGTAAAAGACTGCAATAGACCCGTCAGCATTCTGCAGGCACGAGTCGGCGGTGTCTGGGAGCAAGACGTACTCCATCGCCACCCGAGCGAGTCGTTCTCCGCGATCCATTCACCAATGGGCGAACCAAGGCTAGGGCCGAAGTTTGCGCTCAGAACGAACAGAGCCATGGGCTGCGCAGCATCATCGGCGTCCTGAAGCCCGCCGTTAGCTCGAGTCGAGAACCGTCAGCAAGCCATGCATACCCCAAAGAGATCCGAGACGGTTCCAGCGACATTGTTCAGCGCGACTGATCCCGCCACTCCAATGAGGAAGCAGAAGATGATCAGCATAGGCAAATTGTAGGCCAGAGCCGTGCCGATGTTTAGGATCGCGTAAAGGAGTACTGCGCGAGCTGGTCAGCCCTAGTCCGCCTTTTGACACAGCAGTCTGCTGCCATTCCATTTCTCGTTGGAGAACTTGGGGAGGCAGAAAGCGCGGTCTTACTGGAGAAAACATAGACCCATTTGCGACCGCCAATGTCGGACAGAGGACCTAAACCAGCATCATCAGCAGCGCCCCGTGCCACCGTTTTTTTGGAGCAGGCTAGGGCCACACCATACCCAGAAACGCAGGCCCGACGGCCGTTCCGATGATGAACATCGACTGGCCCAAGGTTACCACCTGAGCTGACGAAGGCCATTTCTCCTGGATCAGGAACTCGACGGACACGTAGGTGGTGGAGGTCAAGGTCACGAAGACCTGAAGAAGACAGTAGACAGAGACAATGGCCCATTTCTTGTACCAGGGCCAGCGCATTGGGTGGGCGTCATCGCTGCTCCGGATCCTCTCCAGCAGCTCCAGAGGGGTCAGGTTCTTGGGTGTCCCCTCGACGTCGGCTGGGGATAGGGTCTGCTTCTCCTCCAGTTTGCTGACAGCCGGGTCAACTGGCCGGGATGTGTCGGCCATGGTCACGAACAGCGATCCGATCGCCCGACGACTGAAGAGAAGGCGCGCGACAGAACAAGTCCAAGTCCAGCAGCGTTGACGACCGCGACAAAGTGAGGACGGGAAACTAGGAAAAGAAATTGAATGCCGTCGACCAAGAGAGGCCCGATCAAAAATAATATGGACGACGAAAGATGAGCCCGGGCTGCCTTGTCGGTGGTGTTGTGGATCCCGCTGCCGCCCTCCACCACGATGTAACATGCAGAGCCCGAGCGATCCGAGCGATTGCACAGGGCACACAGAGGGGGGGATGCTTTATCGCAAGGCTGGCCATGACCAGCATGATGGACAAGATGAGCATTCCATCCCACCTGCAACGATGCACCGCTGTTATCTCCATGGCCAGTGAAAAGCCAGAGCCGGGACATTGCCCTTGTTACCCCGCTGATATCGGCAGCCTACGGAAGAGCGAGAGCCTGGCATGTTGCTCTGTCACACTGACGATTACGGAGTACGGACTACTTACTAACTAGTCAAGCTTCCCAAGCCCTCGTGGCCGCAATGCTTGTCATACCAAGCAAGCGGAGCCTAAGGAGGGTTGATACAGGTACGTATGTACCACCGTACCACCACACCCTCTACTCCCTACCAGGTGCCCACAGAGTACTCCCTGTCTTCCACTCCGGATACTCTGTAAGCTTGGACGAGCGATTACCCTCGTGGCGTTCGATGCGCTTAGGACGCCATCCAGGACATGTTCAACAAGGCAAGGCTTAGCCCAAGCCCCCCGCTGAACCGCCCAATCCCCACCCGATCACTTATCTCATGGCTGATTATGGAGTACCATTACCACGCTCACATCCAGAGAGAGTCGGAGGATCAAAGAGGCAGACAGTAGGATGGGTGGAAGATGCAGCCAGGTGTCTGGCTTATATGTACGGAGTACTGATAGCAGTAGATCGCTCTGCCTCTCTCGTACTCATATCGATACTCCTACAGTACCATTTATCCCGTACAGAGTAGAGATATATATGTGAAGGAATCGCACCGTCGGCTACGAGACGACATAGAAGCGAAGAAAAGATCCGCCACAAAATGACACGTCACTTAACAAGAAAATGGTCGGGACGGACCACCAGGTTGAGGACATGTGTGAATCTGAGATTTGAAGAGGCTAAAATCCAGCGAATCCCCCATCTACGGAGTACGAAGTTCGGGGTAGATATCATGATGATTTCAGAGCCTTCACCTCGGCTACAAGTTCGGTCAGCGTCTGGGTCAAGCCGGTCAGCTGCTGCGATTGCTGCGCGATCAACGCCTTGAGGTTCTTGATCTCATCCTCTAGTGGTTCTGAAGCTGCGCCACTGCCCGGAACGGCAGGCTCTTCATCGGCTGTGTCTGTATGCGCTGGAGTGTTTTTGGGCTCCGTCCCCTGCGAATGGTTAGCCCGACACCTTCCTGACATCTACTATCGGTACACTTGTTCTTACCTTGACAGTCAACGACGACGACGCCGGTTTGGGCTCCGGTGCTTCCACATCTTCCCAGACAGTGCTGGTGACCGGGGTGGGTGCGTCTTTCTTCACTTCGGCAGCAGCTGGCTGGACTGCGGACTTTCTTTCCACGGGGGGTTGAACCTCCTCGAAGCTGGAATCATCGTCATCGTCCTGCTCCACCGGCTCGGTGTCTTGGAACTTGGTGGCCGCTGCCATCATGGTGGCGCCTTGTTCCTTCATGGTTGGAGGCGGACTTCGGACGGTGGTGGGAGTCGGTTCGGGCTCTGATTTGGCGGCAATGTCGCTCTTTGGCTCCGGCAGCTTCACCGGCTCCGGGGTCTTCTTCACAGGCTGGGCTTCGTCTGCTGCCACCTCTTTCAACCCGGCACCGTCATAGAGGCTCTCGAGCGAGATCTTTGGCGGCAGTCCCTCGGCGCCGTCGAACCAGTCTTTACTGCTCATGGCAGGCTTCAATCCAACTGTGGGTGGATAGATGTCTTCTTGGAAGGTCTCCGCTCTTCGGGGCACAATGAACGAGATGGGCTCGATGTAGCTGTCGTTCACCGTCTTGTACGCGCGCATGACTTCGTTTTCGTGCATATTCACTCCTCTCTTGGGCACGAATGCAACGCCGCGCTGAGGGTCGGAAGATTTGTACTCGGACAAATACTCGAACTTGTCGTGCTCGTACTCGTAATATCGAATGTTCCCATCTCCTTTGCCAGCAAGATACAGACATTGTGTGCCATCGTCCCAGAAAGGCATGCAGACTCCCGAGATCGAATCGAGCATCTGGAACCCGTCGACGGGCTGCTGGGGAGCTCTGATATCCCACAGCGCGAGCTGACGGTCGCTCATGCGCGAGAAGCCTGTCGTGGCAATCCGGTCGTGTTCACCCATCCATACTGCCCGACTGTTCTTCGCGCCGGCATGACCCGCCACTTCGTGAACCGGTTTCTCTTGCCGCGTGTCCCATATTCTCAGTTTCTTGTCTCGAGAGGTGGTGACCAACAGAGATCCATTTGCACTCCATGACATGGACTGTATCACCTCGCCAACTTTCAGAGAGAGCTTGGAAGCACCCGCCTCGATGTCCCACAGCTTGATTGTGAAGTCTCCGGCAGCTGATGCGAGAACATTTTCGGCCGCGGGATTGAACAATATATGTCCAACCTTTCTGAATGGATGTCAGTCCCCGGTCGTTTATCGAAGGATGGTTCTGTACTTAGGATGGCCGCTCAGTTTGCCGACCGGAGCAATGTCCTGGACTTCGTCCGCTGGAAGATCTAGGTGCAACGTAAAGTCATCAGGCACCCGCCACAGAAACACCTAGACAGGTTAATGCTGGTACGCACACACTTCGGTTTTTCGGGGGGCGTTACCTTTCCATCGTCGGAGCCTGATGCGATCAGAGAATCATTGAATGGGTTCCTATATCCCATCAGCCCCTGGCTCCATTCCTTGTCTCACTTTGTTTTATTGGAAGGGTGCGCACCAGTCCGTGTCCAACACCACTGCGGTGTGTCCTCGAAAGAGCGGTATCCGCTCCGGTAATCGGCCCCTTTCGTTGAGGGGAATGACTGCAAACGCTCCTCCGCCACTGCTGTCCCAATTGACCGAGAGGTATTCCGGATTGGCCTGGCCGGTCAGCACCAGGCGCGGGATGGGCAGCGACTTTCTTTGGGTCCGCATACCTTGATCAAATTGGTGTCCCAGGCATTCTTCGACACCCTCACATTGTCATAGCATTGTTCCTAAATCTCTTAACCTGGTGCCGCGGCATCGAGCTGGAGCAAGGGCGAACCTTTCGAGTCGGGCGGCCGAACACGTGCCGGTATTTAGAGGAGCGAACGAAGCGGTTTGCCATGCTTCTTTTCTTTGCACAGAATGGTCGAGAGGGAAGCTTGGAAGACTGGACCTGCAGTCTCCAAGCTGGATCAGTCAGACAAAACTTGTAGCCCTAATGCGGTCAAAGGTACCATTCGACTTGTTGTCCCTTTTGGAGCTGACCGAGTGCGCAGATCGGCGTTTCGGATGGTCAGACTGCATCGCCGCTTTCAGAGCTGAGTCTATCAGGCAACTGAGCCGAAGGATCTTCCCACTATTAGTACTAGCGTGTGTAGAATTAGTATCCGTACTATTTTACAACGTCCTCCTTGTGTCTAGCGACCCATCAACGCTTCCTTGCTTTTGTTAAACCCAAGATCAAAACAATAGAAATGCAATGCCCTTGAAGGCACACGCCGGAGCCCTCGCGGCATATGGATAAAGACATCCTTGCCCAGGCCTATCATCGGCGGCTCGGTGCCCCTGACTTTCCACGACAAGGCTGGGGTAGACTCGGGAGACTACAGCGACAAGATGGCATCGACTATTCACTGCCTTCTGTTACAGGCTTGCCCCGATCCTGAAACCGCCTCAATATGGACAAGAGGATTCGTTGCCTCTGAAGCTTGCATTCACTCCGTGTCCATTGACGACATCTGCATTGATGGCCGTTCACATTGGTTTCAATATCCCTGGTTATCGCGTTCGTCCGTGTGACTGTCCCCTGAGGCGGTGATGATATGATATGAAGTGCCTAGCACTGACGGCTTGACTAATGGCGTGCCTTCGATTCCTTCATCGGCTTCACTGACCCACTTCTCCTGCCAGAATCTGATATTTTACTTATTCTCTTCTTATGTATCTCGCCGGACCTGCTCACAACGGACCAGACTAGTTCTTTGGATATTGCTGCTCTCCATGTCGTACTCAGCGGAGCCTCCATCCTACAAGTCGTCCGAGATGCCAGCTGCGACGAGCAGGCCGATACACCTAATGTATGTTGTTGATCCTGAGACGAATACAGTAGCGCTTCCATTCCGACCGAACAAGCCAACAGGTTTGCAAAAGCTGTACCGCCGAGCATGCTGCGGCTCTACCGCGGGCCTCCTGCTCTGGACCTTGGGATTCTTGGTGGCGCTTGTTGTCCCAATTGTTGTTGTTTACTCTCGCGGCCAACTCTCGCCAAACTCAAATCGGACTGTGGCTACTGGCATGGAGTCCTCGACTTCGTCCAGTCCCTCACCGAGCTCTCTGCCCACGGCTTCGACATCTGTCTCCACGGCTATCTCGACTTCTATCTTGACATCTGTCTCAACGTCTATTATCACCACCACATTTACCTCGATCTCAACTGATACGACAGTAAGCATGTCCACACTGACTACCACAATGACCACGGTCTCCACATCCAGCGTTACTTACTCTCCACCATCTACTGTCCTGATTACAACAGCTGTGACTACAACTGTTACTCCCGAAACTCAGAGGAATTCCGTGTCAGTTTCTACGGTCTTAGGGCGCACCACTACCACCGTTACCCCCGTTTTAAAGGTGACTACGCAGTTTGTGGCCCCGGTCACAGGATCGCTGCACAGCTCTAATCCGGCCCCGTCGAAAGGACCAAACGCCTCCTGTCCCGGCAGCCGAACGGACGAGAAATGTCAAAAGGTCTGTCAGAACGCGCAGCGCTGCGGCGACGGTAGTGTCGGTGCGTTTGCCGACTTACAGGAGTGCTGTAGCTACTGCGACTGCAAAGCACCTTCCACATAAATCACCGTGCAAGAGGGGTGTTCCAAATATCAAGCACTTCCTCGAGACTGGATGTCTTTACGGTGAGTTGGTTCGGCCATCTCACTGAATCACCCGTTGGATGGAGGATCTAGGTATGGGGAGAAAATAGGTTGTCGATGTATGCCATCGGATATGTCAGTATGTATTACTTCTCCCGCTTCCGAAGAGGGCCGGCCGGGGGACAATTCTCACAGCGATGACCGAGAGAGGAAGGACAGTAGACGCCAACTATCATAAACCAGGCTTTGGTGCGAGACAATCTAGGATCTTCTTGCCGAACGTGCACTATCAAAATTGCTGCTAAGTGGACGGTATCTCCAAACAGTGCTGTGCAATCTAGCTGCGAGAAATGATCTATACACTTACAATAGAGGACATCGTGCGCAACCTTCTGCCTGCCCGGGTACTATAATGAGTAATAAACAGGCTGTATGTCTTGTGCGACGATTTCGCCGAACGACCTGTTTTAGGTGCTGGGCAGGGTGGAACAATCGAGAATGTCTGACGGACCTGTTCTGGTCATGACAAGAAAAAATGGTCGAGCATAGGTCATTTTAATTATTGTCTGACTAAAAAGGCTGCTTCGTCAGACTTCGCGACCTACCACACTTCCCGAGTCCTTCGTGTGCTGACTCGAGGGCTCTACAGCTCGTCGACCGCAGTCTACTCTTCTGTGCCTCTCAGCTTTTGTAGCTGCTTGTTTGGATATGTCTTCTCCCTTAGCGCGTACATAGTCAGACTTACAGTCAACACCCGATGCCTTCAAACCATGATTTCTATACCTTGACCCTCATCGACTCATGGCTGCCACCGAACCGCCCACCACAGGCTTGCTCAACCTAGAGAAAGAGCTTGTCTGCTTCATCTGCACCGAGGTTCTTTACCAGCCGCTGACCCTGCTCGATTGCTTGCATACCTTCTGCGGCTCTTGTTTGAAGGAGTGGTTTTCCCACCAGCATCGCAAAGCCCTCCACGCCCATTCTTCAGTCTCAACTCCCCCATACACCTGCCCGACATGTCGTGCCCCGGTGAAAGATGTCCAGCACAATGCGATGATCAACACTCTGCTAGATATGTTCCTCGCAGCCAATCCCGGGAAGGACAGGACGACGGAAGAGAAAGCCGAGATGGCACAGATCTACAAAGCGGGTGATGAGATTCTCCCCAAACTTGAGAGTCATCGGAGGCGAGAGCGCAGGCGGCGGGAAGAGGAGGAGGGGCTTGCGAGAGAACGACGAAGCGCCAGTCATGTGCCACAGGACAGAAGTCGGCGGGATCAACAGTTATACAATGCTTCGACTGACACGGGATTGACACCACATCCCAGGGGTGGAGATAGCAGAAGTCGTGAACGCAGGGACAGGACAGAAAGGTCAAGGGACGCTGATCGTCATGAGCGGCGGCAACACCAGCAAAATACAGAGGCAATGGTCTCCGCCCCTCGCACAGCTAGTTCCCCGAGCTCTGCAGGCCTGTCCTCGTCTCTGTCTCCTCCGACGGGTTCACCGAGACATCCAGACGCCGTCGAGGCGCGTCAAAGAGGAGCTCGAACTGTTGCTCACCAGGCCAGCTTGATCTCTCTGGTCAGCGCATCAGAGAGCGGAACGGGTACTGGAGATAGTCTCAATGAGGCCCAACTAATGCAAGAGATTTTGGCCGAGGGTCTACTCGATGGCATCAACGTGGAGGATCTGACCGAGGCAGAGCAAGATGAACTCAGCGAGCTCATTGCCGAACGATACAGGCAATTACATCCGGAGAGGATGCGAAGAGCAGGGGCGGAGGAGGCTAGAGCAGAGACTGTGCCGAACGAAACACGACAGCCCGAAGTACAAATCGAAGAGGCAGATCGTCATCCCCGTCAATCCTCGCGGAGTACCCAGCGACAGCAGGCACACCCCAGTCCCAGATCCAGCCGTAGCGTTACCATAGGAGGCACGGACGGACGACCACCCTCAGCCTTTCCACAGCCAGCGGCCGAGCAGACGCTCACACTACCTCAAGGTGCAACGCATCGACGCCGAGCTTCCAACGAGAGCGGGAGAAGAGAGACGTCAGCCACGAGAACAAGAATAACCTCGCCATCCAGCGGTTCGCGCAATGCGCCAGCTGCCAGGTCTGCCACTGATCTTTCGGATAGACCTCAATCTATAGCCTTTGCCTCGGAGCGCCGACCGCAAGTCTCCCACACTACCCGGTCAAATACTGAGCCTAGGGCATCACCTCGAGCTTCAGAAGTGTGGCAATCTGCAGGACGCCAAGTTTCAAGTCCTCCACAGCTAGATTCTCCCACCGTACTAGCCCCAAGGACAGATGAAGATCCGCCGGTTATGTCCAGCGTCAACACCGCGCCCGTCCCTACGTCCATTCCAATGATAGATCCCGCAGCATGCGCTCCTGAGCCTCTTGCGTCGGTTCCGACCACTGTCTCGACAAGATTCCAAGAACCATCAATCAAGTGTGCTCGCTGCGCCCGCCCTAACATTCAATATGAGGTACATAAACACTGTTCTTCTTGCAAGCTTGACCTCTGCTTGAGATGTTACAGGGCCGGGCGGGGATGCAATCACTGGTATGGGTTTGGCCACGCAGCTATGTTCAAGTTTGAGGCGTCACAACCGTTGAACAGGAACAGCCAACCCATCGAATTGCCTCATCTATTAATTGGACGACGATACCAACGGCCGCCCGCAAGCACGAGCGAGGATGAGCAGCGAAATGTCGTGACTTCTTCGTCTGATGCGGTCTCGCGGTTGCAGGAGGGCAGCTTTTGCGACCGGTGCGGCAGCTTCGCCAACGATTACTTCTGGTCCTGCGACTATTGTAACGATGGCGAGTGGGGATTCTGTAACGACTGCGTGAACACGAATCACTGTTGTAAACATCCTCTCCTCCCCGTTGCACGCAAGCCCATCGATCCCCGACCAACTGCTTCGCGGCCCGGAACAGCAGGGACAGAGACCGGTACTCATTCATTAAGTCCATTTAATACTGCCGGTCGCGTCCCATCTCCAGCCCAGAGCGCACCATCAAGTACAACGTCCGCCAATGGGGCTTTCCCCAAGCTTCGAGCCGACTTTGCTCCATTGGTGATAACGATAAATTGTGATATCTGTGCACGCCCTGTTTCCCCGGAAGAAATATGGTACCACTGTCCAGGCCACCCGACACCATCAGCCGAGAAGCCAGATCAAAAGGGCGACTTCGATATTTGCAGTACCTGTTACCACAGCTTTGTCAAAACCGGTCAGATCAAGCGCGACGATGGCCCGGATGGATGGCGTCTCTGTCCCAGCGGACATCGTATGATTTCAGTCACCTTTGAACAAGAAAGGGACGAAGGTCAGCGACGCGTCATCCTTCGCGACCTGGTTGGCGGTGCGAAAATGACTGAAGCAGACATGGTGGCGTGGAAGATCACAAATACTCAATTGAGCTCAAACAGCATCCAACGTGCTGCTGACCCGACTGCTACCGCTGCAACTACTGGTCGCGGAGGCCAGTGGGTCTGGCGCGAAGATTCCTCTGGGACACGACGAGCAACTCGAGCACGAGCGCCCACACTCCCATCCTCGGCTCCAAGTTCGACAAGATTAGAGTTCCCTCCAGATGGTGGAGTGGGCAAAGTCTGCCGGTCCCGATGGAGTTACTATCCAGAGGAAGGTAAAGATGGAGAAGGCGAATTGATGTTCCCCAAGCACGCGGAGATTCACGAGGTCGAGGACATCAATGAAGACTGGTCGTTTGGTGTCTACGCCGGCGACATGGGTGTGTTTCCGGCAGTTTATGTGAGGTAAATTGCCCAGGGAAAGACAAGAGAGAAGTGCAACAGTCATGAATGAAGTTTGGACTTGATGTGTCACATTTGAACAATAAATACGGCCTCAGTTACGAATGAACGAATTAAATGACCCGACTCTGGTTGGTAATGGTGACAATCCTCGAATATGAAATGAGATATAGCTTGAACGATAATAGAACGAGGACTGGTCACTTTACTCTTTCCACACACTCTATCTAGAGCCTGTCTGTTCTTTTGAGACTTGACTTCTCGTGACTGTGTCAAACTTAGGCGTATTCTCAGCCTTGTGCTTTAACCAGAAGGCTAGTTTAGGCATACTATACTACATAGCCTGCGATCTCCCTGCTACCCTTTGATAGAGAACATGGAACACTTCAACCTTTGCCAGACTGCTGGGTCCCAACCTCCAGTGTCAGTATCAGTGTCAGTATCAGTGTCAGTATCAGCTCTGAACCGTACAGACTATTGCCGGTGCCAGGTCATCGACTACGCCTCGGCGCCTGTCCGGCATCTTATACGTTCACGTTCACGTTGACATTCAAGCGGTGATCTGGATCTAACCTACAAGCTACAACTTGAATTTGAACGTCAACGCCCGAGCTAGAGATGGGCCGACTTTGGCGACTTATATGGGTGTTAGTGACGTAGAGTATAGTATAGGGACGAGAGGACGAAGGGAGCCACGGTGAGGGCGACGGCGATGGCGATGACGACGGCGAGAGTGATTTCGTTCTGCCCAAGGTACGTGGACGAAGTGTGGTATAGTGCTCCTTACGTTAGTCTCTATACGGCTCTCTATACTGTTCTCGGCGAGGCTCTCTATGCCCTCTATGCTGTTCATGTGCTGGTCTCTGTACTGGTCTCTATGTACTTTTTACGTGGTCTGTAGTGTTTCTCTCTACTGCTCTTGTCGAGGCTTTCTGCGGAATTTGATGAGGCTATCTCTGTCACGGTTGTGCACAGTATAACTAATGAGCTACCGGTACAGTAGTGCGTCAACAACAAGAATCTGGCAATACGCGAATCTCACGAGTATTGTCACGGCAGTCACACGGTAGAATAAGTCGCTAATATCACAACGGAAGCTGCTTACTCACGAGTCACATGGTATCAGAGAGGCCTCATACTCGTTGCACGCCACAGCAACTCTTTTTGATACTCTCTCTGTCTTGTATTCATATCATTTTGAGTATACACGCTCACTCGTTGCCTGTGCACTTTGTGATGATCTCTATACTGTTCTTTGCTGTATAATACCTTAATCTATCCATCTTAAGTTAGTAGTACTAGAGAGCATAGAGAGCCTCGCCGAGAACAGTATAGAGAGCCGTATAGAGACTAACGTAAGGAGCACTATACCACACTTCGTCCACGTACCTTGGGCAAGACGAAATCACTCTCGCCGTCGCCCCAATACTCCGGGTAAGCAGTGTAGGAAGAGTGCTGGAACAGATACTGAAATCAGATAATCAACAAGCACATAAGGAATCCTCATAGTTCAGTGGGAATGGTGTGCAACCACAGTAATATTGCTTCACATTCTCCTTCGGTCATTGCTCAACATGATCACTCGTAGACTTGTCATTCTAGGGAGGCTTGTAGCCTCACTAGTTAATCAATGATATCCCAGCGTCCTCCTTGTCCGAGAAAGAGCACGACAGAAACCCACGTGTGGTCTCTGCCTGTGCCCCTCCGCCTCTGCCGCCCAAGCCAGGACTCTCTGAATCCTTCGGCTTGATCAGCCCCTCCTACTTATGCAGCCGCCTCGTTTTTCTCAACCGCTTCTGTCTGGTGGGCGACTTCGGTGACAGGACTGTCTCGCCTCTCGTGGTGTTGGACTGCGAAGCTCAATCGCTTCTCCGGATCAACATCACCTTGCTCCTCTCTCACCACGTGCTGGTAGTCGACATGGGTATTCCATGGCTTGACATCACTGAGGAAGATTTCCTCTACTTCCTCTAGAGTCTTGCCGGCGGTCTCCGGGAAGCAAAGGAAGACGTGGATCGTCATGGCGGTACAGAAGACACCAAACACAATGTACACTTTCCACTTGATGTTGACGAACGCCGGGGGCACAAAGTAGGAGAGCGCGAAGTTGAAGATCCAGTTGGACGCTGTCGTGAGAGCGACTGCCTTACCGCGAACGCGCAGGGGGTATAGTTCTGGTGGGTAAATCCAAGACACTGGACCCCAAGTAGGGGCGAAAGACGCCACAAATAGATAGGTGCACGCGATGACTGCCTTTGCCGGAGCACCGTGAATCTGCCAGGATTCCTCCTCAACATGGTCAATGCCACCCTTGGGTGCTGGAGATCCGTACGTGGCCAACATCCCACCGTTGGCATACATCCAGATTGCCATGAAGGTTGAGCCGATCATCAGTGGCCATCGGCGTCCCCAGCGGTCGATAAACATGAGTGCGAATATGGTCATGAATACGTTGATCACGTATTGGATGGACGAGGCCACCAGATTGGAATTTCCTTTAAGACCGGCCATACCTGTAGGAGAGAGATCAGCGAGAGAAACAGACAAGAGGTTCTTCGAGAGCTGTCATGCTGCCAAAAGCTGCTACCACCAGCAGACACGTGACTTGCACGTGATCTGGCTTGGCAGGCACGTGCAATGCGGGTATGCAGCCGAGGCTCCGCCCTTAGCGCATATCCTCAGCCTCGCAGCCTCGCCGCCTCCCAAATCTTGATATACAATGTATTCTTCACAACAGCATCGCTCCATCGATGGGAAACATGACTTACCGAACAAATAAGTGATATAGTACATACTCACATTCATCTGCTTACGTAAGCAGCTGGTATTGGACAGGAAGGAGGGAAATCGAATAGCTTACCCCTGTGAGTTGAGACCAGATCTGAGTGAAGACGCCCACGTGGGTTCGATAGATCATCTTGGGCTTGAACAGTTCGAGGAAAGTAACATCAGCGTTTCTACGCTCGAATTCGCACATGTCCTTAATTTCCTGGAGTTCGCGAAGGACAAATTGGTTGTTACGGTCACCTTTCGCATGGACAAGGGCCAGGACATCGTGACACTGCTCCCAGCGGTCCTTACGCGCAAGCCATCTAGAACATTGTCAGAGATTAGGATCGCTCCCGTTCCAACAGCATTGCAACTCACCTAGGTGATTCCGGGAGGAAGAATAGTCCGAAGAATAAGATGATGGCAGGAATCATCTGCAAACCCCAAGGTACGCGAAAGGCCGCAGTACCGTCGATAAAGCTGCAACCGTAGCTGATGTAGAACATGATGAGAATACCCCAGGTGATGGCCCATTGCTGGGCACCGACCACGCGGCCTCGTTTGCTAGGTGGTGCTAGTTCGGATACATAGACAGGAACTAGACTGGCTGTCAGCAATGACCTCTCGTCCGCCAGCGGACGAGAGCAACATACCTTGCGCAGAGCAGATACCAACGCTGAAGCCGTTGATGAATCTGCCCACAACAAGCATTCCAATATTCTGGGAAGCGCATATCAGGATGGACCCGATGCACCAAATCACAGAGCCGATTTGGATCGCCCGTTTGCGCCCGAAGATATCAGTCAACTGCAAGCGCGGTCAGGTCGCTGAGAGTCGAGTCGGGGGGGAGAGCAGGGACATACGAAGCCAGAAGATAGAGCACCAACAAAACTTCCGCCAGGCATTGAAGCTGTGATTCCGCCCTGGGTATTAGAATGGGGTCCAGAGCATTGGGGTGGCCCACTGGGCCCTTCGTTGAAGTAGCTGGAGCCATAGAGTCAGTGGCTGTGAGCTGAGATACAGAGTGCTAGATAGAGGTACCATTTGTATTGTTGTGTGCCGAGGCTATATGACAGTCAGATATTGGACAGAACGTTGACGGGGACCTCCTTACATAGCGGACATCGAACTGATATCGAAGCCAAAGAGCCCCCCGCCGATGACAGCGATGGCTGTGATAAAGTAGATATTGCCGATTTGATACATGTTGGCGACTGGTGCGGTTCTGACGTCTCCAAAGGCCCAAGGGTAGGGTGGTGGTGGAGGATGGAAGAAGGGCGGAAATGATCAGGGGGGGGAATGGAAGATCTTGTATTCTGGCAAGGCAACGCCAAATGGACCAGGGACAGTCGTGGATTGACGGCACGGCGATGCCGATGGAGTGGAGAGCGTTACATGAGAAGCTGGATGCTGTGCTACGTGGAGTTGGTAAAGGGCGTCGCTCGCAAATGTGCAGTGTAGAATGGGGCCCTAGTTTGTGGAGAAGCAGGAGAGACGGGGAAAGTTACATGGTCGAATCGCGGGGGCCCCTGAGCCCAGGGAGCCTTGTTAGCCTAGCCTAGGTAAGCCTAAGGCCCAAGGCCTAAGGGTGGGTGTCAAAATCCTGTAGCTGGGGGGTTACAGCACACAGCGGCCGCCCAGTAGCTAGATTATAACCATCTCTAGACCTAGGATTTGTATAGTAAAAATCGGATATTGACTCCCAGGAGGCCGTAGAATGTAGCTTGTATAGTAGAAAGATATTTATCCCGTAGAGCTGAAGATGGCTCTTCAACGATTGAGGGGGCAGTCTGAAGAGACTGCCGAGCACCACGATTCGCACCTACCTCATGGTACTCGCTACGATGTTTCCCTTCTCCTACCCAGGACAGAGCATCCTCATCCATACTATACTCCTGATGGGGTGTGAATGGCTGCATGCCGACCAATCTCCCTCTGCCGCTCGTCGTCCTTTCCCATCTGGGGCTTTGACTTGGATGCGTGTGCAGGCTAAGACTTGCTAGGGTGCGCCACCACTCCCCAGCTTCAGGCTTAACCAGCGCCACTGACAGCATCCCGGCCAGGATCGTCGTCCTCTGCCAATGTCAGGCACGGCCATTGAGACGCCCCAACCTGAGGCCTGAATGTAACGAAACCGCTGATCACCTCTTTCAACGATCCTGTGATACTACCATCTATATCCACCTTGTGCACTTCGTCCAACCGCCATCAGCAAAGCTTGGGGCTGTCCAGCCAGATGTCGTACTCTGGAGTAGCAAGCAGTTCGATGCAACCTCGTCTGTGACAGACTTGCAATCACAAGGACAATTCGAAAACCACATGCGACATGCTCGACCCGTCCTCCTCCCACGTCTGCACTCGGTCGATCCTCGAGCGAGAGTCTTACAGAGTACAGATCAGTGGTGCTGCGGTGCAAGAGCTTGAACGAAGACAATACGGAGCGCACACCGTAACACTGATCATTTTTCCGGCTTAACAAGAATCAGCCTGTGGCTGGACAGCGCAGGGAACGGAACGCAGCTTACATCCGGTGTCGAAAACCATCCTCGGTTCGAGATCAAGACGATCGTCTACACGTGTTGGCATTTCCAGTGCTGCTGATCCCCGAGCACCTCTCGATCTATTACTGCATCCAATATCCATCCTGTTTCCACACCACTTACCAAAAGAAGTGTTCCTCCGGCGGTGGAGACTCAATAAGAACTCCCAGACTTAATGATAGGGGGAACTAGGACTGACCGGCACCAGGCTGCCGAGTTCCCAATTGCCTATTATTATTGTTCGAACGTCGTATTGGGAGCCTGCCCCATCCGTCGCACATTTAATTACCTGAAATGCGTTCCAGACAGAAATAGCATGCTCCTCTGGGAGAAGTGTGTTATTGGATCCTATGCGACGGGCGCACACACTTTCTTACTCTATTTTGCCCGACTCTAGCGTTACCAGAGCCGCCCATATCGTTCTCTTTGCAGTGGGAGAGCACAACGCGGCATATCTTTTCGGTTTGAAGCCAGACGAGGGGTACGCTGCGCTATGGTTCCAGGAGAATGGGTTAATGATGTGGACATACCTGGAAGGCTGGCTTGATGATGGACGGAAGGCAATCGTCCCGGATCCGACCAACACCGACGAGTTTATCAGTCTGATTCTCAGTCAAGAACTCCTTAAAGATCCTACCACACAACACATTATAAACGGCCCATGGAGCCTCCTTCATAGGAGACGTTTGCTGTTTCTGTACACACAGTACGGAGCAACTGCGGAGTACGGAGTACGGAGTACTCTTCCATACGTCGTTTGAATGGAGCTGCCACTTGAGCGCGCTCAACGAGCGGGTCCGAAGCGAGGCCATCTTGTTTACAAGCCGGACTTGCAACCTAGCACGGGCTTCACATGGTTCTAGCATCTTCAACTAATGAGGTGGGCTCCTGTGCCAATGCGACTCTTCTCTGCGGAAAAGGTTTGCGCACAATGGCAAAGATAGAGAAATCTCGTAGTCGCCGAGGGCCTCGAACACCTGTTGATTCATAACTCGTTGATTAGCCAGCTGTTGGCCATGCTATTTATACGTGGAGTGAACTTCCAATATGCAACCCGATGGACGAGATATTTTTGGAGGACATAGATGACAGAATCTATCATATTCCCTGAAGGTACAAGCTTGCCTCGCCGTTCGGTGAGGAATTATTGAACACTTCCCGATCTTGTCAACCTTGCTCTGTCGAGTGCTGGAGGATGGAGAATGTGATGGTTTGTGCTTGCACATCGTTCCTACTCTAAACACTGTGGCTAGTCTACGGAACCATTTGACCACCATGGAATGCGGCAAGACATGATCACTTGAACTTTTTGGTCGACGTCTGTGCATATGCTAGGCTGAAGGTGTTGGAAATCTCCTTATATGCGACGTGAAGGACCCAGAAAGGTATGAAAACCCACAAGGTGTTGAAAAAGACCAGATAGAGCCAGAGATATACCGGATCCTCTCCAGCCAGCGCAGTGTTGCCACTCAACCATTCGGGTGCAAAGGTCATGAAGCCACCATAGAGTTCTCCGGTTGCGAGCATGACCGCCGCAAACCAGAGTCGAGACTGGTATCGAGCTCTGACCACTTGATCATCAGAGTTGACGACTTTGGCTATAAGATAGCATATGTACACAGCGACAGGTCCAGCCAGGCCCACAGTGAGAACTTCCAACGATATCACAGTCAGGTCAGCTCCTCCCCATCGTCGATCAGCTTTTGCATATTCCTGCCATAGCCTCGCCATGGGTGCTTGCGAATACAGGGCGCCGTAGCGACGGTCCGGCCGGTTGAATAGGTATGCTTGTGCTTCAGCGCTTCCTGCAGCATGCTTTTGCGAGGTCGAGGCGGGCAATTCGGCGTACGAGAAGAAGCAGTGGTATAGATAGCTACCCTCTATGATGAAATGCGTGAGGAAGTCATATGCGTGCCACAGGAAAAGGAGGTAGTATTTCCGAGGGGTGGCAGGTCTCAGGACTTTGGCTGCGAGGAGTTGAGCTGATGGCATGAGGGAGAAGGCGATGGCAAGGGACAGCGCGGTGCCCGTGTCCAGGGTGAAGGGCGGCGAAGTGGCCGTGGCCGTCGTTGCCGGCACAGAGGATGCCATGCTGTGCTGGCTATGGAGGGGTGAGGTAGTGGTCGAGGGTCGAGGGAGAGAAGAGGGTGCGTGTTGAACAGTGTGGTCAATGAGGCTACTGTAAGGCACCGTCAACAATATTTGCAGCAGCTATGTACAGTTAGTACAGTACAAGCACCTCTTGGCCGAGCGTGGGTTGTCTAGCCCGCACGGTAGCTTTCCCCAGCTTTCGGATGCAGTCCACTGGGTCTCGTCTCAGTGTTCTGGTGTTGAGACTGCGGCGGCCTCAACCCCCACCACTGCGACGAGGGTCTTAGTAGTCGGCCAAGGGTGTCTGTCTCCCTCTCACCACCTGCGCTCAACGCATGTCACATGTATGTCTCCCAATCACGCCAAACCGCTTCTCTGCTTTCTTCTTCTACCATTCCAACCCCGAGAGTCCTTGCACCTGGTAAATGCTCTCTTCCGCCCCCAGTCCCTGATCGACTCCTGCCCTTTCTGCACGTCATTAGCAGCCATGCACGACAAGGACAAGACTTGCGACACTCTTCAATGATCCTGCCCTCCAGCCGTGTGAATGACACACTTTTGACGACCGCACATGTCGAGTTCTCTGGAGGTGCCCTTACAATACTGGCAACCCTTCACCTTCCACCCGTTGGAGCCAGTTTCGTCGGCGCCGTTCATGAATGGACGACACTCCTCAAGTCAAGGCTGGAGCTCCAGCGTCAGCCGAGTCTCACCTGCCTTGCGATGCGTGTCGACGACGAAAAGTAAAATGTTCCAAGACGGAGCCTTGTGACAGATGTGTTTCCACCGGCTTAAAATGTACGAGGGACATTGCGCGGAAGAAAAGAGGACCGAAGAAAGGCTCAGGCTCGGTGATCGCTAAGCTGAGGGATGAGACTCCCCAAGTGCCGTCACATGGTCTCAGTTTGCCTTCGTTCGACCTGTCGCAATTGCAACAACAAATGCCACCCTTGAACAGAGCCTTGTCCGGCGACAGCCCGGTCGGTTCGCAATTGGCCTCTTCGTTGACCTCCCCTTCAAATTCTCCCTTCGGAGACACCTTTGGCCCAACATCAGATCCTCAAAGTATTCCAAGATTTGTCCCTTTGACACATAATGAAGCCGAGTCCGATCCCATCTTTCATACAGCGTTTGCCCAGGCCGGTATTCAACTTCCTGTATCATGGCAGACACAGGCCACTCAACTGCTCCAATTTCAAGCACCCCTTTCTCCCACCGGCTACGTGTCTGTCAGCGACCTAGCGCAACAGATTTTCCGGGAAACACAGCCGCCGCCGTTGCCCTTGAGCTTGTCTCCCAGAGCAAGGGCGCCGACCCCTTCAAGGACTTCAAGCCCACTAACCAAACCCGCCTCTCTAGATGCCATCTTGACCAACGGGGCGCCTTCTCCAGCGACGACCTCCACGAGCTCGCCCGCGCCGCTCCATGGACCAAAATTCCTGTACCGTAGCGATTCATCTTCGTTCCAAGGTGAATTCCGGTTACAGAGTCTAGCCACCGAATTCGGCTTGTCGGGTTACCTGATGTCGCAATGTGTCCGTCAATATTTCACGCATCTATACTCAATCCGTCCCATCATCCATGAGGGGACATTTCTGCAGCGTCTGAACCAAGCCGAGGAGCTGTCCAATGAAGACAAGATTCTTATACTCTCGCTATGCGCCACGACCGTGCTTCATGCGGCGCCCCAATCTGATTTGCCGCTGGACAAGAAGTTACAGCTTGGAAGGCAGTTTGTGGATCTGTGCTGCTACTTACGATGTTCCAGCGACTGGGCAGAGACGAGTACACTGTTATCGATACAGGCAAGCTACCATATGTGCGTTGCACTGTTTGAACTCAAAAGGCCACGTGCGCATCACTTCTACCTCCGCGAAGCGATCGGCATGGCTCTTGAACAAGGCCTGCACCTCGAATCAACCTATGCTGGAATGGACGAGATCCAGGCCATCTGCTCTCGGCGCACATTTGCCCTGTTGTTTGTTACGGAGCGTGGGCTAGCTATTCTGCGTAACAAATCGACCCAGATCACGCGCCTGCCGCGTCTCCCGACCGAGTTCTTCGATGAGCAAGATAGGATCGTTCTTACAGGATTTTCGGCATTGGTGGATCTGTTTTCTGTCTTGGATGAAAAGTTCGTGCGTGTCTGGAGCGCCATGTGCCCCGGCGACGTATCGGCACCGTACCAGCCAGTCGACAATGTCGCCACCATCCAGCACTCCTTAAACGAGATAACGTTCGACAACTCCGCCATGACAGATAACCAGAAGGCCGACGTTCTGATAACCCATCAGTGGCTGCGGCTGGTTTTCTGGCAGGCCTCCATGCGCCAGGGCCTCATCAGTTTTGTCGCGACGGACCCGATCTTCTCGTCCACATACCCCATCACCATCGCCAAGGACTTGTGCATGGCCCTGCACGACCTGACATACGAGGCCATTCTTGTCCATGGAATGGGAATCTTCGAAAAACTCTTCGAGGTCGCCTATACCTTGATGGACGCCCTGACCATCGCCAGCTGCAATTGGTCCGAGAGTCAGGAGTTGCGGTACCTGTTTGACGTGTTGAGTGCCAGTCCCAACAGCCAGAATACCTATGTGAAGATGCTTAGGACAAAGATCGAGAATGAACAGAGTTCGAAGGCGAGTTCGCCCATCCCTGCATAACATACCACTCCACCTACACCTGGGGGATTTTTCTTTGCACGATGATGTGTCTTTATAAATTGGGTATGCGCCCGGCTATTTCCATTGAAACTTGGGGGGTTGACCGGATGCAATACAAGCGTGATCGTCGACACTGGAGGGGCGAAGAATCATGAAAAACTACGAGTAATGATCTGTGAATATGGACGAGGAATAATATGATTTACGTTGGGATTGACGGTTGGCGGTTGGCGTTGATCAACAGAGAGACACTGTTGACAACCTTCCCCTTCCTTGCCTTCAGGTGTATCCCGCCAGACTGCCTCCATCGACACTCCAACTCGCCCCCGTAACTAAACTTGCTTTGTTGCTGGCCAGGAACACGGCAACATCTGCTATCTCCTCAGGCTCGCCAAACCGTTTCATGGGCGAATGCTGCACCGGGTTGGCCTCCAGCCACGCCCTCACCTCCGGGTTAGGGTTTGTCATCGGGGAGTCGACAATGCCTGGCAAGACAGCGTTGACCCGGATCCGGTCGGCAACATAGTCGAGTGCATCGCAGCGGGTGAGTGCCAAGACCCCGGCCTTTGCTCCGCAATATGCAGGACAGTTCGGCTGTGCGTACACGGCCAGCCCGGAGGAGATGTTGACGATGGCGCCGCGCTGGGCTCGAACAGGGGAAATATGGTTGTCGGGGTAAGCCTCGGAATCGAGAGCTTGTGTCCGCATGATCTTGATGGCTTCACGGGAACACAACCACAGGCCTCGATAGTTGATGGAGTTCTGCCTGTCGAAGTCGTCGACGGACAGATCAACGCTGGCCCCGGCAAAGACGATAATCCCTGCGCAGTGGACGGCGTAGTCGATGCGGGGAAAAGACGCCTTCACGCCGGCGTAGGCGGAGGCCACACTCTCAGGGGACGAGACGTCGCACTTGTAGGTGCCGATCTCGGGAGTCCCTCCTGCAGAAGAGATGGCCTTTTCGAGCAATTCTTTGGTGGTTGCCAGGCCAGCTTCATTCAGATCAAGAAGGGCAAGCTTCGTGCAGCCTCCTTGGACAAACGAGAGTGCCGTTGCACGGCCAATGCCTGTGGAATATGATCAATGCAGTGTTCAGGATGAACTGACCATGATAAAGCATTCAATGGTGAACTCTGAGAGAGAGGAGACGGTGGGCGTACCTGATGCGGCACCGGTTATCAAGGCGACTCCGGGAACGTCGAGTTTGCGGGCCATTGCGAACAGTGTCCTAATCAGCGGAGGCTCGAGTTTCACTTTGGTAGAGATCCTTGAGAGTATTGACTTGTAATTACGATGAGGAGAGATTCGCGTATCGTCTTAACAGCGTGCCAACCGAGAACGCACTTGCCACGTCACTCAGGGATTGTTTGTCATTAGCCGGCGGAGGTCTCTCGATGGGGAGTTTGGGAACCAGTAAGCGAGCTGTCACGTGTAATCCGCTCAGATATCTCGGGCCGATCAGTCGAGCTTGGTATTCCTCTCCTCTCGTTGGGTCGGCGCTGTATGCTCTGAACTTCTGTCTTTGTCACTGAAAGTTGGTTGAGTGGAGTGTGATGATTGTGTAAACAGGAAGGACCATTCCAGTCACAAGAAGCCGTCGTCATCGTCATCCCTTTTACTCGTCCACGGTTGCTTCCCTTGTCCTTGGACACCCCTTGGTTGTTGCGACCGCATTGTTTGCTTGAAATCAGTGGCAAACTGCCTGAGGCCGCTACAGCCCTTGTCGATATATATGGTCTGGGCGTCTGGTAGCCATTTCTCAATATGATCCACACGGTTGTAAGAGCTCGGGTGCGTAGACAGGAGTTGTGGTGGTGCATATCGCTCTGATGCCTTCATCCGTTCCCAAAAGGCGACAGCTTCTCGAGGGTCATAGCAGGCCTCCGCCATCAAGAGCAACCCGATGTGATCCGCTTCGGTCTCCTGTGTTCTCGAATTCGGCAGTTCGAGAAGCAAGTCGACGGCCGAGTTCGAGATTCGAGTGTCGACCTGGAAAAGCAGAGCGAAGAGGAGGGAAGCAAGGAGAGTAAGGCTAGACCTGGACAGCCTTTCTGCCATGTGGTGGGCAACGTTATGGGCGATCTCATGACCTAACACGGTGGCGAGCCCTGCTTCAGTCTTGCAGATCGGGAGGATCCCTGTGAAGACGAAGACTTTTCCTCCGGGGATGACAAAGGCGTTCTTCATCTGCGGATCGTCGATAACGTGCACTCGCCAGTCGTCGCCGGCCAGACCACCAGTTGCGGGGAGGATTCTTTCGACAACGCGCGCCACCTGCTTGGTCAACGGATGGTTCGATGAAAGGATCCTTCCATTGTACTCTTGGAGAGTCGACTGGTATGCTCCTTCGCTTAATTGCTTTTCTGTCTCTGGCGATAGTATATTGAATCGTCGACGGTGCGTAATGGGAACCTCTTCGAGGTTATAGACGTAGAACAGTGTCCCTCCTGCGCCGACAAAGACGATGGGTTTCTGGTACGATCTCCAAATATATTGAGCCCGGTACAGAGGACCAAAGCTGCCCCATTGTTCCTGATCATTGCTCCACTGACCGCCCCTTCTGTTATTGAATCGTGTGTACCGTGGACGCTGGTAGATTGATCGGCGTGGTTGGAAGGGCGGAAGTTGCTGGAATTGGCTGCCTGATCGGACTGTCGAGCGAGTTGCTCGACCGGCAAGCCTCAACCCTGGCCGGAAAGAGAACATGGTAGAGTGAGAAGCGACAGGTCGTATTGAGGATCCAGCAGGGAGAGGGACTTTCGCCTCTCAAGAGGCAGCCGAGGCGGATAGAAGCAGTCTGCGCCCTTGTTGTTGTCATACAGACCTATCCGTTCTCCATACTCCGTCCTGCGCCAAAAAAGTTCCGAGTAAACGGGCGTTGCGGCGGACGATGCATTCCGCGAGTCATGTGACCGTCTGACGCCTGCTCTTGCAACCAACGTATTATCTTGTCTACTACTACTATTTTCGCCTCGTCAGCCAGTCCAGGACCTGTCAGGAAGGCGGCTTAGGATTGTCATTCTCATAAAACACGTCATGGCCCTTGTCGCGTACTCAGACTCCGAAGGGTCCGATGACGAGCAACCACAACCACAAACGAAAGCCGAAAAGCCTGCATCGAAAACGGCCACCACGCCCTCCAACGTCAATTTCACAGTCAACAAAGCAAACCCGAGGAAGATCCAGGTGAAACTCAATGAGGTGGCTACAAATGGAGAGGGTGACGGGGAACCGGCTCCAAAAAGGCCTCGTGTTGGCGGGGGTGGTTTCAACGCGATGCTCCCTGCGCCGAAACGAGACAACGAGATAAAAACGGCGCCGACAGCAACGACGAGGAAAGTATTCAGTCTAAGGACTGGCGCTGAGCCTGCTTTCAGTCGAGAATCAGACGCGGAACTGCGGCACTTATTCGCAGAGCAAGAGACGGACGGCACTCCAGCACAAAGAAAGGAAGATGACACCATATCACCGATGCCCAAGAGAGCGAGTCCTACAGCAGATACGCCAAAAGAGCAGCCTGTCAAAGGAAATCCGTTTATGTTCAAACCTTTGTCTGTGGCGCGCAGCAACAAGAAACCAAAGCGTAAGGCCGACGCATCTAGACCTGCGAGCTCAAACGCCCCCGCCAGCTCAACCGCGCCTCTGTCTGCCTCTTCCAACTATACCACAGTTGAGCCTGTCAGGCCTGATTTACCGCCAAAGAAAGTGAGCCTGTTCTCTATCACCAACGAGCCAGAAACAGTGGTGCAAGTCGAGCCTAGACCAGACGAAGACGAGATTGTCGAAGTTCTGGACGAACCCGTTAGCGATGAGACTTACTCTACGTCCCTCGGAGCACCCACTGAAGCATCCAGTCATGCTCAGCCACAATCTCTAGATACGATCGCTTCAGACCTGAACCTTTCCAAGGCAGACAGGCGGCAGCTCTTCGGACGGCGAGGGCAGGGTACAGCTTCAGCGATCAATGTGGTGAACTTCAACACAGACCAGGAATACGCAGCGAACGAGGCCTTGCGTGCCAGTGGCGAACAGGCCCAGCATAATCCAGTCCGAACCATTGCTCCAGGAAAGCATAGTTTGAAACAGTTAGTGACAGCTGCCACGGGGCAGAAGGAGGCTCTGGAAGAAAGCTTCGCTACGGGTAGAAGGAACAGGAAAGAAGCTGGGAGCAAATACGGATGGTGATTTTGCTATGTGAGCTGCCTATCCTTGGGCTAATAACGCGCACTGCTCTGTTTTGGTCGACAGGGGCTGGCGACATGAACAGACCTGCGGCCTGCCGTCTGGAACAAACCCATAAAATAACTCTCTCAACATGAACATTGACCAAACAGCGATCGGGCCTCCCTCCCTTCCCATCCAGTTCAGCCCACGCACGAACCAAACTGCTTTGATCGCACAGGAACCCATCGGGGTTTTACCTCAGACACTAATCCGAGTCGAAATTCGACCATTCGTCCCAGTTCACGTCCTCAAGCTGAGGATTGTGCTCTTCTTCTGCGAGCTGACCAGGATTTCCTTGCGCGAAAGTTGCGTCTTGGTGTCCTGCTTCTTGACTGGCCACTCTGGCAGGCGGTGCTATTGGCTGTCGTGGAGGGGGAGGGACAATCCTACCCAGCAAATGGGGGCCACTGCAATCTCCATGTGGAGGATGTACATTGTACAAACCGTCCTCGTTGTATATGTTGTGGGGTCCCAAGTTGAGATTAGGGAAAAGAGTTACGCCCAGGTCATTCCGCGTTCGCGTTTCGTTTTCGAAGATGTTTTGGCTCGGTTGACCGCCTTCTCCGGTCGGTCCAGCCCACTTCCGGGTATTCTCTCGCTCCAACAGCCTAGGATCAATGGTTGTCAGGTCAGCGGCACCGAAGACGTTCTCACTTTGGAAGGTCGGCAGGGTAGGATCGATACGGTAGTCGCGGAGTGCTCTCGTGTCTGCGTTCGGCGGGCGGTGTATCAAGATTGGGATGTTGCTCGGGGCTGAAAACTCGGCATGTCTCCATTGTCTACTGAGAACGCTGGCTGGAGTGGGCGCGGCGAGACGAGTAGGAGAGCGCGGTTGGTTTTGGCGACGAGGCTCTGGTCCCTGCCCCGCCGCTTGCAGCGTGGGGTTCCATCGAGGAAACGAAGGAGCATGGACATTGTGCCCTTGCTGTCGAGCATCAGCCCCTTGATTTCCTGGCGCCTGCATTGTCGAGAGTTGCCAGTGTTGTTGGTCGATGAAAGCTGGAGAAGTCTGCAGGGGTACTGCATGTGGCTCAGTTTGTGTCTGCAGAGGAAGTGAATGTTCAGCCCTCCCCTGGGCCTGGGTCGGGTTAGAGGCGCGCTTCCTCCTCCTCACATGTCGAGCAAGGTCTCGCTCAATGTCGCGCTCAATCTGTGATATTTCCATGGTTGGACTGATCACAGTATGCGATTCTGTTGTCAGCTGTACTGCAACGCAATGTAACGCGGCTGTGCGGATGCGGCAGAAAAACAAAACTCCATGTGATAAACACATCTGGCCCTGTGTCTTCACTGCCCAAGGCAGTGCGCGTTGGCTTCACATACTTCACAGCCTTGCGGAACTGAGGCCGCGTGCAAGCATCAAGCCACGCCGAAACAAAGTCAATAGACAACTATTCACAGCGGGCTCCCCTGGATCAAGTTATGACGATGGAAAGCCATCGTTGCTACCTGTCGTGGGATGAGGTGAGTCGAAGTGCATGTCTACTACAATCCAGGCGTCTGCCCCGAGATCAAATATAGACAGGGATCTTCACTCTGTTGGAGGACTTGCTCTTCCCATTTGATCTCTTGGCTTGGTTCGGGTGTTCAGGTCCTACTAGATCTCACAGCCAGCCTTGAGGGAAACTGGGTGGGTGAGCACCTCCCACTGGTGACTATGCCAGAGCAGAGCGGAACGAAACAAAGAAGGCTCGTTGAGAAAAGGGGGTATAGAACAACCGCATGGTACGAAGAAAGGCGCTTTGTCCGCACTAGTCTTTGTTGGAATGAAAGAAGATCATTCAAAGGGCCCAACATATATAAAAGCAATGAACGATATTAAAGCAATGAACGATATTAAAGCAATGAACGATATAGCAGCTATGTACATGATATGATATGATATGATACGATTCGATGTGATCACCATGATCCTTTTCAATTGTGACACAGACAGGGGTCGGTGTTGAATTGTTAAGACCCCTATCCGCCCAGCCTTAGCCCTTAGCCTTAGCCGTCTTCTTGACCGTGCAACTCCAATACGCAGGTATCGTGCGAGTGAGTCGTACGCAATGGAAGAAGGGCAGAAAGACAGATAGATATAGCCAAATGAACGGATAGATAGACCAGACTGAACTAGACCTAACCTAACAAGGCCAGACCCGACCAAACCAAACGGTTACATCGCTCGCTTATATGACATGGACATGAAAGAAAGCCTTGCAAACAGCACGACCAGCCAGCCCGGTACAGTACACAGATGAAGAATATTTGCAGATGACCACCACACCACCTTGAGAAACTCACGCAGATAACCAGCCACTACATAGACATAGACATAAGGACTGCAGACATGCCACGTTCCCATTCCCTTTCTCATTAAAACCAAAGGGAGGGGAGGGGAGCGTAAAGCGTAAACCAGCCAGACCTAAAGGGGATGAAGGACTGTTTTGGCCTCAAGTCGTCCTGGAGAATGAATAAATCATAGGTCGCCTGCGAGATATGATGACGATGGTGGCGGTTGGCGCAAACCGGGATAGAAGGTTTGTTTGTCGTGGCTGATAAGATGGTGGTGTGACATAGACCCATCTAGTCTCTCATGTGTATGTGTAGTCGAGTCTGAGTGTTGACCAAGGTCCAAGAATGCTTAGTGGATATCACGAGTCAAAAATATGTTCAGTATTGTAAGGCCAAGTACCAGCTGGCTCGGCTACGACCTTGATCGCACGTGGGGTATGACTGATGTGGGGACTTCCATATATTGGTATATGGCCTGGGCCTTCGTAGCTCATCGTCATTGTCATGTTAGGTTCGTGCAATCAGGGATATCGTAGACTCGTTCTCAAACACAGAGATGGCGAGGTATTTTGTTTGTAATTGGTGACGATGCTGGGGGATGGTGAAGAATCTGGTCTTGTATTCAAAGGAATGTAAAACCCTCTTGTGGGGTTGTCCTGGCTCCGGGGGTAGGGGGTGTAAACAGCGTCCTAGAGTGTATGTATGGCGTCGTCGGGAAGGACAAGGAATTACCATGTTGTCAGAAAAAGAAATCCCGCAGTGATGGAAAGCAAGGCCATATCCAGTGGAAAAGGGGTTACGGCGACGGTGACCATGACTGTTCTCCTACGGGCCAGCCGCAGCAGTACCAGTGAATCGTCATCATTGCTCGATGCTTGCGCAGTTGAAAAAGTCTTGAATGGTATAAGCGCTGGCGTGGGGTTTTGGAAGCATGGAAGACAAAACAGAAACCCTGGTTGACATTTCTCTAGAGTTGGGAAGGGCTTGACATTGCTTTTCTTCCCTCTTGCATATGGCTGAGGACACTTAGATGAAGTTCTTGGTTGTCACCATTGGCCCGGTCTTCGTCCTCGTGTCCTCTGGCCGGCTCCAGGCTGAGGCTGGGGCCCAGCCGCCCAGAGAAGGCTTGGTCAGCTCATGGCCTTCTTCGCCCGCGGTGGTCGGTCTGGGGGTAAGTGGACCTTTGGCGGCGGAACGAGCACCGGAGTTGTTGGAGAGGGTCTTGTCCAGCAAGAATTTCCTAAACAGGGGTTTCAAACACGGGATGCATGCGCAGATAATCCCGGTGCCCACCTCGACCACGGACCATTTCATGGTCGACACCGAGCCCATGGTCACATCGAGACTGTCCACGTTCTTGAGCACGCTGATCCGTAGAGCCGATGCCACGGTTGCAAACAGGCCGATTGCGAACAGGAGGGACACAATATACTTTTGCCGTGGTGGAAGCTTCAGTCTCCAGAATACCGGCAGTGGCAGTGTGCACAGCAGAAAATCCGTGAAGATGGAGAAGGCGGTGGTGAAATAGTAGAACTTCACGATAGGGAGGCAGTCCCTTGGAAGGGTGAAATCCCAGGCCCCTTGGACTGGGTGGCATTGGAAAATGGTGACCAGGATGCTGCAAATCCAAACGCAGATAATGCCGACGCTGAGGGCGTACATGGTCCGGCGGAAGAGGGTGGTGGGAAAGACTCGGAGATAGGAGACGACAATGGATGTCTTGACCAGCATAAGAGCCGTCACATACATGACTTGACATATCCACAGTGTCTGATGCTGTCAGCCGGGATTCGAGCAATTGACGGCTTCCGACGTACCTGAATCACTTTCTTGGTCCGCTTGATAAACTGAATGTCCTGTGGAAGGTCCCATATATGCCTCCCAAGGCCATAGCGTATCCCTGGGTTCTGTTAGATATCCAATGGCATATGGAACGCCACTGGTCCATGGATCTTTGCCACATACCAACAATGGCCATGGCGGAGAAGGCGGTTGCAAATAGTCCCGCGGCCACCATGAGAAAATCGTCTGCGGAAACATGCTTCACGACAAAGATCCGCACTATCAAGCGAAGTGCAATGATGGCGGATGTGACGGCGATGAATGCAATGTTCAGCCGATACAGTTCGCCCACGGAAGAGTCGTGAGGCAGGAAAGCCACCTCGCTCGGGCTGGGCAGACTCAACATAGTTGCCGAGTGGATTCTGCTCGAAGGAGTTGGTGTTTCAGAACCAATTGCAAAGCAATGAAGAACCTGTTGTTGCTTCGTTGTTGCTGGGAGCGGTTAAGGCGACAGGTGATTGCTGAAGGCAAGAACAAAAGACACTATTGATACAGAGACAAGCACAAGCATTTCACATCGAACCTGATCTGAATCGTCGAGAGGAGAGACCGGCGCTATAAGACCGACAGTCTTCTGCAAGTCCAGCGTCTTCATGGCGCCGCAGGCTGCATGAGTAGTCCGAGCCATACCTTGTTTCCCCGGCTGTTGGGAAGAGAGCCCTTACTCTTTGCAGAGTCTTCAGCGTCTTCAGCCAATGTTGTACCTGGTCAGGATTCAGCTTTGCTCGAAGCCCGCCCTCTTGGAGGGGTCAGTGTGAGTCGAGGGCTGTGATCGAGACCATGTATGATGTGAAGGCGGCAGCGAGATTGACCAAGGGCACGCGAGAAGCGCACCATCTTCCTCTTAGCGTGTGGTGCATCTTCTCTAACAGGCTACTCGGCGTGGCCCCTGAAACGGTCTCGTTGTGAAAATGTCGTGTCTGCGCCGCTCATTGGTCCTCGCAGATCATTAGTTTGGCGAATGCGGCGGAATATCAGAACTCGTGCTAAGTCAACGGTGCTGATCGCGGCAGTGCCCATGAGGGCTTTTCTGTCCGCTTGAACCCTCCCGGCGCCATAGCGGTAGGGTCGAGGCAGGTTTGGGCATAGCGTGGGATGCTGCTTGATGTTGTGAATTCGTGCATCTCGGGTCCTGGTGGCTGCTACAGTATATTCCCCGCTGGTTCATGCACATTGGCTCCAGGGCGGGATGTCAACCAATACGGAGCTGGGACTCTGCAAGAAGAGTCTCTTGTCAGATTCAGAGTGGTGCCCAGATGACTTGAAGTGGGATTGAGATTGATCGGTACACATAGAGGCCAAACATGAGCAGTACAGACAGAGACAAGGAAGAAACAAGACAACCAGAACGGTGCAGACAGTGAGATATCACCTGACCCGGAAAACCTTCCTCTAACTGTCCACTCCGCGACTAACTCGTTACTAGTGGCACTAAGTGCTATGTGGTGTGTGCACTAACATCGCAATCTGTAAAGAGCGAATCTGCCATGCCGCGCAGTGTTCAAGAGTTACAAACTTAACTTACACTTACGACACTGACACGACTGTGCACCAGCATCGGCATCGGGTGTCACTCCAATCTTATGAAAACGCACTGCCGACGCTTTATATTTGGAACCTCTTTTCCTTCTTCGCACGCAGCTTAGATCCAATATCTCCTTCACACCACCTGTCACTGTTGCGCCGCCGGTTGGCCCATACTAATTCATCTGCACCCTTCTCCTTGTGCGATCTGTACAAGATGGACTCCTCCAAAGACCTCCCGTTTCCTCCTGCAGGCGATGTCCCTCTACATCGCAACGCGCCACTCGCCCCTACGCAAGAGCTAGCCTACCGCAAAAAGTGCATCGACCTCCGAAAGCGGCTCGCCGAGATCGAAGCAAACAATGACGCGACACGCAAGCGAATCCTCCAGGAGAATGAACATGTCCAGAAGATGCGCCTCCTTCGCGCCATCCTCCTCAACCAGCTCAAAGAAATTATGAGCACTCCGGCACAGCACCTGACCGCCGAACAGCTTGTCAAGGTCAACGCGCTGGCGGCTGGAATGGGCAATACTTTGGCAGAACAAGTCGGCCCTGCCATCTCCCAGGAACTACAACAACCTCAGCCCGATGGGGAAGGACTGTTGGACGACAGCTCGGAAGAGACTGTGGAAGATGAACCCGAGGTTAGAAGGCCCCTTGCTCCCTAAGCGCATGCGCTTACTCGACGCAGCCCGCAGAGCGACCGGAAAGACGCAGAAGGGTCAACAACACTTACCGCGAGACCATCATGAACACAAACACCCCTGGAGACTCGGTCTCAACTCTGTATCAACAATCCGCCCTGCCAAGTCTTGCCCCCGCAAGTTCCTTTTCTCCAGCTCCTCCCCCCAACGACCCGGCCGCGATGACTTCCTCCTTCCGCCTCTCATCTTCTACTCCCCAAGCAGTTGGAACCCCAGGGACTCAGCCTCAGTTGGTGCCTGACCCACTTTACGGACAATCCTCGCCCATGGCAGTGAGCCAACACTTGGGCATGCCCTACCATGGATCGACCCAACCCCGGCCACCAAGTTTGTCTGCCAACAACGTGGACGCCAATGGCATTGGGCGTTCTACAGCGGCGCCGACGCGCCCCGAGCGACCAGAAATCCCTTTTCATCAGTTTACCGCCCACATGAGGCCGCAACTCGAGGCCGATAATTACCCCCAAGAGCAAATCCCGGCACGAATCAAGGCGGAATGGGAAAACTTGAGCACTGAAAATAGGAAGCTGTGGGATGACAGATACGAGGACGAGATGAGAGAGTATCAGGCTGCAATGGATGCCTACAAGAGAGCGTCGCGACGTGAAGCCTCAGCTGGCGGGTTTTCTGCCATCAACTCTTAGGGCGGGTTCATCTCCCAGAATCCTTGGACCAGCATTTTGCGCCCACCAAATCAAGCTGCCAATTTCCGTGTACAAAACAGGAATTTATCAGTCCCCAGGTTCTACCGGCAATCCCCGAATCGGCGGACCGCACCATGAAAAGCGCCGCCAGTCTCTGCAAAGCAGGCAGGCATGTGACCTGTTGAAGCTGGGAGGACGTGACTGTTCTACATGTTCAGTGCCCAATTCCAACCGTGCAGGGAATGTGGTTGTCTTCGCACAAGGCATGTTCGGGCCCAGGGACCATAAGGAACGGCTCTCGCACTTCCGCGATGGACTGATTAAGCAGACTACGATGGGCACTCCAGCTTCCCCGATCCTCTTTTCCCTTCACGGCAGGGAGATTGGGCATGGTACGACATAGCAGGGCATAGGAGGGCATAGGAGGGCAGAGCACGGGCACGGGCACGGCACAGGGCAACCAACAATGCAGCTATCTCTGCACACCATCGACCGAGAAGATGCCAGAGTTGGGATGGGGTCCTACGCAGGCGCGAGAGACACAGGGATTATTATTACAAAACGGAGACGGATACTGCCAGCGACCTGGCTCACTCTGGTCTTCCGCATTGCTTGCTCAGACCAGCCGACAAGGTCAAGGTCAATGCATCACGATAAAGGAACAATCTTAGCTCTAAGTTACCACAAAAAGTTAGTTAGTAGTACGCAGATAGAATCGAAACAAGCCGTACAGACCAGCTTACTGATTATGACTATGATATGACTACAACTACAACTACAACTACAACTACCACTATCACTACCACTACCACTACAACTACGACTACAAACGGGTGCTCGTTGCCTTCTCCGTCTCCTCTCAACCCAACCCTGCCTTTGACCCGTACAGTAGTGGAGCAGTAGTAGTGGCAGTAGTAGAAGTATTGCATTTTCTCATCATGGATTTCAATTTATGTACGGAGTAGTTACATCTTATTCACCCTCGCTCCTCTTCCTCTTCCCTCTTCCTCTTCCCTCTTCCTCTTCCCTCTTCTTCTCGTCCTCCTCCACCCCCAGCCCCGCTGTCTATAGTCTAGTCTACAGTTATGGAGGAGTGGGAAGAAAGAAGATAAGAAAAGAATAGGAAGAAGAAGTGAGAAGCAGAGACCATATGGATTGGCCAGCCCTGGCCCTGATTGACCCCGATCACCTGATTGATCCACGAGACAAGTCAATCACAGTCGTGGTACATACGTCGGTCGTAGTCGTATCCGTTGACTGCTTTTAGAACCGGGAACCCCCTGATCGACGCTCATGTACACAGAAAACAGAAGAGACAGACATCTTAGGATGGCCGTTGGACGGTGAATGTGGGATCCAAAGACCTTCCTTGATACCCCCTCCGAGTCGTCCTTTCGTCCTTTCGGCCCTCGTGCTTATCCCCTCCCTGGTCTATCCCGCCTGACCTGTGGACTTGGGTGTCGTACAGACCGCCACCAAGACAGCTCGTAGAGTTGACCGACTTAGATGGTTAACTGAACCATGCTAGACGTGGTCGCATAGCCCGCGTCAGTTCCCCCTGATTTTCAATCGTTATGTCTTCTCATTGCTCCATCCCCTCTTTCTTCGTGACATCAGTCCTCGTGTTCACAACGTCTTGCTGTTCAGTCATCGTCCCAGTTGGGATTCGGCCCCGGCGGCTTCGGCCCACCAGCCTGGCGGGCAACAATGATCTGATCAACACTAAGAATGGTTCGGGCTGCCTCGGTCGCGAGTCGAATGGCCCAGCTCTTGGTCACCAGAAGATCAAGGATCTGCTCCTCCACCGCATCCAGCAACCCAGTGGCGTCCGACCCCTCGAGGTCGACGCCAGTAGTCCAATACGGCTCTTCCGAATCCGACGTGCCAGACGTAGAGGTGCTGTCTTCGTCCTCATCAGACGCCTCCTCATCGTCGCTCTCATCCTGGGGCTTGCTTGATTGTCGGCCCTTCACCTCACTCGAGTTCAGACGTTGTTGGTGCGCCGTGTACAGTCGGGCGAGGACCTCGGTGGCGTCCAGCCCGGCACTTTCCGCCAGTGTGCGCGGAATCACTTCGAATGCCTCGGCGTATTTTTTGATGGCGTACTGCGCAAGGCCGGGGGTCTTGTCGGCGTAGTGGCTGATGCGTTCGACGAGTTGCATTTCTGTCGCACCGGCTCCGGGCACAAGGCGTGAGTCTTTGGTGACAGCTTTGATGACATTGACGCCGTCGTCAACTGCCCGTTCAACATCGTCCAAGTGATTCTGCGTCGCACCACGGAGGACGATGGTAGCTGTCCGCGTCACGGCCGAGTCCGACTCTTGGCGGAACACCGTGACTCTGTCACCGCCAATCTCGGTGGTCTCAACAACGTCAATGCTGCCCATCTCGTCCGGCATGGGGGCACCTAGCCGCGCCAGAGGGGTCGCATTACACACCCGGCAGAGTCGGCGGAGTTCGAATTTGGACTGGATCTTGATGACTAGTATCCCCATTCTGTTGAGATAGTGCAGGGCCAGCTCGCCCACGGTCGAGCCGGCCACGACCACTCTCAACCCACTGTCGTAAAGTTCCTTGATGGCTGCTTCCAGCTGGGCTTCTTCTCCTTTCGAAAAATCCATCATCTCCTTGGCATTATGTAGAAGCACCGTCCCTTTGGTCTCGGTCTGAGAAGTGTCGATGGGACATGAAAAGACGCCGACTTTGGCCTTTTTGGCCCGTTTGACCGTGCCCTCGGGCTCGCGGCCGAACACCATGCCTTTCACGACCCTCGACGAAGACAAATCTCCTCCCATGATCTTCACCACTCGAATATTGTCCACGTTGAAGTTGGCCGGGTTTTTGGGCAACACGGCCAACACAGCCTCGGCGATTAGCTTGGATAAAACATCTTCTGATCCCGACTGCTTGGAGGCGACGACGGTTCGGAGGGCTTTGCGCAATTCTTCGGCTGACCGGAGGTCGGCAATACTGTCGACTTCAAGTTCTACTACGGTTAGCTCCACACCATGCATGTGGTCTCAGACAGGTCGGTGTGTACCTTGTAACGTCTTCAACGCAAAGGCCTGCGCCTTTTCATATCCCGAGACAATATCGCTCGTCTTGAGCCCCAGCCGGATCAATTCTTCGGCCTTTTTGAGCAGCTCTCCAGCCAGCACGATGACCATGTTGGTGCCGTCACCCATTTCCGCCTCTTGCTGTTGACTGGCCATGACCAATAATTTGGCTGCAGGGTGCACCACCTCGAGTTCACGTAGGATGGTGGCCGCATCAGAGGTTAGGATCATCTTCGACAGATGGTTGATGACGATTTTATTTCGGCCGTATGGTCCCAGCGAGGTCTGAACGGTCTGTGCAATGGTGCGACAAGCGTCAATCTGCATCATCTCAAGTCAGAAAACCGCCATGCACAGGGTCGGGGGAAGAAAGAGAAAGGAGAAAGCATACATTGCGGATGACCGCGCCATCTTCCGCGTCGTAACTGTTGTATCCCGGCTTGAAAAGACCAGCCTGGGAGGGCTGGGGTATTGTCAAGGACATTGCCAGTGGTGTGACGGGCAGCAAAGGTAATATTTAGGATTGGGGAGTAGATGAGAAGTGTAGGGAGAAGGATGAATATTTGTTGCAAGCCTGCATGCATGGCCGTGGCATCCCACGCAAGGCTGCGGCGAAGTGCAAAAGTGCCAAGACGAGTCACTCCGTTTGGGGAAGAGGGTGACGCTGCCCTGTAACCCTAACCCTCTTTTAACCCTTTTCAGGCATCGTCTATACAAGACCATCTGGCGAGCGAAAGAAGCAAGGTACGTGAGGAGGTGACAGGCCATAGGCCACAGGGCAATCTAATTAAAACCCGACTGCACACTGGACACTGGACACTGGACACTGGACACTGGACACTGGCCACTGGACACAGCGTCAATACTATACTACCTTATACTGACCAGGTAGGAGTAGGTCTCTAATGCTCGAGCATGGACTAATCTAATCAACAATATTCCCGCCGAGGTCGATCTTGGTGGTCGCCACATTTGCTCCCCAGCATTTAGCATACAGCATTTAGCATATAGCATACAACCATCCATCTGCCACTGGCTGATCCGGTCATTCTCTGGTTCCACGAACATTGAGAGCAATCTACCATGGATTCATGGAGAAGGCAGAATCCGCAGATGGATGAAATCATGTCGTCAACATCATTACTCTTCGGTCAGAGCATCGTCGCCCGCTTCCCTCCATTCTCTCGATCGCTCCGTCAGCCGCTTGACTCCCGGGATTCGCTCAGCCCAGATGGACTCGGAAGCCGTGCGGAACGTGTAACCTCGTTGAGAAGAGATGACTCCAATCGCCTGCAGGACGGCTTTGCGGGCATCCCGCGAGAACACAGCTGGGTGGTTGATCCACTCCAAGCTCGCTTCAATATCGGCGTCAAGCGCGTTCATGACACTGTGATCGACCCCAGCCGTACGCGCAATCGGGGTACTTGCATTGGAATGAGGACTTCGATCTCGCGTATGCTCGGGTGATCCAGCTCGCGGACTCCCCGACTTGGCCGGGGGAGTGTGACGTTTATTGACCGCCTGGTTCGTCGCGTCAGGGGGCAGAGGTGGCAGACCGCCTTTGCCCAGACCCTTGAGGATGGTCCTGGTCTCGTTTAACAGGTGATGTGCGCGCTCGTGTTGGCCGCGGGAGACAAGCGTGAGGGCCCGGCTCAACATATCCGAAGTCAACAACTCCATCCGTCGCTGGACGATATGGGGATGCGGAGAAATGGGAGGGGTGGGCGGTCCACCACTCTGACGGGACCGGGGGCTTGCAGGGAGCACGGTGATGGCCAGCAAAGACGGTCGTGGCAGTTGTGTGATGGATCCCTCGCGAAGGACATCACCGAAAGACAAGTCAGCCTGAAGGAGAGGTACCTCCTCCACGCTTTGCACCCGTTCAACGTCGTTGTCGAGAGAACCGCCCAGAGCTTCGAGTCCAGACACAATCGACTCCCATGGATCCTGAGGAGCCGCTTCTTGAGTCGTCGTGTCCGGGTCAATTGCCAGTTGCACCAGAATGTCTCGCTTGTCGCCAAATCGGAAATCGCCCAGCGTCGCTTCGGCGTCCCGCCCGCTGGCTCTCTTGGTGGTCTGGAGGGCACCATTGATCTTGACAAACTTCGCAGGAGAGCCTTCAGGCAACTTGAGTTTGAGTTTGACGTTTTGGTGGGATATTGACTGAAGGGCCCCGAGCACGCCGGCGGCGCATTCTCGTAGCATCATCCAATCTTTCATATAGAGGTACGATGCTTTGGTGCGGCTGGAGAGCTCGATCATGGTCTCCGGTTTGTGGCTCAGTCCAAGGCCAAAAGAGTAGATCCCAACCCTGTGAAACGTTAGCATTGCATTCTTCTCGAAACCGAGGTGGGATTGCACTCACTTTGCAGCTTCGGCTCTCTGAACGACAAAATCCACGCTGTCACTCTCAGAGGTGGACGAATCACTGATCAAAAGAATGGTCGAGATGGGATTTTCGGCTCTCCGCTGCATCAGAAGGTCCATGGCCACATTGGCGCCCTCCACTACGTCCGCGCGCAAACTCTTTTGTCCGACGGGGCGGATCGAATTGAGCACTTTGTTCCAACCAGACCAGGTTTTGGTGGTCATGCCAACCACGGGTACTCCCCCGCCACTTGAACCAAACGTGACGAGGCCCATGCGGTCGCGATCTCCCAGATTGGAGACCAAAAAGCGGAGGGTGTCTCGCAGCAGCGTGATTTTCAACCCCTGCATCGAAGATGAGACCGGGATCACCACGACGACATCGATGGGAACATGTAACGAAGGAGGCACCCGCCTATCAAGAGCCGGCTTGTGGATCGAGTACTCGGTGGCTGCGGTGGTGGCCGACTTCGGACCGCCATAGGACGACGTAGTGGACGGGACCCGGCGGACTGTATTGTGCTGCCGGCCGTACTCGTCTTCGTCGGTGCCGGACGAGTCCTGTTCGTAATCTGCATTATAGCGAGGAGACGGCTCGGTGGAGTGTAGATCTCGGAGAGCGCGCTGCCACAGCTGGAGTTTCTCGCTCTCCTGGAAAAGTAGGTGGAATGTTGGCAGTTCCGCCACCGACAAATTCAGAGTCAGGATGTTTTCGTCTGGCGAAGCGTGCACATGCCTCAAGTGTTTCCTGATCAGGATGGAGCCTTTCAGAGTACACCTCGTCAGCTTGCGACCGGAATCCGTGAAGACAGGTGGCGCGTTCTTCTTCTCCTTGACGCAGATGAGCATCTCTCCAAACAAATAGCACTCCAGCTCCTGCCACGAATGACGGTCCTTGCCCACGCGAATCACGCCATGCAGGCGAAGGTTGCCAAACCTCTGAAATTCGAGCCCGTGCCAATTGTCCACGCGAATCTGCAGCTCTTCGGTAATCTGGTCGAGAATCTCGGGAGGCTCATAGGGATTGGGTTCTTGCGGAGGCTCTGGTCTCTGTCTGGCCGGAATGCCAATGCCCGAATCGGATGGCAAGGGCGGCACCGGCGGGGTGTGCTGGAACTCATCGAGGAGTGGTTGCCATTTGCCCTCGGGGACTTCAATCGTCACCAGACATGTTAGACTCTGTTGTTGCCGAGACCGAGTCACCGTCGGATATTCACTACGCACAGTAACAATGGGCGCCGGGATAGAGTGCTTCGTGTCTTTGATCGGGGCCCCTGGCACCGACGTCTCCATGGCATGCAAGTCATAATCGTGCTTTCGGGGCGGTTGACTGGCATGCTCGTGGGCATAGTCGGCCGAGGAGGCATTGCCACCACTGTCGGTTCGTGCGTGGCTCGCAGACGGTGGAGGCGGAGGCGGACGTGGAGGCGGAGGTTGTTGGGGGGGGATTGCCAACCGTTCAATGCGCAATCGTTGACTATCTCGACTATCTCGATTTGAATTCTCGCGACTGTTTCGCGGGGCGACTTCGCGGGCGCTATAGGCATCGTCCTGTCTATCCCAGGGCATTGGTGTATTTTGGGAGCTCCGGGGCGAGGCGACATCCTTCTGGGCCACCGCTCGGACCATGTTGCTTAACTTGCCTGTGCTCGTTAGTCGATCTTGTCCCGTACCGTTTGACATGGCAGAGACGCACTCAGGTCCAATATGCTCCCCCCTCGGAAAGAATCCAGCCCCAAGGGAGCGTCGCAGCTGGGGCAGTACTGTGAATCCGACTCCCGAATAAACTCATAGAAGCAAGCTTCGTGGGCCACATGTCCGCAGGAGAACTGTAACACCCTCTCCCCCCTCAAGGTATGCTCCAATGGCTCTTCGCATGCCGCACAGGCGCCTCCCACAAATGTTCGCTCTCGTCGGGAGCGTGCGCGGTCGGAATCCAGCATGCCGGCCATGGGATGCCCCGCGCCTGGGACACTGGCAGTCGGGGAAGGAGGAGGACGTCGGTCCCGGGTACGAGGCCGGCTGTCGGACGGAGTACGCGGTCTTCCCAATGTGCCAGAGGAGATGCTGGATTGCTTGAAGTTGGGATTGGGTGCGGTACCGCTCAATGAAGAGCCTGCGCGAGGAGGGTAGCCGTCGTGACGCCCTCGCGAGTGTTGGTCTGCGAAACGTGGAACCATGTGTCAGTCTGGGCCCTTTTTCTCCCAATGATGGAACGTTTGCTGGGGTCAAGCGCAGGGCAGAGCAAAGGATTCTTTGTCAACAGTGTCTTACAGTGCGCCGCCTTGGACTTGGTGGTGCTGGACCGAGACCGTGATCGAGGGCGGGTGAGAAGTCCCAGTTCGTAGAAGTTTTCAGCAGCGTCCTTGGACACCTCGGCGCTGGAGTAGGATCGCTCGTGTTTGGTCATGGAATGAGATGCCCGTCTGGCAGCGCTCTAGGTGCAGTAGCGTAGCAGCAATCTCGTCAGGGCCGTGGAATTAGTCGAAGATCATGGAGTGAGGTGCAAGGAATTGGGCGGCCACGTGGAGACTCTTCCACCTTGTATGCTCCTCAACGGTGGGTTCTCGGTAGGACGAGGTCAGGAGAAGACATCAGAGGGGTTGTAATCAATGAATGCCGGCTAAGAATACTAGGTTGCAGTGTGTAGATGGATGTGTCTTAGCCGCTCCTGTTCGTCCCTCAACGATCTCTCCTCTATTATGGCCTTTGCATTCTGGGAGCCGTTTTTCGCGAGTTGAGAACTGGGTCGCCCAATTTGTGGGCAAGAGTTTACGGACAATCCCCATCGCATCAGGTCGGGCCAAGTCAGTGGGGATATCTTCCTGGGATGGTTGATGTCGGTCCACGAGCCTTTCCGACCATGGCAGGACGATCGATATGTGACCGGCGCAGTGGGTGCATGCGATGGGGCAGCAGGGGGGGCATAGTGTCAAGGCCTGATACTGCAAAGCGTCGGTGGATTCTCTGTCTTATGGCCTGGCGGCCTGCTCGTTGGGATGGGCGGTGGGTCGAAGATGATACGGTGCAAGGGTGCAGGTGTGCATGAAGCAGTGGCTCGTTCCTCTTTCGCAGGCAGGGGATGGGGATGGTGTTGCACTCGTCGCCTGGGACTAGGCCGATGGCGGCAACGCAGCATGCCGGCTAACTGGCACCCGCATTAGGCGCACAGGGATCAGTCATGGCGAGCAGGGGCCAAGGGCCGCTGGCAGTTAACGGTACGGAGTACGGAGTAAGGTACACATACGGATACAGAGGACGGATACTGTACCTACGTAGGTAGTAGGTGCGTAGTACGGATTAGACTCGACAGCAGAAAGGAAGAGAAGCAAAAGTCTCCCCTCCCCCACTACAGGTGCTGCCTAGGAGGCCTCCCTAAGCCCCGAAGGTTTAAAGCAGCAGCCTAGGTGCATCTAAGGTGGGGAGCCAGTCAGCGTGCAGGCAGGCGCCTAGGATCAAAGGACTGTTAGCCTGTAGAACGGTGTCGTTTCCAAGGAATCGCTCTTCCGACGGGCAGGTTAGGGGGCCCCTCGGGCCCTTTTCCAGACCGCAGGGTGACAGACAGATGACATGTGTGGGACAAAAAGTGTCAATCTCGTGCCAGTGCAGCCCAGGCACAGGGACAGACACAGACAGGCACAGGCCCAGGCCCAGGCACCGGCGCAAGTGGACAGCACAAGTCCAAGTACGGTACCGTACAGGACTCTATACGGAGTAGTCCATGGCCTACTACTACTATAGTAGGCACCTATAGGCATCTAATTAGTAGGTAGGTACCTAAATGCCTTAACGTAGGCAGGGAACTCTTCATAGTAGTACTCGGTAAGGTACTAGACCTTGAGGTTAGCCTGCCATTGCCATTAATACCTCGATACAGTACGTCCTCACGCCACTGACGAGCAGAGTCTGCGCAGCATGGTCTGGAGTGACTGATCAGGACGAGGTGGATTCTGGACAAAGTACGGAGCAGAGCTGTAGTGAATAATGTCGTGGTAGATGCTACTACTGTATGAGATACTGTACGTCAGTCACTGTTGATCACGTCGGATAGCCTCGACGCACCGCGAGAGCAAGGATGGCCTTGCAGTTGGGAGTGTCGGTCCACGAATGAGCGTGCTCGGCAGCTCTCACCAGCAGGTGCAGGACTGCGTTTGTGTTTGTGCGGATGGTGTGTACACTGGACAGTAGTAGTAGTAGCTGCATCATCCATTATTGGGTTGGCTGGAAGGTCGAGTTGGCTACCCGAATCACACATCTGCTCCTGATCCAACTCTGTCTCCGTACACAACCAGAAGTCCAAATTTGGTGAGCATCCAGCAAGCATACAGTATCGTCGAGTGCAGAAGTCCTCTGGCAGCATGCAGCGGCCGACGAAGTGCCTCTGCCCACCTGTGATCGGCCGGCTGCTTCCTCGCCTCAACGAAACGAGATGAGACGAGACGAACCAAGCGAGATAAGACATGTCACTTCAGGTCTGGGGCAGCTCATCAAGATCAGTCCTTTTGGCAACACATACGTACTCTGTACGGATACATTCCTCCTGCCACCTATCCCGTCGTCCCCTCGCCGGCTCGAGAACGATGGAGAGTTGGAATAGATGATGGACATTTGCATCTGCAGTGCTCTGTCTGCCATGATCTTGTAAACAATACTACCCGCAATTTCGGGGACGGGGAAGGAGCATGATCAGGCACGAGGTCTGCCAATGCTGTTGGGTCAATCAATATTACCACCATGTTGGAATCTTGTCGAAACATGCTGGGGACAACCCTAGCTCGTTCATCATCCCCCCCAAGTTCCTGGATCCTTGTCTGCCGGATGGCGGATGGCGGATGGGCGTGCGTGTTAGTGTAGCACCAATGCAAGCCAGGGGCATATCCGCATCAATGGCTATGTTATGGAAGGCAGGCGTGGAAACTTGCCAAAGTGACACATCCAGGGCCACTGCATCTGTGGCAAACCTTCTCACATGGGACCTGAGCCATGAGAAAGTGTCCCGCGCAGTAGTACGGATAGATGTGTCAGATATTGATATTGGGCGGTGCTGGCTCACAGGGTACGGAGTACAGTAACATACGGAGAACTCAGTACTGTCCTGCCTCGGCACTTCGTAGACGACATGCGTCCTGTAGAGTCCCATCCACTCACTGCATTCGTGCTTCTCAATGCAAGGCACGGCATTTGCTCCATCTCCATCTCAATCAACCTTCAGGCCGTCAATCCCTGTGAGCTGGGTTAGGACTTTTCGACGGCCTGCGCGGGAAGACAGACGCGTCCGCCAACTCTCGCGCGGTGGGTATGCATAGCAGATATTTACTCCGTTCTGTGTCCTCAGGCCCTGTTTATTTCCGCCGTCTCGCCAGCTAGGCTGTGTTGCAGCGTCGGGCTCCTGTGGCTGGTATTATTAAGTGCAGGGGCTGCTCTATCCCTTGGGCCAGTGATGTAGTAAAACATGGGTTTTGTTCGGGGGCAGTGCCCCGGGGACGCGGAGAAAGTGACAAGCTGCCTAAGACAACGCCATCTGTGCAGCTAGCCACTCGCGAGCTTTTGTCTAGTGTTTAGCATTGCTTGAAATCGTATTGAGAGAGCCATCACTTTGTTTCAGCATGCACCGGGACCTCTCCCCCTCCCTGGGAGAGAGAGGGCGAGTCTACACTACGCAGAGTACTCCGTGTGTAGGATGGTCATACTATAGAGTACAAGCTTGTCGAGATAGCACGAACCTAGTGTACGCCATGGCGGAGGAGAGAAGCCTTCATCTGAGCACGGCACTGCACCTGAAACGGCCACCACCACCGAGCCGGACACAAAGCATCGCGGCAGTGGCTGGGTGGGAACCATCCAAGCAGCCGGGTCCTGCTACTGCATGCAGTGCAGGAAGTATGGATAGAATTAGACAGGGCGCGACGCTTGCTTCGTGATGTCTTATTGAGTGGCAGTGGTGGTTGGCAGAAACATTGGCAGTTGCACGTCGTGTCGTCCCACCACGATGCCATTACATCAATCTTCTCAAGGGAGCAATAGCAGCCGGAACCCAGAGTGCTCCCGACAGGTGGTGGCAGGAGTACGGAGAAGGCCGATACAGGAGTGAAGATTGTGCCGTGTACAGAGCATCTGGCTTCTTGCTGTACGTACCTCTTCTACAACGTCCTCGGTCAGTGTAACTGTATGCCATGTCGTCGGTACTTCCAATCTCATCCTGGTAATGATCGACGGCTTTTTGTCGTGGCTTGCATGTCTTCTCGCTTCCTGAAAGTGTAAAAGTGTTAAACTACTCAAGCGGTACATAAGCAGCTCGTGGCTTGGGGTCCACTTGACGCAGGTGTTGAGGATGGCGGGCTCCTTCACGTACAATGTGCAGTAATACCCGGCACCAGTACCCAGTACCTGGCATTGCACTGATAATCTCCGGCCAAATAATGCCAGAGCAGCGGTGGCCGAATGGGAGGCAGCCTCGTGCAAGTTCATTGGCGGCGTCAATCAGAAGGAATCACAGGAGTGCACCGACGTCGAGTCGCTCTGGAGGCGCTCCCCGAGTGCGAGGCATGCTCGCTTCAAGCGTGGGCCTGGCTAATATTTCCTCGTGGTTCAGTTTCAGAAAGCAAATGCCGGGACCGCTGGCCCAAAAGCACAGACTTACTGAGTAGACCAGAGTAGACCAGATAGGACCCCCTCTCCCTCTCCCTCCGCTTCTTGGTCGGAATTCGAAGGAAACAAAAAAAGTGGGCGCCCACACTCTCCTTCCTAGCCCAAAGCACTAATCCTGTTAGCGAGGGGAGAAGCGAGCCTCCTCCCGCTCCCGACTACGTACTCTGTACGTGCACGCAGTACGTATTCTGTGCTCGGTATTTCTTACTCTCCAAGGCCTACTCAGAGCTCCGTACCTGACAGAGGAGAGCCTGGAGGGTTTGCTGTCGTTCCCAGTCCGTGTTTGACATGACGCCACGCTGCGTCTTCTTCTCCCGAGGATAAGCGCATGCACACAAGCCGGGATACAGCCAAAGATCGACAACAATGCAGAGGGAAGATGACGCTACTCTGAGCTGCGTCGCGGCTCCATTTGCATCGGATTGACATGGGCGCTTCTCGAAGGCCACTGGTCCCACGTCCCAGAGAGTTTTTTGTTCTGCGGCATGACAGCTGGAAGAGCCCACCAGTAGCAGTACGTACTACAGTACGTAGTAATGGTACTCCAGAAATGGTAGATGACCCAGTTGCCCCAGGGGTGGGATTGATGTCAGATTGAGGACCTAAATCATTAATGTGCAACCCTTCCTCTGCCCTGCCTTGCGCCGCAAGATGATCTTATCGCAAGCCACCGACGTGCATTGCATATGCATCTGCATGTGTCCGATTGATTGATCATCTCTCGAGTACGGATACCTTGTGAAGATGTCTGCATTCAAGGAAACCCAAGGCAGATGATAGGCTTCGACCAAGGTCATGTTTCTTGTTTGTTTCTTTCTAGCATCGATCGGATCAGGGAGTCAAGGCGGAAGATGAGTGCTTCCCTCCATGTCGAATGGTCTTTCTACTCTGTACTGTGGCAGAGGTAGAGTCGGAGCCGCATTCCCAGAACGCAAGTCAATCTTAATATTTCAGAGTAGAGGGGCCACGGTATCTTGTATCTTCGCCGACTCCTGACGAACGAGGAGCCACAAGCTGTTGATGGCTGATGGCCGACGGCCCACCTGTCGAGTGGCAGTATTGCGGTTGCGAGCTCCCTTCTTCTTGGTGAGTTGCTCGAGGGTGTACTCGGTACTCGGTACTCTGTACGGAGTACTCGACTGCCCTAGAATAATGCAATAATGCATTCCTAGGATCCGCTGGAAGCCGTGTTGTACTACTCTGTAGGCTCTAGAGCAGAGGCTACAGTAAGCGACAGCGTTTCTTGACTAGACAAGCCTGCTTCCAAGACTTCTTTTCACTTACATACAGTACGGAGTATGGAGTAAGATGTTTCCATGTGCGGGTCCGGTACAGGATCTAGTATCTCCACCAAGCCTAGCCGCACGTATCTGTCAATTCATCAATTACTTAGTCCAGGTGGAAGCCGAGTTCGGGCAAGTCTGGCTGGCCCGGTCGTTCGTCAAAATCATAGCTTTCTCTGCTTGTTTCACCGAACATGCCACGGGTCTGGACGGACCGTGGCGCTTTCTTCAGGCCTTAGGCCTTGGAGCCCCTGAAATGTGACAGTAGTCTGGGCTGGGTATCGGGTCTGCGTTCATTCTTGGTCGTTAGAGGGAGGAAGATCAAGACTGATTGATTGATCATGCTGTCTAGTGTCTACCGTCTACGTACCTTTTTACTGTCTGTTGTTTACCGTCTACCGTCTACCGTCTGCTGTCTACTATACCGAACAGGCCTTTCCTGACTCTTGAAAAGGTTTCGCCACGACACTACCAAGTTGAACCGTCAAGTGGGCTCAGGCTCTGGACCCGGTCGCTCATCCGCGCGACTTCTTAGTACTGAACTGAACTGAACTGACCTGAGCTGTCAAAATGATGCCCGCCAGGACAGCGAGTCGACACATGTCCAGACTCTAGACTCCAGAATCCAGACTCCAGAGGACTCCAGAAGCCGTTGCTGTCTGCTTGCTGTCTGAGTTTGCCTGTGCTGTCACTGTCTGGTCTGGTCCGGTTTAGTTTGGATAATGGCGTCTTCGCCTCGTGGGAGACTGGAGCCGGCCAAGCTTCCGTGCCATGTGCCATATCATGTGCCATGTCATATGCCATGTGCCAACGTTCAAGAAGGCCACTGTTGTTTTGGGCTCCTTCCAATAATAACCGATATTAGTACGGATGTTTGATACAGTATTTCTGGCCCTTCTAACCGATATTAGTATCCGTACTCGTATTTGATATAGTGTTTCTGGCCTTAGGCCCCCAGCCCCATAAGCAATGATCGGCACCTCAACGGCGCCGGGGCTACAAGGTACAACCCCTGGCTCAATTTCTTCCTCCTCATCCCTCATCCCTCCGCTTCTTCATCAGGCAAGCCGTCGACCAATTTTGAACAATACGGAGTATGGAGTACGGAGTAGACGGATCCAGACACCGGCCGTTGATAGTTCGTACGGGGAAGGGCAGGCGAGGAGGCGAGGATGATCCTTTTGCTCCCTTTTGCTGCACGACCGTTGAATGATCAGCACTCCTAAGCCAACTGGATTGCAAAAGGTCTCGGAGTAATTAATTAGGACGACCTCTGATGTGGAATCTTCCTTGGTTTCTAGAAATGAAAAGGGGCCTCAGTCTTAGGCCTCAGGCCTCAGGCCCGTAACCTTAGCCCGGGGGTGCCCCTAAGCCTTAGGGGTAACTACTCTGGAGTCTGTACTCCGTATGGAGTATCCGTACAGTGTATACATCTGAGATGAATAGTGGAGATTGCAGATCAGGCTGGGGAATACTCCTCAAACTCTGACAACAGGAATCTCAGCCTGCAACGAGTATCCGTACCTAATTAACATAAGTTACATGAACATGTTGCCACCTGACCATCCTTGCAAGCGTAGGATGGTCGAACCCTTTGGTCCGCCTTGCAATCCCATCCTACATACGGAGTATATACTACCTAACTACTCCGTACACATAATCAATTGTTAGATTGGCAATAGCAACGATTAAGATTGTGATTGTGTAAAGGCTGAATTGTATCCGTGAAGAGTGTCCTGTGTCCTCAACATGCATATCAATCATTAGCTGAAATGACCTCCTGCGTGCGGAATCCCTATCCTACCCTACCCTACCAATTGTTTCGACGCTCTTGAAGCCAAACAAACGTTGATATCAGTCCGTCTGGTAGAGATGAGGTGTAGATGACGAATGCTGATCCACGACGACAGTGACACCAAATACCGAGAGATGATGACAATGACACCGAAAACTGATCCACGATGACAATAACACTCCTCTGCCTCGGACAGGGACAGACAGATATTGTAATTGTACAGAGTATCTGTCTTCCTGTTCCAAAGAGCAAAAGAAATGAGCGAAAGCCAGACAAGCTGAAGATGACGGTATTTCTTGGCCGGTTCTCCCTTCTGCCATCACCATCATCATCACCATCACCATCACCATCTGTTAGAGGTTGAGATGTTCCATGTTCTCATCAAAGGGGGTATGGGGGGAGCGCAGGCTATATAGTATAGTATAGCCTAGACCAGCCTCTCTGGTTAAAGGGCAAGGCTGGGAACGCCAAGTTTGACATGTTGATACCCCAAGGGCTAGGATGGAGAGTTACAGTATTAGGGTGATGACGGTCGTTTCAATCAGTCAATCAGCCAGTCCCAGTCAGTCAATGGATACAGAGTAGATTCCTCCAAAATGCAAAAAGCAGCCAACTTCTCTCTAACCCAATCCTAATCCTAATCACCTTAGCTAATGATGGGATGGGCTTACATGGCGGTGCTCAATAAATCATGGCAAAGACACCATAACGTCGGATATTTTGTACCTTAAGTATCGGATATTCTTGTGTCTTAAGCATCGGACCTACCCCTGGCAAGGGTTCCTGGATTCATAGACCTAGATTTCCTTGTCTTTGAGCATCACCGTGGCCCCGTGGCCCCGAAACCACTTTGCCATGCTCCTTATCTGACAACGCGTGTTGGAAAGAGGTTAGGAGGTCAATCCAGATCCGCCTTTCGGCCAGCCTCCTGATCAACGACACCTCCGGTGTCGTGGTCGTGGTCGTGGTCGTGGTTGTGGTTGTGGCCGTCATCATGCTGGCCCAACACCCCTTTGTGGAGTTTGGCGGCCACATGGTCGGTGAGGAGATGGTCGATGTTCTTGGTGAATAGGGCACAGATAGTGACGAGAACCCCAAAGGCAATAGCGACGAGGTACACGAGTCTAGATTCCATGGACATGGATTAGCATCATCATCTGTGCGATGTATTCGTATAGTGGTGGCTTTCGGGGTGAAATCCGTGGGATATCTTACCTAAATCCCTTGACATAGGCCTCCTTGTAAGCCTGACCGGCCGCGGCTAAGACCGTTGCAGTGACTCCGGGGATTTTAGCTGCACTGGCGGAACCACCGGCGGCCAAGGCGAGCAGGAGAGGTTTGAGGCTCGTGACAGGGAGACCCAATGGTAGAGTGGCCTTCGAAACCAGGCCGGGTAAGACGTCTTTCACTCGATTACTGAGGATAGTACTGTATATAGCAGTGGCCACGGAGCCACCTGAGGTCCGGAAAGTGCCGTTAAGACCAAAAGCGGCGCCGAGGTCTCGATCGGGACAATTGAGAAGAATCATCACGGTCCCAGTGATTTGAATAAACCCAATGGCAAATCCAGTCAGGGTGGTAAGTGCGAGGACTGCTCCCAGCGAGTCAAGGGCTAGGATCAGATGTGTCAGTTAAAGAGAGCGGCGGGGAAAGAGAAGAGAGGCGACATGTTTGGCGGTCACTTACTCATCGCAGCCATACATCCAATAAAGATGGTGCTCAAGATGACCGAAGCCACAAAGATCCATCTGGCGTGGCCGATCTTGGAAATTGTGAACCCAAGGAGAAGAACGCCGAGGTAAAGACCCATGAGAACAGTAGAGGACTCCCATCCAGCCTTGTTGGAGTTGGTAGGGGCGTAAATCACCTCGATTTGCACCGGATAAAGAGCGATCAACGAGTAAAGCAACATGCCCTCGACAAATTCCACCACCAACACCATAGTAAAACCCCGGACGTTCTTCAGGAGTCGGTATGGCACGATAGGTTCGGCTAGAGGGGCATATACTTCCCAGAAACCAAACACAATGAGGGTTAAGCCACCGAGAACGATAGGAAGAATAACTCCGACACTCTTCCATGGATAGCTCGCACCACCCCAGCTAATACCAACCAACAGGATCGTAATTCCTCCCGCAAAGAGAACGACACCCACATAGTCGATCTTTTTGAATTCCTCCAATTTCGAGCGACGATCTGCGCGATGGATCTCCTGAAACGTCGGCGGGAAATAAAAGAAAAAGAGGGCGAGCGCACTGATACCATCGACAAGAAGGGTAATCCAGAATCCCCAGCGCCACGTGAGGTGGGTTGCGAGATGAATAGCTTGTCGCATGAATCAGCCACATTCTCCATAATGTAATCTCAGGCGGGAAAGAGATGTTATACCGATGGGATTTCCGAATGCGCCTCCAACGATCGCTGCACCAACAACGGAAGATGCGACCTGAGGACGATACTTTCGAGGTGCAAGCTCACTGACGCAAGCGCTAGCAGTCTGCTGGATAGCGCTGGCAACACCATTAAGGCCGATGGCGAGGATGACAACGCCAATCGAGGTCGCGGTTCCACCGATAATACAGGCAACGATGCCGAGTATATTACCGAAAATCATAATATAGCGACGGCCGAAAATATCCTCAAACCGTCCACAAATCGTGACGGTAGCAGAGAACGTCAGCGGCCAAATGGTAGCCATCCAAAAGTAGTACGGCTTGGGTCCAAGGTCCTGATTGATATAGGAGGTTATTGGCGCAGTTAGGCTCAATGAAAAGGACGAGGCAATCCATTGAACCACCATGATCTTGGATGGGTGGGAATCAGCCATGATCAACACAACGGGACACCAAACAGCGGGGCTCTATACCAAGAAGACCGCGCAGAAGTTGAGGTCAGCTCGCCATTCTGGGTCCTCGGCATTCTCAAGGTGCGTTTGACTCAGATCTTTCTCTTCGGTAGGTTGAACCTCTCCAAGCGCGGCCACGGGCTTGTCGTCAGTCATAGCAGGCAGATGCTGTAGACTGCTGAAGCTAAACTTGATCCGTCGTCGAGAATTCTGAAGTGCCAAGGGGCGAAGGTGACGAGGGGTGGAAGAGAAGCAAGGACGGAACGCTGCCGGTTGCGAACTGGGGTAGGGAGACACGGGCCATATGGTGTCTATACATATATGCTCGTTCGGGATTCGGGACTCAGATGTGGCATGTCGATTTATTGGAACCTCCTGCTGGGTGTCTAGGTAGCGAATGCGATGGCGGATTCGTCCCCAGAGACTTGGAATGATATGGCGTCGATGGATGGTTTCGGTTAAACGAGTGTATGTAGACTCACCTATGACGGGTAATCTGGACAACCTCCCTAGCCGGGATCGCGACAGTCGGCTAAATCTGTGTCGGGAAGAAGTTGCCTACACAAATCGTATCGAACCAGGTCCACAGGTCAGTACTGTGGTGTTTTCCGAGTCTGAGAGATTCGATTCGATCCCTACGGTCAAATAAGTCGACCTGGGCAACCCGGCACCGTGGCTGTGGCTGTGGCTTTGCCAGACATGATTATTGGCCAAAGAATCTGCAGGGAGTACAGAACTGTACTTTCGGAAGATTGCCATTGTGTTGACCCGAGTGCTCGGGATCAGATCCGGGGCAGATACCGAATCAGGAGGCGTCTGCATATCTAGTTTTGGCTAGACTGGGATCGAATAACGGCCGGAGAATGAAGCGAGAAGATGGAGGCGTCTTTGACAATCGATAATCCCTCATACTCTGCTTGTTGCAAACTGCATGGGGGTATCAGCACTCGCATAACTATGAGGGCACATGATCTGCTATCGTGACACTAGGATGGTGCATCGCTGACACATTGCTGAGGTTGTTTGGGAAAGAAGACAAGCCAGAGGTCTGACGAATTGAGCTCAATCATGTTGCCACAGATACATAGTCGCAGGAAATGCAGGAGACGGAGCGTGTTTAACCCGGCCTCTCGTGTTGATCGAGCACTGCTGATTCACCTTGGAGCAGCCCCCTGGCTTCATCGATGTCATTGTCCGTGCCTGGGTCCCGAAGTACTCCAGCGCCTGCGATGAAAGCTCCGACCTTCTCGCCCCCCTCAGCTGCCGACAGAACGTAACAAACGTCCTTTTTGGTGAGAATGCCTCGAAAAGCTCCACGATCAACAAGAAGAAGGTACCGCAGCCCAAGTTTCTGGAACATGTGAACTGCCAGTTGCAGCGAGCTATTCGCATTCAAAGTGATTGGGGTCTGATCCATCCATGGTCGCAAGTCTATCCCTTGAGATGATATTAGGTCGGACCGGTAAGTGAAATAACAGGGGGTATCTGAATTAACATGTTTCAGACCTGGTCCGGAGACATTGTGTTCAGGATTGGTGACTTGTTCCAGTGCAAAGGAAAGTTCAACCCGAGATATATACCCAAGCAGGGTATTCTCACGCAGGAAATGCGGGCTCAACGGCTCATCAGCGACCAGGTTACCAGTGGTCTCCTTGAATGCCACAACAGGAAAACCACGGGAAGTAGTGGTCCGCAGAATGCGCTGCAGAGTTTCCACCGAATAAGGTCGAGTGGCGTCCAAGTAGGTCATTTCCTCTACACTTGTCATGACGGTGGCGACGGGAACATGAGGTATATCTGCGTCTTCGTTGTTTTCGAGGTAGGGGTAATCGTTGAAGTGAATCCAGGACTCGTAGATTCCACGCGGAGATAGGGCATCACCAATCCATTTGGCCGACAGGACGGCAATCATGATCGGTAACACATAGGAGAGTGCGCCGGTTAGTTCGAACATTATCACCACAATCGAGGCTGTTAGTCGTGTTACACCGGCTAAAGCTGAGGCAGCCCCAACAATAGCATACGTGCCAGGAATCACGCAGGGCATGTCGGGTTCACATGCTGCGAACACCAAAGACCCGGAGAAGTGCTTATGCACGAGCTCCATCAGGACACCGAGGGTACGTCCATAGAGTGCGCCGATGGCCAGAGACGGGAGTATGATCCCAGCTGGGATCTGTAACCCGAACGTGATGCTAGACAAGAGGAATCCCAGGATCGACCCAGCAATCAAGAGCCATGCCATCGACAAGGCTCCGGCGGTTGTCGCCTTGCAGAGACCAAATATATCGTTGTTGCCAATAGTTTCACATTCTGCAAACAAGTAGTAGACCAGCTCCGACAGCTGTGCTCGCATGAAGGTATTGGGATAGTTGATGACCGCAGAAATTGCCGCGACAGCCAAGACCTCCAATGTTGGTCTGTCGCGAAGGGGATAGCCTGAAGACTTCCGTAGACGTGCGATTAGCATGTTGAGCCTGATAAACATGCCGCCATACACGCCGCCAATGATGCCGAGCAGGACGAATGGCAGAAGCTCAAAGCTGTGCCATCCTGTCGTATAGGTGACTTGATACAAAACAATCTTTCCGGTATGAAATGGGTTTAGGGCTTGCAGAGTCACTGCCGCCACCATTGCGCAGACAAATGACTGCCACATCGTTTTATCTGGAAAGTAGTAGGACAGCTGTTCGAGCGAGAAGAGAACTCCGCCAATGGGCGAGCCGAAAGCGACAGATATACCCGATGCAGCAGCAGCGGAAAGAACCTCTCGCTTTCGCGCTTCATTCTGACTCAATGACTTGAATGGCTTCATGATGATGTTGGCGCAGCAGCATGCGAGGTGTACGAAAGGGCCTTCCTTTCCAAGCCACATGCCAGAGGCCACTGCGAGACACTTTGGGCGTGAGCTCATTACCAATACCGTAGATTTCGGGACTTACCAATCCTAAAGACTTGATTACCAGCGTCCTCAGTCCCAGAAAGCGCTTCATGACGAAGCCTCCTAGGACCGTCTTGATTTCAGGAATTCCACTATGGCGAGCGTATATCGAGTAGTGTCTCACAAGCACAGCTGCTGACACTGCGAAAGGGACCTGTCGAACTAACCTTAGCGTGCATTCACCGGAGAAGATGGATAGACATACTGAGAAGAGGATAAAGAAGATATAGCTGATCATGTACTGCCCACCAATAGACCCAATCCCCAACGCAGACGGCCACGGTGTCCAATCTTGACATTGAGACAAGTCGTCATGGCCCCAACAGCAGAATTGTTTATTGAGGTAGAACTGACCGCCGCCGACGCCTGATTTGCAATAGCCAGTCTTGATATCTCCAAGCCAGTCTGATGCGATGTTGATGAATGCCGCGATACAACCCACGGAGATTCCACTGGCGACAAGGACAAGCCAGACCTGGCTCGCGTCGAACAATTGCCTCAGATGTCCTACAATGCCATTGTTCGAGGCAACCAGCTTTCTCAACCGTTGGCGTTCTTTTGTATACTCGTAGATCCAGTCGATCGCAGTCAAGTCATCATAGCCGATTCTTCTGCCAGGCCCCTCAACATACCAATCGGGCGGACCCTTGTCCGCTCGGCGCCGGTGCCATATGCTAGAGGGCTCTGATTCTTCCTCTGCAGCGTTCTGCCCGTCCCTAGTGCGATCGGGAGTCGGACGTGTAGAGGTGTCTGTAGAGGGGGAGCCATCTGATGGGGGGGAAATTGAAGTGCCGGCGCGCGGCGAGCGAGAGGGAGAGGCAGGGTTGGATTGCTTCGGCACTCTGTAAGTCAGTCAGCCGACTTTCCACCCTCGGGGTCAAGCGAGAGAGATATACTTGGAAACGTCGACGCCCTCGGCCGCGAGAAGGTCAAGGTCTGACTGATCGCTATCAAGACCAGGCATGGTGGCAAGATGAAAAGGAATCGTGTGCCGCTACAGGACAGATCATCATCAACAACGGCGGTTGACGATTTCCGCAACGATTGAGAAATGCAAGGCTCGCATGTGGAAGTACTTTGGCAGCTGCTTTGCTTGTGATCGAGATGCCTCCAACGTGCAGGTACATGTACCTACATATGTAGTTTCATTGAACCGGGGAAAGGCTTGGCACGGGAGGCGTCCCCGGCGGAACCCCTACGCCTTAGGAGCCTAAGGGCCTCCTAAGCCCTAAGCCCCTAAGCCCCTACTTGCTGGTGCCTAGCACATGCACATGCACCATCCACATCATGTATACAACGTGCCTTAGGTACTGTATGTACATGTCAACCACAGCTCCATGCGTGCTTCTCGTGCTTCTCGTGCTTCGTTGCCTTTTATTCTGGGACACTAGATCCAAAAGGACTATATGCAAAACCCCTGTTTCGTTCCTCACCGCCTAGCCATTATTGTTGCGACCCAGTGCCAGTGGTCGGTCTGTCGTAGATTGTGTACTCCCTACTCCCTACGGCTATGGCCGAAGCCTGGTAGGCAAGGCTGAGGCTGAGGAGGCTGAGAAAGCCCAAGCGGGTGCGGCCTGCTAATGCGGAAGAGGGAAAGTTCAGCAATTAACCCCCCGGCCGCTTTGGCCTGCGCTAAAGTCCTTGGCAAAATTTTTGATGCCAAGACCGATGCTGGATGGCGAACTTCTCTACTTCTTGGAGGTCAAGTTGACTCTTCTGTGAAAAGATCAAAGATCTTCCAAGAGGGAGTCGTCTTCTTCTGTCGAAGGGACCTTCTCGGGCCCTGCACCGCGTCACCTCAATGGAGGACGCTGCAGTCTACTGCTCCTGGGCTGATGCCCAACTCGACCAAGATGCCTCGCTCGTCCAGAGACTGCCCGCAGAACTGCGGTCCATCATAATTCATTCGACAGGTTCTCAATACCTGAGGACTCTGGCACACGCCGCCCGACTAACCCAACACGTCGATACTCTTTTTCCGCTGTACAGAATCTTATTTCCTGAGCTCGTGGCTAGGTGGATCGAGTCGACCTCGGGTGACTTGGACGACATCATCCTGACAGTCTCATCCTTAGCCAGGATCCTCCCGTTCGCGGGCCACCTTCGCCACTATGTACAGACCCTTCTACATTCGGAACCAATGTGGACTTGCACGAATGCTGTTGAAGGCGCCTCTGCTGGGATTGGCGATGAAGCGCTTCATAACCTTCTCCTCGCTTTATTCCGACTCGTATCTGTTGACCGAGAGATTCTTGCTCACAGCGTTTCCCCCATATTCTTATCGTCTTTTCTTCACCATCCTTCTCTGCCACTGAGGTACCTGGCCATCCAATGCCTATGTGTGGTGATGCATTTTGCGGACGCTTTCTCCGACCAGATGGTCGAGTCGTACGTCGGCAAAGGGCCAATATGGGGACAGTGGGAAGGCATGAAGATTGACTATCGTCTACTGAAGCTTTGGGAGGAGAAGAGGTGGAAGGACGTATTCAGGGAGCTGGCGGTTATCCAGGAGCGGTCGCGAACGGTCTCTGCTCCATCTCCGACGCCAAAATTCACCACTGAGAGCCTTTCCCCGCAGACCGCCAATGTTGGCGGTGTTCTTCTTCCTCGTTCTGGTGCTTTGGAATCTTCGGCCTCGACCTTTGTCCTTACTCGCACAGCCAAGCGCAATCTTTATCGACTGGGCAGTTGCTTGTTGAATCCGCAGCCAGTTCTGCTCAGCGGTCCGGCTGGTTCGAGCAAGACTTCACTTGTTCATGAGGCTGCAAGACTGCTCAACAAGCTGTCATCCATGGTTACGCTCCACATCAATGAGCAGACTGATGCCAAGAGCTTACTTGGAGTGTATACATCCTCGGCTGATGGCAACTCTTTCACTTGGAAAGCAGGTGTCCTGACAAAAGCGATACAACAGGGCAGGTGGGTCCTGATCGAAGATATCGACAGAGCCCCTCCAGAAGTCATGGGAGTACTTCGTCCTATCCTTGAGAATGGTGAGCTGTTCCTCCCGAATCGAAAAGAGACTATTCGGCCGAAGGATGGGTTCCGCATCATCGCGACTCTGAAAACAGCTGAACGATCCCCCATGATTGCATCAACACGCCATTCCTGGCTCTTGAGTCGTCGGTTATGGTCATTGGTCGAGATTGGCGACTACGAAATGTCAGAGGTTGAGTCGCTGCTTCGCTCGCGGTATCCAGCTGCAGAAGCTTTCACAACCACGATCATGCGAGTTCATAGCCAGGTCTGTGCTTTATACAAAGAGGAGCGTCATCTCAAGTCTTTACAAACCCGGTCGCCATCGCTTCGGGACCTGCTCAAATGGTCGCGAAGAGCGGTTAGGAGGCTCCAGGTTTACGGGCACGAATCGGCGTCAACAGCTCTCCCAGAGACAGTAAAGCTCCACATCTTCAACGATGCAGTCGACTGCTATGCGGGCTACCTAAGTGATGATGATACTCATAACTTGGTGGCTGCTTGCATCGCACGAGAAATGGACATTTCGCCACAGCAAATGCGACATTGCCTGGATGAAGCGTTCACAACCGTGTCAGAGACAAACCTGACGATTCGTATTGGTCGAAGCATGCTGGACAAAGTGGCCCATCGCCGCCGCCAGACGACTAAGGTACCATTTGCGCTTACCAGACACGCTCAGAGAACACTAGGTCGCATTTCTGCCGGTGTAAGCTGCTCGGAACCCTGTCTGCTGGTTGGTGAGACAGGTGTCGGAAAGACGACCTTGGTACAGCACGTTGCGGGCCTAGTAGGTCAGACCCTTACCGTGGTCAATCTTTCGCAACAAAGCGAAGCCAGCGACCTCTTAGGTGGGCTTAAGCCGGTGACTACCAGATCATTAATCCTCCCCTTGGTGGAGAAGTTCAATGTACTGTTTGAAGATACGTTCTCTACAAAGCGGAATGAGAAATTTCAAATAGCCATTGCAAAAGCAATTGCCAGACAAAATTGGCAGAGACTGATGATCTTGTGGAACGAAGCAATTTTAATGGCTGCAGGATCCTTGAATACCACATCAGACAGTTCCAGCGTGGCCGATTCTGTCCACGGGAACAAAAGACGCAAACTCATGACACCGAAATTTGAGGCATTGCGCAATAGATGGTCTGACTTCTCTGAGTGCCTGAACAGACTTCGTCCTCAAATCGATCACGGGAATAAGAATCAAACTTTTGCTTTTGTTGAGGGAAGGCTGGTGCAAGCTGTCCGCGAAGGCGAATGGGTTCTCCTTGACGAGATTAACCTGGCATCTCCTGATACCCTTGACCAGATCGTGAGTCTCCTCCACAATGGTGACGACGAGAAGCCGGCTCTCCTTCTCACCGAAGCTGGCAATATTGAATCCGTCGTTGCCCATCCGAACTTCCGAATTTTCGCTGCCATGAACCCGGCTACAGATGCTGGCAAAAGGGATCTTCCGCTAGGATTACGATCTCGTTTTACCGAAATCTATGTCCCTTCTGGTGACAGCAACCTTGATGATCTTACGAAGATCATTCGTGCCTATCTAGGCTCCCAGCTAGATAACGACAAACGAGCTGCGTTAGACCTTGCCCATGCTTACATGGATCTGAAGCAGCTCAATCAAGAGAGCAAGCTCACAGATGGGGCGGGTGACGTTCCACACTTTAGCATCCGGTCGCTTGTTCGCTGCCTCATGTATGTGTCTCAACACAGTGCGAGCCATGGTCTGAGGCGAGCCATGTACGAGGGGTTTGCGATGAGCTTTTTCACAGTGCTCAGCAAGTCCTCTGAGATTCTGGCTGCCCCCTCGCTTGAAAAGCATCTCCTGTCCAGTATCAAGAACAAAAAGTCATTGCTCAACCAGCAACCGAAGTTGCTATTCGATGGAGATCAATACATATCTTTTCGGCATCACCTGGTCAAAAAAGGACCCCTGAGCACTGATCTACAACCCCACTACATTCGGACAGCGTCGGTAGAACGCAACTTGGTCAACCTGGCTCGAGCGGCCTCGATGCGACGCTTCCCTATTCTCCTGCAAGGCCCGACCTCTGCCGGGAAGACCAGCATGGTGGAATACCTTGCCAAACTGTCCGGTAACAAATTTGTAAGGATCAACAACCACGAACACACCGATTTGCAGGAGTACCTTGGGAGCTACGTTTCAGACGCCGAAGGAAAGCTGGTGTACCAGGAAGGAGTATTGGTCGATGCTCTTCGACGCGGTCACTGGATCGTCCTGGACGAACTAAATCTTGCTCCAAGCGACGTCTTAGAAGCCCTCAACCGCTTACTTGATGACAACAGGGAGCTACTGGTACCGGAATCCCAGGAGATTGTTCGACCACATCCGAATTTTATGCTCTTTGCCACCCAGAACCCCGCCGGGCTCTATGGAGGACGGAAACGATTATCCCGAGCATTCAGGAATCGCTTCCTGGAACTGCATTTCGATGACATCCCTGAGGACGAATTGGAGGTGATCCTGAGAGAACGCGCGCAGATTGCCCCATCTTTTTGTACTCAAATTGTCGCCGTTTACAAAAAGCTGTCACTGCAGAGACAGTCCGCGAGGCTGTTTGAGCAGCGAAATAGCTTTGCTACTTTGCGTGACCTGTTCCGATGGGCTGCGCGGCCAGTCGATGATCGGCAGCAGCTGGCAAACCACGGATTCATGCTTTTGGCTGAGCGAGTGAGGGATCCAGCAGAACGCGCCGTGGTTAAGAAGGCCATCGAGGAGACCATGAAAGTGGCCATCGACGAGAATTTACTATATGGTCTATCGGCGATTCCCGAGTCTGTCCAGAGCTCTGGTTCTATCGTGTGGACATCAGCGATGAGACGCCTCTTCGTGTTGGTGTCCGAAGCACTGAAGAACAATGAGCCTGTTCTCTTGGTGGGCGAGACCGGCTGTGGAAAGACCCAGATCTGCCAGGTAGTCAGTGCCGCATTTGGTCGGCCCCTTCGCATCTACAATGCACATACAAATACCGAGACTGGTGACCTTATAGGATCACAGCGGCCTGTTCGAAACCGCTCTGAACTGGCAAACCAGGTACGAGAAAATTGGCGCCTCTTGGTCGCGTCTTCCCCCCACAACTCTTCTGTTGAAGAGCTCGATATCGATCAGCTAGCCGCAGAATTTACCAGGATGGACAAATCGATCCATGACCCTGAAGCCGTGGAACGGACCAGGTCGAGCATTGCGGCGTACCAGTCTCTATTTGAATGGTCCGATGGCAGTTTAGTAAGAGCCATGAAGATGGGCGAGCATTTCTTGTTGGATGAAATCTCGCTAGCTGATGACTCCGTGCTTGAGCGCCTGAACAGTGTGCTTGAGCCTTCACGAACAATCCTGCTTGCAGAGAAAGGATCTGTCGACAACCTTATCACTGCAGAACCCACGTTCCAATTCTTGGCTACCATGAATCCTGGCGGCGACTACGGGAAACGTGAGTTGTCAGCTGCACTTCGCAACCGGCTGACTGAGATCTGGGTCCCTCCGCTTTCTCAGGAAGCAGATATAGTACCCATTGTTCAGAACAAGCTGAGCGTGGCAAGAAAGCATCTCGCCCCAGCCATCCTCGACTTTGCCGTCTGGTTCCGGAGCAGCTTCCACAATACTTCATCGACAGCCATCCCGCTACGCAATCTCCTGGCGTGGGCAGACTTTATCAATCGTGCCAGTTTCCTTGATGAGGCGACTGCTCTTGTCCAGGGCGCGTTTATGGTCTATGTCGACTCCCTTGGCGCCAACCCTGCGGGCATGACATCAAGTGGAACTGCTGATCTCTACGAGTCAAGACGAAGATGTTTGAAATATCTCCAGACTCTGGTGAAGATCGATGTCGACGAGAACTACCAAGCGACGCCGGTGTTGAGGACAACTGTCGAGGGCTTCCACGTCGGGCCGTTCTCGCTGTGCCGCTCTGAAGGGCGGCCCCCACAGGACCCCGGACTTGTGTTCGACGCTCCAACAACTTTACAGAATACCATGAGAATTGTACGCGCACTGCAGATGTCAAGACCCATCCTCCTCGAAGGAAGTCCTGGTGTGGGCAAGACTGCTATTGTGACTGCGCTTGCTCGTGCCGTTGGCAAGGAATTTACCCGTATCAATCTGTCCGATCAAACTGACCTGATGGATCTGTTTGGTGCAGACACCCCTTCTGAAAACGAACGACTGGGCAATTTCTCATGGCAGAATGGACCTTTGTTGAACGCAATGCAAACTGGCGGCTGGGTCCTCCTGGACGAGATGAATCTGGCGTCTCAATCTGTTCTGGAAGGTCTCAATTCTTGCCTCGACCACCGCCGGGAAGTTTATATTGCTGAGCTGGACATGTCATTCGCGTGTCACCCGGATTTCACCTTATTTGCCGCGCAAAACCCCCATCAGCAGGGTGGAGGACGGAAAGGTCTCCCAGCCTCCTTTGTCAACCGCTTCACTGTGGTCTATGCGGACTCTTTCCAGCAAGAAGATCTGATGCGTATTTGTCAACACAAGTTCCCGACTATTCCGGCAGAGCAACTAAGCACAGTTATAAAGTCAGTCACGGAAGTCGAGCATGTGATCTCCCATGCCCCAATGTTCAGCCAAGGAGGCCCATGGGAATTGAATCTCCGTGATGTTGATCGATGGTTGAGATTGTGTGAAGATCAGCCGACGCTCGTTCCGTCCTATCACTTTCGTACTATTGTGGCCGACCGTTTCCGCAGCACTGCACAAAGAGAACTTGTATTCGAGCTGACCCGCCAGGATACTGCGTCTGCGCCTCCGGAGAGCTTCTACAGCAGCTTGACCCCAACGTCTCTGCAGGTAGGGACTTCCTTCCTTGCCAGGGACAGTGTGGCACAACGCACCAAGGCCCCTAGTTGCACCATCCCCATTGCACACCTCCCAGCGGCCAAATCTGTTATCACAGCCATCAACCAAAAGTGGCCAGTAATTCTTGCTGGGCCGTCTGGCTCTGGGAAGACTTCACTCCTTCGCTCTCTCGCTGCTGCGTCCGGTGCGGAACTTGTTGAATTTTCCATGAATGCCGATGTGGATACAATGGATCTTGTGGGTGGGTTTGAGCAATATGACGTCCGTCGCGACATGGTTGCCTGCCAGAGCAAAGCCAGGGAGGCTGTCCGAAAACAAGTGGTTGTTGCGATGAGGGATCGGAGTCCGACATCGGTCCAGAGCCAACTGTTTGGGTTATGGGAGCGCTTCGGATCTGACAATACTGACCCGTCTCATCTGCGGCAGCTCCTATCTCATACCCTGGATGTCTTGCCTGAGGTTGAAGATTCCATGGCTGACTTGTCACACCTTCTCAATTCGACCGACGCTTCCCTCTCGCGGTTTGTCTGGAACGATGGCATTCTTATTGATGCTTTGGAGCGAGGCTCGTGGCTCGTCCTTGATAACGCAAACTTGTGCAACCCATCTGTCCTAGACAGACTCAACTCACTGCTTGAACCGGACGGGTTTCTTGCTGTTAGCGAGCAGCACAACGCTGGCAGTGACACCAGACTTATCAAGCCACACCCCGATTTCCGAATCTTCTTAACCATGGACCCACAGTATGGAGAACTCTCCCGGGCAATGCGGAACCGATCATTGGAGATCTGCATGCCTGTTGTACCACGGGACCTTGCCGATGCACCAGTGGTTCAGTATCCTTATGCTTCGGCAGTCACTCGTCTACGACAGTTGGTTGAGGCCACAAGTGAAGATCCCTTACAGACCGTGATCGAATCTTTCGCCGACAACCTATCCGTGGAAGAGATAGCGTTAGCACTGGAGAACCGGGACCATTTGCCTGTTGGTACAACTAGCTCTACTCTCACGCTGGAATTGAAGAAGCGAGAATTTGTCGTTTCCCAGAATTTCGGGCATCTGGCTCCATCCCCTGATTATCTGGCCCAGACTCGACTTCCCCAACTGGTCGCACTCAACGAACCATGGCTACTGCTCGACAGACTGCCTGACATTGAGAATTCGCGCCATATCTCTTCTCAAATCCTGACTCGAGGATGGTATATCTCTCGGCGTGTCGAAGACGTCCGAGCAAAATTGAGTGAGGCTTCCGCTGCCACTCTGACAACTCCATTTAAAGGGCAAACAATTCTTCAAAAGTCGACTGCGGTTGGCAATCGCAAAAAGGCGCTGGATATGGTTCCCCAAGTTGCCTCCTTTGCGAACCATCTTATCTCTGAGCTGTCTACGAACCTTGAGACTGCCTTCGGGTTAGACATGCTTTTACTAGACGCCATGGAGCGGGTACTTCTTTTCGCGCAGGACGTGGTGCACCGTTTTGATACGAGAACGCTGGAGTTTGCCTTACTGCATGCGTACATGCAACTCGGGTCCGAACTTGCTCGATCCGTGGCAGTAAGCTTCCCAGGCCTAGCGTCCGTGTTTCTACAGTGCTTGCACATGCTTTCAGCACAAAACAGCGGACTCAAGACCGGCTTGGGCCTTCAACGCATGTGGCAGCCGTTCCAGCCCAAGACAGCAAGATCGGCATCGCAGCTTGAAACACAACTGAGGCTAGAGGGGTTAATTGCCAGGTTTGATCAGTTATGTCGGGTTTTACCCCAGTCCAGGGCTTCTTTGTCGGCGCTGAGGTCTAAATTTCAAGACACCTATGTTTCGATTGTCGAGTCCGACCAACCGGAGACGTCCCTGGTGGCTCTGCAGGAAGCTGTGGCAGTGCTGGAACAACAGTCAAAAGGAGGCTTCTTCCTGGAAGGAAAATATGAAAAGGTGCTCAACTTCACTTATCAGGCGTTGAAGCTGGATGGGCGACGGAACCATTCTACGCTTTTGGATCTACTCGAAATGTTCATACCTGAATCAAAAAGAACCTTACTCACGATCGGAGACGAGACGTCGGTGGCTGCGTCATTGAGTCAGATTGCATCTCTCGATTCGTCTGTGATAGCGGATCAACAACATATTGGACCGTATCTCATCGGCCAGCTGTGTGAAGTCCGGGGGCAAGCCCTGGGTATGCTTGACTACGCGAGAGAAGAACTATCTACGTTGATAAAGGCCACAGCGTCATACCCAGTCACCTGCGATACAGTCACGCTGCCCCTCATCGGGCACGTACAGACTGTGGTCTCCGGCATGCTGTCGGCTCACTATGATTTCCTGACCGAAGAAGCCAGGTCTTGCCATCTTGCTGCAGGGGCATTTGATCTAGCCAGACTTGCGGCGCTCCCCGAAACTGCCATTGTTCTTGATGGACAGGACAAAGCATGCTTTCGGGAAATATTCGGGCGCTACCTTCATCCAATTCTACCAGTTCTGGCGTCTCGAGATCCTCCTATCTTGGCTGATATCAAAACATGTCTGATCAACGCATCACTCGCCGGCCTGACTCTGATGGTGCCAGACAAAGTTTTTGATCCCGCAGTTCTTCCGAATATCGCATTTCAGCAGCACGAACGAAGGTTAACCGACCTTCGTTCCAGAATAACAGGGCAAAAGATATTTCATTCGCAGGTTATGGGACAAAATACCAGTATCGTAATTCGAACTTTGGAGGAAGAAGTCCGTGATATAGGGGATGCCCCTTCACCCCCGGTAGTCTTCAGGCCTAGCCAGTCTGAACTGTCAAGCCTCCAAGAGATATTCACCAGAATTGCGAACCTGGTGACACCGGGCCAGTCCGTCAGCTCTACTATACCAGGCGGTTCGGAGTGGTTGGAGCATTGGTCCAGCCAGCAGAGCAAGGCAAACATCGCCGTTGTTATTGAGCGCCTTGAGCACTCTCACCGAGCCTACGATGACTTTGTGAAGCCGATCGTGTGGTTTTTGAGAATGCTATCCCTTGGGCTGGAGCTTGAGTCGACAAGAGCTACTCTAACCCGCACAGGGGCCGTCTTTCAGGACGTTGTTGGGCATACCCCGATGCTGGGCGCCGGCCCAGGAGCGCTTCTGGCGTGGAATGCGCCTGCCATGTCTAAACCTGTTCTCCGGCTCCTCTGGCTCGAGTACGTTGGCATGACCAGCCTCATGATGGAGCAAGACTGGGATCTATCTGGCGGCTTACTCTCCCTACTCGACGAATTCTATGGCGAATGGAAAGCTCGCCTTACCAGCGCTCAAGCTGACTCTGAAATTCGATCTCGCTACTACACCTATCGTGGTGATGCCGAGAAAGACGAAGAGAGTGAAAGCGGCGAGATGAATGAAATGTTTCCACAATTCGATGACGCCGGAACAGACACCAGCCATGGTGAGGGAAAGTATGAGGCACGCACGGTGGCTGTGAAACTGGCGGTCGCACATCAAAAGATATATACTGTCCAGGACCCTACGCAGGCGCTGGAGAATTACATCCTGCATGCGATGACGACCATTTCGGAGATGGAAGCGAGCGAGTGCGAGCTTCCTGGAGCAGCATTGACCGATTTGTTGCCTGGAATCCTGTTCAAGATGGAATCTGAGCTGGCAGCGTTTGATGCAAGCCAGTCTCCTGCTCACTTCAACATCTACACCGACTGCGACGTGGTTGAGAGTCAAAAGCTTTTCAGTTTGGTGCGCCAAGTCGAATCGAGGTTCCAAACAATCTTGGACCGATGGCCAGAACATGCTGTACCCGCGGAGGTTATTTCGTTTTGCAGAGAGGTGTTGCATTTGACCATCAAAGATCCCCTCGCAAAGCTTCTAACGAAAACCGAGAAGCTCTACGAAATTGTGTCACAATGGCAGAGCATTGCCAGTCGCGAGTGGTCCGTCAGCCCGCTCCTTGAGCAACTCTCCGCCCTGATTGTTAGCTGGAGACGCTTGGAGCTGCTATCTTGGTCCCGCCTCCTCGATGAAGAGCAACACAGACACGAGCAAGATGCGCAAGCCTGGTACTTCGTCGCATACGAAGCGATAGTTTACAACTCAACGAGGATGCACGCTAATGGTGCCGACGACGAGAACCAGGCATACTGCACGTCACTCGCGCGAACCCTCGAAGAGTTTCTGAAAACAACGACAGTCGGCCAATATTCCTCCCGATTGAGACTCCTCGGTACACTAGCCCGATTGCTGGACAATCTCACCAGACATGAAAAGCAGTTGCTACCTGTGCGCAACTGCGTGGCCAATGTCATCGAGCATTATCGACGGTACGAAACAAACGTAGACGCCATCCACCACGCCGGCCGTGCGCACCTCGAGAAGGCCTTGACAGAGCAGATCAAGTTGGCCAGCTGGAAAGATACAAACGTGACAGCACTTCGTGACAGTGCACGACGGTCACATCACAAACTATTCAAGATTGTCAGAAAATATCGGGACCTTTTGAATCAGGCCATCACCGTGTTCAAGCCATCGGAGGACACCAGGGTGCAAGTCCGCCCAGAAGAAGCTGTGGGCATGTTGGGTGAACCTCTTATCCAAGAGGGAACGATCGTTTGGTCACAAGACCAGTGCCGACGAATCTTTCCAGACTGGGGTGCCCGGCCTGAACGTGTGACCAACCCACTAGGAGCCGTCAAAAGCATGCGATATCTGTATTCTAGCAGCAGCGTCGAGTTTCAGCCTCACGTCGAACTGTCGTCCTTTCGCGAAGACCTGGGCGAAGCAATCAAGGAATTAAGAGCGCAAACACCACCGACACTGACAGAAGAGAACACTGCTTTGGTCCGCCATCTCCAAGAGAGAAAGCGACGCCTCCTTGCGGACACTATGAGAGCAGTCGGCCAGATGGGCATCAGGAGGAATCTCCCCACCTCTGAACTCGAAACACAGTCGTCGACAGCCGTTGTTCTTTCTTCTTTGGCCAGCTTCTCACTGGACGAACTTTCCCCCGTCCTGTCTTCTGCCAACAACGCGTTCCACGATCTTCTCGACGCGATGTCGCAAGTTCGGGCTGCTCGGGTCGAGCATTCCGACGACCTCACCGAAGGCGAGATCAATCGTAGTGTCGGGCTACTGGAAGGTCTTCTATTCCTGACTCTGCATCAACGGCAGAACATCGCCGTGTCGACCGAAGAACTGAAAGAGCTACGCGATCAGATGTCGCTTCTGCGCTCATTCCAGACGTCGTCTCCCAACGAGCTTTGTGCTACCGAGACTTCTGGGCAGAGCAAAAGACTTGCCCAACGTCTCGCATGGGTCTCTGAGATCTTGACATTGGCTTGCCGAATCCTGCGGTTTCAAGCACAGCATGCCAATCTTGATGTCAAGGAACTGACCGAGTCAATGAGGTCTTACGGCGGTCAGACCCAAGACCTAAGAACGCAACTTGAGGAAATCCCCTCGATGCCATTGGGGTTGCAGAGCAAACATGCAGCTGCATTACAAACTCGGGCATTGGGAGTCCTTTCACAGCTTCGCTCATCACTGAAAGCATGGCAAGTCAAGGAGCCTCGTGCCGATTTTATTCTCAAGCAGATCATCCCTTGGACTTACGAGATGCCCGAGACTCCAAATGGAACGATCAACGGCACCAGTGACTCTAGTCTGCAATCCTTCGATCATGACCTCCGAATACTACTCGACCAGATTTTCGTGGCCCTGCAAACATTGTCTTCCTCCCAAGAGGGCCTACCGAACACGGTTGAAGACCCGGGCTGGCTTTCAAAGTTCGACAGGCATGTTGCTCGTGCAATTCGCTTCCTAAAGGCTAGAACTATCAGCACAGGTCTGAAATCTTTACTTGAAAAGCTTCATTCCTTGGAAGGGGATGATCTTGCGAGTGTCAGCAACTTGCTTCTTGTGGCGACTCCCATCCTTGAACAGTATTATCACATCCAGGAGCATCTCTATCGTAAACAAACGGCAGTCCACCTTGAAACGAACCAGCTTGCTCTACAACTGGCTAGATCTTTCACCACCATTGCAAGCCAGGGATTCTGTCGACCATCCGAGTCCGCTGGCGGGGACGAACAATCTGGTAAACTCGAGAGTGGAACCGGGCTCGGTGAAGGTGAAGGTGCCGAAGACATCAGCAAGGATGTTGAGGATGACGAGGACTTATCAGAGCTTGCACAGTCGGGGCAGAAAGAGGAGGAAGACGGAGAGATGGAGAATGCTGAAGATGCCGTCGACATGGGTAATGACGATCTGCAAGGCGAAATGGGAGATCAAGGTGAACAGGAATCCAACCAAGATGAAAATGAAGATCGTTCAGATGAAGAAGAAGACAACGAACTGGACGAGGAGACCGGCTCAGTCGACGATCTCGACCCTTCAGCCGTAGATGAAAAGATGTGGGATGATATGAAGGACGAATCGGAAAAGGACAAAGAGATGAAGAACGACAAGGCACAAGGGAAGAAATCGGATGATCAGGCAGCAGCAGACGGGCAGCAACCAGAAGGCGAGGAAATGGACGGGCTGCCGGAAGACGAAATCGAAGAGGAAGGTACTGATGAGGGCGACGGTGCGGAACGACCTGAAGCCGAAAATACGGATCCTCATCTCGACAATGAGAAGGCATTGGACCTCCCAGACGAACTACAGTTGAACGGTGAAGATGAAACGAAGGATGATGACATCTCAGATGACGGGATGGACGAGCTTTCCGATATTGACCAGGCCGCAGAAGAGGAAATTGACGGTGAGGGAGAGAATGAGCCGGAGAGGCCGGAGAAGCATCTGGATGATGTTGGTGATGACAGTGAAGAAATAGGGTCTAGCGAGGACGAACCCGAGAACGGGGTTGCGCAGGACGACCAGATCATGGAGGATCAACCTGGAGAGAAAGAAGATGAAGAGCAACCTGATCATGACACCCGTGAAGACGAAACGGGTCAAGAGATGGACGAAACCGCGGGCGGCGAATCTGGAGCGGCCAACGAAATCCAGGATGCTGCCGATCAGGAACAAGGGATCCCAGGAGTGAATGAATCTGAGAAAGAGCCAGATCCGCAGCAATCACAGCCTGGCAAAGCTTCAGAAAACCAAGAGCAGGGCGAGACCGGCACAGGCGCCGTCGAACAGGGCACCGGTCGAGCCGACGCAATCGAACATCGACCAAACGAAGCTTTGAGAAAACTGGCTGATGTCCTGGACCAGTATCATCAACGCCGCGAGATCCTCCCCACGTCGGACGAGCAGCGGCAGGAAGACAAGGACAGGGATGTGGACATGGCGGATGTCGATTTTGAGCATGTCCAAGACGAAGCTGACGGGGAGGCACAAGCGCTCGGGGCCGCCTCAGCGGATCAGGCTCAGAACCTCGACCAGAGCAGAGCGATTGAAGATGAAGAGCTGCCCGTCAACGAAGATACAGACCTTCCCGACGCCCCGGAGCCCGAGGTAGCAGAGAACATTGCGGAGCGATTCCATCGACGGCAGGCTCAGCCCCAAGGACCCCAGTCAACAGGGGCGGGTGGGTTTCTCCCGGGCTACGAACCGCGTCACAACGAGCAGGACAGTCCGGCGCGGGAGGCCGATGCGGCGTCGGATGATCTGGCGCCGGAAATCGAGCATCTCGAGCTCGAACAGCATGATACAGCGCCGCCATCGCCGCCGACCAGCAGTTCGGACGCGGCCCAGCTGTGGAACCATTGCTCCGCCGTCACGCACCAGTTCTCGCTGGTGCTGACGGAGCAGCTGCGGCTGATTCTGTCGCCCACCACGGCGACCAAGCTGCGCGGCGACTTCCGCACCGGCAAGCGGCTCAACATCAAGCGCATCATCCCGTACATTGCGTCGAGCTACAAGCGGGATAAGATCTGGATGCGACGATCGGTGCCGAGCAAGCGGAGCTACCAGATCATGATCGCGGTGGACGACAGCAAATCCATGAGCGAGTCCGGCGCGGACATGCTGGCGTTCGAGACGCTGGCGATGCTGACCAAGTCGCTGTCGATGCTCGAGGTGGGCGAGCTCTGCGTGGTCGGGTTCGGCGACCAGGCGCACATCACGGTCGCGCACCCGTTCGGCACGCCCTTCTCGCCCGCCGAGTCCGGGCCCAGCGTCTTCCGCGCCTTCAGCTTTGCCCAGCGCGGCACCAACGTGCGCAACCTGGTGCAAGAGAGCATCCAGCTGTTCCGCGACGCCCGCCAGAAGGGCCACCTGGCCTCGGAGGATCTGTGGCAGCTGCAGCTCATCGTCAGCGACGGCCACTGCTCCGACCACGAGGCCGTCGCCCGCCTCGTGCGCCAGGCGCAGTCGGAGAAGATCGTCATTGTCTTTGTCATTGTCGACGCCGGGCCCGAGTCCATCCTCGACCTCAAGCAGGCCGTCTTCGAGCCCGATCCCACCGCCGCGCCCGCGGCCGACGGCGGACCGGTGGAAATGAGAGTCCGCACCAAAAGATACCTCGAAGACTTCCCCTTTCCGTACTACCTGGTCGTGAGGGACGTGCGGGACTTGCCCGGCGTGTTGGCGACGGCCTTGAAGGGATGGTTTGGAAGTGTGGTTGATGTTCAGTAGCATACTTGGGTACATGGGTTTGTAGTATATAAACTGCACTACTCTGTGCAGAGTATAAATTCAGATAGTTTAATGACGTATAACAGAGGGAGGTTTCTCTTTAAATGTGAACCATGTCTATCTCCATGCAGAACGAACGCTCGTAGTTGATCAAGTAGAAATGAATTAAATTAGAAGTGGTAGTATAATAGTCGTGGTAGATCGCTGATGAAATCGATGCTGTACATTCAGCCATTCTGCCCCTATTGCACATCTCCTTCTTCTTCTTCTCCTCCTCCTCCTTCTCCTCCTCAAGGCACTCAGGGCACCAAAACAGGCATAACGACGCAGCTATGACCATCAGGACAAACACCCTTCCTAGCGAGATCTTTGTCCCTCGGCCCCGTCGGGCCAGCGACATATGTTCTCTGGCCGAAGACGTCGAGCTGGCCCTTCGTGGAGTCCGGGAGCTGGTTATCGCCCCAACGACCGTTGAAGTTGAGCCAGGCCGACGGGGGTGTGGCGGTGGCGGTGGCGGTGGCGGCGTTGGTATAGGGCACAAACGACCCGTCGGCGATATTGTAGTCATAGCACAGGGCGCCGGGCAACGGGTCCCAGAAGACACCGGCGTCCGTGTGGTCGGTGAGCGGGCCGAGCTGGGTGTTGAGGCCTGGGATGGTGTGGTCGTGCGGGCCGGGCATGGCGTAGTTGGCGTGGGTGCCTTTGGCGACGTAGACGACGGGCCGGAGCCCTCCAGCCTTCTGCACGGCCGGGTAGGCAAAGGCCTGGCCGGCCGAGTGCTGGCTGAAATAGACGGACTGCGGCACGCCGTGGACGAAGCGCACCATCGTGTGCTCCCAGTCGCCGACGTGGTCGCCGAACTCGAGCGCCTGAGACCCCAGCACCCAGTTGCCCTGGTTGTAGGCGTAGAAGTAGAAGTAGAAGGCGTCGAGGGTGTCGTTGGCCTTGGCCACGGTGACGATGGCGCTCGCCACCGTCGACGCGCCCGTCGTGCCGTCCGCCGAGGGCCGCGTGCCTTGGAACCAGGCCGGTAGGGCTTCGATCCCTTCCTTCGACGTCAGGTACACGTCGGCGCCGGAGTTGGCGAACGCGTTGAGCTCGTCGAGGTTGCTGAGCGTCAACGGCGACGACGACGTTGGCAGCGTGAGCACGGCGCCAGAGCTGTCTTCAGGCCGTGTGTGTGCTAGGTGGGACCCAATGTCGCTGGGGAAGTAGGCCTCTGTCGAATGGAGGTATGCTACCGGCGCTGTCGTCGATCAATCATCATGTTAGCTGGGCATGCACACACGGTCTCTCTGCGTGAATAGTATTTTGGTCTCGGTTGGACGTGGGCTCAGGCTTTCGGGGGAATAGGGAATACTGTGTACCATATTGCCGCACGAAGTCGGGTACATCACGCTTCTGGAGCGTCGGTAGAGGCAAAGGAGATGCTAGAGCAGCAGTGGCAAAGAGTAACCCAAATGCCAGAAAGGGGCAAATCATCTTCAAGTTGGAGGAGGAGGAGCTTCCACGCTGGCCATCAACTTAGTCACACACTGTCTATTCAAGGTCGTCAGGAGTCGATGCATTCAGGTCGGGAGGCCGAAGCCGTCATGCACGCCCTTAAGTAAGTCCTCATTCTGAATGTGGGTGCGGATTCATCTAAAGACGAATCTGCAGTTGTGCGAGTGAGATGTTCGAACCCTCGCAGCAATCTGGCCTGTCCAGGACTCCAGCCCATGGGAGGAGCAGAGACGTCGAGGGTCATCAATGCATGCGGCGACGGGTGTGGCCTCGCTGGAGGAGGCTGTCCAGGAGTCAAATAGGGTCAAACAACCCCATCCATGCTCGCTGCTAAGCGATCCAGTCTGGATATCGCATTTGGTGACGGGCTCGCATCAATCTCCGGGACATGGGCCAATCAGCTTGTCCAGATGGTCACGGGGCGACGTCGAGACCAACATGTGAGCTGTTTGTCCGAGAACACCGAGAACTTCTGATCAACGTGGTGTAGGCGTAGACTGCCATTCGTAGGACCGGCGAACTTGGGGATCGTGTCGCTGATCATGAGGCTCTGATGCGGACTGTGTGGCGTGATGAGCAAAAGGGCCGCTAGACCTACACATCAGCAGGAAAGCAAGGCACAAATCATCAGAACCGTGGCTTCACCACCTCGTGCATCCTGATATTGTGGATCGGTAGAGAACACAAACGCGACAACAAATGGACAATACCATGAGAGCGCGCCAAAACTCGGAAGAATCATCTCAAGTGACTTGTTTGGATTCTGGCTCCTGCATATGTACAAGGTCTTTAATCCACGGCCTCTATAGGACCTGTGATCGATTCCACCCATATCTCCATCGTTCCTAGTCACTCTACCAGACTGTCTTGTGACCAAGGGTCAATCGGACCATGCCGTACAGCGAGTATGAGAAACCACCGATCAACAAAGTGTAGTATGGGTAGAGGATGTAGGGGCTCCGGTGAGTCTAAATGACCATGTTAGCAACTGCATTCAAGACGTTTGATGAATGCATTGAAGGAAAAACTGCGCATCCCGGTCGCAACCACAGCATTCAGGCCAACACGCCAATTCATGTTGTAGATACCCATGTCACCTATGCAAGCAAAATGATCTGCCCTCAACAGGGATTGACACCGAGTTGGTCTGCACAACCAGGGCCAAATAGCGCACCAAAAATCGACGCAACAACGTGTCTCGGTCCAGCAGTAGAAATAAAGAAGGCTCACTAACCTTCCACCATTGTCGCTTTCCATCATGGTTTTGGAAGAGGCGTTGGTAGTAGGGGACTCGGTTCTCGCGTTGGACGAATCTGTCAAGGCAAGAAGTCAGCACCACCGGCAGATCAGAGGGAGCAGACCGGCCATCAGTCCAGGATGCTGTGCTGGGGCAGATTCCGGACAAGTGACAACTGACTTACCCCCATCTCTGAGCTGGCGACTGGCTGAACATGCGGGCGCGGGTTGCCTGCATCATGCGGGCAGCTGTAGGCGCGACCATTTTGTCGGTTTAGCGATGAATTGGGTGACGGAGGAGCTGCGGCGAGGACGAAGGGCTGTAGAGGTCGACGACGGTGGTGAGATGAGCTTCCGGGACATTGAGGTTGAAGTTGGGCGCAGGAACTGGAACTGGAAGCTCGTGCCAAGCCAAGACTCCAGACTCAAGACTGCGCTCACGTGATGGGCTGGTATCGCCGGAATTGCCATCGCCTGATCCATTTCAATTCTGTGCAAGCACATTGGCCATCGTCCAAAAACTGCCACATCGCCGTCGCCGTGCCTGTCCTGCTCTATCCTGTCCACAGTCGGTCGCAGCATCATTTTGTCGAGCGGCAAGGCCTCTACAAGTCCTCTGGTCTATGCTACATGAGACTGTCCTGGAGACGTCTTGTGCATCGCCCGAGGATACCATGTCGACTACCAGCATCTCATAACTCGGCGGTGGCCAGTGTCCGGTACTTGTTTACCGCACAGTCTGAACAGACGCGGGCCTTGGTCCGTCGACGGCAATGGGCCCCCTGCCCAGGATCAACATATACCACCTATTCTCTCCGACGAGGATACTCCAATGATGTTCTTCAGAACGAATCCACAAATAGCCACATTCCGGCTGATACGGACACGGAATGGGAGCAGATTCTGGAAGACGCGTCCATCCATGGAATTCGGAGCAAAGGACAGTTGTTGTTCGAGGCAGATGTGGGCCATGCTTCTGGAATAGGATCCCGACTTGTCGACACATCTCCGGCTCGCCAAAACCTTGACCTGTGGCGTACTTTGCTGAGGGCTCAAGCTCTCCAGAATGGCCATGACGGCATCAAGGCGATATGGCGAGGGCTTCAGTATCGCGGCAAGGCAATTCGCTTTGATGATACAAATCCTCAAGTCAACCCGCTTTGGCAAATTTTCCTTTCCGCTGGTGCCGCCGACCATCATTTTCTGTGGTCGCTCTGCAAGGTGGCTAAACGCGCCAAGTTCAAGCGCCCTGCGCTCTTCGCCGAGATTGTAGGAGCGGCCTTGGAGGGTGATGCGCCTCAAAGAGCGGTCGACTTTGCAGCCTTTCTCTTACCATCCCACTACCGAGGTCGTGACGATCTAGTGGCCATATTTGAGTCTGCATGCCATTCGGAGTCGGCCGATGCCCTCAAAGATTTTTGCAGGGTCTACGAGATGGTGCCAAAGACTCAAATCTACAGCGACGTCGCAACTAGCCTTTGGGAGCAAGATCGGTCTGCCGACGCATTCATGATGCACTCTTTTCTGGCATCCAAAGGGGACCTACCCCCAAGGTTTGAGGTGTTGGAGCCGTTTCTCACTCACTTGGTGATGCACCATGGCAAGCTCAGCAGTTTCCTGTTGCCTTTAAACTCGGCGGGGGCGTCTTTCGAAGCGCAAGCTCGTCGTTTCTGGGCACGCGAGAGAAGCAGGATCACCGGTCTGTCTCCAGAGTCCTTGAATATTGTTGCAAGCAAGACACTCGGGGTCAACCCGAAAAAGTTCAGTGACCAATTTGTGGCACGAGCATTTGCGACAAGGGCATTCTCATTCGAATTTACGGTCAACAGCCTGAGAATGATAGGCTTGATCGAGGTAGGGCCGCAGGCCGTCCGCCAAGCGGCCTTGACCGCGCCAGATTTAGCTACCCTACAAGCCCGATTCACCAAGTTTGATGATCTCGGGGTCGACACCGGAGCTTCTGCGTTCGTCCGAATTATGAGAAAGGTCTGCAATGCTGGACGATGGGAGATGGTTCAAGCTCTGATAAACAATGATTTGCACCATGAAGTGTTTGAGAATTTAGACTTACAGGAAAGACTGCTGGCTGAATACTATCGGAGGAAGGATTGGCTGCAACTAAACCGAACACTTGTGATTCTGAACGACGGGGAATTCGACGCCAAAGCACAAGCTCATGCTGGGAATCTATTACTACGAATCATGCTCGAAGCGGGTGACTGGGCCGAAGCCTTGAACCTGGCGAAGAGTTTGCAACAGCAAGGCTTACATCTCTCGACGAATCTCGCCCGCACCGTCGCCCACATCTTCAGAGATACCAAGGGATCTGAACTTGCTCAGGCTGACTGCGTGGATCGAGTTGCATATTTGATCGGCTTCCTGCAAGACATACTGGGCTCAGGAACCTACTTTGACATCAAACTCTGGCGAAGACCGCTCAGGGCATTGGGCAGACTTGGTCGGATGAAGGAACTGGAATGCTTGATCTACTGGATTGCCGAGCAATACATGCCCAAACGTCTACCCCAACCAGTTCGCTTGAAACGAATGATGTCCGTGCCATCTCCACTGGAAGTCCTGTTTGACGAGAAGTTTCAGAGGTCTCTGGTGTCGTGGTGCTTCGGACCACGCAGAGGTATGACTGCAGTCTCCCCGGAGCGCTGCTTGCGTTGGACGCGTATTCTGAAGAGGTTGCGGGATGTCTACGGTGTCCAGGTCAAAGAATATAACCTCCGTTGGACATTCATTCGCCGGCTCCGCTGGCTTTTTGCCCCAGGCATCCGGTTGAAACCACACAACATGTGGACTCGTGTGCGGAACACCACTCCTGTCAGCCGCTACTGGGAGCTATATGATATGATGTGGGACATGAGACCGGCTGGCCATCTGAGGTATGATCGCCACACCGTCCTTCTGCAGATGAGGAGGAGGAAAATACCTCCAGCGGGGGGCCGACAGCCGGTGGGGGCTTTCCAGCCATCATCAGGGGCCGCCATTGAAGGTTCTCAGACAAAAAGGGCCGACAAAGACGTAGACATTGTCGTGTACCGAGATCTCTTCCATGCCTCATGGGAGGATTATAGTAAATGAACAATACAATAGCATTGCAGTCCAACACAGTGCCAGCGTTGGAAACAAACCCTGAATTCTGCCCGCACCCTTGTACCCTTGTGTTAAAGCGGCAGTAATTTGTGCCTGCACACCGCCAAAATGCCTCAACTCAACTCACGCCGCTTTCACATACCAATCGTCACCGGGCAACAAGCGGCTACAACCGACGCTAACGCTATTCGGACTAGACGGCTTCATTCACATCTTCACACCCTCTGCACTGGTAAGTGGTCTTCTTTCTCTTTGTCAAATCCCCCGTGAAAGTTTCCAAAATGGCCGACCTCGATGCCTTGGGCGAGCTGAAAAACCAGCAACGGCCTACTCGTCGCTTCGAGAAGACCTATGGCAAGAAGAAACCCGCCATGGCACAGTCTCGCGCCATGCACTTCGACCTGTTCGGTGGAGGAGATGAGAACAAGATCGTGGACGAGATGGAGAAACTGACGATCAAAAATGATAGAAAAGAGAGAGTCGAATCCGTTCCGCCTGTGCAAGAGTGTCCTGTGCCTGCCAAAGTACATCCAACAGAACACAACCCACGGCTTCGAGGACGACGCAAAGCAACAACATCGAAGAGAATGGCGGTAAGTCTCGAATCCATGAGTGACTCCAAAACCGATCTACCACCCCCACAAGACTGACTGTACTGTGCCAGACCCTTACCCAAGACAAGATGCAAGCACTCAAACCTTTGCTCTCGCTGGTCAATCAAGAGGTCCAAGACTTCCAGGAATTCGGCCGAAGCATGGGCAAGAAATACATTTGCACCAAACTCGGCGAAGGGGCCTTCGCCGACGTCTTCAAACTCAAACCCAAAGACATCGACGAAGCCATGCAAGTGTACGAACGAGGCGGCCTTGTGATCAAAGTCATCCCCTTCACCGTCGACAAAATCGATGACGACGACATTGGAGATCTGGAATCTGTCACCCGAGAAGTCAGAATCTTGCAAACACTCGACCCGCTGCATGGCTTCGCTCGCTGCAGAGGAGTCCATGTTGTCAGCGGCAAGTATCCCGACGTCCTCCTTGACGCATTTCAAATGTTCAAAACAACACACCCTCTCACCGCAATCAACCCAGATCCCACCAAAACTGCTCCTGCCGACCAACTGTACGTCATCATTGAGATGGACGACGCTGGGACGCCTGTGTGGAAGATCGGACGCCCATCAGCATTCCAAGCGTTCGATATTTTCTGGAAGACGGCGATGGTACTGGCGAATGCCGAAGAGAAGGTGGAATTTGAACACCGAGACTTACACAACGGCAACGTCTGCTACAAGCCACTCAAGAGGAACGGGCCCGGCGATGTCATCCAGGCGGTCGTCGAAGACATGTTGGAGGAACCAGAAGTGACACTAGGGCTCTCGAATCTGCAGGTTACCGTCATCGACTACACCCTCGCCCGAGCCAAAGTCGGCAATGATTCTGAAGGCGACCTCGTCGTGTTCGACCCAATTCAATATTGGGAAGAGAATGACGCCGAAGGCGAATCAGAATCAGACAAGAAACAGTACGACACGTACCGCAAGGTGCGGGATTGGGCGAGGGGAGAGGAAGCCAAGGCGAAAGCCGCGGCGGAACTGGACGGGGCCGAGTACGAGGAGAGAGACAAGTACTCCAGGTTCCTCCCAAAGTCCAACGTCATGTGGTTGGGATATCTGGTGGCCGACCTGTTGATGAAGAGTGCCGGGGGGAGGGGGGCGAGTCTGCCAGGAAGCAGCAGGGCGGCCAAGAGGCTGCAGTTGTACATGTGGAGGACGTTGGAGGAGGTTGACGTCTATGTCAACGGCAGCTCTCCGACCCTGATGCCGGAGAGCGCGGGCGACCTGCTGGCCACGGCGATGGAGATGAAGTGGCTGACACTGGCCGACATGGCAGTGTTCAGAGAGGAGCTAGAGGAGTAGGGCAGAGGGGGGTGGAGGGGAGCTGGGGAGCTGGGGGGAAGAGCATTCTTTGTCGTTCATGCATAGCGAGAGGCGTTCGCCCGATGGGCAAGCCGCACAGCGGCCAGTCATGAGAGATGCGTAACGAGAGTCCTTAACGACATAATACTGCACCCGTGTCCAATGTCTGTGACTGACACCCGAACTTTTGTCCAAAGCTGTTTACTGAACTCGGTCAGGTGGGCGAGAAGATGGAAGGTTTGGTAGAGAGTGGTAAGTTGGAGATTGGGCTGTGAATGCTTTAACACTACTGCTGCTAATCGCTAGTAACGCGCAGTCAGCTGCACAGACGGCATGCGTCACGTCAGTTCTCCACGACCTCAATCGACGGGTCATCCCCCCTCCCTTTCCCACAGATGCACAAGACTTGTCGTTCGTTCAGTTCAGCAGGCACAACCTCCCCGACCGTCATCCTGTCATTGCGGCCAATCTTGCACCGTAACATGACACGGCCAATTCGGATATCTTGACGGCCACGTCCGTCCTCTCCATGCCCAGTTTGTCCCAATCGCCGCAACCATCATTCGAGCTTCAAGAACTGTCCAATATGGATCGAATCAAGGAGCTCTTCCGTTCCAGCCCCGACTATGAGCCTATTCCGCGCGGTGGAGAAAGAGAAAGAGACAGAGACGAAGAGATTGTGCACAATGTTCCAGAAGACGACGAGGTCGCAGCGCCATTTTCATGGATCGAATATGGTATCTTCCTGCTATTGGGGATTGCAATGTTATGGGCCTGGTGACTTTAGATTCCTCTTCCATCAGCATGGCCATTACTGACACAATGGTAGGAACATGTTTCTGGCCGCAGCACCGTACTTTCAGCACCGTTTCCGAGCCAGCGAATGGATCCTGAATCATTTCCAGGCCGCGGAGGTCTCCGTGTCGACCGTTACAAACCTCACCTCGATGATAGCGTTGACAAAACTACAAAAGGGGGCGTCATACCCACGGCGGATAACGGCATCACTGCTCATCAACACAGTGGTATTTGGGGTCCTGTCGTTGTCAACCCTGGTTCCCACCCCGGCAAGAGTCTACTTTGGCTTCTTGCTTGTTGCCATCTTCACCGCGAGCTTCTCGACCGGTCTGATCCAAAACGGGCTGTTCTCCTTCGCATCGGGCTTTGGAAGAAGCGAGTACACTCAAGCCATTATGACTGGTCAGGCGGTCGCAGGAGTCCTACCGCCCCTCGCCCAAATCATTTCGGTGGTTGCGGTACCTGCAAAGAAGCCAGGTGATGCAGACAGTGCTGATGAGTCTCCCACCTCTGCACTGGTCTACTTCTTGACCGCCACCGCCATCTCAGTCATTGCTTTGCTTGCTTTCTTCTATCTTCTGAAGAAGGAAAGCCAGGCCCGCGCCCTTAGTTCCGCATCCAAATCGACCGCAAATGAGAGCTCGGAGGGAGATATCCTGACCGGCAACGCACGAGCGGCCGGAAGCACTGAAAATCTCGAGCCTCCTGAGCGACCGGAGGTGTCACTCACAACACTGTTCAAGAAGCTACCATTCCTTGCCGCGGCGGTTTTCGTCTGCTTCGCCGTCACCATGGTCTTTCCCGTCTTTACTGCTTCGATCCTGTCGGTCAGAGGCATCGACTCTGCGGTATTCATTCCTACAGCCTTCTTGCTGTGGAATATAGGGGATCTACTGGGTCGGTTGGCAACATTGTGGAAACGGGTCTCTTTGGCCCATTATCCGTTTGCGCTTTTCTGCCTAGCCATGGCAAGACTGCTATTTATTCCATTGTATTTCCTTTGTAATATCAAGGGCAAAGGGGCCATTGTCAACAGTGACGTTTTCTATCTGGTCATTGTTCAATTCCTCTTCGGTCTCACAAATGGATATCTCGGCAGTGAATGTATGATGGGCTCCGGAGACTGGGTTGCTCCGGAAGAACGCGAGGCGGCAGGCGGGTTTATGGGATTGATGCTTGTTAGCGGTCTCACTGTCGGCAGCCTGCTCAGCTTCTTGCTAGGAGACGTCTAAAGCACGTGACGAAAGCCACCCGCACCCTGGCATCTGGATATATTTTGAGGCCATCCTGGCAGGCATTTGACAACGCCATATCTCCGGCTAGGATGTCGAGTCTTGATCATCCCTTCTTGACGGGAGTCCCTTGACACAGCCTCGTTCTCGGCGCAAGAGGTGGTCAACGTGTCCGAGACAGTTTGTGGTACTATCAACCCGCCTAAAATCGCCGCCCGTGATTTAGTGGGAAGCACAGTCGAGGTGAAAAGCTATGTTTGTGTGCACTGACTGCTTGACCTTGACGGATCTGGTGGATGACGTACCACCCATCTCCATCGGGTTTGCATTACCCCTGAAATGGAGGGAAGAATGGTGTTGCAAAGGCAAGCTTTTGCGGGAAAATATACAGAATGCGGTGCAACTCGGGAGATGAGATGTGGAAGACGTTGAGAGGGAGTTGCACCACTAGGATGATAGATTACAGTGTAGGAAGTACTTTGTACAGGAAGAAATCAAGCCAACGATGATGACTGGCTTGTGTACGGATGCTTTGTACGACGTCAAGCGGGAAGACACAGCCTCGTTGATAGTTGATACTATTCGAGTGTGACAGGAGGGACGTCTCTAGTGACAGGGGACCTATGGAGATTGCCAATGCTGTCAAAGGCATATCGGCGTCGATATGTCCGGGGTTGTGGCTCTTGCGCTGGCATCTGTTCTATGTATACCAGCTGTTTCCGTGTATGGAGTACAGTATTCCTCGTATATCTCTGTTGGTCGAGACAGACAACATGGGATTGTATTCCGTATACGGAGTACGGGAGTGTAGTACGGAATACGGAGTAGTACGTCCTGGCGCCAATACTCCGGCCTACCTCCCGAGTGGTAATACTGTCGAGTATGTGCAGGTCGGCGAAGATAAATGTCACGTGCAAGGGGTAAGTGTTTAGCGCCGGAGAATCGGAGGCCCAGCGCCGACGTGACAGGTCCGTAGCGCGTCGAGCCGCTGCAGGAACAGGCAAAGTGACCGAGCCCAAAGGGATCATCATTCGTTGTCGCACTTCTCAGCACCCTGCTCCATGCTCCCTGTTCCCTGTCCTCGCCGTGGCTGGCTGGCTCCAACGCTCTACTCTGTACCCTGTAATATTACTCTATACCAGAGTTATCCGTGTCTACTGCCGCCAACATACCCCCATGATCCTGGGTGACTCAGCCCTGACCCATTGGTCGGGCCAATGCCAGCAGCCGCTGCACCCAACCCCCCGTCTAGCTGAGAAGCTGACCCAGAGATCCGCGAGGCCCAGGGCTGCTGGCAATTTACAGCACAGAACTCGAGAGCCTGTTTTCCGCAAGGAGGCCTAACCTGAAACCACCACGATCTCCCTCAGATGAGCGCCGTTGCATTATTACCGAGAACACGCGTCAAGTTGTCGACCACGAGGAAAGACGACAAGTACTACACCTATTTTGGCATGTGTACAGAGTATCCGTATATCCCCAGAAAAGAGTGGGATGAGGCCTTACGTTGGAGTCTGGATCAGAGACCGCACAGAGCCGTCCAGAGCGCGCTGGTGGAACCTCAGAACCTCCAAGGATGAGACAAGCACAAGAAAGCGTCGATGTGTTGGGGGCTTTAGCTTTCTGTCAGCGAGCTGAACCGGCACGAACCAAGATACGAATTACCAAAGGATGGAGGCCCCATGTCCAAGTCCCAGCCTCCACGCACCAATCAAGGCCATCTGCCAGCCCTCTGTGCCGGTCATGGCTCTTGATTTTTTCTATTCTCGAGCCTGACACTGACAGACCCAGCAGCTTCCGTTCCCCACCAACCAGCCTACGCAGGTCCTAGCGTTTCAGACCAGCGCTCCTGCAAGTCAAAGATCGTCCATTTGATGATTGCGGCTAGCCACATCCAACTACCCCATGTCCCGTCTTGCAGCTGGTGTTGTGCCACAGTGCAGGCCTGATGCCTGACCAGAAGAAGAAGCTGAACATCACCGCGCGTTGTCTCACACATCTCATCCCTACTCGTTCCCTCCCACTCACTCCCTTCGAACAAGTGCTGACTACGTTGAAAGTCTTGTGCCCTTCGTTACCCGCTGCTTGGGGGTTTAAGCCATATCTACCCGCCTCCAAAGCCTTTCTGCTTCTCTGTTCCTCCCCTCCTGCGCGACTCGAGTAGGCAACACATTGATCGACATCATTCTCTTCGCTTCAAGATTCCCTCACCGAACGAGGACGGCTTCTAGTAGTACCATCTCTCTCTCTCACACACACATATCCATCGGGTCACCGCACACATCGGACGATCAATCATGGCTCGATCTCAATCTTCGGCCTTCCTCGCCCTCCTGACCGTCCTCCCCTACGTCACTTATGCCTCACCCGTTTCACACCTCTACAAACGCGACATGTCAGCTGGCGCCAAAGCTGGACTCGGCGTCGGCATCGCTGTGGCTGCAGTCATGGCCGTATGCCTCCTTACCTTCTTTGTCGTTCACCTCCGGCGATCTCGACATCTGGCACAAATCAACAGAGAACGATCTGTCCTCGCCGGTGAGAAGAACCAAGACGGCTCTGATAAGCCCGACATTTTCGCATCCAATCCACCCAACAACTCAGGAATGCCGAGGAGGAACAAGTCAGTCAAGGATCGATTGATGGGCCCTCTGTACCGAGGGAGCACGATCGATCTCATGCCGATTCCGAAGGCGCACGTGAATGGTCAGAATCGAAGCAGCACGTTAACCATGGACAACGCCGACGGACAACCCTTCCTGCACAAGCCATGGGCTCACGGCGAGAGCTCTCCGAGACCTAGTTTCAGCAGCAAACGGGCCACCAGAATGATGATGATGATGTGAAGCGCCGGTCCTCGTCCGGTTGGTTTCTGAACATTTTTCTCATTTGTGGCTTCTGCACTTTCCATGAAATATACACTCTCGATATCCTTGAGCTAGCTTTTGAAAACGTTTGGCGCTGCCAGGTGCTATGGTGTTAATACTGGCATGCGCCGGAGGAATGTATTCGGCCCTTTGCAGGTCTGGCGACCTCGTGCGCGGTTTGGCGTTTCGGTGTCATGGTGCGATTGGGTTGCGTTGGCTCAGGTCTTGTACATTGGGAATCACTGGAGACTGACTGTCTGGGGCTCAGATCTCAGATCTGCCATGACGGGGTCGGTTTGGCGAGGATGTCACGACCGGAAATCAGTATACGGACACTAGGGGCAGTGCAGGTATGGCAAGCTGTCTATCGGGGACTTGTGTCGCGAGGCTTGTGAAAGTCTCTATCTTGTCGACGCAGATATCGGTCAAAGTCTCTATCTTCTTGTCGACGCAAATATCGATATAAATACCTATAACCAATCAGGAATGACGGTTCAATCAGACTTGACTTTTGAGATATGATCTGATATGATGGCCCGATCGAGCCACAATCGTAGCGGTCCGTCGACAGTATCGGTGGCAGAAAGTCGACCGTCCTGACTGGCCTTTCAAGTTCTCGACCTGACCGGCCTTGCAAGTTCTCGACTCCGGGGCCGATCGACTTGAGAAATTGGGTGTTCTCCACGTCCAGGCCGACCATGATCAATTCCTAGGGTCATGTACAATATAGGATACTTGACGCCAACCATCATCAAATCCTTGTAAGGGCCACGTACCTACAGTATTGTGTGGTATCAGTGATGTACCATAATCACTTCCTAGGGTCATAATCAATATATGGTATTTGACGCCAACCATCATCAGCCTTGCAAGGGTCATGTACCTACACTGTACAGTATTGTGTGTGGTACCAGTGTTGTGTCAGTGTTGTCCCAGTGCTGTGTCAGTGTTGGGTTCATGGGCGGCTTTGGCCTAGTCTGCTGGTGTGCTGGTCTGCTGATCTGGTTTGGTCTGGTGCCGTCGGTATGTGCGTACGTACATACTTACCTACCTGTCTGCCTGCCTCCTTACCTGCCTACATACCTGCCTGCCTGCCTACCTACCTACTCACTCCGTACTTACCTTAGGTATCTTCTGGAATTGGCACTAGACGTCCAGCCGGCCATGGAATGCATCAATTACGCAACTCACATACGGAGTACATACAGTATATACAATGGTGGTGGTAGTATCCGTATTCATCCTTATGACATGTCTAAGGCCAGATCAGGTAGTCATGTAGTCAGGTAATCAAGTAGTCAGGTAGTCAGGAAGTCATGATTTGAGGATTTCCTTTCCGGGCGGTGAGAAGTCCTATCCTATTCTATTCATGTATTTACCACGGAGTATATGTATGTATTATTAGTGAGTAGTAAGATACTACGAGATGTTTTTGGCATCTACTCTGTCTCTCCGTCTTGTCTCTCTCTCTCTCCCATTGTCTTGTCTGGGTTTCTTCTCTGGTTGTTCTCCTTCAAGAAGCAAATCTGACCGGTATACCATAGACCATGTGATCCGAACCTGAAGAAGAGAGGAATGTCCTTGACCCTGTCACACCATACCGCCCAGTCAATCATCGAATCCTGAAGAAGATAGGAATGTCCATGTCCTAGTCCTTGTCCTGATTCAAGGGCTGGGGCCCAGCCCAGAGAATTGAATGGCATGACCATGACATTGATGACGCACGCTCAAGCAGACCCTCCACCGGGCGGCAACAGCGCCAGCACCTTCTGGCCGTCTCTCCTGCCGTTGCTGGCGAGGTCAAATACATCGACGACGGCCTCTCCCGTGTTGAAGTTGCCCTCGAACTCGGCGACGTAGCTGCCGTAATTCAGCTCGATGAGGTTCTTGTCGTCGGTGCGGAACGACATGCTTCCGAAGCCGTGCAGGGCGTTATTGGCGTAGTGGATGGTGGCGGTGGCGTCTAGAAGGATGCCGGTTCCGGAGGTGGTGTTGAGGGACCAAGTGTTGGTGTAGAACTGAGAGATATCAGTACGTATCCAAATTAGGATCTACCTGGGACCTAGGTCCTCAATATATCGTGAAAGGGGAAGGGTCTCGAGAAAATAGAAAGTAGAAGTAGATGGTGTAGGTGGTGTACTTGTACTTACACTAGTCGTTCCATTCGTACCGGTCGGGATGGTTTCGATCGCAGCACCCAGCGGGAGGATCTTGCCCTCAATAGCTCCGGTGAAGTTGCCTGGTGGTGTGGCATCAGTATCTGTCATTTGTACGTAGTACTCCGCACACCGCACACCGCACACCGCATTCACTTTCCATGTATCTCTTCTTCTTCCCTGGTCTCACAGACACGAAAACCAACATGCAGAGGACGGAACAACCAAAACCAAAAAGCAGAGGAGAAATAAAGAGAGAGACCATACCTCCCATATTTGGGGCTCTGGCAGTGATTCCGTACAGGGTGCTGGCGTTGCTGGGCAGGTCCGCAATGATATTGAGGTGGAGAAACGGCTTGACGCTGGGGGATTTGAAGGTGGTCACGCCAGTGTCGGTCTTTCGGCTCTCGAGAGGTTGAGCAGAGGCCGCCGGCGAAAGAACAGCCAGAGCGGCGAGAGCGGCAGCAAGAGTGGATTGGAAGAACATGGTGGCAGAATAAGGAAGTGAGAGATGGTCTTTTGCCCTTGGAGTGAGAGTAAGAGTAAGAGATAGTCCTTTGCCTTTGGAGTGAGAGTAAGAGTGAAAGATGGTCCTTTGTCCTTTGGAGAGTTTGTGTCCGTACAATGAATGTACCTTGTAGAGGATTAAGACTGTGCGGATGGAATTGGTTGTGATTGGGATCTGGATTGCCTCGAAACACACACTTGATCCTTTATATATGTTTCCATCCCCTCCCCAGGAGTCAGGCATTCCACTCTGGTCGGGTCAACAAACATACAGTACTCGTATCGTCGCTCCGCCGCGCCGGCTAGTCGACGGTCGGCCTCTTTCATTTCACCTCCTCCGACACGGCATCATCATCAATTATCATCGCCATCGATCGCAATACGGATACTTCAATCTTACCTAGTCAGTAGTCAGGTACTGAATACTCCGACTCCGTGCTGGGGCTGTGGTGAAAACCTCCGTCATGGGGCTCTGCTGGACGCTATCACTCCATCTCCGTCTCCTTCCTGGGGCTGTCGTGAACACCTACCAAACCGTCTCCATCTCCGTCTCCGTACAGCGACAGTGATTGGCTCCGGCGCTGAAAGCTACCCGATACAGTCTAGCTTCAGCCCCCGGAGCCTAGTGCCAAGAGAGGAGCGGTATAGATGCCAACGATAGTACGTACCTAACGGAGTACTGCGTTCTGCTAGTATACTAGGGGGAGTAGTACTCGTAGTAGTAGTATTCTACTACCTAGAATACTAGTATGGGTCTGAGGCCAAGTACTCCTACGGACGGAGTATGTAAACCCCGCCGGCTTTAAGTTCAAGTCCCAAACCGTCTTGTCCTCCGGCTTGGGTTGCTTGGCGGTGAGCGGTGATACGACACCCGGTAGCCTGGTACCTTACACATTGAAGTGTACGACCGGGGTCGATGGGGAGAAGAATAAGGGGCCTAAGACATAGGTTTCTCTGCGTGAGGCCCACGGCTGGCTGTACGGAGAGTGGTGTGGTGTACCTATTGATGACCACCCTAACTCTAACCCTAACCCTAACCCTAACCCTGCTCAACCTACGGATAGGGATACAGTACCCTTATAGCCCTGGGCTCGGTGGGCGCCCACAGTGTAAATAATTATCAAACTCAGGCACTATAGGCACTAACTATAGGCATTCCCAGCCTTGCCCTTTAACCAGAAGGTTGGTATAGGCACACCTGTATAGTCTGGGCTCCCTTTGATAGGGAACATGGAATATTTCAACCTTTGACAATAATGTAGAGAAGTATATATACTATATTTACTCCGTAGTTAAGAACGAGTTGCTCAAAGTTATAGATACGCGCATTGATATATAATAAACGATGATGTATTATATACGTAGGGCATCACTTTTGATCGGACAATGATTTGGGCGACACCGACTACCGACACATCCCCATCCCGTTTCTTTTCTTTCCAATCCTGCGGAAGCGGCGTGTCGGCGAAGAGGGCCAGTGCATGCTGTGGCGGCCATCTGTCGCCAAACACGGATGCTTTCACCACCAGGTCGCGCATGTGCTGCGACTCTTCGGGCGTGAGCTCGACGCGCATTGCTTCAAAGTTTTCCTCGAGGTATTTATCCGTGACAGTCCTGACCACTCTCGTATAAGTATGGTTCGGGCATTGGTTGGGGGGACAGAACAAAAACACCACTCACACTGGAATGGGAAAGATATCGTCCCCTTGGCTGAGGAGCCAGGCCAGTGCGACTTGCCCGACAGTCGCGCCTTTCTTGGTGGCCAAATCCCGCATGGCCGCAACCAACTCCATGTTCTTGGGGAAGTTCTATTTGGAAAACCGCGGGTAGAATCGTCGAATGTCAACCTCCCCAAAGTTGTCGGGACCCTGGATCGCCCCGCCCAGCACGGCCTGGGCACGTCGAAGCGTCGCCGACGAGACTTCGGAGAGTCCGATGTGCCTGATTTTGCCTTGCCTAAAAGCCATGGTAAGTATGACTGACCTGACCATGGCCACAGTTCTACCCAACGACAAACTTACTCCTTGAGCTTGACCATTTCTGCTACAATGTGCTCGACCGGCGTGGATCCGTCCAGTCGATGCGGGTACCACAGGTCGATGACCTCCACCCCGAGTCTCAAGCTCTGCTCACAGGCGATGGGTACGTAGGCCGGGTCGCCACGAAACCCTACTCCCATGGGAAGCATGATACCGCCAAATTTGGTGGCGAGGAAGATGTCCTTGCGCTTCTCCGGGTGCTGGGCTAGCCATTTCCCTATTATGACCTCTGAATCGCCTACAAGGATGGCAAAGACGTTAGATCAGCACATTTTGGGCGGGGGCAGCCGTATATCTTGATCCATCTTACATAAATGTCACTGCTGTCCCAGAAGGTGCATCCCAGTTCATATGCGTGATCGAGCAAGGCGAGGCGTTCCGGATCCGGTATTGGAGCTGTCAAGCGCGAGCCAGGAAATCCCATGCCCATGGTACCGAAGCCGATTCGTGGACACCAGGGGCCCATCCTTCCCCAACGGCCGCAGGACAGGTGATGAGCGTGACTTCATTGCGAGAGTTTGGCCCGTATTTGAAGAGTGAATGATGTAGAAGAAGCGGCAGAGCTCATGTCATGCCTCTTTATATGTAGCAGTGCCGTAATCTGCCCAGATACGTCCACAGTGGACGGCTAGTGGCTGTTTGAGGAGTTACTCAAAGTCCGCATTGAGTTCATCGGACTCGACTGGGTGGGTGGACATGAGCGGACTTTGCACCCAACTCCACCAAACCGGAGTAAGTCAGCTTTCATCTGTTGGGGCTTCTTGCGGCGATAAACTCTTTTGCCTCTTCCACACCCATATACCTGCAGTGGGCCTTATCAGCATCATGCTCGGGGGGAGGCATATATACTACTTACATGCTTAGCAGGATCTCGGCAAAGTCGTCCACATCGTCGCCTCTTCCATACTGGAGAAAGTGATCGAAAGAGTAGTTCATGATTATGAACTGGGGTCTTTCCTTCCACATGCGGGCAAATGTGAAGGACGAATCGGCTTCCCACAGGTGCCGGGACAGAGTCCAGCGATGTACAAAAGGCCACGGACTCTGGTCGTCATCTAATCTGTTATTAGCTCTCCGCTATGCAGGCGCAGGAAGGGGGTTTCAGGACCATCTTGCTCCGGATCCTTCATCATCTCGTAGAGCGTTATGAACGAGTGCGCTATTATGATGGTTCTTCGCACCGACTCGGCAAAGATCCATCCCTAAATACATCGAGCGAACGTCATCATCAGTGTCGACAAGAGCCAAAGAGATCAACTCACCTCCCAGTCTCCGGGGGCTTGCGGAGTTCTCGCCACAGCATCTCCCTGCCGGGCCAAGTGGCTCCCGTGGTTCGCGCAGTTCCCCAGGTTCTCGCGCACACGGCAGAGATCATCCAGCCACGTGTGTAATAACGGCATGTCCCGCTCACCCTGTGCGCGTAAGATGACATCCCCGTCGAGGAGGCGGATAATCTGGTATAGAAAGAGCGACTGGGTACGTGCGAGCTTTTCCAGCGGAGTTGTCACGCCGACCCGACCGGCCTCGCCGTCGACCAGCTCTCTCACGCTTCGGTGAAGTGCTCGCAATACCATGGCCGTGTTTGCTGGCGTGCGGTTGGCGTAAAGCACATTGGCGCTGAAGCAGGAGATAATACAAGGGGGTGTGAGGTCTCTGTAGAGATGGCGGTGGAGGAAAGGGGCGGCACCTCGCGTGGCAACGTCGGCGATGAAGCCTTTCACACGGTTCACCACATAGTACAGCGGTGTGGTTGGATCATAAAGATGCCACGGCTCCCAATTGTCCTGTGGAACAAGATGAATGGGGAAACCGTCAGCACTCCAACGAAAGTGATCAACGATTTACAAGATCGAGGGGGAACCTGGGACTTGATCCGTCGTCCATGAGCGCGTAACTTGGGCATCGGCGGGACTCACACAGAAGTCGGCCATCTTCTCGTAGGCCCTGATCACTTCTTCATTTGCCGGGCTGCCAGGTCTCCGATCGATCATGAGCCCTTGTCGCTGGTCGGCTTGAACAGACCATTGGTTCGGAGGGTGCGTGACAATGCTATTATTGCCCATGAAGTCGATGAAAGGGAAAGGGTCCAAGGACATGTGGCCGTCGATCAAATCATCCTCCGCCACCCTCATGAAATTCGGCATCGATCCCGTAGTGGCGCCGCCGACTTGATGGTTTATAGACGCGACTCCATGGTGGTTGACGTCCGGCGACAGGCCTCTAATGCCTCCTGGGCCCGCGGCAAAAGGGGAAGAGCTGACGGCGGGGTTTGCGTCGACTGATGGTGGGAAAGATGGTCCGCAATCCTCCTCTGTGTCAGGTCGACTGGCGTAGATGCAGTCAATCTTTTTCTCCGCGCACCTCGAGCAGACCGGCGTCTGCCTGCCGCATCGCCTCTTGGCCTGCACACAGCTGGCACAGTTTTTCCGTCTCGATTTTGGCGCGGGGCTTGTTGCTGCGCAGTCCTCCATCGCACTCGGATGATCGTGGTTGAGTTCGGTGAGACGTCGAAGCAGGTCATCTAGCAAGTCACCTAACCAGCAGGCTGTAGGTACAGTAGTCGTGGCTGAAGCAACTCCGCAACTCCGCAGGCAAAAAGCCTTGGAAGGTTTGCAACTCCGCCAACTCCGCCTACAGTATTCCGCCTACAGTATTCCGCGCACTCTCCCGCCTGGCCAGTGGGCACACATGGCGCGGCTGCCTGTTTCCGTTTCCCCCAAGACGTCGAACACGGTAGCTACGAGGGAGGCAGGAAGACAAGGACGCAGGGACGCAGGGACGCAGGGACGCAAGAATTAACAAGCCATGGCCTTCCGAGCATTGGTGGTGGGCGGGACGAACGGCATAGGCTACGCGATGGCCTGCCGCGTCGCTGCCGAAGCCAGTACAAGCAACAGCAACAGTAACAACAACAACTCCTCGCCGTCTGCAGTCATCATCAGTGGCAGGACGAAGCCCACCAACATTCCGCACGCGAACATGGAGTTTCGACGGCTGGACGCGACTTCGATGCACCAGATCAAGCAATACACCGATACCTTCAAATCAGGATTGCAGGACAAGCCGGACCAGAAACTCGACCTCCTCATCATGACCCAGGGCATCATGAATACGGCAGGGCGGACCGAGACTCCCGAGGGGGTCGATCGCAAGATGGCGCTGCACTATTACGGGAAGCAGCTCCTGATACGTGAACTGATGCCGGCGTTGAAGGAGGATGCAAAGGTCGTCGTCGTGTTTGACTCGGTTTACGGCAGGCCGTCCAAACTGGATTGGAACGACCTCGATCTCAAGAAGCACTTTAGTTTGAGCAAGGCGGCAAACCACTGCATGGTGATGAACGATGTCATGGTCCAATTTTACGCCGCCCAACAACAGCAACAGCAACAGCAGACAACTTCCACCACCGCCACTCCCAATCGACGCCATTTCGTGCATGCCTGGCCCGGCGCCGTGGATACGAATCTCTTCACGGAACTCCCGTGGTATCTGCAGCCGGTTTTGCGGCTTGCGGCTCTTCTTCTCGCAGTGTCACCGGACACGTGTGCAGAGCGTCTGCTGAACGGATTGGCCGATTGCTCAACGGCAGGCAACAAGGATGGTCGATTTTGGAGCCACATGGACAACAAGGGGCACCTCGTTGCGAACAAAACCATTTGGAGCGAGGATCAGATGAAGAAGGTGGCAGATCACACCTGGGCGATTGTCGATGGGGCAATTGCACAAGGTAGCTCTTGACAGTCTTTCCAGGACCATGAAAGGCACCTGGCAAACTCGCGACTCCCTCCAGTTCAGAACTGCAATGACTAGATGGCTTGGACCTGTACGGAGTATACGGAGAGAGGTGGTAACCCTAACCCTAACCCTAACCCTAACCCTAACCCTCCTCAATGACACCTATAACTGTGATACTGTAGCTGGGGGCTTAGGGGCCAAGGCTCCTTGTAGGTAAAGAGGGTCATCCCATGCAAACACAAACACACCGTCTTGCGCAGATCTCCGACCACTCTGTAATTAACAATTAGCTCTGGTGATCACTCGGAGCCATCTGCTTTGAGATGTAGAGAGTAGATGCCTTTGAATTGGCCCGGTGCCGGTGCCGACACCGGTGACACTGGGCCAAGGCTGCCAAGAATTGTGTATTGTGCCAGTGTCATACTATACTACATGTAGGTACCTACCTAGGTATATCTAGTAATACCCACCTACTACCTACCTTAGGTACTATAAAATGCCGCCGGCGGAATGGTAGGCCCGTTCCCCATCCTCACTCCGGGACCTGCAACGACTGGAACAATACTCATCCGCTGTCCTGCTACCTGCTAGTACTCTCAGAGGAATATCACTCAATTTCCGCGAACGCAGCCCAGCCCGCCTGGCCCTAAACTGGCGGTGACGGTGACGGCTCAACCACTACCACGACCACTACCACTCCTCCCTCCCCCTCCCCGTCCTCGAATGTCTTCCCTCCTCTTGACGAGCTTGGCACTCCTACCCGAGGGACTCACGCGGTCGACGCTCTCACTCTCGCTCTCGCTCTCGTCCTCATGACGAGATGGTGGGCGTTCCTGGCAGATCGAAGAGCTGCGGCACCTGTCGGATCCGAAAGAAAGGAGGTGTAAGTAGCTATGAGCTATGTATCCAGGTCCAGCATGAGTAGCTTTGGTCTTCTTCGCCACTGGACTGGCGCCTACAGGTACGGATGGGCGGTTATGACTAACGGCCATGTCTCAGTGTGATGGGAAACGGCCAAGTTGCGGACAATGCCTGAAACTGGGACTCAAGTGCGACGGCTACGAGTCACGTACCGGAACTGTCTTTGTCAATGTCACCACTGGCCATTTCACCCCCCGTCTACCTGAGGGCGAGGGTGAGCGCGATGGCGCCGGCGACGGCAGAGGAGAAGAAGGAAGTAGAGGAGAACCAAGCTCAAGCTCAAGCTCGTCCCGACAAGTCACGCTCCCTGACCTCCTGGCGCTGTCGGCCTATGAGCAGAAGTATCTCGCTGTTTTCTGGGACATGTATCTCCCCGGCCAAAGGCAATTCCCGCATCACATCACGCGCTACACGGGCGGAGGCTGGACCAACGCGCTGCCTCGACTGTTTGGCCTCTCGCCGCCGGTGCGTAAGGCTCTGCTGGCCATGTGTTTGACTGCGGCAGGCCAGACCGAGGGCAGGACGTGGGAAAAGCAAGAGGGCCTCCGGAGCTACATGAGCTCTCTGAAGGACATGTCGACCGCCCTCGCCTGCCCGGGCCGCGCAGATTCCAATGTCATCACTCTGTGTGTCGCGTCCAGGCTGTCCAGTCTTTACGAGGTAAACCTTGCTTTAGATTTCACTCCCTCCTTTGATGCTTGTTCTGTCATGTCTAAGCTGGGGCGCCATGTCATGAACCGTATTTCTGCCCCTGTTTCTGGCTGCCTACTTACGCTTCTGGCTGACTTCTCATGGTGTATGAAATCCAGGCCCTCTTCGGACGCGACGAGCACGACAAGATCAACAATCAACAGTCGCGCAATTGGCGAAACCACATCCAAGGCGAGCTCGCCGTGCTGACGCGCCAACCCCCGGAGTACTATGTTTCCGGTTATCTGCACCAGCTCTTTGTAGACGGAAGGTTTCACCTGGTCAGCCTTGATTCCTTTCCCTTCCCTTCACTTCTCCCTGTCAAATATGGGCATTCCTAGCGGTAGTGGATGCATAGTTCGATGCATTTCTATACAGCTTCAGCCTTTCCCAAGCCTTTCAGACCCCCTTCTTACACCGACCGTGCTACCACGGTAATCCGGCCGGGAACGCGTCCATTTACCTTGATGTCTGGTGCCAACAGATCTGAACTGACGCTAACAAATCTCCACTCCAGACAGCCGGGGCGATCCATATGCGCAAGAAGACGGTCCTGAGCAATGCCGAGTGGAAGACTGTGCCGTGGACGGCAGTCCCAAAGACCCCCAAAGACCTGCTGATCGACATCTTCGTTGACATGCCGACGATACTCCAAGACTTAGACGCCCTCCAGGCCTGTCCCGACCCAGCATCCCAGAGCCTCATGCAGGACCAGCTGGTGCAAAAGTGCCTGGCCTGTGAGCGAGAGCTCGTCGCCTGGCGAGCCAGCGTGGGAGTGGTTGAAGCAAACTACGCCTTCTATAACGTCGACACCGGCACCGACACCGACAACCTGAACCCTCATGCGTCGTTTTCATTCTCGATCGATCGCATAGCTGCAGCCCACATCATGTGTCTATACTGGTCCATCTGTATCATTGTCTACAGCACCCTTCGCACCCTCTCTCTCTCCTTCTCCCTCTCCTCCCATTCTCACCCTCAGGCCCACCCGCCTCTGCCCCTGCCTTTGACTCAGACAATCGACCCGGCCGTCTACTGCAGGAGGATCGCCGAGGCTGTTCCGCTGCTCTTGCATCCGCGCTCCGGCGTCTACGGTTTCCACCTCACCACCTTCCCTGTCGCCATGGCCTTGACGTACTTGAGCCGAGATGGCCACGAATACGAAGAGAAGACCATGATCTTGGATGCCTTTGCGACCTCGCACCACGGAAGCGCTGTCGGCGGCTTCATTGCGAGCTTGCACCGCCAGCAGCAGCAGCGCCAGCAGCCGCAGCATACCATTCCGTCAGTGCCAGCTCAGCTGGCGGGCGAGCCAAGCCTGTCAGGTTGAAGTGGTGTTCACAGTATAGTACGGCATACAGAATAGGGCCTATTGACACAGTATAGTACGGCATCCAGAGTAGTGCCTATTGTTTTCACACAATATAGTACGGCATACAGCGTAGTGCCTACCTCTGCAATGCAATATAATAAACCGGAAAAGAATAGATAAAATATAGCACGTATCATACTATGGCATAGATGAGAGAGAAATGAGAAACATATAAGCCTAGTCGTCGGATCTTATTGAACGTCTCTACGTACCTAAGGTACCTGTCCAGTCATGCCGTAGTAACCACACGCCACAGAGAATCTTTAGGTACTTCTGCCACAGACATCGTTCCTCGTAACGTCATTCCTCGACCCTAGCGGGACTGGACTGGACTGGACATGTTTTCAATCCCTCTCTCTTCTCCGTCGATATTATTGGTACCAAGGTAATAGATACTAGGTATTATTATCAGTTATCAGTTATCAGTCCTCGTCTGTTGTTTCCTAGTCGTAATTGCAATCGTCATCCTCACCGTCATCCTCATCCTCACCCTCATCTTCATCCTCGTAGTCTTCTAGTCGTAATCGTCACCCTCACCCTCATCCTCGTAGTCCCTTCCGTCGTACAGCCCCGGGCGTAGGGTGGTATCGCTCGATCCTGAGCGTCGGTGGGGTTGCAGCTCGATAGGGCTAGACGTCTGTGGATACATCAGCCCCTTCTGGCCTGGTGGCAGTTGTGGCGGTGAGCTTAGGAGACTGGTCGATGGACTCTCCATGGAGGCATACGCGGACGCGGACGCGGACGGGTTGTCTCGCCGACCTGGGCTGCGGATGCTGTCGAAGCGTGCCTTGAAACTTGGGCTCCGGATACTTTCGAAGCGTGCCTTGAAACCTTGGCCTTGGGGTTGTTGCATGCGTTCGAATTCTATCGCGGAATCTGGAGTTTGAGTCTTCCTTGCGCCTTCAATGCCGGCTTCGGAGTCAGAGTCCCGTCTGTGATCATGACCATGACTGTGACTCTGACTCTGACCATGATCATGAATCTGACCATGATGCACTCCGAACCTCGAATAGTGGCCGAGGGAGGGAGTGAGCGAATGTTTCGACCATTCAAACAGTCCGAGCCAAGGTAGCCAGGCAAGTAGCATGCGGTGGGGAAGCGAACGCTTCTGAGGACTGGTAGTCGCAGGTAGCGGTGGCAGATTTGAGCTCGACACCATGGTTGTTGACGACGCCTGGCCCGGGGATGAGGATGACATCTTCGTATTGGGCGACAGGGGCGAGTAGAGGCTTGGAGTGTTCGTCATGGTGAGTCCGATGCCACTCATATATTTCTCTTGGGCAGCCGGGCCCGTGGACTCAGTTACGGTCGGGCAGCAGTCCTCGTCCTTTTCCTTGAGCCAGGGAATGTGCTGGCGCCCAAGTATCCACAGTACTCGTGTAAGGCTGAGCAGGCCGATGGCTAGAGGAATCAATTGGCCGGGACCAACGAGGCCCATTGAGCCAACGACGTTGTTCATGTGGTTCAAGTTGAGCGTGAACTCGATGCTGAGGATGGCAAACACAATCCAGAAGAGGTTGAAGCAGGATAGCGCGATATACCATTTGGTGAGTCTGTATCCGGACGCAGGTGGTCAGTCATGACGCGGAGAATAAATAAGCCGTCATGCGGAAGACAAAGAACACTTACTCGCGTTTGGTCAGGTTGATGGTCGAGTCCTGCTCCTTGATCAGTTCCCAGTGGGCATCTTTACCCTGGATGAAGCGGACAAGGAATGCGATTCCGCCTGCGATGGCCGCCAGCGTCATAATACCGTAGTAGGCGGCGGCGGCGATGTTGATGGTCAACTGGACACCTCTCGTGCTCCAGCTGTCCACTCTCATGGGCACGATGAAAAATGTTTGCAGCCCGCCACAATTCCTGCGGCGGTCGCAGTCGCTGAGTCCGTCCTCAACGCCCTCAACCCAGAACCAGACGCCGTACGAGGTAATCATGCCCATCAACACAAGCCGGAAATGTGTGCCGAAGCCACCGAAATGTCGGCGTCCACCTGGTCCTTCTGTTCGATAGTACATGGTCCGGTAACCCCAGAGCGACATAACGCTGAACAGGAACCCAATACACAACTGGTGGATCACGAGCACGTCAACCACCCGGATGCCGTTCTTCTGAACCGAATAGAAAAACACCGTCGCAAAGAGAGCAAGGAGGAATATCGAGTTGGTCTCTAGACTGCCGATGATTTCCTCGGGGAGGAAATTGTTGGCAAACCACGACGTGAGCCATGCTGAGTCTGAGAGAGAGAAACGATCGTCAGTAAATGTAGCAATGTCACAAAAAATCGAAACAGTATCAGTATGCGTATGCGTATGCCTACAGATGCCCATGCGCACTCCTAGCCCATAGTAGTCGCTGTTTCCCACGATGGGACACCCTTCTTCCTTTGGACCTTCAGGCTCGCAGGTTTCCGCACAGACGAGGCTGACAAGTAGGCAGACGATCCATACACGCATCATCATTTTTGCTCGCGTGAACGGCAGCTATTCTGGCAGCGTTATGAATGTAGTAATGTAGCTAGAACGTCGAGTCGAGTCGAGCCGACCCGTCGTGAACAATCTTTATAGCGACGCCCTCTGCAAGGCCACCCACCATCCTTGACGTGCCGCATTTTCTCTCTGTAGACTCAAGAAGGTCGCTGGTGAAAGTTTCATGCGTCATTTCCTATGCAGCGACTGAGTAGAGGAGGGTGGAGGGTGGAGGGGTAAAGTCTCCGATCGAGGCCACCAAGGCCTAACCGTGGTATTCAGCCAGCCGCAGTCCGAGACTGAGCAATCAGTGATCACCGGTTTGGCTGACACGATGCATGTTGGCTTTCAGCCGTTCCACGCTCACGCTGATCCCTGTTTTCCCCAAGTCATGTGTGCTCTTGAGCGGCTGAAGCGGGCTGAGGCACACGGGAGCAAAGAGGCAGCTGGAGTGCCACCGGGGTCCAGCTCCACCGTGTCAGGCCAGGATGGGGTACGAAGCTGCTGTTTGGCATGTGGGATCGACCGGGATGGATCGACTGAAGGTGAGGCCAGGGGGCGGGGATGGCGTCGAGGTGAGGCGTGAGATGTGAGGCCTAAGGCGCATCTCGATCTGGTGACAAGCGTGGGAAAGACTGCCAACCGAGAGCACGTTCACGAATCGGTACAGTACTGTAGCAAACATGCCATGGGAAACAACCAAACCCTGACTGACTCAACGTGTCCATTTTTTTGCAGAACAATACAGGAGGTATCTGGAAATGCCCATCTCCCATCATCAATCACGGTTTAAGGCAGCCTGGTTATGCCGCCACCGCTCCCGCTTCGTCGGGCTCGTCTTCGGTCTTCAGCCTTCAGCCTTCAGCCTTCAGCCTTCAGCCTTCAGCCTTCAGCCTCAGCCTCCTTGCCTTTCTCGGCCTTCTTCCGTCTCTCTTCTTCCTCGATCTCCTTTAATCGCTTCTGGCCCTCTTCGTTGGTAGCGTCAATCACTCCCTCCTGCAGACTCAGCATTCCCCCTTCACCTAGCAGCTCCACGATCTCTTCGGCTTCGTCGACGCTCATCTTCCCGAGAACCTTGTTTACCTCGTCGAGTGTACCGCTTTCTAGAGCGCGCTGCAGTCCAGGCGGGAACCGGTCGAAGATTTCTCTCGCTTGTTGCTCTATGGGGTCGTCCGAGCCAGCCTGGGGCACGTTGATGTGGATCTCTGTTCCCGGCTCGACTGCATGGAGTTGAATCTGTTCCACTCCCGCTGGGTCGGAACCTTCTTCCTTGCTCAGCTCTGCTGCCCGAGTCTTGATTCTGTTATAAGTCTCCGCCAGATCCTTGTTGAACATTTCGTGCGCTTGGTGGCCCTTGGTGGTGATGCGCTTGAAAAATAATCCGACGCCGTCTCGACCCAGCTGACGACAATATTGGATAAGGAGACTCTGATGGACACATTGTTTAGCATATGTATCTTGGCCTTTCATCTGTACATTGAAAGCCTCAATCATGAGCGCATCTTGGGTATGCTCATTCACTATGTCTGGATGCTCTGATATGAATTGGAGGCATGCACGGTAGTCGCCGAGCTTGATCTTTGCAAATTGTTTGCCCTCCGGGCTGAGTTTGAGATTCGTCTCATCTTCTTCTTCATCATCTTCTTGGTCCTTGTTCGGGTCGAGTAATGCATCATCCTCAACATCGGCCTCTGCACCAGAGGAGATGGCGCCATCTGGTGACTTTAGTGCATCCCGTGTCTGCAAACTAAGTCCCTTGGGTGCGTTGAGAAGCTCCACGGTCTCTGTCTTTGTCTTCTCTTGCTTCTTCGACTTGTCAATGGAAGAGGATTGCGGCTTGGGTTTGTTGATGAAGGAGGAGTCGAATCCGACATGAATGTCTTCACTCGTGATCTTTGCTGACGCTTCCTTTTCTAGCTGCGCAAGCCGCGTCAACAAATCTTGCTGCAGCTTCTGGACCTTGGTGAGGTGGCCATTGACACCCTCGATGAAGTCCTTGTATCGGTCTGGGGAGTTCTTTTCGTCCACCTCCTTCTTCACCTGGTCCACCAACGCACCCATCATCTTGGAATAACGAGGTTGTTCCTGCTGGTGCGTATAGACGCCCTCGGGTGGTTTAGGTGGTTCATCTTTCGCGGGATCCCCTGCACTCTCGATCAAGGACTGGAACACAAGCTCGTCAGGATTCTTCGTGCTTGCCTCCTCCTGGTGTTTCTTCAATGCATCCAGAAGCGCATTGATGCGTTCTAGGAGACCATCGTTGATGATGCGTTCGTACTTTAGCGTCTCGATCTCGTGCTTTCGCTGAGCCCGTTGTTCATGGATCTGACGCTGCTTTGCTCGGATGAAACTCTTGGTGTCGACGTTTGGATGGACTTCGACGTCACTGTCGTCTGATACCTCGAGTCTGTCCCATTTGTCATATGAGATGGGCATTGTGAAGGTGAATGTGAAGGAGTTTTCGAGGCTGGATAGAGGCTAATATGTGAGGTTTGGGTTTCAAGCTGTCAGTCTGTAGTTGTTGGGCAATTTACTTCGCATTGGATATACGGAGTACAGAGAAGCTATGTATGTTGGATGTTTGTTGAGGATCCTTCTAGAAGTGGAGGGGCAGCCCGTGGTTTGACATGGTGACGCACATTGATGGGGGCCAAATCGTGCACTACTGATGCCTAAAGAGTGATAATGGACCGGTGGTTGTCGAGGCCTTAGAGCCCCCAGGGGCCTCTAAACCTAAGGCTAAGAGGCCTCAGGGCTTAGGGTCAGCCACAGACGCTTGCTGCCGCCTAACTTGCCTCTGTGGAACACTTTGCTGAGGCTTTGGCTTGCCTAATAGTGGATTGGCAATTCCGGAGGCTCAGTCAGCAGCGCAGTCTGTCGGGCCTCCGTCAATCGGCGCCCGTGTTCTCGTCATTACCATTGACCCGCGTCTGAGTGCCAGGCGGCTTTTCCATCTCTTTTCAATGCGCTCACCACCCTTCAATCAGTTGGATCTGCTACGGTCGCGGTCTTCCTCTTGCACCACCCTCGTCGATATGGAGAGAAGGAGAGATATGACCTGATCACCTTAACATACCTCTGAAAGCTTCTTTTGAACGGCATGATCGCCACCCGCAGCTCCGCGCTGCTTCCTTTCAGGCCTTTCCAACATGGGCCTCGACTAAATCAGCTCGATCAGCATATCCTCCTCTCTTTGTACAACTCTTCCCCCCGACATTCGCGGATACAGCAGAGAGGTCTTCATGCTGCGCCATCGTACGAACGGCTCCACTGCCGGACCACGATCTTGCGCAACGTCTCGATACCAGCGTCACTCCGGCCATACACAGACCCTTCCCTGCGGTCTGGCATAGCTGTACATGCGAAGCATTTCTCAAGCTGTCGTGCCCTCCACGAATACCCCACGCCGGTCATCAAAGATCAAGTCCGGTCAAAAAAGAACGATGACGCTGATGAAGAGGAAGCTTTCCAAAAAAGTGAGAAAGCGACACAGGCCTCCCACGTCAATCTTAGCGCCAGATTGTCCAAGGAAGGCATTGCGGGCAAGAGTGCAGGTTTCAAGGAAGTGTGGCGACTGATTAAAATCGCCCGACCAGAAGCCAAAGTGCTGGTATGGGCGTTTCTGTTCCTCCTGATCTCCTCCTCAATTAGCATGTCTATACCTTTCTCGATCGGCAAGATTCTAGATATTGCTACTAAAGGAGGGGCGAAGACGGAAGGCCCCGAGGCGGAAGAGAAGACAGACATGTTGTTTGGTCTCAGCTTGACTACCTTCTACGCCGCGCTGGCCGCTGTCCTTGCAACCGGCGCCGCAGCCAATTATGGACGAATCATCATCCTCAGGATTGTGGGGGAACGAATTGTTGCGAGACTCAGGTCGAAGCTCTTTCGGCAGACTTACGTTCAAAATGCAGAGTTCTTCGACGCAAACCGAGTGGGTGATTTGATCTCGAGGCTCAGCTCTGACACCATCATTGTCGGCAAATCCATCACGCAAAACCTTTCTGACGGACTGCGCTCTTTCGTCAGCGGGGCTGCAGGATTCGGTTTGATGGCTTGGGTCTCTCTCAAGTTGACAGGCATCTTATTGTTGCTGTTCCCGCCCGTCGCTCTTGGTGCCTTCTTTTATGGACGAGCGATTCGAAACCTCAGTCGAAAGATTCAGAAGAATCTGGGAACACTGACGAAGATTGCGGAGGAAAGACTTGGAAATGTTCGGACCTCGCAAGCATTTGCCGGAGAAATCCTTGAGGTCCATCGATACAATACCCAAGTGCGCAAAATCTTCGAGCTCGGTAAGAAAGAATCGCTGATCAGCGCGACATTCTTCTCAACGACAGGGCTCATGGGTAATATGACCATCTTGACGCTTCTGTACGCCGGTGGGAGTATGGTGTCAAACGGGACCATCACCATTGGCGAACTCACCACCTTCCTTATGTATACCGCATATGCGGGATCTTCACTCTTTGGACTGTCGTCATTCTACTCGGAACTCATGAAAGGTGTGGGTGCGGCATCCAGACTGTTCGAATTACAGGACCGGGAACCCACCATATCTCCCACAAAGGGTGAAAAGGTTGTGTCAGCCCGAGGTCCCATTCGATTTGAGAACGTCTCCTTTAGCTACCCTACAAGACCCGCGGTGAATATCTTCCAGAACCTTGACTTTGAGATTCCTCAAGGCTCCAATGTCGCCATTGTTGGGCCGTCAGGCGGAGGGAAAAGCACCATTGCCTCCCTGATTTTGAGGTTCTACACCCCAACCGACGGCCGAATCTTGATTGGTGGAAAGGACATTTCCACCCTGAACATCAAATCTCTGCGCCGGAAAATTGGCGTTGTTTCGCAGGAGCCGGTCTTGTTTTCTGGGACCATCGCCGAGAACATTGCCTATGGCAGACCACATGCCACGAGGGCCGAAATCCTGCGGGCGGCAAGACGCGCCAATTGCCAATTCATCAGCGATTTCCCCGATGGTCTCGACACCTACGTTGGCGCGCGTGGTACACAGCTGTCCGGTGGCCAGAAGCAGAGAATTGCTATTGCTCGAGCTCTGGTCAAAGAACCGGACATTTTGATTTTGGATGAAGCCACCTCGGCCCTGGACGCCGAATCCGAAACCCTCGTCAATGAGGCTCTAGCTTCATTGTTGAGGGGTAGTAATACTACCATCTCCATCGCCCACCGTCTCTCCACAATTAAACGATCCGACACCATCATCTGCTTGAGTAGCGATGGCCATGTGGCTGAAATGGGCTCGTTCAAAGACCTCAGCAGTCGACCAGATGGTGCCTTTACTAAACTCATGGAGTGGCAAATGAGCGGCGGTGAAGCGCCGCGAAATCACCTCAGCGACGGGCCACCGAATGAGAGGGACGAGATCGAGGTGGATTTGGAAGCAGTAGACGAAGTCGACAGCGACGCTGACGACGAAATTGAGGGCAGCCAGGCGCAAAAAGTGGTGAGCGAAGCCATCGAACAGAAGAAGAAATGATAAAACATGCACGGCACGGCAACATCAGGGCGACAGCCGGATGGATTAAAATTATGGAAGCGACGGCAGCCGAAAGCAGATACTCCCCTCCGTCAGGATATTCCCAAAGAGGCGGGCAGCGATGCGCCAGGGAACTCAGCTGTACAGCTATCTTACTCTTTGGTCGATGGGCGGGCGGCCGCCTGTCTTGCTGCAAGAACAGAGTTTGTAGTTATTGTGATGAATGAAGATCATTCCCTACTCAGGTCAGGACCAACGGAGCGAAGCGTTTGATGTAGACGTCCGAAGCCGTGGCGTAGTCTGACGGCTCAGGTGTTTTCTTCTCAGGTATTGTGTTCTCTATAGAAGGCTGGTTTCAGGAAGAGTTTTAGGAAGATTTCAAGGTCAAGTGCATAAAACGGCAATGGTCATGAGTACTGTACTGTACGTCAATTACATGGTAGGTGTGCTACAAGTATAGGCTCTGTACTGTGTACTCTGTACTCTGTATGACTTCAGCCTTGCCTCCTGGCAGAGTGAGTGCATTCATAACCATATGTTCGAAGCACATAGGTAGGTACCTATAGGTGGGTAGGTAGGTACCTGTAGTTAGGTACGTAGGTACGTAGGTAGGTACCTGGTAGGCACCTGGTAGGGATGCACGTCGAGGACAGTCATGACGGCTGGAGGACAGCCATGGTGATATTAATGCTACCTACCTATGCCTCCTTACCCTTCTTCTATTTCCGCCTCCTCACCCTGTCTTCTACTTTATCAATCAAGCCCTTCCTTTTCATCCACCTTTCATGCACCTGATTTCTGGTGGTGTCTCGACGTTTCCCTGATCTTCTACCCGAGCTTTCTCAAGGCAAGGCTGTTCAAACTCAAACAATAAATGAATGACCCAGACCCACGACTTCGGCGACCTGGCCGAGCAAGCTTTCCTTTCATCATCCAACATCCCTAGACGGCTGTCACTCTTGAAGCTGGATACGCTGGATACGCTGGATACAGCTACCGCAGAAAGAAAATGATGGGGTAAGTTTCCAGACCGGGGCTGCTCTGGATCCTGTGAAAAGAGAAAAGAGAACGAGTGTCAACAAAGATGCTGTAACAAGCTCCAAATCTAGAAACGGGTCAACAAAGACACTGTAACACAAACTCCAAATCTAGAAATTGAACGGAATTATCAGATGGGTTTTGGGAGGTCACACTCACATGGAAATAATGGTCCGGTCACACTCACTTGGAAATGATGTTTCGTCGTGCTCCATGGACAGCAGAGCATGCCAGCAAGATGAATCTGTAGAATATGTAAAAGCTAAACCCACGCCAATGCAACGAAGATCCAAAGCTATCCCTACGCCAATGCAAGAACATCAAAACAGAGAACCATTCACCGTGGGCGCCAAATTCTCCACGAAGAGCGTCTTCCGAGCCCAGGCTATGATAAATCCGGGAACTTTGTACGTTCCGAAATGACCGGTCGCGGCCTTTTTGCCAATTTGAAGACCCATGAAACCTATAAAGGTAGGAATTAGTAATTGGTATATTAGTAAATGTACAATCAGCCCTCCTTGACTTCAAAATGGTGGGGGAAGGGGGAGGGGGCGATGTTCGACAAAAGTTCAATCACATACGGCTTGTGGCCACTTTGTAAGGAAGTGGTGTCTTGTTGCTCAGAATCAAGGTCATGTTCTTGGCGAGATGGGCCGACTGTTTGTCGCAGGTGATGAATTGCGCGGGCTCGATGGCCGAGACGTCGCCAACGGCCCAGACGTCCTCGGTGCCCTTGACTCGAAGCATCTCGTCGACCAAGACGAACCCCTTGGCGTCGAGGAACTGGGCCGGAATGTACGACGAGTTCGGCACCAGACCGAACGTCGGGACGTACATGTCGGCCACGATTTTCTGGCCCCTCGACAGCGTGAGTTCTTGCCGACCGGTTGGCGATTGGGCCGTCGGGCCGGAGCTGCTGGTGACCTTGGTCTGTAGCTGGAGCTTCACGTTGAGATCCTGGAGGGCCTTTGTTGCAATCTTGGATACACTTGCTGGAGCTTCCTCGAGAATCGATGGTCCACTGGCAATCTAGTTTTCAAGGTGGTGGTGAGCAGATGGAAAGAGCAAAGAGGTAACCCAAAGCCATCATTGGCAGCGTCAACAAGGTAGAAAGGAGACACACACACACACACACACACACACACACACACAAAGAGAGAGAGATATATATATGCACCCCCTAACTTACCAGAATAATCTCCTTTTGCTTTCCGTACTCGAACCCCAGTTCGCCCGCTACCTCGACACCTGTCACACCGGCTCCGGCGATAACGATTGTCTTGGCCTTCTTCACCCTGGCCTGGAAGTCATGTAGAGCATCTTTCGTCGCTTCGGTCGACCCTAGAACCTTGAACGGGATCCCGCCGTGGGTACGGGAGCCGGTCGCCAGAATTAAAAAGTCGTAGTCGAGTGTGCGAAGGCCCGTCGAGCCGGAAAGGCCCACCGTTTTCGCGTGCACGTCGAGGCTTTCGGCCGAGGCGACGATGTGTTCAAACTGGCCCGGCGGGTACCCGACGAAGCCGTCCGCGATGGGCTGGAACAGCTTCTCGTCGGGGATCTGGCCGGGGACTACGCCTCGAGGCGAGGCCATGCTCCAGTAGAAATGGGTGTTCGGGGACACCAGGGTGACTTTGACGCCTGTGGCCTTGGGAACCTGCTTGAGGATGCGATGTGCGGTGCTGACTCCCGCATAGGAGCCTCCGAGGATGACGATCCGCTTCATGGCTGTGAGGCTTCAGGTAGCGGTAGGTGAAGAGGAGACGGTAGACGTAGGCTGATTTGGGACTTGTCGAAAGACACTTGCACTTGCGACGAGATCAAGACGACCAAGCATAGCATCATAAAAGGAAAAACCACCTAGGAATTTTGGGACAACGACACGGACATCTTCGAAATAAATACCACCTCGTCCTTCGTCCCTCGTCTGTCTGGGAAGTATCCGTATAACTGTGGGCACTGGCCAGGGGAAGTGTGGGCCACCGACGACCGTGTTGGCCGCAGCCGTGAGCCAGTCAGAGAGCATAGCGCAGACATTTTCCGCCGCCAACACCCAATCAGAGACGGGAGCGCAGTGCTTAGAAATTGAGTCTCCATGTGTCAGAAACACTGAACATGGTCTAGAAGCTTGATATCAGGCCAATGGTCAGTGGTAAGTGCCAGTTGCAGTTGCCAGTTGCCCTTTTGTTTTTGCATGTCGAGTTATATATACACAGGCCCGCTTATCGAAGCCGCGACAGAGAGAGACCTACCGATGCGAGGAGACGAGTGGTGTCTTGCCTTCCGACCTGCAATTCTTGAATGAAACGCTGCGAGATGGGGGGAATCGCGAGTATCTTAATGCGCATGGCTTATACCAGCAGAATTCCACAAGCAACTTCAAGACTGTCTTTCCACGTAAAGTCTGGTGTAGTCTTTCTCCTGCTCCAAATTTCCTCCAGAATTGGCAGAATCCTGGCTCGATGTTGTAGTGTTGGATCCAGCAATGGCGGACAGGAAAAGATGCACCTGAAAAATCCTTGGTCTGCATGCCGGGCGACAGATCCCAGGATATATAGAGGCAAGACCAGGCCAGGGAGAACAGGTCCTGAAACCCGAGTCTGAAGGATTTTCATGGCTCTAGAGATGGTCGAGCCCAATGCTTCTAATTTCTGAAAGCCATGAGTGACCAGGTGAAGGTAGATAGATGCCATGTAGGTGAAAACACAGGTGACGAGCGTGGGCGCATCTAATACGGTTCCCGGAGAATCGCCTTCAGAAATATTGAAACCTTCAAAGGCTTGTTGGGTTGGACCGCGCTCGATCTCTCTGCCGATATCGCCGACCTGTTGCTCAAATGCTGTCCAGTCCGAGTCTCCCTGCTGCAAGGCTTGCGTTTTGTGTTCATGAAGGGCAGCAATGCGGCCAATCTGAAGCATTACCCAGTTTTCACAGCCCATGACATTTTCAAGCCTGGTCTGAGAGGTAGGAGCTAATAGGGAGCAATGACAAGACAGTAGATACGGAGTCGTTCCCACCGTGACCGAAGAAGCGATGTCGAGCCAAACCATTGTGCCGGCCAGAAATCTCAAGGTCACAACTTCCTCTGTGACCGTAGGTTCATCTTCGGAGAGAGGAAGGTTGTCGTATATCATCGTCCTGGATTTTTCCGCCAGACCGAATTGGGTCCAGCTCTCTTCATAGCCTCGCTTGTACATGCTCATTGCTGCGCGAAGATGCGCTAACCACACGTCGCCGTGGTCGGTGAAGAGCTTGACAACCCTTGTCAGTATGGAGATTCGAGATTCGCTGGAGAGAAGAATACCTCGAAAAACACCAGCTGAACGACTGTCGTCACGAGACTTAGATCTGGTTTAGGACACGAATTCTGTGCAGACTGATTAACCAAACTTAAACATGTTTCAAGGTGCTTCTCTTGCTGCACCAACGCGGCGACCCGGTACGGGTGGCTGAGTTTTGCAACTAGCATCGTCCGGCGATGGTACGCACTGAGAGCCAGAACCGCATGATACAGAGTTTTTTTCCGGAGCATAAGGTCCAGGAGCCAGCCCCGGCCTCCCTCCAGAATTCCCGGTTTGTACAGGGGGTACTGTAGGGGGAATACGTTGTCTAGGAAATGCATCAAGAGGACCGACTCGTCTGCCGAGGTCGGTGAGAACCTGGATCTCGTCACTGGATCATCACTGTAATTAGGCGAAGGCGAGCCCTAATTGATGTGAGAATCTCTCAAGCTTTCTATAGAATCAATGCACTTATAGCCGACCTATCTTTGAGCACGTCAACTCCATCATCTTGCGATGACCCATGGTCCGATGGCTGCCTGACATCATTCTGGCAGCTCGAGACAGCATTGGAAGAGGGTTTCCCACGGGGTGGACCGACGTCTTGGGTGCTATGCTGACGATTTGATCATGTCGCTTGGAAGGTTGGGCTGTAGCCTTGCGCCTCGAGGTGTGCTTGACAATCTCCTTCAGGCTAGTCACGACAGCTCTTTCCTCACTACCATTGTCCATCCAGTCTGGTTTGGGGCCAAAACCATAGCAAGTGATGGAGAGCGATTCACATGTCGAACAGGAAGGATGGCGCTCGTCACATTTCTTCTTGCGCAAGCGGCAGGTCCAGCAGCCTTGTTTGCTCCGAAGTAGACGGCTCATTGAGACGTCCGGAAGCTGAACGGCACAGCCCAATCAGTTTGGTCGGCTAACACAGGCTAGAAAAGAAAGACTGATATTGTGACAATGAAACCATTGGGCCATACAAGATCGCGGCGTTGGCGGGCGACGCGTGCGGGCGTAAAGGAGGCTAAAAGCGGCGTGGCGGCGTGGTCGGCGTGTGGCGTGAGGTCCTCGGCAAAGTTGCACAGATTGGGACATCACTGTCACTAAACGCGTACTAAGTATGCGTACTAAGTATGCGTACTAAGTATGCGCACTATTTGTTGAAAGAGGCGATAGAGACTTGGATGGCCAATCTGCAGTTGGCGATCCCGGCCCAACATGAGATCTTTCCCTCTCAACCGCAGGCGGGCTGGCATCTTGGACTCCCCACCCCTCCCCTTCCTTCACATTTCATTGTGCTCTGGATAGATTGGCATGCCAGTGCGTCCGTGTCACTGGTTGTGCTCCCGGTTTGCCTTTTTAGCGAGCCCACCCGCCCATTGACCCGTCGACATTCCATCTCCAAACCCTGTCATCATGTCAGCGACAACCTCCTCCGTTCGTCCCGTCTTCTGCCCCGCGACCTGGGTTGATGAATGTGGTTGATGGCTGAACGTTGGATCAGGAGTTGGAAACGTGACGAACAAACGGCTCTTACAACGAATATAAGATCGAGCTGCTGGCTGGACAAGAGCCATCCCTACAATGTCCCATAACGTACAGACAGTGCTGAGTGCAGCCCAGGAGGTCACGAACCGGGACCTGAGCGACGCCAAAGGCCCTGTCGAAGTCCCCAATGGCTCTGCGTACAGCGATCATCCAAGACTCAAGGTTCACAGGAAGTATCGCCATGTCGCAGCTCTACATTCCAAAGTCCAGCCATCATGTCTTAGCCACGAGGCAACTGAGACACCGAGTTTCATTGGCTTCCGCAATCTGATGGTTCTGACCATCATTGTCATGAATCTGCGTCTGGTGGTGGAGAACGCTCAGAAATACGGCCTCCTGATTACCCTCAAGCTCAACCTCCGCAGCCAGGATATCCAGACCGCGTTGATCCTCTATGCCCTCACACCATGCCACCTCTTTGTCGCCTACATCATCGAACGCGTAGCGATGGAAAACGCCAAAGGCGCCGTGGGCAAGCGTAAAAAGAACGATCCAGACGGTAGCACACCGGAGACCGAGGAAGAGAAGACAGATTTCTACTACACCTGGTGGTGGATTGCCGTTGCCCATGCTTTGAATGCTTCTCTGGCCCTGTTGATCACCAGCTATGTGGTGTACTACCATATCTACAACCCTGGTCTGGGCATGATCAGCGAAACGCATGCTATTGTCGTCTGGCTAAAGACGTGCTCTTATGCGTTCACCAATCGAGATCTTCGGCATGCTATGCTGCACCCAGGTGGTCCTGAGTCAGCTCTGCCCGAAATCTACTCAAAATGCCCCTATCCGCGAAACGTCACTCTCCGCAATTTGTGCTACTTCTGGTGGGCGCCGACACTTGTATATCAGCCTTACTATCCACGGACGGATCGCATCAGATGGACCTTCTTCTTCAAGCGGGTTGGAGAAGTCGTCGCTCTGTGTGTGTTTGTCTGGCTCGTCTGTGCTCAGTATGCAATTCCTGTCCTACACAACTCTCTGGGCGGAATGGCTGTCCTCGATTTCTCTGCCATTGCCGAACGGTTGATGAAATTGTCCACCATTTCGTTGATTGTCTGGCTGGCCGGGTTCTTTGCCATCTTCCAGTCATTTTTGAATGCTCTGGCTGAGATCACGAGGTTTGGTGACCGAGTTTTCTACGAAGACTGGTGGAATAGCACGAGCCTGAAGATGTACTGGGCGACCTGGAACAAGCCGGTCTACCACTTCATGCGCAGACATATCTACTCGCCCCTGGTCGGTCGTGGGTGGTCGCCCCGGGCTGCCAGCGCCTGGGTATTCGTGTTTTCCGGCGTTTTGCACGAGTTGGCTGTGGGAGTGCCGTCTCACAGCATTCTTGGTGTTGCATTCCTGGGCATGGTCCTGCAGTTGCCCTTGATCCTATGTACAGAGCCGTTGGCAAAGAAAGACGGCACCGGGAAAGTCATTGGCAACTGCATCTTCTGGATTAATTTTGTGTTTGTGGGTCAACCATTGGCCGCCATGATCTACTTCTTCTCCTACCAAGCCAAATACGGGGCTATGAGCAAGATGGCCCAAAGGTAGCAAGGCAATAGACGTATCATATGTGAATCCTGCTTCTCCATTCATTGTTCAATCATCCATGTAGCAAGACCGCTTGCATTCCTTCGCATACCCACTAGTAGTCGAGGAGTGAGAGTCATTATGTGCCATTTGATGTGCGAGCGACCGTTTCATCACGTGCTGTCACGTGACACCGATATCTGAGATCTGGTGTCTGGTTGGCTACCACAACCTCTGTCCATCTTTCGCCAACCCTTCACCTGAATCCTTTGCACCCCAGTCTGCATTAACTATCAGTTTTCCGTACATCTTCAGACTCATGTGCACTTGATATTCCGTCCTCACATCGGAAGATCCCTCCTGCGCTGTTTGCCACGGCTGGTTTTCTTCCGAGCCCTCACTTGCCCGTCCGGACCGTCGGGTCCAGCCCCAACGCGCTCCGCTCATTCAGTTTCCCTCACGCGGTCATTGCGCGCTGATGACTCCCAACCCAGTGCAGCATGGCCAATATCTTCGATGACGGGGAAGGCGGCCTTCGCCGAAGAAGACCGCGACCGATTACTGACTATGGTGCCTCCATGGTCCAGTGGATGAGCCATCGGAAACCGGCGTACAAAGGAAGTTATCACTATGAACTAGAACGGCCCAGTCAGAGCTATGTGGTCGACATGTTACCGCCGCCGGCGCGACGCGATGCACCGGCCGAATCGATTCCGGTCCGCCATCTGCACACCTCCCTGGGGAAATCAAAAAAGCCAGTCACCATCGTCCGGTGGATGCCTGAAGGTCGCCGACTGCTTGCGGGCGTGCACAATGGAGAGTTTATGCTGTGGAACGGCATGTCTTTTAACTTCGAGACCGTCACCGCCATGGGATCGAGCTCACTGCGTGCCGCCGAGTGGTCCAATAGAAAGGACTGGCTTGTAGCAGCCAACGATGAGGGCACGGTCTACTATCTCCAGCCGACCTTGAACAATCCGCATCAATTCAAAGGTCACGATGCGCCAATTAGAGATATCGCGTTCGCGCCCTCCGACACCAAATTCGTGACCGCCTCTGATGACAACACTCTCAAGATCTGGGACTTCACGTCGTCCACCAACGAATCCACCTTCAAGGAACACGGTTGGGATGTCAAAGCCTGCGACTGGCATCCGACAAAAGGCCTGGTCGTGTCCGGAAGCAAAGACCACAGTGTCAGGCTGTGGGATCCCCGTACCACACGAAATCTGACGACGCTGCACGGTCACAAGAACGCAATCACGGCCACCGTCTTCAGCCGTCTGCGTGACCAGCTGCTCGCCACGGCTGGCCGAGATGGTCAAATACGCATTTTTGACCTACGCTTGATGCGGGACGTTGCTATCCTGCGTGGCCACGAGAAAGGCGTGACCACAGTATCATGGCATCCCATCCACCCCAGCTTAATCAGCTCAGGCGGCGATGATGGCTCCTTAAACTCGTACCTCCTGACCGAGCCGAACACGCCACCAAGCATCTCTTCAACAACTGCATCCCCCTATGCTTCGTCCGACCCACGGTCTGCCCCGGCGCAGTCCATTTATCCAGCCCACCGGATGCCGCACGCGCACGACTCGTCAATCTGGTCGCTCGACTGGCATCCCCTGGGCCATATCCTGGCCTCGGGCTCCAACGACCACTACACTCGGTTCTGGTCGCGTGCGCAACCAGGCCAAACCACGTGCTTCAAAGACCAGTTCCATCTGGGCGAAGAGGGCGCCGAGGCTCAAGGCACATGGGACCGCAAATTCGGACGCAGGCAAGCCAAGGAGCTGGAAGAGCAAGAGGCCGAAGACGAGGCTGAAGGTCTGGAGGATCAAGGTGCCGCCCCAGGTTCGCAAGCTGCCGGTACAGCGGTATCAATCCCTGGCCTGCCTGGTCTCCCTGGCATAGGCATGAACGGGGCGACGGCGACGGCGACACAGCCAACGTCTTCTGGACCGGCCGCATTCACCCTCCCGCCACCCCCGCCGTCTCTGATGCCAGGCCTGCAGAATATTCCTGCCGGGATGCCACCACCGTTCCCGCCCGTGCCAGGCATGGATGCCGAGTCTCTGCAACGGCTTCTCGCCATGTCCCAACAGGTCCAACAAGCGGCGCATCAGCCACCCGCACATGTGCCTGGTGGTCTTTCATCGGCGGCCTTCCCCGGTCTAGGCGGCTCAGCGCCGATCGACTTTTCCAAACTCAATCTCCCGCCGGGGTTTCAAGTGCCGCCTCCCCCGCCCAATATCGGAATGCAGAATGGCTCTCTTGCCGCCGGCATACCGGGTCTGGGGGCAGGGGCAGGGGCAGGGGCTGCTGGACAGGGTCAGGGTCGGGACGATGCAGTGCGCAGGCGTGCGCCTCTGCCGAGCCAGAGCGACGGCTTCAAGGCCGAGCAAGCCAGAGGGAACTATCGCGTGGCGAGATGACGAGATGAGAGATACAGATAACCACTGGGCAGGAAAAGGGAGCCTGGGGCTATTGGGCAGTGATTTCCATTTACACCGGCGCTGCTGATTCGACTAAGTCTAGCTTCTATGTATGTATGTACCTACCTATGTACGTGTATGGCTATGGCGACAATGCCTTTCTCTGCCTTTCTTTGCTTTGCCTTTCTTTGCTTTGCCTTTCTTTGCTTCACTTCGCTTCGCTTCATCTATGGCTATTCCGGCATTATCTACCTTAGATACTTGGTTGCTACTTGCTGTAAGATCGGGTCTGGGTCTGGGTCTGGGTCTGGGTCTGGGTCTCGGGTCGGTCCATCTGGGTTTAGGTCGGGGTCGCTGTCGCGGTCGCGGTCGGGTTGGTTCAGCTGGGTCCGGGTATTTCTGAGCCAGCCAGCCAGCCAGACAGACAAGGCCGTGCTGGGCTGTAGGGGTAGGGGTAGGGATAGGAGTCAATTGACGGTGATGGACGAGATCTACCTACCCTTTTATACTGTCCTGTACTGTGGACGAGATCTACCCTTATATACTGCTGCTATACTGCACTATGCACGGAGTACGGAGTACTGCATTATACGTATCACCATCGCTGGGCTCTCAGAGGACAAGGGGGACCCAGACTCAGATTCTGAATAGACATCTTTAAAAAGACCTTTGAGGTTCTCGTTGGATCGGGGAAAAGGAATAGGAAAAACTGTGGTACGCCTTTTACCTTTTATCATTTACTCTGTACTCTGTACACAGTGCACAGTGCAGACAGTACACGGCGTGAATCTGAATTTGAATCTGAATCGAATCTGAATCCGAGGCTTGTTCCTGATCTTGATCCATAGATGCTCTACCTTCCGTCGACAAGTACTCTGTCCCGTAACTTGTGAGAGTAGACGGGCTTCCGACTCACTGTTCAATGTATTTTATAAACGTCCCCAGGCATCCAAAGGTCATCAAGGTCAGGTCGAGCTACTCGAGTAAGCATCTGCGCCGGCAACACATCGACCAGGCCGGTCATACTTTGAAGATCAGCCTCTTCTCCGTCCCATAGGCGAAACAAATGCTAGAACTTGGCGAATTTAATCTCGACAATGCAAGCCTGTATGCCAACGGCGGCGGCGGCGGCGGCGGCAAGCTACATCTTTTGTTTCTCTTCAGATCTTTTGTAAGGTCGATACGCTCATTGTGCAACGATCCTCCCTTCATCTACGGTGCTTTCCATCATGTAGTCTCCAGCCCCGGCGTGTTGACATCGACGTCCATAGCGGTTCCATTCTCAGCAGCCGGCTTCTGTTCCGGCCGTTCCGGCCCTCTGTGTCTGTCCTGTTCTGTTTGGTCATTGTTCAGATCTAGTTCTGCTTCAGCAGGCGCCTGCATGTCGACATCCATGTCCATGCCCATGTTGGGATCCATTTCATCACTGCCTGCTCTTGCAAGATCTTGTCTTCTTCGCTCGGCTTCTCCATCGAGACTCCACACGCGCAAATCGCGGTCCTTGCCTCCGCTGACTAAAAGGCCCTGGCCGGCCTTGGTCCTGCCGAAATCTAGAGATAACACCACGTCACTGTGTCCCTTGCCGCGCCAGAGGGTTTCCTTGCTCGTGACATCCCACGCGACCACGTCGCCATCTTCACTGCCACTCGCCAGGAACGCTTCAGCCCCAGCCCCAGGGTTGGTGGACGAGTAGTAGTTCCCTACGGTCCCGCTGAGATTGTACTCCTGGTTCACATGACCCTGGTACGTCTTGACGCAGGCACCCTCGGTGTACCGCCACAAGCGGATCGAATTGTCCAGCGTCCATGCTAGCACAAACCTGCCGTTCGGGGTGAACCGCACGCTGGTGACCGGCCGTCGGTCTTCGTCCACCAGTGTCTTGAGACATTGGCCTGAGCCGGCATCCCAGATCCGGATCAACCCGTCGCCCGCGCACGAGCAGACCATGCTTCCGTCGCGTAGGAAATCTACGCCGCCTACCGGGTCAGAATGGGCAGGTAAACTCCGCATCACCCGGCCCGCGCGCACGTCCCACAGAAAGACTGCTTCGTCGTACGACCCGGACACCAGCATGTTGCCTTTCGGGCTGAACGCCAAAGAGTACACGTAGTTGCTATGTCCGACCAGTGGAGACGGCGAGATTGGGAAATCCGACGACAAGGGCGACCAGAGAAGAATCGATTTGTCGTCGCTGGCTGACGCCAGTGTGTACGGTGGACCGACTGGTGACCATGCGATCGCGTTGACACCGGCGAGGTGGGCACGCAGAGTCCGCAGCAGTTTAAAGGGTGTGTTGGGCGTCGGCTCAGCGGGTACCGAGTAGATGTTTATGGTGTTGTCGGCGGAGGCGGTCGCGAGGAGAGCCATGTCGGGCGAGAACTTTATGGATGTAATACCCCGAGCGTGGGCGCGCGGAATGGTGAGTAGAGGAACAAAGTTCAATGATTTCGGCTTTTCTGAAGACGACGGTCGAACAGGCGACGCCGGCGAATGCGATCGGGATCGGGATCGGGATCGGGAGCCATCATACGAGCGGGGGGAGTATGAGCTTGACCCAGACCTCGAGCGCCGTCGTGTACGTGAGTCAGAGCGGGATCGCAACTGTTGAGTTTCTCGAGCGGAATCGTATGCAGAACTGTCTGTTGGACTTCTGGATGAGCGTCTCCGGGTAGGAGAGCGGGATCGACGGGGGCTGCGACTTCGGCTTCCTGACAGCCTGCGCCGAGACGTGTCGTCTCTATTCCTGCTGTCACCTCGACTTGGAGAACTCGAATATGCCCTTCCTCTTCTTGTATCTTGTCCTGGCCCGCTGGAATCTGACCGCTGCTGTGTTGGAGGTTGGGTTCGAGCGTGAGGGGAGGAGGAGGACGCTCTCGAAGCCATTGAGCCGGTGGTCGAAGTTCGACGTCGCTTGGATGGTGGATAGTGATCCTCGTCCATGAGTAGGGCAAGAGGGTGAACCAGAGGTTCAATGTAGTCAAGCTGCTGGCCGTAGAGGAGAGGGGAGCCTGATACAACTGCCTGGAGAACTTGGGCAAACAGAGAAAACGCGGTACGGTTACGCGCCAAGGAATGGTCACCTACTAATCCACCGTGATGGCCAGCTAAGTCCTTTCCAGACTAGAGTGATGCCCTGGCAGATATGTGTCGAACGTCCAATCATCTGGCCCCGTTACCAGCCTTGTTCAACACGCAGCCTGGGAAATAAAGATGAACAATCCTACGGAGTAGGCTGCTCTTGGATAACTACCTCGACCATCCGTAGTGATATATGGAGTAGTTATGAGTTATGACTGTGTGTAGACCTACTCCACAGACTCCAGAGGCCCTTATGGTCTCAACTCAGACCAGAAAACCAGATAACTCCAATCTTCACCAACCAACACGCTGTCCGCCCTCCACTCGACTGGCCGAACCACCCATTAGATCACTGCTTGCCGTTGAGATGATTCTGTAGCATCTTGGCGTAGGGAAACATCGACCCTATAAGCTTGTCCTACGCACCTCCATCAGCAACCAACTCATAACTGGAACCAATGGAAATAGAATCAAACTCACCATCATCCAGTCCGGGAACAGCCATGACCCCAAACGTGCAGACGCTGCGCCTCCACCAATCCACACTTTCCCCGTCGTACCCTTTTCAACCTCTCGGACAACTCTGTCACCATACTCCTTTGGGGTGATCCCATCTTTTTGTAGTCTGCCATCGCTCAATTCTGTAACATAGCCTTGGAGCGCATGGTAGTACGAGTTCTCAGGGATTGTCGGCGGGCTCATATTAGCGAAGGCGTTGGTCTTGACGGCCGCGGTCACGAGCGTCAGGGTACGGACTCCAAGAGGTGCAAGCTCGAGACGCCATGATTCGCTCCCGAGAATAGCAGCGGCTTTGGAGCTGTTGTAGATAGACCCAAATGCGCCGAAAGGCAGCACCCCTGCCACAGATGTGTTATTCACAACATACCCGTTTGCTTTGATCAACAGCGGAGCGAAGGTCTGGATCATAGCGAGGACTGCCCAGTAGTTAACGTCGAATAGTTTCTTGCCCTCCTCGATCGATACGTCCAAAGCCGGCATTATCGTCACTGCGCCGCTGTTGTTGATGAGCACATCGAGCTTGCCGCCGGTCTCCTTCGACACACTCTCAACAGCCGCGGAGATTGATTCGACAGACAGCACGTCAAGCGCCAGGACGGTGACATTCGCTTCTCCTGCAAGTGAGGGTGAGATCTTGGATGGTGTGCGTGCGGTTGCGAAGACATGATATCCCTTTTCTTGGAAGGCCTCGGCTAGCCCTGCACCAATTCCACCCGCGGAGCAGCCGGTGATCAGGACCGATTTGGGGGTTGGAGCCGGAGCCATTTGGAATAGTCAAGATAGGTTAGAAAACGATGCTGTGGCCTTTTTGAAGGGCTCAAATGAGTAGACGAAGACAGTTCTTGGTTTGTTGACGAAGGAAAAGACCCGAGCCGCCATGGCCGTGTTAGCAGAGAGAGGGATCCTACCTTTATACTGTAAAAGTGCCTCGCAGCAACGGGGGATGGGGGATGGCATGACGGCGTACTCTGCCTAGTACTCTCCCTAGTACTCTCGCAGGCTGCGGCCTTGCAGCAGAGTGGTGTCCCCAAACCAGCCGCCATGCCGAAAATGGAATATAATGAATGGGCTTGGCACGCCGGGAAGATGTTAGTACGTAGTACTGGACCTTATGGATACGTCCGTCCTGACATCCCGGCTCTCTGTATGAGGTGCTATACTCCTCAGGACTCGGGACTCTATGATTATTGGTTCTCAGCGTGGAATATCAAATCAATCCGTGGCGAGTAATTAGTAATTACCTTCTTCAAGTCTGAGACCGACCATGTCTGCCGCAAACCCAACCCCCGATCTGGTACGAAGCCTCGCCTCGGTTCAAGACGGCCGTTTCGTCTCTCTGCTCTCTTCGTCGCTTCTGCACCGGTGAGGGGACACGCTTGGATGAAGCGGTCACTCTCACTCTCACCCTCTTCTCCCTTCCTTCTATGCTCGGGGCCATGCATTTCATTGTGACAACGGACGCCCAGAAGGCCGACCCAGAGACGCAGAAGTTCATCAGGCGTCAAGTCATGATTGGGAAGAACCGGGGCAATTCTCACCGAGCCAAAAAGCGAAAAGCGACCACGACCTCTGGGGAAGTGACTCGTAGGGTTGATCACAAACGAGGTCCACCGGGACCATCGGAAGCCAGAATTGGAGTTGAAGCTTACAACTCGACTCTTCCCAGACGAGTCGGATCGGATCTGTCGTTCATCAATCTTGCCATTGAAATGGATTCGGCTGCGTTTGGGAACATGATTAGGTGTAACTCACCCCTGCCCCGAGGTCCATTGGAGCCAAGTTGACTGGACACTAGTCTTGGACGTGAAAATCAGAGCATTTTACCCTCTGGTGCTGGTGACGGGGATCTGCAAGAAGGGGGCGGCATATTTTGACCCGCTGGAGCTCGATGCCGCGTACCTCCACGTCGTCATGTTCGCTGCCGCGGTCTTCAGGAACAAGGTGTCAGGTCGACAAGCGTTTGCCACCAACACCAACCAGGATGCAACTGCAACTGTGCATTTCTTGAAAGGAGTTCAGATCCTGCGCGAAAGGCTTTCTCTGGGAGACAAGAGCACCCACTCGTCAGATTCGACGATAGCTGCGGTCTCGACGTTGGCCATGAGTGCATTGTTCATGGGTGAGGATGAGACCTTCAAGCACCACATGAGTGGCCTTCGCAAGATGGTCAACCTAAGAGGAGGCATTGCTGCCTTTAAAGGGAACAAGCTCCTCTCCGAAATATTCAGGTAAACAGCCCACCACTCTCAGAAGCCCGTGTTCAAGGAGTCTTCTCGTCGGCACAGGAGCATTGATGGTCGCACAGATGTGATATAGGGATGGCCATGCAAAATGGCTCCCAACCTATCTTCTTCAGCAACCCTCGCTTAGATCCGGTCATCCCTTATCCCGACCAGGAGCTGTTGCCGATGCGAAAGATTGTGAGCGTCACACACTCTCGACACGACTCCCAGTGCTTCCTCTTCCTCGACAAGATGGATCCGAGTCTGGTCGAAGCGTGGACAGTCACGCAGAACTCTTGTTCTATGATCAATCTCTCCGAGGAGACCCGAACAAACCTTGCCCCGGAACTTCTTTACGACACCATGGCTTCAGTCATGTATCGCCTTCTCCATATGAACTTTGACCCGGGGTCGGTTGACGAAGCAGTACGACTCTGTCTTTTGGGTATGAGCTATCATGCTTTCTTACAGTGGCAGGATCTGAGCTTACCTTGCGTTTATTTTCCTTCCATCTACAAATCCTGCCTATTAGACCCAAAACTTCTGGATGAGGCACCCTCCCAGCTCATGCTTTGGCTGCTGATGATTGGGGCCGTTTCAGCATTTACTGCATCAGACCACCCATGGCTGAGGGATTGCTTGCGAAAACACATCAACATATGTCAAGTGAAGACGTGGAACGAGATGCGGCAAGTTTTGAAATCCTTCATGTGGATTGGCCTATTACATGACAAACCGGGCAAGGAGATCTTTGAAGCTGTGTTATAATCATGCCTCTTCTAGCACTTTACGCCGCACATGCACACCGTGCACATCATGCACATCGACAAAGGAAATGGATCCGTTTTTGGGAGGACAGTAACCCCCACACCCATGTGCACCTCTACTTCTGGCACTACTTTGGTGCCACTCACTCCCGCAAGTACATGCATCTTACTCTTTACAGAGTATATAAGTACGGATACACGAATTCGAGTGTTGCTGGGGCATGCGACCTCCGTCTCCGTCGTGTAGCAAATCACTTGATGATGAACAGTGTCAAACAGGTTCCCTTGGGGAACATGAGACTACTATTCGAGGAGAGCAGCAATGACTTGCAGTTCAGGATTCTATCAGCATTGTTATCTTGTCCCTGTGGGAGACGTCTTGAAAGACGCCATGTCTCGGCATAGCCACATTTGTCACTAATACCCTGACTGTTCCCTCCGATTGCCATCGCCTCCACCCCCGCCTCCACTCCCTTCGCCTGTACTATCTAAAGGCTTCGTACCTGCTTCCTTGATGGCGCTCTCGTCGCCACGCAGCTTCTCAAAATACGCCTTGATAGCTTCCGCCGACACGGCCTGGCCGCTCTCGGCGTACGGCTTGAGGAACTCCTTGACTTTGTCCCTCAGGTGGTTATACACCATGACACCTTCAATCGCTTTGACACGGTCCATGGTCGAAAGCGCCGCCTCGCCGCGGTCCAGTAAGCTCGCCGTACCTTGTGAGCGAGTGCCCGACCCTGGCGCCGGGTGAGACTCGGACGTAGCCGATAACGACGGTTCGTAGGTCTCTTCATCCTCCACAAGCTGTGGGTGGGGGATCAGGTTGGGGTAACAGGCTGGGCAGTGGCAAAGATGGTCTCGGAAATCGGACTTCAGGAATAAGGAAAAAACGCCTTTTGGGGCGGGAGGGAGGGTATCGTGTTTGTGGGATTGTTTCGTCTCGGTTGCCTGTTCGGAAGTTGAACCGATGGTGGGCAAAGAGTCCTGGTGGGCGTCTTCGTCCTTACTGCGCTTTGCAGGACTTGCTGGGCCTGTCTCCAGATCAATGTCGGACGCCTTGCGCTTGAGGGTCGTAGGCACGTTTGTGGAAGTGGCAGATCCATTGGTGGTGTCAGGCCCTAGGACTGTTGGTGTTTCTCTCCTGAAGACAGGCTTGAGGAAGCCTGGAGTACCCGCATACCGTTTGATCCAAGGGTTAGACTCGACGCACCGGTAGCAGATCATGGCGTCAAAATCGTCCTCACCAGGGAACCCTGCTGGCACCGGGTGTGACTGTGCACCAATCTCCTGCGCTGTGTCTTTGTGCTCCTTCTCTTTCACCTGTAAACTTTTATACCAATCTCTTCCCAGTCCCATTAGACATTCTGGGTGGTACCAGTCTTCGCCACAACCGCCGGTTTCAACCGTACCCAGGCCCAAGCACTGGAACATGGTGCCCTTCTCTGTGTCGGCGTCATATTCCTCTCCGCAGGCACAGAATCGGTTTTTGAAATTGTGGTTGTAGTGATTGCCCGGTGCAGCTTCCTGGGAATGCACGCCTCTAGCCCCGGTCCGCGGGTCTAACCGGAGTGTACAGGGAGAGGAGGCAAAAAGTCTCGTCGTCCCGCAGTCGCATACAAAGTTCCGTCGACTAAACAATTCCACGAGTGTATGTTCGCCGTGGCAGGAAATGGAGCATGCATAGCACACTCCCGCAGGTGTGTAGACTTGTGCCGCGGAGGCGGGCGGTGGACTGCATGTTAGGCATGCGAAGACATTCTGGCGCAGAGGCCCAAGAGGATACGTGCATTTGTCGAATTTCTAGTCTGGCGTTAGAAGAAAACAGCGGCGCAGAAGACGGGGAGTGTTACGTAGGGTAGCACCTCGCGCGCATCGGCCTCGAGGGCTAGTTGCTGGTTGATGAAGCTGCGAGGTGAAGGCGGTCAGTACGAAGACAAAGAAAACGCATCATGAGAGAGAGTCTCACTCTGCAGCGGTTTGAGAATCTTGTGAGACCTGACTGTCTCTATGAACTGCCTGCGCAACCTCCTCGTTTCCAGACACATGCTCCATTACCAAAGGCTGCCGGCGAAGGCAAGTCTAGATGACGGAGCTTGTGAAGATGGGTTAGCCCAGATTAAATGAAGGCACAAGTGTGCCCGTGAGATAGATGTAGGAAGATGGCCACTGCAACACGACTCGATGATGGGCTCAGGATTGTGTACAGAGTGTATGAGGTGGGTGATGCCATGCCATACCGTAGTATGAGAGTACGGAGTACAGGACTCGGTAGCTTACTACTAATACCTACGACTCCGTACTACGTACACTACGCCCTACCATGGGCCCACCAACACTCTAAAGAGGTTGCATTAGCGTGTCAGAGTCGCGACACCGCGTCTCAGCACACGCGTAAAGTGCAATCTGGTGCACTCACAGCTTTGCCTGTTATCTTTGAAAGCCTCCCTGCTCAGCACCACCTCCTTACCCCAAGACAAGTACCGCTATTCTTGCAGTCCGGTTTCGACCATGAGGTAGGATACACACCGCCTCATCCTGGATGGGGTGCTGGTTCATGTTCCCGCTGATGCCAATGCTAACAATGTAAAGCTCACCCCTCCGACCAAGTATGTCGGCGGCAAACAGAGGGCCCAGCAACGCCAACAGGCGCAAGCGGGCTCGCGACGAAGAAGACGATATCATGTCATCCTCACCCGCAGGTTCGTAATTTCTTTATGAACCCTCTGCGAGGGATGGGGCCGAATGCTGATTTTGTAGCGCTTCCTTCCTCGCCCCCTTTATTGCCTTCCAACGAGAACGATGATCTGGACGACGATGACTTGGGCCCAGAAGACGACCTGATTGGAGATATCGATGACGCAGATGAACTGGCAGAAGAAGAAGATGGCATCGACCTCTTCGGAGATACTTTCATGGATGACGAGCGCGAACGACCCGATCAAGAAACGTATCAGGGGCGAATGATTGACGACGAAGGCGAATATGACGAGCTTGATGTTGCCGCTCGTCGTCAGTTGGAAGCTCGTCTTAACAAACGCGATCGCGAGCTTGCCCGCAGGCGACGCATGCCTGCGGCATTCATGCCAGATGACGACGATGATGCTGGCATTGACTTGACTCGACAACCTCGGAGACGCCGGCACCATTACGACGAGGATCAGGAAGACATGGATCTCGATGAGAATATCATGGAGGAGGAACTTTCTCTGGAGACGCTCCAAGATGTTAAAGCAGCAAACATCACGGAATGGGTCACTCTGCCTCCAGTTATGAAAACGATTGCTCGAGAGTTCAAGTCGTTCCTCACAGAGTACATTGATGCCAATGGCACATCTGTCTACGGAACTCGGATTCGCACCCTCGGTGAGGTCAATTCAGAATCCCTCGAAGTGTCGTACGACCACTTGTCTTCTACCAAAGCCATTTTGGCATACTTTCTGGCGAATTCCCCCACAGAGATGCTCAAGATCTTCGACAAAGCCGCATTTGAAGTGGTTCGACTACACTATCCAAACTATGAACTCATCCATCCAGAGATCCATGTGCGTATTTCAGATTTACCGGTCAAATACACGTTGCGCCAGCTCCGACAGTCACATCTCAACTGCCTAGTCAGAGTTTCCGGAGTGGTCACCCGGCGAACAGGTGTCTTTCCGCAACTCCAGATGGTCAAGTTCACCTGCAACAAATGCGGTGTTACTCTCGGGCCGTTCGCTCAGGAGTCAACCTCGTCAGAAGTCAAATTGACATTCTGTCCAGCGTGCCAGTCCCGGGGACCTTTCACTCTGAACACCGAAAAGACAATATATCGAAACTATCAGAAGCTGACGCTACAAGAATCTCCCGGAACTGTCCCAGCCGGTCGACTGCCACGGCACCGCGAAGTCGTCCTCCTTGCCGACTTGATTGACAGAGCCAAACCGGGCGAAGAAATCGAAGTCACCGGTATCTATCGCAACAACTTTAGCGGTCAGCTCAACAACAAAAATGGCTTCCCGGTGTTCGCGACAATGCTCGAGGCAAACCACATCATCAAGACCCACGATCAGCTTGCTGGTTTCAAGCTGACAGAGGAAGACGAGAGACAGATACGAGCTCTTTCGAAGGACCCCAACATTGTGGACAAGATCGTAGACTCCATTGCTCCGTCAATCTATGGTCACCGGGACATCAAAACTGCAGTCGCACTGTCACTATTTGGAGGCGTCAGCAAAGAAGCACAAGGCAAGCACAAAATCCGGGGTGATATCAACGTACTCCTACTTGGTGACCCCGGGACAGCCAAATCTCAGGTTCTGAAGTACATTGAGAAGACTGCCCATCGAGCTGTCTTTGCCACTGGCCAGGGCGCGTCTGCCGTAGGGTTGACTGCCTCCGTGCGCCGCGATCCTCTCACCTCAGAATGGACGCTCGAGGGTGGGGCTCTCGTCCTTGCCGACCGAGGCACTTGTCTGATAGATGAGTTTGACAAGATGAATGACCAAGATCGGACTTCGATTCACGAGGCTATGGAGCAACAGACCATCTCGATCAGCAAAGCTGGCATTGTCACGACTTTACAGGCACGATGCGCCATCATTGCAGCCGCCAATCCGATAGGAGGACGGTACAATAGCACGGTTCCATTCAGCCAGAATGTGGAGCTCACCGAGCCCATCTTGTCACGGTTTGACATTCTTTGCGTGGTCCGAGATACTGCCGATCCGGATGAAGATGAGCGCCTGGCCAAATTTGTGGTTAACAGTCACGGAAGAGCACATCCGGTCAAGCTCAGCGTTGACGCCGGAGATGTCGCTGCCATGGAGACTGAAGAGACAGACGCGATCAACAATGGTGAACCGCGGCAAGAAGGGGCCATTCCACAAGAGTTGCTCCGAAAATACATTCTGTACGCAAGGGAGAAGTGCCGACCGAAGCTCTATCAGATCGACCAAGATAAGATTGCCCGATTGTTTGCAGACATGCGAAGAGAGTCTCTGGCAACCGGAGCTTATCCGATTACTGTAGGTTGATCTGACGTGATGTGTTTGGGAGCGATACTGACAGCCCACAGGTGCGTCACCTCGAGGCAATCATGAGGATTGGCGAGGCCTTCTGCAAGATGCGGTTGTCCGACTACTGCACGTCGCATGATATTGATCGAGCGATTGCTGTGACCGTTGATTCTTTTGTGGGAAGCCAGAAGATCAGCTGTAAGAAGGCGCTTGCCAGAGCGTTCGCGAAGTATGTTGACTCTGTCGTGATCTGAGACCTGTGAATGCCCCGCTGACATATGACCCTAGATACACGCTGAAGCGACCCGAACGTCAACGAACTCGACCCGGTGCGAATAGTGCCACGGCAGTTTCGGCGTAGATTGTACAAAGTGATTCTAGACGGATATTTTGAAGATGAGCCTGGCTGCTTGACGAGTTGACGAACATCTGCTTGGGTTCGGGATACTGTACGGAGTACCATGAGTTCAGGTAATAGAGCAATGACATGTACCAATAACCCGAGACCGGAGCACATCGCTGGTGACAAAAGTGCCATCGATGAAGAGCACAGCAAATCTAGTAATCTCGCAATACTGTATCCGTACTCTGTATCCGTGCTCTGTAGGGAATCGACATGGGGCGGATTCGCCTCTGCCAGATGCCTGATCCAGGTGGCACGTGCGCCGATGGGCGTGGCCAACGAGAAACGCGTTCGATCGAGGTTCGAGGACGCTTGACGCGTCGCGCCACTGCGTCACGACTTTGAGGCGCAACGGCAACAGCAGAACTCTCCCTTGGTGGACTTCGGGCTGGTGGTCGGTGCTCTCTGTTTGAGTTGTGCTCGGGTGGTCGCTTGTCTAGGATACTGCTCGTTTGCACTTGGATGGTGCTCATCTTCGTTCGCTCTCCTCTCCCTTCGCATTTCTGATTCACCGCTCACGTAAGAGACAACCATGGCGATCGAGCCGACCATTTCGGAAGAATCTGCAACTCCCACCATGTCTTCTGTAAAGTCCACACCCCCTTCCTCCCCTCTGGACGCCAGCATCTCCGAATTCAAGTCGGAGGCCAACGAGGAGGGACTTGGACAAGAGAAAGAGAACAGAATGACTGGCCAGGATGAGGAGGAGGAGGAGGAGCTGGACCACAAGTCACGAGCGCTCACCAATCTATTGAAGACAAGCTCGGTGTTCGTCGCGATTATGGCAGATAAGATGAAGGAACAGCAGAAGCGGAGTCAGGAACAGGCCAGACGTGCTGCAGCCAAACAGCGCAATGACGGTAGCAAAGGTGCGGAGCCGAAAGGTCCAACGAGGAAGTCCACCAGGACGCATGCTGCGGACGAGCACGAGAATGGTACGGGAGGCGGGGCTGAGCAGCTGGAGAAGAAAGGCACTCGAGGTCGAGCGTCCAAGAAGACACGGGTCGCCAAAAAGAACATCATCGACTACTTTGGCGTCGATACCGTGGAGATCTCTCAAGACGGCCCGACAGTGCAGGAGGCTCTTGCCGAAGCCGCTGACGAGTACGAGGGCGAAGGACTTGGTGCACAGGACCTCGTCGCTACCGACCAACCGGCCCCTGTCACGGGTGGTCAAATGAAGCAGTACCAACTTGAGGGCCTGGAGTGGATGAAATCGTTGTGGATGAATGGTCTCTGCGGTATCCTCGCCGACGAAATGGGTCTCGGCAAGACTCTACAGGCCATTTCTCTCATTGCCTTCTTCAAAGAGCACAGCATCCAGGGGCCCTTTTTGATCGTCACTCCTTTGAGTACAGTCAGGAACTGGATTGAAGAATTCAAGCACTGGACGCCCTCAATCAATACCATTCTTTACCATGGCAGCAAAGACGAACGTGAGACAATGAGGCGGAAGATGATGAAAATGCAAGACCAGACCAAGGTTGAGTTCCCCGTGGTGGTCACAAGCTACGAGATTTGCATGAACGATCGAAAATTCCTTGCCAACTACCAGTGGAAGTACATCATTGTGGATGAAGGGCACCGGCTGAAGAACATGAATTGCAAATTGATCAAGGAGTTGATGACCTACAACTCGGCCAACAGATTGCTGATCACGGGCACACCACTTCAGAACAATATTGCCGAGCTATGGTCCCTCCTCCACTTCTTACTGCCAGAAGTCTTCAATGACCTCGACAGTTTCGAAGGCTGGTTTGACTTCTCTAGTGTGCTGGAAGTCAAGACGGACTCGGACGGCAAAATGCTGAAGCGCAAGAACAATCTGGTTTCCACCATGCATGCCATCCTCAAGCCATTCCTGCTACGGCGAGTCAAGTCGGATGTCGAGTCGTCACTTCCGAAGAAGCGGGAGTATATCTTGTACGCACCCTTGACTTCCGAACAGAAGGACCTCTATCGAGAAATTCTTGCCGGGACTAGCAGATCTTACCTCGAGGGCAAGGCGGTCGAGCGGATCGAGGCTAAAAGCCGGACGGCCTCGCTGAAACGCAAGGCCAACGATAGTATACGTTCTACTCCCGCAAAGAGTGTCAAGCACAGCCGGGCTTCCACCCCTGCATCGACCACGTCAACAGGCTCGGTCCGAATGGGCCGGAAAGCAGCACGCACAAGTTATCGAGATGTGACTGACCGGGAATTCAACGCACGGCTTCGTCGTCTGGAAAATGGTGATGAGACTGTCAATCTTGACCGCGCTTCTCCTTCTACGGGGGCATCCGAGGACGGGTCCGAAGAGGAGGAAGAACTGGAACGTGCAAAGACGCTCAAGTTGGCCAAGAAAGAAATATCGGCGAAGAAATTGCAAAATCCATTGATGCAAGCTAGACTAGCATGCAACAGTCCGCACAACTTCTACTGGCCCTGGAAGCCCACCACAGTTGCCGAGGAAGAATCTGGCGACTATCCTGAAGTCGACGAGAGCCTTGTTACTGCATCGGGGAAGGTCCTCCTTCTCGATACCCTGCTTCCACGACTGTTCAAGTTGGGCCACAAGGTCTTGATTTTCAGTCAATTCAAGACCACGCTTGATATTTTGGAGACCTACGCTGTCGATCTTCGGAATTGGAAAGCATGCCGGATCGATGGCTCTGTGGCCCAGGAGGAGCGGTACAAACTGATCAAGGCGTTCAACACGGACAAATCATACAACCTGTTCCTCTTATCCACTCGCGCTGGCGGGCAAGGGATCAATTTGGCAGCTGCCGACACTGTGATTCTATTCGACTCGGACTGGAATCCGCAGCAAGATTTGCAGGCGATGGACCGCGCGCACCGGATCGGCCAGACCAAGCCAGTGATTGTTTACCGTCTGGCAACCCGCGGTACGGTGGAAGAAACCCTGCTCCTGAAAGCCGATGCAAAGAGAAAGCTCGAAAAGCTTGTCATCCAGAAGGGCAAGTTCAAGTCGCTCCTGTCATCCGTGGCGGACGTCGACGACGTGAGGGGGGTCCTGGCAAACGAGGACTTTGAAAAGTACGACATTGCTGACTCGGGCGGCGAAGGGGCCATATTGAGTGAAGAAGAGTTGCAAATCCTGACCGATCGAAGCGAACAAGCGTACGAACGGGCCGAGAAGGGGCTGGACATTGGTGGCGAGGGTCAAGCTTTCAGAGTCGCCGAAACGAAGAGAGGTGACGGGAGCACAGCGGACGTGCTTGATGATTTGACCGTCAGGAGTAAAGCGGTGAAAAGAGCCCGGTAGGTGCCCGGGGTCAATGAGCGCGAGCGTGTCTGCTCCCCGTCAGGGCCTGGCTCGGCTGACTGGGAGTTGGTGATGTTGGGATCTGCGAGAGTTGCTAGGGTATGATGATAAATCAGAGTGAGACTTTGGAAAAACGGGTTGGATCGGCGCTTTCGGCTGGGGTTGGAGTTGGTTGCACAGGCGCAGGTGTTTGCATAAATAGATGGTCGCAATGCCAATGCACCTCGAATCGAGGCTTAGGGGCTTTCAAGACGCTTTGTCTCTCTACATTTTCATCTTCATGTTCGAGAGATTATGTGTTCGAGAGATTATGGTCGTATGTAACATGAATGTAGGCTGCTGCAACGCTCGCTTCATGCTCATTAATCTACCAGCTAAGGCCTGAAATCAGAATCAGGGAAGAGACGCGGTTCATGAAACTGATCACGTCAAGTCAGATCGCCCAGGCCCTGAGGCCCTGTACTAACGAATTAGGACGGATGCGATCAACATTGAGAGATGTACATACAGTAAGGCTGCCGGGGAAAGGGGCAGGGCGGGACAGGTCCGAGTGATTGATTTGGAGACTTCGTTTCCCGAGGAGGTCCATAGGTACCTAAGGTACTCTGTACTGCTGTACACTGTACAGTACTTTGTACAATGTTGTACAAGCCCCTCAGTGATCTGGCGTAACGGCATGGATCTGAGATGAGATGAGATGTACGCGATAGATTGTCGAAAGCACGCCATCGGCGGCAAGCCTTCGTCTTCCGGCTCGTGGTGATGATAGGTAGATATGTAGATAACGCCAAGTAGACCTGTGACCTGTAACCTGGATCTCGTTGGAGCGAAACGTGGGACGGGTTGTTCTTGCATTATAACGGTACTATGGCTGTTCAGAACGGAGCAGATGAGCATGAGCATGGCCCTCAGCCTCAGCCTGAGGGCAAGCCTGAGGGCAAGCCGCTCCGCGTCGCCATCGTGGGTGGTGGGCCGGCGGGACTCGGGGCTGCAATTGCGTTGTCGAAACTGCGGGATATAGAGGTCCGCGTTTTCGAGCAGGCCAGCGAACTCCGCGAGATCGGAGCGGGCATTCGCATCGGGTATAATTGCTGGAGAGTGCTGGAGCTGCTGGGCGCCGCGGACCGAGTCAAGGGTCATCACAAGACGTCGATTGTCCATCGGTAAGGTGCATCTTCGACCTCCCTTTGGGACTTGAAATCTCTTCTCACTTCCCGGAGCGGACTGGCACAGGGCTCCAATCCAGGTGTGTCTAGATGCTAGAGGCGCTGCTGACCAGGACTGCATAGGAATGGCCTCACCGGTGAAGTCGTCGCCAGCTCGGGGCCCACCCCAGTTCCATTCCGATACCAGGTCCGACGGGTGCGAAGGACTCGTCTCCAGCAGGCACTGGTCTCCCAGGTACCTGGCGGCATCATCAACCTCAACAAGCACGTTTTGTCGATAGAGGATCTGGGACAATCTCAGCCTGGGGCGGGTGGTGTGCGTATCGCGTTCCGTGACGGCACAGAGACCACGGCCGACTTGGTTGTCGGTGCAGATGGCATTCGGTCGGCAAGTTTCATAAATCTCCTGTCCTACCATACTCATACAACATTGGCCATCATTGAGAGGGTCTGATGTTTGGTGTGGTGTCTGGCTTCTGACTGTCTCCAAGTCAGTTCGGGACAGCATCTTTCCAGACCACAAGATCCAGTTCACAGGTCTGTCTTCTCTTCTGCTTTTGCTTTGGCTTGATCTTGATCTTGATATTGATATTGATCTTGGCCTTCCGAATCTGACACTGACACTCTATGTCGGGCGGGCCAGGCACCATCATCTGGAGGGTCCTGATCCCGACACGCACGATTGCCCATATCCCCGACCTGATCTCTTCGACTTCATGGTGGCATGGTCCTGAAGGACATGTTTTCCACTCGCCCGTCGATGACCCTGCCGAGGTGGCCGAGGAGGAAAGGTTGTCCGAGCTGTCGGCAAGGAACTTGGTCGATCCTGCAACGGCCACGGGAAAGAAGTTCAGCTGGGGTGTTCCTGCAACAAATGAGAGAGTAGAGTCGCACTTCAAGGTCAGTCGGTTTGATGCGATGCGATGCAATGCAATGCGAACGCGCGCACACAACATACTTACTCCAGCGACTGCGACTAGGACTATGACCCCAGAATCCGAGAAGCGCTGGGCCAGGTCCCAGAAGGCCAGTGGAAAGAATTCTCGGCATTTGCCGGTCCAAGATTGGAGACGCTCACGGGCTGGGACAAGGTGGTGTTGCTAGGCGATGCTAGCCATCCTCTTTCAGGTGTGTCACCACGGTGTATGTACTATGCCGACCCTCACTTTGCTAATCCGCCATCTCTTGCTTCCCTGGGCAGGCGCCTTCGGATCTGGGGCTGCGTTTGCTCTCGAAGACGGCTGGATCCTCGCTCGGGCAATCGAGCACGCTCGTTCTTCTGGACAGCCACTGGCCAAAGCCCTCGAGATATTCGATGCCATCAGGTCCCCATATTATCGGAGAATGTGAGTCTTGACTAGAGCCTAGTATCAGCGTAGGTATGGCGATCCGGCTAACAGTATTGTTGATACCAGGTATGAGCACCTCGACAGCCAGAAACAAAAACTGCAAGATCAACAGGCAAAAGCCGCCGACTCTCTTGTCGGCACTGCCACCTTTACTTCGACTTTGCAGCAGAGAGTGGCTGCATTTGGTGGTGAGGAAGGACTGCCCTGGATATACTACAACGACATCGAAGACGTGTGGAAGCAATTCTTGAAAGGTCAGTCGGGGGCGTCGTTGTAGATGGCTGAATGGGAGAGGCGCGAGATGCAAGAAAAGACATAGACATAGAGGGGATAGAGGAAGGAAAGGTGTTGTTGATGAATCTCCGTGTTGGCCTGCCCGAATACAGAATCACATGCCATTGACGGCGTTGCAAGTGCTACTCATCAGATGCAGTAAAGTAAATCCAGTCTCACCACCAGCTAGCTACTAACATAATTACAGGGAAATGTGACATATCCAAGTCGCACAACCATTCCCAACAAACCAGAAGTCCTTGTCCTGGTCCTCGTCATTATCACGAAGTGCACAGGCAACGAATGAACGTGTATACTTGAGATAGTATGAAGATAAGGAGTATAAAAGAGTTACGATAGTGCGTAACGAGTATGAGGCCTTCCTTAGGTGACGTGTATCACGAGGCTATACTAAGCCTTTTTGGTTATAACATATCTTCGTAGTCATTTGATCCCACATGAGTCTCATACAACCGTGATAGTCATCCTCCTCGTCATTGCCCTCGTCATTGTCCTTGTCCTCGTCCTCATCCTCGTCCTCGTCCTCGTCCTCATCCTCAACCTTGTCCTCATCCTCATCCTCAACCTTGTCCTCATCCTCATCCTCATCCTCATCCTCGTCCTTGTCCTCCTTGTCGTCGGAAGGAGAGGCTTGACTCGTAAGTCGGGCTTCAACCTCGCCCATACGCTGCTGAAGAGTAGCAACCTGAGCGAAAATGGAGTCCTACACCTTGTTAGCGAACCGTATGCGTGCCGCAGAGAAGTATATATACCGCGAAATCTAGAATTGCTATGTTGGCCTCCTGCTGGCGGGCGCCATGGGGGCGGTGGCTTCAGCGACGAGCTTGGCAAGCCGGCGGGCCCGCTTCCTAGCTCGCTTGGATGGCGGCGGTGGAGAGGCGTCGTCGGGAAGGCCTGTGAATACGCGTTAAAGACGAATCGCATACGAACTGATCTTGATCTTACCTCGCTTAGGAGAGCCAGGGGGCTTCTCAGGCGGGCCACCAGATGGCGACATCATCGGGTTGGTAGACACTAACGCGATTAGCACGAGACCACGGCGCGGCCCGACTCGCATAAGACCTACTCGCTGGTTGAAGATTGGAGAATCGTTAGTGATAATACTAGGTCGTCTTCTCAGAACCGACTGCGACATACATAAGACTGACGATAAATGAAACAACAAGAGAAAATGGTACTGTAAGAAGTCAGCGCAGTGGACTTGCATGAGATTCCTTCACGGTACGTACTGGACGGGAGAGTGGTGAGTGGATGAAGCGAGAAAAACAAGACGAGACAGGCCGAGTGTGTGAGACTTGGAAAACTCGCCAAGTAAACACAAATCCGTTCTGGGAGCACTCCCGGGAAGATATATTGAAGGAAGAAGTCAGGCTTGAATTCTACGGTGCGGCTGCTACATCTTGGCAATTACAATCCAGCCTTGCTGACTACTTCTCGAGGATGATAAGTCCAATACACCCGAGGGTCTCGGCTAACCGGATGATTCAGCTGCAGGCGACTCGTATAGGAGAACTTGTCTTCTCTACCTACCTTAGGTATGCTTCGTAACAAGAGTCAAGGGATACCTGATATATAAGGTAGGTACATATGTACCTTACCTCGATGTTCCCAATTTGGTACCGAGTTTGGGCCTTGACACTATGACAGAATCTGTGATCGACGTCTAATGGCACATCCATGGCGCCCCACCACACTCTAAAGACTCAAGAGGAGTATATCGGAAACACTGGCCAATGGCAGCGGGGCCGGCTGCCCAGTCGGGGAAATTATTCGCCCGGCCAAGCTGCAGTTCTTCCGCCTCATCGCAGATCCTTCTGAACGAGCGGCTACCTGGTTCCTCCGCATTGCAACAAGTCGCCAGTATTGTAACTAAGCCCCGATATGCCTCGAATGTCAGCTGCGCAAGGGGCGCCGACTATAAAAGACATGGCTGACCTTGGTGAATCTGCCAATGCATCAACAGCGTCAACAGCAACAGCAACAGCAGCAGCAGCAGCAGCAGCAGCAGCAACAACAAATCTCAAATAAGACCTCCATCTCAAGTCCACGAAAACATGTCTTCCCCGTCATCCAGCTCCACGACAGTTGCCTTCTTCGGGGCAACTGGCGGCGTCACTAACGCGGCGCTCGCGCACACTCTGAAGGCCGGGTACAAGGTGATTGCGCTTGTCCGGAATCGCGAGAAGCTGTGCAACCTGCTCGCCAGCCAAGGCTTCGACGAAGTAACCATCGCAAAGCACCTCACCATTGTCGAAGGCAATGCCCTCGACGTCGCCGCCGTGAAACGGACTTTGACTGCTGGTGCCGATGGGGCTCTTCCAACGCACATCGTCACCGGACTCGGCAGTGCTGGCCGCCTGACATTCAACTGGTGCCATCCAGGCAACATTGTGAAACTCGACAATCCCACGATCTGTGAAACAGCCGCGCAGACTCTGCTGACAGCGATGCGTGAGATCTATGCCGAAAAGCCTTGGCTCTCAACCGATAAGCCGCTTTTGATCTTTATCTCTACCACAGGCGTCACGCGCGGACCTGACGATGTCCCCTTTGCCATGCGCTTCCTGTATCATCAGATGCTCGCTATTCCGCACGCAGACAAAATGAAAATGGAGGACGCCTACCGTGCAGACGCTGAGAAGGACGACGACGCCGTATTCCGCAACATAGTGGGAATTCGACCAACATTGCTGACTGGTGGTGCCTCGTACACCGATGCCGTTGGGCTGGACCATGTCAAATACGGGACCGAATCGCATCCGGCCACTGGCTTCAGCATCAAGAGAGCTGATGTCGGGCATTGGGTCTTTGAGAACCTGATCGACGAGGCGCAGAGAAGGAAGGAGTTGGAGGGTGAAATGATTACATTGACGAGTTAATGATGCTAGATTCTTCGAATGTTTTAGCATGGTGTAGCAGGACTGTTAGGCCAGACCTTATGATCACACTTGTTGTAGGGATTTGTATGACCCATAATATCAGACAAACCATTGATGTAGGCAAAAATTCTGTGTCAAGGAGCTTTAGCATTGCTTTTCAATGACAACTTCTCCATCAATTTCTGGCGCATACTAGTATCAAGGGTATCGAAAAAGCAGTGCATGACAGTACAAAGGTGCGCAGTGTCGGTGGGAGCTAATGTCTCCCATACCCCCAAAGACACACCGGACAAACACCACTTTCATATCGTCTCCAAGCCGTGGCTGATTCTCCTCATAGTCCCAGCTCAAGCCACAATCTGAACTCTCTTCATCCAACGGCAACAATGATCTGGTCGGGGCTCTCCCAGATCTCTTCCCAACATTCTGTCCTCCCAAAGCCCTCGGACTAAATCCTACTCGTTGTATGCGTTGAACGCGTTGTACGATGTCTCCGACTGCTGTGACCGCAGGTGAGGCATGAGATGATAATGTCAAAGAAGGAGACAATGCCGTTAATAATGGCAGTGAGGATGGCTCCGATGCCGTTGACAATGGCCATTAGAACAGAGCCGATGGTCCGGCAGATGGACTCGATCTGCGAAAGGAAAGTCAGCCACAATCCTCCATGGTGTAGTAAAACAGAAGACTTACGCATGAGACGACGGCACCCATTGTGACTGTTTGTTGTGTGATTTGGTGTTTGTCGAGGTAATAAGTGTTGGCGGTCTGGTAGCAGAAGTAGGTTCTGTGAATGTATGTAGGGAAATGTTTCAGGCTGGGGCTGAAGTTGAGGTAGTTGAGATTTTATATCGCAGAGAGGATGTCTAGAATATTCAGAAGGAGGTGGGGGATTCGCAGCGCGGTGACTTCCCTTTGTATCACGATCAGGCGATGGCTACATCATTGGTTTGGTCATTCACTCTCACGTCGTTTTCTATCCGCATTCGGGTCTAGTGCGTGCAAGTTATTTCCTGCTTGACGTTTTCCTGACCCATCCAAATCGTATGACGTCTATCCAAGGCTGGAATAGGTGAAGAATGGCACACCTCCGCCAGCTACTCGGCCCCATGCGTTGACCTAAATTGAGGATGGACGCAATCAGAGCCTGAGGGGGCAGGGATCCTGAAAGGGGAACCAGTCATGGACGGGTTGGTCGTGCCCTTCAGAACGTCATTGCGGCGGCCAAGGTGTGATAAAACAAGGCAGATGCTGGTTCATAACCTTGTCACCATGCAAAGAGTCGACGTCATTTGCTGATCCATGCAGCGGGGGGGCTGGCTGATCGGAACTAGTACTCCGTCCTGTGGCGTCGTGGTGATATTCGATTGTGGCTACGGGAACTTGTGGCGCTGTGTGGCTGGTATTTACAACCGGGGTCGACGGTTTGTGATCTTCCGCCAATAACTAATGACCACCCAAGGATACCTAGTACTCGTACAAACTGGTAGAAGAATGCAGTTCGACTTCGACTGGCTTGCGGACGGCATACCCACCTGCTTCGGCGAGAGGCTACTGGTCACGGCTCTGTTGTCCGTCGCCATCCTTCTGTTCTCGATATACTTCGTCACCAATGCATTTCACACACGAGGGGAACGTGCCCTTCGATACACGGTCGCAGTTCCTCCACAGCTGGACAAGGACTACGAATGGAAACTCGAAGAGGTAGATAACCCACGACCTGCCACACCCGAGGTATGCGACTATGGTCCTCGTGCAAATAGCGTATCGTCTAATTGCCTCCGTCTTAGATTCACAATGGCTGGATATACCCCCGATGTTCCGCAGATGGCCGCAGCCTAGGTGACCCCATTGCTCCTGCAACACCCTCCTCCATCGACAATGCCATTTCGGCCGCTACCCAAGCTCAACTTCAATGGTCGCGGACCAGTTTCGCCGAGCGGCGGCGAGTGCTCCGCACCCTTTTGCGATACGTACTTGACCATCAGGAAGAGATTGTCACGGCCTGTTGTCTGGACAGTGGCAAGACCAAGATTGACGCCTGCTTTGGTGAAATCCTGGTGACTGTTGAGAAACTACAGTGGACAATAAAACATGGTGAAAAAGCCTTATCGCCGTCAAGGCGGCCTACGAACCTTCTCATGTGCTACAAAGCCAACACTGTTCTCTATGAGCCTCTAGGTGTGGTGGCTGCTTGTGTCAGCTGGAACTATCCTTTCCACAACTTCATCTCGCCAGTCATCTCGGCGTTGTTCGCAGGCAACGCAATTATCGTCAAACCCAGCGAGCAGACATGTTGGAGTAGTCTGTACTTCAGCAACCTCATCCGAGGAGCCCTCCGGGCCTGTGGGCACAGCCAGGACCTGATCCAAAATGTGATTTGTCTACCAGAAGTTGCGGATTACCTCACCAGCCATTCTGGACTGAGCCATATCACCTTCATTGGGAGCAGAGAAGTCGCTCACAAGGTCTGCACGTCGGCTGCTAGAGCACTGACTCCGGTCACGGTCGAGCTTGGCGGCAAGGACCCGGCGATCGTTCTCGACGACCCTAAAACGATCGGGAAGATACACGAGGTTACAGCTATCCTGATGCGCGGGGTTTTCCAGTCCGCTGGACAGAATTGCATCGGCATCGAGCGCGTCATCGCTCTCCCAGATAGTCACGACAGGATTGTCAGGCTTGTGCTCCCCAAAATTCAGTCACTACGTCTCGGCTCCGTTCTCCTGTCCCCTGCGAGTTTACCTCCAGACATGGGCTCCATGATCTCGTCACGCAATTTCCAACGTCTGGAGGATTTAATATCTTCGGCCGTTGCGCAGGGCGCGAAGCTCCACTGCGGCGGGAGGCGATATCTCCACCCGACGTATCCCAATGGAACGTATTTTCAGCCTACTCTCCTCAGCGATGTCACCGCTGACATGGAGATTGCGCAACATGAGCTTTTTGCCCCGATCTTTCTGCTCATGAAAGCGCGCACGGCGGACGACGCGATCGTCATAGCAAACTCGACGCCTTTTGCCCTCGGCGCGAGCATTTTCGGCCATCACCAGGATGATGTGGCCAGGTTCGTTACGGGAATCAAGGCTGGGATGGTGGCGGTGAATGATTTCGGCGCGTACTATGCTTGTTCGATGCCCTTCGGCGGCGTCAAGGGTTCGGGATACGGCCGGTTTGGCGGAAAAGAGGGGCTGCGGGCGCTGAGTAATGTCAAAAGCGTATGCGTCGATGCATCCTGGGCCACAGTCTTGGGGATCAGAACAACCATCCCGCCCAAATTGCAGTATCCTGTCAGCAAAGACGGATGGGACATTTGTAAAGGTGTGGTGGGCACCGGATATTCTTCAGGCTGGAGGGAATGGATTGCGAACGTGATCGGTCTGGTGTCCGCACTGACACGGAGAGATTCGAGTGCTGGAGATCAGTCACACAGTCGAGTCAACCAAAAAGTACAATGATTTGCGAGAGGGGAGCAATACAGTTGACAGGCTGGCTTCGTCGTTACACATTCTGTCACTTGAACTTAAGTTCTAAGCGAAAGCACTCAAAGCACTCCAAAAAGAGCGAATCTATCTGAAGAATGCTTTTCATGACCAAGAAATCACCAGCATAATCGCCGCTCCGATAAACATGGCGCCAAATTGCAGTGCTGTCTTCCTCAGCTCTAGGGCCTTATGCGGCCCGGTTTCCAGTAACTCCGGGATGACGGCCACCGTACCGACATACAAGAATGTGCCCGCCGTGAAAGGAAGCAGCATATCCCCCCACTGCAAACTGGTGCCCCAGATCCCCTTGATCGCCACGGCTGGATCAGAGCTCGCTGCACCGCCATATTCTTGGACAAATATGCCAATGCATGTTCCGAGGAACGCGCCGACAGCAGTGACGAACTGAGCCCCCATGGCTTTGCGCTTGGAGAAGCCGGATTGAATAAGGAGTGCGAAGTCGCCGACCTCGTGCGGTATCTCGTGGAAAAAGACGGCCATGGTCGTCGTAGCACCCAATGCAGGCGAGGCATAAAAACTAGAGGACAAGGCCAGCCCGTCCGTGATGTTATGGGTGAAATCGGCAATGAGGTTCAAAAGCCCGGCAAGTTTGGCTGACGGGTTAGTGGGCGACTTGTCGGACTTGCCATGTTCCGATTCGCCCCTGTCGTCTGTTTTAGCCCCCTTCCTTTTGCGTAGTTCGCCAGCGTTGGCTTCCTTCTTGGTCGCGCCGGATGTCGAGACCGTCCCGTTGGCCGTTTGAGTGTCGGAGCGTGTGTCAGTGGGACTGTGCTCGTGTGAATGGCCACTCCCTCCAGTTGCGATGCGTAAGGCCTTGTCCATGGCCATAAATGTCACCAGACCAACGAGAATTCCAACTCCTAACAAAAGGTTACGGTTTGGTTCGACCATCACAAACTTGACTCGATCGTGCTCGTCTTCGCCTAGAAAGATCTCGGGGAGGAGATGGAACAAAGTATCGCCCAACAAGCCGCCGACTGCGAAAGCGACCATGACACTTAGGGACGACGGGTCAATGTTGGGAGGGCATAGTGCCAACAGCAAGTTTGGTGGGCCGGAAATGTACGCCGTTGCGAGAAGAGCATTGATTGCCGGCGAGGAGGATGGGAACAGCAGCTCGAAGAGTTTCGTGGTCAGGGATGCATGCGGCGGGGCATTCTTTACTTTATGCTCGGACAGATTTTGGACAAAAGCACATTGCTATCGGAGATAATCAGTAGGAATTCGTGGACGCTGCACATCAGATCAGCATACCTGGAGGTTCTTCTCGATTTCTTCAGGAGTCAGCAGGCTTATGTCCTTTTCCTTGCCTAGGACAGTCTCTGCGCAAAGGGAAAAGGCAAGGCCGAGATATAATGCATATGAAATGTATCTGACCATGTTTGAAGGCATTACTCGTGTGTAAGCCATATTGTAAAAAAGATGCAGCTTGACAGAGTCATAGAACGTCGCGGTTAGGTGGCAGTAGCACTCAAATATGATGCTGGTGCAGCTGTCGTTCACGGGATCATTCCGTCTGACAAAATGGTTGCGACACCTTTAGCGGTGCTATGGCGAAAGTGACCATGTCAGACAATCTCTCTGCACTCCCCGTATTGGTAGGTCTGCCGACTAGGTTCTTATCGATAACGCCTCGAAAAGTTTGTGTGCAGCCTGCCGCTTCGCCAACGTACTACACCATCTGGTAGACAGGAGCAATTTTCCAATCAAGAGACAGAAATTCGCGGCCAACATGGGTCGTGAAAGACAGAAAAAGAAGAACAGGTCGTCCAAGCCCACGGTGCGACCCAACTCCAACCGAACAAAGGCTGGGAAGAAAAAGGTCAACTTTTTAGGAAATGAGACAATAGCGAAAAACTGGTATTTCATCATCCGTCCTTCGAGAAAGGGTAGGCACTAATGACTTCAGGGATCGCAAACTCACCGTATCGCAAAATTACAAGCGATTGGGTCTATCCTCCAAGTTGAATGCTGCAACTGGCGGCACCGAGAAGAAACGACTGAAAGACGGCGAGACTGAGAAAGAGACCAGAGACCCCTTTGCGATAAGCGGACCACGAGCTGCCGCCAAATTAGCCAGCCAAGAAGTGCAAGTTGAGAGGGATCCAGAGACGGGCCGCATTGTCAGGGTTATCCGGCCAGAGACTGATGATGTTGACGACAATCCCTTGAACGATGCCCTCAATGATATCATGGATCTTGACAGTCAAGGGCCAGAGACAAGGTCAAAGCATGACGTGGTCGCTCAACTTGAAGCTCAAGCTGCTGAAGAAGAGGAGCTCTTGGCCACAAAGAGACGCCCAAGACAACAGAGTAAGCGAGAAGAAGAGTGGATTGCAAACCTGGTTGAAAGATACGGAGACGACATTAAAGCCATGGTAAGAGATCGCAAGCTCAATCCGATGCAGCAAACAGAGGGCGATATCAGTCGAAGAATCAGAAAATGGAAAGCTTCTCGGGAAGTCACAACTTGAGTGAACACATTTTCAACGAATTGGACGCTTTGTGGCCATTCCTGCCGACATGGATGCACATTCTGGCTGCTTCGAAACTTGCGACTGTGTCCACGGGCAGCAGGAGACTCCTGGCATTGCATACTAAGTGCGGCGTTGGCATATGACTCACCACTCCTTGGTCCGCCCGTCAAGGCCACGCAAGGATTGGATAGGACCTGAACACACAGAGCAATGTGCAGCGCACCAAGTGCAGACATACCAATGTCGCTATCATTCAAGGAAGGACAACCTATCAGGCTGCTGTGTAAACTTGAAGATGTGGGTTGTTCACCTAACCTCAGCCCTAGCAGCCCGTTCAGGTGTAGACCGCTGCGACTCACTTGTTGTGCTCTCGGACTATTGCACTCTGCCATGCAAGCCGCATCATTGTGGCCGGCATTCGGCCCAGCAGAACCACCGCCGCACACATCATCACCCACCATGAACTTGGAAAGCCCTCAAACTAGGGATACTGCGCAAATGGATTTTCTTTCCTCCGCAAAAACTCGCCTTGAATATAGAGCAGAGTGCAATTAGACAGATCTGGTCCTTGAGGTTCGACGTCCAGAGCACTCTGGAGGTACCAGCAGTGATCCGGACAATGCCGAGCAAAGAATGATAGCGCGGTAGATTCTCTTGAAATAATCAAGAGTCTTCATCTAGACCCCAGCGTCCTCTATGTCATCTCATGTAATAGGTTACCAAGGAAGTAGGATATAGGTAGCTTTTCTCCCACTCCTGCGTCATTGAAGCCTCGGTCCTTATCAAGTTAGATACATCCAAATTGTTGCAGAGAGAACGTGTGTTTTACTGTCGAAAGGATAATACAGTTTGAAAATGGTGAGCACATAATCGCAGGCCGCCGTTCTGCCAGACCTTTTATTGTGCTTCAGCCTGTGCGGTCAAGATAATGGCTGTCACCTTTGTTCCCGGATCAAGCTGTCGGTAGAATGGTGACATCTCCAGCCAAGTCTTGACGGTAAATCTCCTTTCGACAGTCAGCAAAAATGAGTAGCAATTGGCCAAGTTCTCCTTCGCTGACTGCGCCACTGATCCTCGACAAGATCCTCCCTAACTTGTATCTATCTGTGTAGGTCAAACCCTCCCTCCTCTTTGAAGCCAGTGTCTTTCATTCATTAACATCATCAAACTAAACAGTATCTACACTGCTTGTGCAGTCTTGAGCCTGAACTATCCTGCACTTCACTTTCCTAAGATTCGCTATGTTTTCTCCATGGTTGACGGTCCCAAGAAGCAGCTCAGAGTACCTCCGGGACACGAGGCAAGTTTGTTCTCCATCTGATCAGCATCTGTTTCACTCCAATATCGATCTTCTTGCAGATCTGGAACTATACAGATGGTTTATCGGTGCTACCTGCTATCAGGGATTGCCGGAAATGGCCTCCGGGATGCGGTACGGTGCGACATTGGCCCTTGTCACGCTATTTCAGGAAGCAGACAAGGAAAACCGCCTTCTGAGAGGCCCGCTGCTGTTTGTCTGATGCACAGTTCTATCTGGCCATGGCCTCTACGCCTGCTTTCCCCCGCCGTTTGGATGATATCATTCTCGGCGAGCGGAGCGGAGCGGAGCGGAAAGGTGAGCCCAATCACTCCCCCTCTCCGCCAATACTATTTCGTGTTCCGGTGTCCAATGGCCGACCAAGCACCTTAACCTTATTTTCTCGTCCCTTTCACTCCGCCCAGGCAGCAATCCTTCCTTCCTCTTGTATACCAATCCGACACAAACAAAGGTACGTTTGACTGTTTCCCTAGTTTGCCCTATTGCCCTTTTCAAGATCACCTAGAGGCCTCTGGAATCATTGTATATGGCTATGTATACAGTGACTAGGAGGACTCTAGGAGGACTATATATTGTCTAGTATATAGATGCCGGGAGAACTCTACCAGCATATCCTATTATTAGACATATATCGACCTGGAGGACGGTAGGAGGACCGCTTATTACCGGGTACATGGATGCCTGAAGACCTCGAGGAGTACTTGACTTCACAATTTACGTTAATTTACTGGAGGCCATGATGAGCACCACAGGATCTTCTAGACGACACAATCTTGCACAAAGCGGTCATCTGGGCTCCAACGGTGACCTGTGGGGTTAGGCAAGGCAAGATCCTCAGGCACAACCATGTCTAAAGTGGAGCAGTTCCTCACAGGACAAGCTATATAAGGCCGTTCAGTCTCCTCCATTCTTTTGTTCTCCCATGCACTCAGGCCCCATCGCCGAGCCAAACGCCGAGCCAGACAAGGCTGTGCTCATAGAGACCATTCACTGACAACGACCTCTCTAGATGGCTCCTATCACCAGAAAACGAAAGGCCGAAGGCCATGTCGGCTTCGTCACACTCCGCCTATCTCCAGGCTTCGACATTTCCAAGCTCAAGAAGAAGATCACGGCTAGGAGACCGGCCTTCCGACGACCAGCTCTGCCGCGGCGAACGAAGCCGTACACCAACAGGTATCGATTCGAGTTTGGCGAGGATCATTTGTACACTCACGCATCGCCTACACAGGCTGAAATCGACACGGTGGCCGGTATTTTGAAGGCGGAACGTCCAGTGCTCAAGTTGTCGGCCGCTCAAACAGGAACTGCATCCAATCCATTCCACGCTGGAGGTAGAATCTCCGTCGACTCGATTGTGCGTGTGATTCTGTCTCAGTCATGCACCAACGAAGCAGCTCTTGATGCCCAGCAGACAATGATCTGGGCTTATCCGTTCCCTGTCGACGGGGGTGCGGTCGTGGGAAAGATGCCAAACTACCATGCAATGCGAAAACAAAGCATCGAAAAGCTGAAAGCGGTCTTGAGCAGGACAGGCCTACAGAACCTCAAGGCAACAGGAATAAAGGGCGTTCTTGATGCAGTCTATGAGACCAACATCGCACGTATCAAGCCAGGGGAGGTAATCTACGACGGCAACAAACCTGGCGCCACCGACTTTGTCCCGGGCCTGTTGTCGGTGGACTACATCTACGAAGCGTACGAACAAGGTGGAAAGCAGGCCGTGTTCGACAAACTCGTCCAGCTTCCGCAGATTGGCGTCAAGTCGGCTTGCTGTCTCATGGGTTTCAACATGAAGCTTCCAGTCTTTGCGGTCGACACACACGTTGCGGGCATGGCCAAGCTTCTCGGTTAGGTGCCGGAAGGCTGCACGAACGAGAACGACATGTGCACACATCTCGACAGCGTCATGCCGGACAATGAAGAAAAGGTGCTGATCCATCAGGATTTCTGGCGCCATCGTCGCAGCTGTGCTCGATGCAGCGGGCGAAACAAGGTGACTAGCTATGCGTGGAAGACTACGGTCTGTCCACTGGAACATCTGGTCAAGCGAGACATCAAAGATCAGCCGGTGGGAGAGGATGCAGATGCTCTTCCAATCAAGGAGCCGTCACGGAAGCGGCGCAAGATACAAGAAGCGAATGACGAAGAACGCATTGCGGCGAATTTCGTCAAAGTCACATACGAGATTGACGACGACTTTGACGCTGCACAGGCTGGCAAGACCGGCAAATCGCGCACCATCTGGTTCTACGACTTCAACAAGATGGAGTTCAAGGTGGAGGAAATCATCGTGGAAGAAGATGACACCATCTTTGAGGAGATCATTATTTCTAGAATCTAGCGGGAGAAACATGGGTGCTGAACTCGAAGCACACTGATTTTGGCGGGCAAGAAGCTCTGGTGATATGGCTGCTTTATTAGGGGTTGCAAAGTGCATTTCTATTTTTGATGCTTCATATCACGAGGACCGTGAGCGTGAGCGTGAGCTTTAGCGTTAGCTTGATACAATTTGATTCTGTTCCAGTGCGCTCTACTCTCAGTGCGGGCTGCATCTATGCCGGGTCCCGTAGCTACGGTCCCGTCCCCGTCGTCATGTTCATGTAAGGCGCGGTCCGGTGGTGCTGGTATGATATACCAGGCGAGAAGGTTTCAGCTATATGCTATATTGTAGTTGGGGATGGCGACGTCACAAATTCGACTGCTGACACCACTGACACCACTGACACCACTGAGGATTAAGAGTAATTGGCTTCTACCGGGTCCCAACGAGGAAAGCATAGGGGAGTACGGAGTATACATACTCCAGGCTCCGGCAGTCTCCGGAAGCTCACCGTGTCTATCATCTTAGTCCGTACAAGCCATCTGCCATCTGCTCTGGTCGGAGAAGACGTCGGTAACATGGCCGGAGACACTAGAGCCAAGCCGGTTAGACGGCCCGCTCACCTTCATGTAACGTCCTGCCACCCGGTCCTTCCACCTGGTCCGGCCACCTGCTGCTAAGCTCCAGCACTAAAGGGCAGGATGCATGGAACGTTGCTGACCAAGGCCTCCAAGGTTTCTCGAGAGCCCAAGGCTTATCTTGTGGCCAGAAGGGGCAGCTGCAGCCCTCGATATATCGTCATAAGGTTACGCCGGCCCAGGTGCGACCCTTGTCGCCCAAAACCAAGCTGGTGTCCCGTCATGGGCGCGGGGAAAGGCGAGGACGAAAGCTGTAAGTAGTACCTAGCTACCTCAGCTCTATCCCGCCCTGTTTTGCTCTGCTCTGTTCTACCCTGCTCTGCTCTGCTCTGCTCTGCTCTGCTTTGCTCTGTCGACTTCGTGTCTGGTCTGTGTACCAGTGGCCATTGTGTGGTATCGTGGCCGGACGTACCATCCACGACGATGATTTCGATGCTGTCTACAACGGTGCTGTTGCTGGCCTGTGCCGGGCATGGCGTCCTCGGCCAGTTCGTGGCGCCGCCGACGAATCTGACCAGCAAGCAAGGCTACGCCAACATCACGGTCCGCTACAAACCGGTGCCAGCGGGCATCTGTGAGCAAGACCCCGACGTCAAGAGCTTCTCTGGGTACGCGGACGTGGCGCCCGACCAGCACATCTTCTGGTGGTTCTTCGAGGCCCGCAACGTCGACCCCAGCGAGGCGCCGTTGACCATCTGGATCAATGGCGGGCCGGGCTCGTCGTCCATGATCGGCTTGTTCCAAGAGCTGGGCCCGTGCCGAGTCAATGCCGACGGCGAGGCGGTCGACAACCCGTACTCCTGGTCCAACGTCACCAACCTCCTCTTCATCGACCAGCCCACCGAGGTCGGCCACAGCTATTCTATCCCTGTGCCAGCCTACCTCGACCCGACCTCACAACTGCTGGTCCAGCTACCCAACAACAGCTGCCCGGACTACGCCAGCGACTGGGACTGCGGCACCTACTCGTACTTCAACGAGTCCCTGACCGCCAACAGCACCCCAGCCGCCGCGCCCAACCTGTGGAAGACCCTGCAAGGCTTTATGGGCGCGTTCCCCCAGTACTCTAGGCACGACGTTTTCTTCACCACCGAGTCGTACGGCGGTCACTATCTTCCCCTGTTCTCCAAGTATTTTCTGCAGCAGAATGCCAAGGGCGTCAAAGGCGCCCACAATATCTCGCTGGTCGGTGGCATGATCGGGAACGGCTGGTATGACCCGTTGATCCAGTATCAAGCCTACTACAACTTCACCGTGTACCCGGGCAATACGTACGGGTATTCTCCCTTTAATCAGTCGGTTAAAGGTGGGTCTCTCTCTCTCTCTCTTTCTCTCTCTCTCTCTCTTTCTCTCTCTCTCTCTCTTTCTCTCTCTCTCTCTCTTTCTCTCTCTCTCTCTCTCTCTGTGTGTGTGTGTGTGTGGTCTGTGTGCGAGTATGGTCATTGGTGTGGTCAAGATATTCTTGTTTTGAGATACACCCACCCACCTTTCTGGCTCCAGCAACCCAGGAGCTTTTGCAGCCACAAACACATTGGCACTAACATAGTGTGTGATGTGCAGACCAGATGTACAACAACCTATACGGCGCAGGTAACTGCTATGACCAGACGGTCGACTGCAACGTGGGCAAGATCGACGAGATCTGCACGGCGGCGGACAATTTCTGCTACCAGCAAGTGGAGAACTTGTACGACATCTACCTGGAGCGCGACGAGTACGACGTGCGATACCTGATGCCGAACCCGTTCCCACCGTCATCGTACGTCGACTATCTGAATACGGAGCGGGTGCAGCGCGCCATCGGCGCCTATGTCAACTACACGGAGGCGAGCGCGGCGGTGAGTGCGGCCTTCACCACGACGGGCGACGACGACCGCGAACTCGGCACCGTCGAGGCCATTCGCGACCTGCTGGCCCACAACGTCTCCATCACCATGTACTTTGGGGATGCCGACTACAACTGCAACTGGCTGGGCGGTCAGGTGGTGGCCGACCACGTCAACGCCACCGGCTACGCCGCCGCCGGCACCGGCTTCGTCAACATTTCCACCTCGGACCACGTCGTGCACGGCCAGGTGCGCCAGGCCGGCCACTTCGCCTTCGTGAGAATCTACCAGTCGGGCCACCTCGTGCCCTTCTACCAGCCGCTCGTCGCCCTCGAGATGCTCGACCGCGTCATCCACGCCCGCGACATCGCCACCGGAAACACCACCGTCACCCCGGCCTATCGCACAAAGGGGCCTAAGCTATCCTCCTTCCACGAAGGCAACGCCACCGTGCAGTTCGACGTCACGCCCCCCGATTCCGTCTACAACACCACCACCAACTTGCCCCAGAACGCCACCGACGCCAGCCAGCCCCCGTCCAGCTCGAAATTGTCCAAGAAATCCGCTCGTCCCTACAGGCCCGCCCGTTCCCGGAAGAGAGCCCTGATGCTGGGCCAGAGTCCGAGTCAGGCCCAAGGTCCACTCGGTCGCTGGATGTGATACGTTGGTGCCTGTGAGGCTTTGCAGATGCAAATGCAAATCCAATTCCACCCAATGACGAGAATGTCGGATTATGGATGCTGCTGCTCCTACTTCGTAGACTCCTCCAACGACATGCGAGAGATAGACAGTGAACCACGGCGGTCACTTGGTCGCCTAACATGGTCTAGATCCCACCCCTCCATCTAGGGAACCCAAACCCAGCGAGATAGAGAGGATGGAGGCTAGGATAGAGCATAGACTAATCATACCAAGTATAAATACTTCCAGGAGAAGCTGTGCTCGCTATAGTTCTTGAATTCCTGGGTCGGAAATAATGACTTTAGTATGACTGCTCTTCTTTCAGTATCCGAGTCACTACGGCGGACATACTGGGAGAGTGGGACGAATCCCCCACACTGTATAAACTGCATACCTTGTGCGCCCCGAGATGCAAAATCAACCCCTGTTAACTCCCATGCCTTGATGTGCCAGCAAAAGCTATCCTAGTCTTTCGTATATGCCAGCGTATTCTGGCCACCCTGGCCATGCATGGTAACAAAGATAATGACGACGGCCTTTCTGTCTGTTGGTCCTGACCATTTCCTTCATCAACGTGTCCGCCCCGAGCGCCATTGGTTGATTACATCAGATGTTTGCACCGAAATGGGTTACCCCAAGCCTGCAAATGGGACAAGGGCTGCTTCTCAGCCCAGGCTTCAAGCGATAAATCAATGACTGGGAGTCATGAGCATGATGGTCGTGTTGATTGGGGGAGATGTTCCGAGTCAAGAGTGTTGGTACTGATACAGCAAACATGACTTTACTCGTTGTAGTGGTACACCTGGCCAAAAACGTTAGCAGATCTGTGCATAGCAACAGACGACACTCCCGCACGAGGTGGGCTTACAAAATAGTCAGGCAGGCCGAAAGAATCGAAGTGAAGTCGTTTGGCCATCTTCGCAAACCCTTCCGTCTCAATAAGATGATAAAAGGGAAATGGAGGGAACATGGCACCGTCTCGGTGCACTTCTGCTTTCACCAACAGCGCTGTTCCACCCACACCGTCCAAGGGCATCAGTCGACGTTCATCACGGTCCTTGCCAGTCCTGGCCGACAACGCCATGAGAGTGCGATATGTAGGCATCTCGGCATAGCCCTCGAGGAGGATCTCGTCGGGTCCCATTTGTGAAGCCAAATCTTGAGCTATATCGCTATCTCGCCAGGAGTTGTAGTCATAGGGTCGCACATCTGTTTCTCCTTTCTCATTGGTGTATCGTTGGTAGCAGTTGGGAACAATGATCGCCTTGTCATGGCGGGCCAGGTCTTGGATCAATGTAGGTGGTGTCTCGATAATGTCTGCATCGAGCCACAAGACCCAGGATGTATGTGGACCAATTGTGGTAAAGAGAAGACTGTTGCGAGCGCGAGCCATGGATGCACGACGTTCTTTCTGATTGTCCATCTTGTGGCGCTCCTTTTCATCTTGAGACACGATGGGCGGGTCGAAATCTTGCCGCAAGATAGTCACAGACTGGAAGCGTTGTCCTTCCGGACCGGACTGAGTTTTTCCAATGGCCTCCTGCAGAGCCGCAGTAGCGGCATTTCCTTCTTTTGTCTTGGGCGTGATGAAGCCTAGACTGATGTGCTGGTGAGGATAACTCAGGTGCAGGAGGTTGCTCCAGTATTCTGGGTAAAAGCGTGCTAGAGGGGTGAGGATGAGGACTTTCTCGCCATTCTGAGCTGGAAAGGCCGACGCAGTCAGGTTGTTGAGTTGATAGTGGACGACAGGAGGGGGGGGAAGGACATCGTCTGGACCCTGGGCTTTGGGTTGCTTGCGGAAGCCTGAGGTGGGTGGTGAGAGAGGGTTCTCTGCAACCACTGCGCTTTGGAGGCGCCGATCGATATTTGACGGTTCGGCGGGTGCGGTGCGGATGCTGTAGAGAAAGTAGAGGAAGACAACCCCGAGCAGGACACCAAGGACAGTGGTCCGGTTGCCGGTGTGCTTTTGACGCATGTCGATGGAGGGCATGGTTTGTTCTTGTGTGTCCGCGCGGTAATGGAAAGGTGTCACCTCAATAGTTGTCGCACGACTTGCAGCATGGTCGAAGGGGGGGAGTCAGAGGAGAGGAGACGCATGAAACCGCCGAGGAGGCGGCAGGGACAGTGACTGCCGAGGTATCCAGATCTCTCACATTCAAAGGACAGAACTTTGAGGGGGAGAGATGTGCGCGGACACGATGGAGTGTGCAAGATCGGTACCTGCACGGCTGCAGGATACAATCTGGGTTTGTGGTCCTCAGCTGCACCGCCACACTTATTTATAAAGTCAAGCCACAGTTTACAACCATGCTTTTTCTGGGGGCCGGGGTGTACGGATGAAGTGTATGTTAAGCTATCTGGCCACTATTGGTTCCTCTACAATGTTCGACAGCGTGTTCAATGTTCGACAGCGTGTTCCTGGGATTGCTTTGAACAACGGTGGCTGTTTTGAGACTGCCTCAGGGCGCAGTATGCCCCTTGGAAACGATATGCTAGCACAAAAATCTCTCCCGGAACCAAATCCGCAGAAGAAAATGCTCTAGGAGTTGTGCCCTGCCAATCCAACGAAAAGACCTGCCATTCAGTCGCAAGAATGCATGAAATATGGAAAGTTCAAAGAAATGGGGCCACCTTGTGGCCATGAAACGAAACGAACGAGAGATTCCAGCCAGCAGCCCAGCCCACGCGGAGCTCGCAGCAGTGATGTGAAGGCAAGCACTCCAACACCGATGTCCAATGCAGTCGTAACCAAAAGTCATTCAAGTCGTCACTGGGATATGTGTGGAAGTTCAAGAGAGTCGTCCTGTTTGCTGAACTGGAAAGTGAAGTCATTATTTCTGTTACTGATAGACATCGGTCTGTCTAACCTTCTTGTGCCGTTGTAATTCTTCCTTGTCAGAAGAAACATCACTTCTTGGACTCCTTGCGCCGGGACTGGCCGCCGGAGAGACTTTTCCAGCTCCAGCGACCTGAAAATAGTCACCCCCTTCCTCCAGCGCCAAAGGGGTGACGGGACCCTTGGGGCTACCGAGGGGATCCAAGCGAGGTGCACCAGGCTTGATAGACATGGACGAAGCCGCGATTTTGGACGACAAATGGGCCCTCTCCAAGAACTCGCGTTGTTTCTCTCGCATCAGTCTGGGAGATTCCAGCTGCACAGGCTGGGTAACTCTGCTGATGCCGATGGCGGGACTCTGCACGGCAGAAGAAGGGGTCGCAGCCGAGTCCAGATGGTTGAAGTTGGCAGGATGGAATCTGGGAAGACTCATGTGCATATTCCGGGATGCTTGACGGCCATGTTGCGCTGGACGAGGACGAGAGGACTGAGAAGACAGGGGCTGGTGGTTCGCTGGCAGCCTGGGAGACAAGGGCGAGGTAGGTGTGTAGCGTCCCGCATAGGAGTCGGGATTCATTCTGTGGCCCATTGAGATGAGGGCTGAGGCGGCTCAAGGACAGAAGTCGGGTAGAAGTTCAATTCAGCTGTTGGACTTGGTAGATGTCGCAAATTCCCCCAAACAACAATCTGGACTTGGTGTTGTTCGCATGCGGCAGCTGTCCAACTTATATGCGCTTTGAAATTCAGGGATGGCGGCCACGAAGGGCGAATTCTGGAGGCCTTGTTCCGGGACGAAGTGCCGATGTCAGATGATCGACTGGAGGAAGGTACGAGTATGAGGAGGGATGGGTGGTGCAGTGTGTGGATTTGTTGCCACGGATATCGAGGGGCAGATACGTCGAGTGATTGATGGCAAGGGTATCGTGGAGATGCTCGGAAGGAGAGGTTGACAGTGGGAACCTCGAGAGATGTGGCGGCTTGATGATTTTGTATTCACCGGGTCCAGGGTCGGTTGTGCAAGTGGCAGACTAGACGAGGCGCTGAGCCAGAAGCAGGCTATGGCTTCGATGGGGCTTGGTCCTCCTCTCAGGCGTCGCTCGGGGCCTTGGTTCTTGGGTCTCGAGGGTTGAATCCTTGTCTCGCAAAGGGTCAGACGGCAAGTGCCAGGCGGGTTTGGGTTGCCGGGCCCGGGTTTAGATCTGCAGGCCGAGCAGCAGGTTGGCAAATAGACGAGGGCGAGGAAAGATCAGCAGTTGTGATTTCGGGGGTTGCCAGAGTATTAGTAGTAGCGCAGACCTGAAACACAAATGAGCTGGGGGAGAGACAGAAATGTCAGGCGAGCAACAGCCTGGACGATCTGCAGGACGGCGTAAGAGGCTACCAGTATTTAGTACGGAGGAAAGACGGTTGATCAGCCTTTGGAACAATTTAATTCTTACGACTACGACTACGCCTACGACTGGAGTATGTAGGTGGCGGTGGTGGTGGTGGTAGTGGTGGATGGAGTACGGTATCCTCATGGTGGACCGGGATGCTCGTCCCTTGTCCTCCCACTGGCAGCATGGATTCATGAATAATAATAATGTTCGGATGCGAAAGCACAATCAGGCCGGCGAGAATGTTCTTTGCATGGGTCCAGAAAGACGGAACAATCATGGATTAATGCATGGGCAAAACGGGTAGGCTGAAGAGGACAGAGCATCAGCATCATGAATGGATGAAACCGGGCACAGTGGATAGTGGAAAGGAAGCGAGGGAGATGGTGCGAGCGGTATGACGGCAAGCGCAGGATAGAAGAGGAAGACGAAGACAAAACTGATGCCGTGCGCCACATCGCTGGATTTCGACCAACAAGAGTGCGCCGCATGGGGCTCGATTTACAGGGGCTGCCGGGCGAGACAGGGAGTCACACTGATGGATTACTACCTGGTATATATCCCTACCTAATTAGATCGGATAGGTACGGTAGGTAGGTACCTTATTATTACTAGGTAGTAGGTATAGGTACTCTGGTAGGTGTCTGGTTTCGCCAGCAAGAACTTGAAGGTCATGACGACGACAACAGACTCACGATTACTGACTACTGACCATGGAGTGCTACTTAGTACTGCGGGTGTGCGCGTAGCATCCGGAACGCAGGCACAATAGGAACCCCACTGGACAGAGTACGGAGTACTTGGTGCTTGGACACTACGTACTACGGAGTACTCGTACTCGTAGATACTAGGCAGTAGGCAGCACCTAATCAGATACTAACATTAGCAGCACTGCTAGAGTACGGAGTATCTGGGTACCTTACTGGTAGTAGGTGCGAGTACCTACCTACCTAGTGAACTGTAGCATCTACACCTACAGTAACAGGCTCTGGTATATTTTACAGTCCTCCCTTTTAATCCCCCCCAAGAACTCTCCTGAGTCCTCGGAGCTTTTCTTCTCTCCACACCACGCCAACGCTATCGCACACATGGCAGTGGGCTATTATGGCTATGAACCACAACAGAGTACCGACTTACGGAGTACTTAGTAAGTACCGTCCCACTACCCTGCACCGCACTGCACAGGCACACAATCAAATCAGACACATGACACACCGCTTGGCCATCGCACAGCGTACAGCTTACTGCGTACAGCGTACAGCGTACTGCGTACAGCCCAACTCCCGAGTCCGAGCCGGCTTGGCCTCCGTACTGTAGTCTCTCTCCTCTCCACCCTGCCGCGTCAGGTCATAGATAAGGTACCTACTAACTAGGCTGACCGACGTCGGCCACTAATAACATACCTGAGTTGCGCAAGTAGGGCGGGAATAGGACGCGAAAGATAGATTCGCCATCATGCCTATACGGAGCACTTATTACTATTGCGCAGACCAGGCTGACTTGTCGCTTAGGCCTGAGCCATGTACTCGCGAGTCTGCCCTTGTCCCGAGACCGTTTTCACCCCAGCCTGTGCTGTATCTCTATAGTACAGAGTCATAATACTAAATTATTAGTAACTATGGGCTCAAGCCTCAGCACTGTGTGCCACTTCCTAAGTCCTCTTGCTGGTTTTGCGGAGCCGAAGACCGATTCTACTCTGTACTTCTCTACCCGTCCGTCCGTCCGAATTGCGACATCCAACTACTAATGTCTGTTCGAGAATGTGCCAGTGCTATCAAAGCAAGTCGTTGAGTGGGCTTACACGTGGAAGTTTCTTCCAACCAAACACCCGGATGCTCTGTGCGGACCAGGCCTCCTAAGTCCTCTTCCCCTTGCCATTCCGGGAACGGGAGCACTGGGAAACCGGCACTGGGAGCATCACAGTCTCCATCACATATATCTCACTTTACGCCTGACCCTGAGATAACGACACGTTTATGACTCGCCACTCCCCTACATACTTCATCACGACATATGGCAGCAGAGAACCAAGCCAATGGTCGCAATATGGGCCGAGTAGCTTGCCTAACCTGCTGCACTGTCATGGGCCAAAGAACGCCCTGTTTTGATTCTCGTGACCAGCTGACAGGGCGATCAATGGGGTGTTTTTCTCCTCCTGATCCGTTCCACCACGGTAGGAGTCAGATCGACGGTATCAAGGCTTCAATTGTCCAGCCGACGCAGAACTTGAGAGCAGTCAAAAACAAGGAGTGGCCCAGACCCTTGCTGCTGGGCCTGCGCTGCTTCATCTGGGAGCAGGGGCTCCGGTACCTATACCATCATTTCCTTGGACCTTGGAATCCCTCGTTTGAAGATCGCCTGCGCAGATCAGATACCCCATATCTCGGGCACACTTCAGAGCCGTAGAGGTCGCATCGCCCGCATAAAGAGGATTTCTCCGCAGCATATGAACTCACGATGGCATTACCCCTCTGGACTCGTCGTCAGTCACATGTGGTAAGATGGAATGGAAGTACACAGGCCGTGCCACTGCTGTGTCGCATACAGAACACTCCGTAGGTGGTTGCACACCGCTTCGAGTACCTGGGTTTGGTTTATGTTGACACCTGAAACATTGACTGGTGATCTGTCCAGGCGGATGTCCGGTGAGTCCCGGACGCCTTCGCCCTCTTCTCGCGTTCTGTGAATGCTGGTAAGATCAGCGTGCATCAGCCACCCGGCAAACGCCATCCGTTAAGCGACGAGGGAGTAGACAAGGCCAGACACGAGGGAGGCACGGAGTACGGGATACATCGATGAACACAGTGGACAAGCAGACAGAGAAGGTGCCTTTTCTTGATTCGCTCCCGTTGTATTGTGGCTGAGTTCGCCGGATGTTGGCGGTCCGAGTTGGTTTGCAGGATGCCAGGGCGAGGACGCGAGGTCGCAAGCACACACGCGGTGCGGTGCCCCTCAGCCTGCGGCGAAAGCTTAAGGCGGCCAATCTTGGGCTTGGGCCTAATTAGTGGTTAGCCAGGAGAGAACCCTTCTCACCGGCAGTAATATTGTCTCCATTATACTGTACACTGACTGTACGAGTGAGTACTGTATATCTCGACCAAGGACAGTGTCAATAAATAGCCATTGCTGTTCGTCTGAATCGTCTCGTCTACCATATCTAGCCCGGCTCATAGAGGCAATGCGCTCGGCCGACCAGGCGCCATGATCTCTCCTGTGCAATCCTCCACCGAGTCGCGCCTCAACTTGGACACAGCCGGCCGCGAGTTTGATCAATGGCTCGACTGGAATGGTGCCGCCAGTATCCGGACTGGCGATTCCTCCGCGGATCAAACACTTGTCGATGCCGACAGCAGCCTCTTTCACCTTCCTCTATCTCCCTCATCCACGGCGAATGGAGACACCAATCTGCCGCACATCAAGACCGATCTTCTCACCGCCCCTCCCACCTTCGACGTTCTAACCCCCCGACATAGTTCGGCATCACCAAAATCACGCTCCAGCTCGGATCTGAGGCTCAGCGGAGACACGCTGCGAGACCGGAATACATGCGATGAGCGTCCGATACTGAAACGGAAACTATCTCCTACCGATGTCCCAACCACCGACCACCGGATGGGCGCTCCCATCCCAGCGGCGAAGAAACGCCCACACAACGTGATCGAAAAGAGATATCGTGCAAATCTCAACGAGAAGATCGCGGAACTGAGGGATAGTGTACCCAGTCTCCGCAACACCAAGAAAGCAAGGTCCCAGGATGCCTCCAATGGAGATTCGGACGAAGACGATCTAGACGGGCTCACTCCAAGCAATAAACTCAACAAAGCTTCGATCCTCACAAAAGCTGTGGAATATATTCGACACCTCGAGTTCCGTACCAAGAGACTCGAGGAAGAAAACATGTCTTTGAAAGAGCGACTGGAGACGTTAGATAGGGTCATTGCCCAAGGAGGGCATGATGCTCAAAGAGCCGCTGCCTTCACTAGTGACACCGTCATTGAGGAATCTCCGGTCGTCCTAGACTCTCAATCTCCAACATCCGAAACTAGAAAGAGTTCGGATCCCCCCCAGGGGCTGATACCCCTTCCCGAGAGCTGGAGGCGACTACGACAGAACCAACCACAAGAACACTATGGTCACATCTACGACACCCCTTCAGAACGCTCCAGATTCAAGGGTAAATGGCCAACTAGAGTCATGCTCGGCTCCCTGGCAGGCCTCATGATCATGGATGGCCTAAGTGAATCCGACATGGGCACGGATTCTCGTGAAAAAGGTCTATTTGGAATTCCGCTCGAGCTCTTGGACGGCTGGAAGTTTCTACGCTCTCCAAGAATTTATCTGGCGACTTTCAGTCAATTTTGCCAGGCGGGTGGCATTCTTCCATTGGTTAAAGGATTTGTCGCCCTGACATTCCTGGCCTTTCTCGTGTTTTCATACTTGTTCAACTCGAAGCCTCCACCGAAAGAAGATGTCGAGGAGGCGTGCACCAATTCGACACAGGCACCCGCTCCGGCTTCCCCGATCCAGGTCAGGCGGCGAGCTTGGAGCACCAGCATGCAGGCGCTGTGTCTTCCTCATCACAGTTTCTTCCCGGAGTGGCTCGCCATTACCTCCGAGTGGTTTAAATATACAGTTGGCTACCTGTTTGGCGCTCGGGCATATGCCTGGCTTACTGGCCGCAGTGCCGATGATGACGTGGCTCGGATCAAGGCTTGGGATATTGCGATCGATGCACAGTTAGCCGGCGGAGACGTTGAGGTCAGCCGTAGCAGAGTGCTCTTGACCATTTTTGGATCCGGCACATTGCCCAGCACGCCCCTGCGACTGATGCTGAAGGCCCTACACTGTCGGGTGCTGCTGTGGAACGTGGGCACACTCGGAACCGTCACTTCCAGCATCGCTAACCGCGTTGGGAAATTCTTTGCAAATCGACAATGGAGCCGAGCCAAGCAGGCGCACGACCATCTACCGCTGCATCATTCGGATCGGCTTCCGCGATATCTCTCAGAGATGCTGGACACGCCGTGTGACGATGTTTTCCTCGACACCGTTTGCCAAAGAGCGTATAATCTGATGTACGACCGGCCAACCCAGGAGAACTCGCAAAACCCACTCTTGGATGTGGTGGTGGAGGATCACGCTGTGAGATCACCGCTTGACGCCGTCGCGGCCTGGCGGTCTACTTTCTCACTAACGCAGGCCCTGGCGTTGGCGATGGACTGTCCGGGAGCGCCTGGACTCCTGCAGGAGCACCTTTCATATGCGCTCAAGATTGCACCGCCCGGGTCAGCTGCGGAGACGCGTGCATTGGCAGCGGGCTCGGTGTTCAGCAGCACTGCCCGAAGCGCCTGTTTCGTTCGAGCATCGACCGCCATGCAGGCCTCCTCTCCAAACACGCAATCAGGCACTAACACGCACCCTCCCTACTTTATTGATTCTTCCACGCCACTGTCTGCTCGAACGGACATCATGAATTGTTTGCACTGTGCAGAGACCCTCCAGAGATTGGATTATGAGCGTGACCAAGACACAGCTTTGGCCTTCTTCTCTTCGCAAAAGCTGGACCACACGGATGCCGACCTCTTGACCAGGGCAGCGGTCAAGCATCTTCTCCAACGATTACCAATGATTGAGGGGCCAGGGCTCACTGGCGGAGAAGAGGTTCGACACCTACCACATAACGTCTTTGTCAAGGCTGACATGTCGAGTGTGTATGACAGCCTGGAAAAGATGCCGCGCCGATACAGCACCCACAGCAATGACACTGGTTATGAGAGCCAGGAAGACGCCGTAGCTCTCGGGAGTCTCGGCGGTGATATACTGGTACAAGAGCGAGCCTCGCTGGCGCCAGGCACCGGCTTCATGGTCTAAGCATGCGCATTCGACTCGGAGCGCGGGAGGCGTGGAGTGGTATGAGGAGCTGCAATGCGAACAGTCCACGTAACAGGATTTATGACTTTTATATGAATACCAGTATCATATTCTTTCCTATGATGTTCTTTTCTCCGCTTGCTTCCAGAGAACCAGTCGTCCCGTTGTTGATCCGTGTCCGTAGACATGGGGTTCCGTCCCGCTGAGGTTACAGTAGTAGTACTCGTACACATACGGAGTACAGTATCCATACTTCGCAGACCGTTTCAAATGACGCATGCGTGATGGGGGAACCAGCGACATGATTGTGTCATAACAGCATTAAATATATGTGATATTTCCCTTCCATTTGCCTCATTCCAACCGCACTTCGATCGCCACCCCAAGAAGTCATTCACTTCTTTTGTACTGACCATGGACGGCAACACTGATGGCCACGAGGCTATCTGGCAGATCGGAGTCTTCGATGCTCACTGCCACCCCACGGATATCATGGCCTCGGTCCAGGAGATCACCAAGATGAAAGCTCGAGTGCTCACAGTCATGGCGACGAGATCGCAAGACCAGGTCCTGGTGGAAGATGCAGCCAGAATGTACCCGGGCAACACGCGCGAGGATGTGTCGGAAGGGGCATCAAGATACGTGATTCCCGCGTTTGGCTGGCACCCCTGGTTTTCACATCAAATGTACAACGATGTGGACGGCGGGGCCAAGGCCACTCCCAGCGCGGCCGAGCATTACAAGGCGGTCCTCGTCCCGGCCCCTGACGACGCGGCGTTTCTGGAATCCTTACCCACTCCCAGGTCACTCCGCCAGTTTCTCGAGCAGACGGAAGCGAGGTTGACAGCGTTTCCGTTCGCGCTCGTAGGAGAGGTGGGGTTGGATCGGTCCTTCCGGTTGCCTCAAGGCCCCAGTGTCGTGACCGAAGTTATGTCCTGCCGGTGCAAGACGGGTGGCTCGGAAGAGGAGTATACGCCTGGAACCCGCGAAGGGAGGCCACTCACACCTTACCGCGTAACCATGGAGCATCAAAAGGCCGTTCTGAGAGCCCAGCTTGGTCTTGCGGCTAAGTTGGGGCGACCGGTGTCCGTGCATAGCGTGCAAGGACATGGTGTAGTGTTCGAGGTGATTCAGAATATGTGGAAAGGCCACGAAAAACCGTCCAAGCGAGAGCGCAAACACAAGTCTCATGCTCATGCTCATGTGGCAGACGATGGCGAGTCCGGAAAAGTGAATGACGCCTTGCCCTTTCCGCCTCGGATATGTATGCATTCGTACTCTGGACCGCCGGATGCCTTAAAGCAATTCCTCGGTGCCAGTGTGCCTGCAGACATCTACTTTTCCTTTTCGTCGGCCATCAACTTTTCCAACGCGTCCACAACCAAGGTCACCAGTGTCATCAAAGCAGTACCGGACGATCGGATTTTGGTTGAAAGCGATCTCCATTGTGCTGGAGAGACAATGGACAACCTTCTGGAAGAGATTGTGCTGAAGGTTTGTGAGATCAAGGCATGGTCCTTGGAGGAAGGAGCACGGCGATTGAAAGACAATTACCTCAAGTTCTTATTTGGGTGACGGTGCTACGACCGACCGATGGGATGGTGTTGAGAATGGAAAGGGTCACCTTTCCTGAAGAGAACTGACTCTCGACGCTTCCCGACACGGGTCATGGTCACGTTGCTGAGAGATGCTGCGACAGCTTGAAGTTGGAACTTGGTCGGGCTTAGGCCTCAATGGTCTCGACTCTCCAGCGACGCGGATCACGAGCACAATGGGTTTCGCACTGATGGTCGGCCTCTCCCGGAAACATAAACAGGTTGAGGCTCAACATGCCGCTTTTCGACTTCTGGAAGAGGTCATGCTTGCGCTTTGATGAACGGATTTGAGCCCGAAGTGGTGACGGTGACAGTAACATTGGGTGCACGAGGGTACCGGCAGAACGGAGACATGATTCACCAACTGATCTAGTTTATTTGGTGCCATGGGTTTATCTCGTTTCTTTGTTAACTGCGCCTAACGCTCCTGCTCCTGGATATATTTTATTCCCTTGCACCTTCCGCCTTCCGCCCTTCGCCCTCGCCCTCAACTCTCCACCCTCAGTCCTCTCGTCAGTTCACTCAACAAGAGCTTCAAGATGTCTTCCCCCAAGATGCACGCGCCTCCGCTCGATCCACCTCAACCCTTTACCTACACCGACTGGGTGGTCAGAATTCCGATTTCACAAATACCCCAGGAAGAGTCTCCAGAGACTGCAAGAGACGTGTATCAGGAGAATCTGTGGAAGAAGCTAGTACGGGTGGTTGAGTCGCGGATCGGCCAAGGTCGCTGCTTCTACAGCTTCCTCCCGGGCCAGTCGGTCCAGACGAAACGTCCGGGTCAGATCGAGGTGACCAAGCTATACGCATTCCATGAAGTCAAACACTGGCCTGGAGCATGTGAACAGTTGCAGTGGACGTCGTTTGTCCTGGCGAATATTGAGTACGACGACCTAATCAAAGAACATGGATCAAACCTAAACATAACATGTACCATCTCCCCAGCCCAGATACCGAAGATTTGTCCTGAAGCGACGGTGATGGTGAGGGTGATGGCTAACTCCTTCCGTCCATAGTGCCGGTACTCCCTTCAGCGGCGGTACGTATGTATCAAGTAATGAAACGAGATCAAGATCAGGACCTGGCAAGGATATGCGCCGAAGCAGGGACCACAATAGGCCAGATGGTTGGGGGAGAAGTCAGTCTCTACACGACAGGAAGTGAGCGGCTGTCACCCATCGGTATTGTTGCTTCCGAGACCGCCAACATGAACATGCCCTCCATTGGCTCCTCACCATCTTCAACCCCAACGGCGCCGGATAAGCAGTCGGACATGGCGCAAGGAAGCCACATTAGCTGTGACTGGACGGTCGAAGAGATAGTGGAAGATGAGGAAAAGTTCCACCGATATGTGCAACTGCACGCGACGTGGACGCGCAAGGCGACCTCGATGATGCAAATGTCCATGGTCCGCTGCATCTGCCGTCTCCCTGGAATGGAGGACGTGGCGTTCAAGGATTGCTGGATCCAAGCTCGACAGCGCGTCCACGGCCAGGCCGAAACCTTCCTGCGACGTTGGCGGGTGGAATCTCCCCGGTTTACACGGAATCCGAGCCGGTCGTCTGGCAATTGGCTGGAAAGACAGCTCAAGTCTCTTCTCGCCTCCATCGCATACCGCCATCCAATCGCCGCCTCGGCCACGGCGTTGTCGCCGGTGTCGCAGGCGGTACTGCGCAGAAGACACTTTTTGGTCGCCATGGCCAGACAACGACAGATCCTCGCCACGTGGGCCGCCCAGGTCAAAAAGGCCGCCGACTGCAAGACAGGCGTGCGGTATCGTCGCGAGCACACATTCGTGCTGGACTTGTGGACGGGCAAGATTGTGAAGAGGAAGAGAGAGTCGGGGAAAGACACTGACGAGCCGATGACTGAGCAGACGTAGATGTGACTGCCAAGTATTGAATTGAATGGGATGGAGTGTAATGGAATCAAAGTGTAGTTGGTGTGATTTGGATCTGGTTCTGATCGTCTCCTAGACTGGGTTGGGTTGGGCTAGGCTAGGACCTCGTCCATGAACTGGAATTTGAATCACCAGAGAATTTGAGTAGAGTAGAGTAGAACAGAAAGAAAGAACTTTGCACTTCAGATGTGACTTTACTCTCATCAACTCTACGCAATGGCAATGGCGATCGTAATGGCGATCGCAACCGCACACGGAGGGTCAATGGTGGTTGATTTGTATTGTGTGAGTGACGCGGAAAGAGGGAGATAGCAGGTATGTATATACAGTATATACAGGATGTATTGTACAGCGAGAGCGAGAGTGAGGCTGAGAGAAGGGGCCTCGGCCTCGATATATCAACTGAGTCCCTTACTGGAGAATGCCTGTATAGAGTAGGTAGGTACAGTAGACCGTAACTAGAGCAGAATATACTAGAGCAGAGAAACTAGTAGAGCGCACTTTGTAATACTATAATTTCCCAACCTGCCTCGAGGCAGCCTTCGAGGCAGACAAGCAAAACAAATTCCTACGAGTCCTTCTATCGTGGCGCACGTGGCCCGTCAATCCAATCTTCTCGTCTGTCCAGCCGGCCAGCCGCTCCAGCGTGGCTGGGTCGGCGTGGTTGGCGACGAACCTGTGGCCCGTGGCGACTAGACGGCCGACGATGTGGGCGAGCAAAGGACGAGTGGTGGGTTCAACTTGGCGGTCAAAGTCGACGGTATATGTCTGAGAAGGGTTAGCTCTTTAGGTCTTGTCTGGTCTGGTCATGTAACATGTTGACTTGTGTTGTGCTGCGTTGAGCTAGCTGTCTTGTCTTTGGTTGGGTTGGGCAAGCAGGGACAGGGAGGTCGGAGGATCAATGCAGAGCAGATGCCGTTGCAGGTCTGTAACACATGCATGATGCTGCATGTTACAAGCCAGTGCATGTGACATGTGACATGATATTGCATGCACTATCCCAAAAACAAAATCTCAAACATGGGGACCGTGTGTGGGATGTTGGTATGTAGAGAATACGTACCTCAATCACCGCCTCGCCCTCGGCCTGCGCGTCGACCGACGGGACTGCAACGTCCGTGACATGTTCCGACAGAGGCGGTTCGGCAGGATATGGAATGCCGTCTCGTCGACGCAGCGTGGACAGGCACAATGCGTGCTCGTAGGTCATCCAGCCGCCGTTGGCGAGGATCAGGCCATGTTGACCTTTGCCTTGTCGGAGTTGTCGCGTCATTTCCGTGATTGCCTGGGACAGATGGAACTTGTGAGTAAGAAAACGTTGGACTGGGTGTTGTAGATCTAAGAACTGGATATTGCAGCATGCAGCAATTGGAATTGGAATTGGATGTTGATAGCCTTGGTCAAGCGTGAATGGAAACTCGGAGGGAAATAGAAACCAAAGGTGGTGGTATTGGGTGAAGAGGAAACACGACGCTTGAGCGGAAGAGGGATGCTGTGCGGGATGAATTTCCTGAAACCCAAAGCGGCATAGGCAGAGGTATAGGGATGCCGGCTCGTGTGTATAGACGTATGTACACTCGTCCAGCGACCTATACCTGTACCTGTACGTACATGCATGGAATAGTTGTTCCCTGCACCGCCAAAGCTCGTCAAGCCACCGAGAAGAGTCAAGGGCTTGCTGCCATGGGTGATGGGCAGGTTGAGATGCGCGGCTGCCATCTTCGGCACGATGGGGAAACACCTAGGTCGAGTCAGTAGTCGGTACAGCTAAACGCACTTGATCTGATCTGATCTGAGCTGCCAGCCCAACGGACAGGCTAGCACGATGACGGTCAGATGGACGGATAGATGGATGGATGGACGAATGGAGGGACAGATGATGGGTCAATAGACAGACCAGACAGACAGACAGACAGATAAATAGATGGCACGTACGAGTAGAAGTCAAACAGGTCAATGTCCTCTTTGGCCAAACCGGAGACGGCCAACGCCGTGTCAATGGACCGCTCGATGGACGGGCTGGAGTAGTAGTTCGGTCGATCCCAGACTATACGCCGTGGTAGGGCACGGCGAGATAAGTCAGCAATCAACCTTCCAAGGACCTCACTAGCAGTGAACAGTGAATGTCATTTGTAGGGATTGGGACCGGGATGGGAACTGCCCAACTCCATGACAATACTCACAATGGTCGCTGTCTTGCGTGCCTGCACCGCCGAGCACGTAGATCCATTTCGTCTTGGACACGCCCAGCTCCTCAGCGTATTCTGCCGAGGTCAAGATACATGCGCCGGCGAGGTTGATGGTGTTGAAAGCATTCATCAAGAGCGGATCTGCGGGTTCAGAGTTCCGTTAGCAAGTCATTCAGTCAGTCACTTAGGTTCTTCCCATGCAACCCCGATCAGGTCTGAGCAGATCCGAGTAGATCTGAGTAGATCAACCAAGAACCGGAGTAGACGGTCGGGAGCAAGTGGAAGCAATTAGTGATCAGGATGCGCACATGGGAAACAAATCATTCGGTTCCGCTTTGTCACGCTCCCGATCTCCTCCTTGGTCTTGGCCGGTTTGCCGTAACTCCACGAAAAGGGCTGGTGTGCAGCGATCTGGGCGAATTCGGCGTATAGCTGGGCGGACTCGTCGTGGTTTTCGGGGATGGACTGGCCCCGGTGGGCGCGAAACGCGTTTTCAAACAGCGGGTAGATCTGGATCGGGGCGGTGATGGAGTGGTCGAAGCCGATGTCTGCGCCGGAAAATCGGCGGGTTAGTAGGACTGTTGTGTTCATGTAGGCGAAGGCGTTGGGACATGCTCCAGGGGGGACGAAGGCTTGTTGGTTGCTTACCGCGGCCCCCGTGGAGTTTCGAAGGGGAGAAGATCGAGGCGACGTTTTGACTGGTCTTTGTCCATCCTGGCGGCGGTATTTTTTGAGCGGCCACGCATGCCGCGACTATAGGAGAGAAGCAAGTTAGGGAACCGGAACAAGGGCCGTCAAGCTGAGAAACAGAGGGTACGAGAGAGAAGCCGAACTGGCACACTTCATACATACATGACGCCAATGCCTCTCCGCCCGCCACGACCGCGACCTTAGTCTGGCCCCTTGCAATCCTCCGGGCGGCGTTGTCGAACAACTTGGCGGGCTTGTTGCCGCCGTGCTCACTGTAGAAGCGATGGCGGGCCTCGACGCCGAGCCGCCGGCCAATGTCGCCGGGCAGGTCATCGTAGGGCCAGGTCCAGGTGCGCACGACGTCAATGCTGTCGATGGCCGCCTGGAGCTGTTGCCTGCGCGCGGGCGGGAGGCCGCTGTCCTGCAGGGCCGAGTCGATGGCGCGCAGGATCAGCGTCAGCGGTTCGTGGGCGTCGGCTATGGCCAGAGAGCGGTTGACGTGGTCGCCGACACCGATGAGGATAGGGGTCTGGGACTGGGACATGGCCACCTTGTACAATCACAGCAGGAGGAGGAGGAGGAGATGTCGATTAGCGAAGCAGACACAGTCACAGTCACCTACAGGACTGTATGTAATTGAAGTGATAAACAATGATGGTGGCATGTCTTTATAGTCTTATAGCGGTGTCTATAATACCTGGTAGTTCGGAGAAGCCTTGGGATGATATGGAAGCCGAGGCTTTCAGCTCGGCAGAGAGACAAACGTCATCGACCACAAGTCACATGACACTATATGACTTAGAGCTGTCTCACGTGATTAGGAAGGCTTGGCAAACAATTAATATAGCCTTATCGTACACGTGAGCTAAGCAAGAGCTTTACACTCACCAGTGGGTGTTAGAATTCACCGCACAGCGAAGTCTATCTAAGTAAGTAGCTATAGGCCATTCAGACTAAGATTCTATTACTAAACTATTCTTCTCTTCAATACTATATTTCTAAAAATCCATCTATAGTAATAAAATTCTAGTCACTAGTAATCCTTCTAGTATACTTGTCATAGTTGCACACAACAGTTGCCACATGACAAGGATGCAACTATGGGTCACGTGGTACCACGTGACTACTACGGCTTGGCACAGCCTTGATGCACACGTGACTGCGAGAGAGCCTTATGCTCGTTACACTCCTCGCAACTCTCTATAGATGTTAGGAGACCTGGGTTTAGGACCGGTCGAGTTTAGAGATCATAGATATTTCGTAAGCCTATATATAGATAGTAGCTAGGTATCCCGTATAATAGTGAGGAGCCCCGGTGCCCTCCCCGGGACAACTAGTCGAGAAAAAGAGGACAACTAGTCGAGATCTCACCTCTAGGCTGGTTCTTTAACTAGAGCACAACCTGTTCCGGGTGTGAATCTTTAACTAAAGCACAACCTGTTCCGGGCGTGACTCTTTAACTAGAGCACAACCTCTTCCGGGCTTGAATCTTTAACTAGAGCACAACCAGAATTTCACGGTTGGGCCACCACACAAGGCACATGACACCATGTGACCTGGTGGGCCACGTGACCATGAAAGCTTGGCAACAGGCTTGGCATAGCCTTGTTGCACATGTGACCTCGAGAGAGAGCCTTATGCTCGTTGCGATTCTCGCAACTCTCCTTCTTACTCTCTCTCGTCTTGGTATTCATATCATGATAGCATGACACGTTTGCTCGTTGCTCTGTGCCACCGTGATACAGAACACAACCACCTGTTAAACTATAGGCATTCCCAGCCTTGTGCTTCAACCAGAAGGCTGGTTTAGATGCTATCTACATACTATATAGGCATGCGCTCCCCCTGGGACCGTTGGTAGCGAACATAGAACATTTCAACCTTCATTTGACAGAGCCACCTGTGAATATGAAGAGCTTGCAGAAAAGGTGGAAGAAGGGGGGGGACTTCGAGCAAGTCGACACGTCTACAAGCACGGAGCATTCGCGTTGCTTGAACTTGGTCGTAGTATCGAGGCTTCCACCGTTCTTGCTGGCGACAAAGTCATGTTGTTAGATGAGTTCAGTTGTGGAAGCCTGAGGTCAATTTGCTGAAAGCGTAGGTGGCGATGAGCGTATCCAGACCGAACCGCGAGTAGCTCTGGAGGGCCCTTGCAGAACGTCCAGGCCATCACGGTGGCCGGCAACGCCGTTGGTGATGCACCACGGGGCCTTTGGATTGTTCAGCTCGGTAGGGTAGACCACTCTATTCGCCAAACGAGCGTAGACGTGAGAGTGACGGGAGAGGACGAGATCGACATAGTGTTGGAGAGAGATATGCTTGGATACATGCATGCTCGTCCAGCAGATGGTGCCGGTCGTAGTTGCGTGACTGAGATCCCATGGGCGGTGACCGACCGGCGACAATCAGCCAACGGGATTTTGGTGCGGTCAACCCATTTAGGTCGGCCTCCAGCCTCTTTAGCTGAGCGTCGCGTCCATGGTGCTGTTGAAGCGGCCCGAGTCATCACCTTCTGGACCCCCCAGTGTCATCATTGCCGACGAAGCCGTGGCCCAGGTCGGCCTTCGGATCAGTCTGGACAAAGTGGATCATGCCATGGTCGAAAGAGTACCAGAAGTTCCCAGTGCCGCCAGACTCGGCACTCGGCATACAGAAGTCATTGTTAACGCCCGTGGATTGACCTGCCCAGGCATCCAGATGCTGACAGTGTATAGATGTTGTGGACCGTGTCGGGATACCCGCCGTTGTCGTAAATCGAGTCGTGGTTTCCAGGCCCAACTATGTACGGCTTGTACGCGGTCACCGGGGTGAGCTCGTCATAAATGTCATTCATGGTTGACTCATACACCTGGACACCCTCGGCAAGGGTGATGATGAGCAAAAATCCTGGGACCTCTTCCTTGAGTCAGTAATCGGCGTAGGCGATGTCACCGGCCTATCAAATGATTCGGTTTTGGTGCGTTACTTGACAAGTACTCTTGAGGACACTCGTGATGCCAAAGAAAATCAAAAACTTGTCGAGACATTTGGTCAGCCTGTCAATAGTGTTGACCTCGCCAGGTGCCAACATGTTCTTTTTGGAGATTCCGTTGCCCGAGGTGATTGTCAAGCCCTGGGACTCCATGGTCCCTAGATCGACCACAACTGCGACCATGTAGTCTGTGGATTGACCCACGGGCTTGCTTGTCTTGAAGCTGAAGGGACCAACACCATCCATGTTGATTGGATGCTCCGGAAGATAATAGGAAAATGTGTCTGACTGGAGATCAATAGTTTTCATGTGATTGTTATAGGTCAGGGAAGAGGGATATGTGATTGACACATTCGATGAGGTTGTCTCATTCAGGGTGTCGGCCGACATACCATAACTTACAGTGGGCGTGTCTGGTCTCTCGAAGGCGTTCTGATGACCTACATGCCCGTGTTTTCAGCATAGGCCAGACTGATCTGTGGATTGATGGTCTGGTTGGTAGCTGCGTCGACGGACGCACCGAAGCCAAAGGCGAAGCAGACATGGCCGAAAATCGTGGATGGTTGCATGGCGCCTCGTTTCCCAAGATGGCACGGAATGGTGTATGGCCAAGCCCGGCCACGGAACCTTGGATGTAGAGGGTTTAAACAGTACTCAGCTTTCGCAGTTTCTGACCATGTTCTCTCGCACCCACTCTCTCCACCCAGTTGGCTGGCTGGCGCGGCCCAACACCGCTGGTGTGAACTAGATTAGGGTGTGCTTCTCCTCTGGCAAAGCATGGTCGATCTCTTGAAAACAGGGTTAACCGCTGGGTGGTGGTGGTGGTAGGGAGGGAAGACGAGATGTACGGCACCTAGGTGTACGGATACTAGGAAGAAACTTTCGACATGGACCTTGCTTCAACACGTGCCAAGATACAGCAGCGTCCGATCGAATTAGCGAGACTTGGTTCTTGTTAGGGGAGCTCAAGCTGTCGTGTTGGTACATCCATTCCTCCGTCGAAAGAATGCCTAACGTGGGCAGCAAAAGCCGTCACTGGTACTAAAAATATGAAGATTGGATTGCTACCAGGGCTGTGTTAAAGGTTGAAAGATTCCTGGTTCTTTATCACAGGGATACGGGGAGAGCCCAGACTATATAGGCGTGCCTGTACCAGCCTTCTGGGTCAATGGGCAAGGCTGCGAATGCCTAAGTTTGACACACAAGATAGACTATGTTATGAAACTAGTCATGAGCCACGAAAAGTGAGAGTCTCTCCTTCTCCCTCTCTCCATATAGGACCACCGGATTCGCCGAATTACAGGCCCTGTCCTCCTCTTACCGCGCACCATAGGACCGCCTTTAGTGGCCTGCAGTTGTCACGCAGACCACCCCGGACGGCGAGGTTTTGATAGTCGAGGTGATTCTAGTTGCAGTGTTAGCCTACGACCACGCGGAATGACGGTGCACATACGTAGCCCAGATGGTCTTCGTGGTCCAGACAGTTTCATACACTCTGCTTGTCCGAGTACGAGTGGGTGTCGGCGCGGTTACAGTGATGGTGGTCTTAGCCTTGCCTGAATATGCCGTCACGGGTGGCGGTGTACTAATTCAACGTGTTAGTGGCAGGGAACGGACTTGCTGAGAAGTACATACATCGAAGTGGTTGTTGTTGCGTTCTCGGTATCGGTCTCCGTACTGGTTGGAGCGGTGACAGTGGTGTACGACGAAACCACAAGGCTAGTCTCGAGGTAGGTCGTGGTGCAGGAATCTACTGCGCATTAGCCTGTGACATGAATCGTACCTCGCAGTTTGTTACCTGGGCCTCGTTTGAAGAGCTGGCCAAGTTGAGGTCCGACGGCCCTAGGCTGAGCTGGTCGTAACATCTGTCCCTCACTCCGGCGGATCCGCGGGATGGCACTCAATGTTTGACTGCTAGCTGCGAGCGAGGCCTTCGACGGGCGGATTGTGCAGGTCGGATCTTTCTTGGGCGGTTGGGTCCGGCAACTGCTTGTAACGGTGGTGGTGGAAGTGGTTTTGGAGAAAACTCGTGTTGTACGGGTGCGAGTCGAGGTTGAAGTCCAATATACCGTCACCTGTGATGGGATGGTAGTTATTGTCCGGGTAGAAGTCGTGGACGGGACGGTAATCGTCGAAGGTGGCAGGGTTGTCGAGAAGACGTTGGTCATGGTGGTGGTGATTGTGGTGGAGGGAGTGGACGTGACCGTAAAGGTGGCGGTGGGAGTGGCAGTGATGATCACAGGGGGTCCTGCAATGATGGAGAAGGTTCTCATCCAGGCAAAGGTCAATCCCTCGATGATGACAATCCAATCACCCGACCACATGCTAGCTTTGGTCACCTCATTCCCGGTGACATTGCTGGTATGGATCAGCAGAGGCTTTACAGACGACGTTTGGTCCATACCATGTTGCGACCATGTCGGCACCATCCGGCTGGGTTGGAATGTCGGAGCAAAAGTATTCACCGCCATTCGGATCAATAAGAATGGGCGTGATGTCACCTTGACTGTCGGTCGGCTGACAGCCTTGTCAACGTCAGTGCCCGATCGATGCTGGATAGACTCGTCGGCTTACCATAAAACAGGGTGCCGAAGGAGAAGAAGTCTGGAGAAGTCGTGTTGATGCAGTACGGGCCGCCGCCGTCCACAAAGTCGTAGCCATATGACAAACAGTCGGCGGCTGACTGAGTTGCCAGAGCCAGGAAAATATACAACGAGCAGGATATCCAGTGCATGTTGAAAAGCAAGGTCGGGAGTGACTGGATTGGATTGTTTCTATGCGAACAACGAGGCCAGCGCGGCATATATGGAAAGCCAGGCGTCGAAGAAGAAGACCAATGTGCGTGCTGCAAGACAGTACCATCCGAAAGGTCTGGCCCTGACCCTTTGCTTCAAGACACTGACATCTAAGACAACTTACCTTTCGGGCCTCGAGGAGCATTGTCGAGATGAGCCTACATCCCTGGAGGACCAATCTAGGAGTCATGTGGCTGAGACAACAACAAGAAGCAGAAACCACTTTACGGGAACAAGCCGCAAGGAGGGCAAACAAGAAAGGCAACAGCTGGGGCGTGTCTCAGTAAGCTGACACGAATTGCTTCGATCCTGCCTGGACAGGATCTTATCAAATCGATCTGGCAGTAAGTGGGCGGATGGCAAATGTGGTGTAACGCAGGAGTTTACCATTCCGGCGGCCCCAAACCGAGAGAGGTTCTAGGACCAGATAGGACGGGCAGAGAGAAAAGTTGATTTGAATTGAGAGGCGAGGGCTGGATGCCCCGAGCCGAAGAAGTAAGTCAGGAGATGCAAGGAGTTTGCATGGGCCAAGGGTCAATTCGGCTGGATCTCAAACTCGACGAAGGGATTGAAGCGAGGACGTTGGTATCTGGTTGGTATCTGACTGGTATCTGGTATTTGGTACGCCGTATTTGGTATCCGTATTTAGTATCCGTATTTGGTATCTGGTATCTGCCTACCTACTACGTACTCCGTACTCCTGTACGTACCTACCTATACCTACCTCCCTACCTGAACCTTTGATCAATATTGATTTGTTTGCAAGGCAGCGGACGCTGTGTGACATCGGGATGGTCGTACACGTGACCTGCCTTGCACCTTACCAACCTCCATCCTGCATCTTTCATCCTTCATCCTCCATCTATCCCTGGATTTCGACCAGGCAGCTTTGCAAGACACTGTTCTGGCCACTCCTCACCTCTCGACGGAGATTGTCTGCCATGTTTGTCTCAGTTCGTCCTTTCTATGACGACGCATCTCTCTCAACGTCGGTGCTCCTGGTCCAATCTGCATATCATGATCCCAGCGGTATTGTCTCGAGAGACATGTTAATTCCTCATTGTGCGACGGCGAGGTCTGGAACGCTGTTGGGGTCCAAGACATGTCGATCTCATTTCATGTGTACGGATAATCTGGACCCTATTCTCGGCTACAATCAAGCGATGCATGGAAGAACGCCTGAGTAGTTTCGCAAGGAAGGGGTTCCATGCTGCCCCATATCAACACCAACACCACGCCCTCCCTTCGCCTTCCTGCTGCCAGCATCGTTTGCTTTCTTCTTCTTCTTCTTCCTCTTCCTCTTCTGTGTCCTTTTCCAGACCAGCTCGCCACATCCCACATTCCATATTCCATTCTCCATTCTTCAGTCACTCGCTATGCAGCTCTTCCTGACCCTTGTTTTTTTTCTCCTTAGCCATGCTCTCGGCGCCTTCATCCCCAAAGCCGAACTCCTCCAGATCGATAACCATCTTATGCGAAGACAGGTCTCCACAACATCAACGAGTTCGGTCACAACCACTACCAAGAAACCTGACTCTCAGTGTACGAATGGGCCGCTGACCCGTCAATGCTGGGGCAATGGATTCAGCATTGCAACCAACTATGATAGCACCTGGCCCAACACTGGCAAGGTGGTTCAGTACCATCTTGAGGTCACCAATACCACCATGGCTTTGGACGGTGTGCCCAGACGTGTTTATGCTATCAACGGCCAATATCCGGGGCCCACGATTCGAGCCAGCTGGGGGGACACCCTGCAAATCACGGTCAAGAACAGCCTCACCACGAACGGGACTAGCATGCATTGGCACGGTTTGCGCCAATGGCACTCAAATCATATGGACGGCACCAACGGCATAACAGAGTGCCCCCTCGCCCCTGGGCAGTCGCGCACATACACATTCCTCTGCACGCAGTTTGGCACAACATGGTACCACAGTCACTATTCCGACCAATACTCGGATGGGGTGGTAGGCACCTTGATCATCGACGGACCGGCCACGTCCAACTACGACATTGATCTGGGCACATTCCCCATCAACGACTGGTACTACCGGCCGGCTTTTGAGCTGGCGCCCTTGATCAAGACTGGTGGATTCCCGCGCGGTCCGCCGCCCGGAGACAACATCCTGATCAATGGCACCAATGTCAAGGTCGACGGCACCACAGGCAGCTACAGCCGGACCACCTTGACCAAGGGCAAGAAATATCGGCTCCGGCTCATCAACACCTCCACCAATGACAATTTCAAGGTTGGCCTGGACAGTCACACCTTCACCGTCATCACCGCCGATTTCGTCCCTATTGTGCCATACACCACGCAATGGCTGTTTCTGGGCATCGGGCAGCGGTACGACGTGATCATCAGCGCCAACCAGCCCGTTGGCAGCTATTGGTTCCACGTCGTGCCCCAGGCAGGCTGCAGCAGCAACCAGAACCCAAATGCCCTGGCGATATTCAGCTACGCCAGTGACAACTCGACGACCCCGTCCAACGCCACCAGGTCCAACGCCCCGGCAGGCGCCGATTGCAGCGACCCGAACAAAAACCTGGTGCCGTACGTCAAACTCGACGTGCCGGACAATTACACCATTCCCCAGCAGTCGTACCTCGATGTTGGCTTCGCCATTGTCCAAAACCAAGCCCAGCAGACGCTGTTTCAGTGGAATCTGAACTTTACAGCCATCCAAGTCCCTTGGGGCAAGCCGACCCTGCAATACGTGCTCGACAACAACAGCAGCTACACGCCCAACATGAACCTGATATCCCTTCCCAATGCCAACGCCTGGTCCTACTGGGTCATCCAGGCCGTATCCACCGTGGCCCCGCCGCTTCCGCACCCGATCCACCTGCACGGCCATGACTTCTACGTCCTGGGCGCCGACGCCGGCATTTTCAACAACTCCCAGACCCTAAATTACAAGAACCCGCCGCGCCGGGACGTCGCCATGCTCCCGGCCTCCGGGTACCTGGTCCTGGCCTTCATCACGGACAACCCGGGCGCCTGGCTGATGCATTGCCACATCGCATGGCATGTCGGCCTGGGCCTGGGCGCGCAATTCCTCGAAGAGCCCGACTTGATCAGGACCACGCTGGGCATCGGCCAGGACTGGAAGCAGGAGTGTGCGCAGTGGAATTCCTACTCTGCAACCGCCATCTACGCCGAGGAGGATTCGGGTCTGTGAAGAGTCCGGATATCTAGAATCACATCGTGGTAGCTAGTCTAAATGCGTCGGAATGAGAACGAGCAAGCAGCATCTTGTGTGTCAACGGGTCACCTTCTTTCTTGGCCACATTGTGTAACATGATCGAAATAAGCTAGAAGAATATCCGAGGATGTGGCTCGTTCTGCATGTGTTTCCTATATGGTGCCATTGTTCTCCCTACGAGGATAATCTACATGTACGCTTTGTGCTTTGACAAGGTCGAATAAATACCCATGTAGTTTATCTCCGATAATGATATAGCGCGTTCGGTATCTATCCTTCCTATGTAAGGGTGCTATTGCCATTCTGCCGCTTTCCGCTTTTACAAAATCAGTCAATGCCGGAGTATTTCATCTCCGACATGACGACAGATAGGCACAGCATACAGGTATAAAACAAGTGGAAGCTGGTAGCTGGAAGATAATTTGATAATTGTTCTAAACCACTATACACATATCGGTGTCCCGAGTGTCTGAACCACCCAGATCTTTTGCGGTCGTGTGCAGTGCGGTGTCTACAGAACAGACAGGTTGGGGAATTTCTCCTGCAAGACGTCAAACTGTTAGCAATCGTGATCCTTACAAGCGTAAAACATCCTGCGACAGGGGCCACCAGGATCTGAGTATATCGTACCAAGTAACCAGGAGGCATCCATCGTCCCTTCTTGACCAGTTTCGCGGTGTACTCGTCGATCTCTGGGGCCGCTGCAGCGACTTCGTCGACGGTAGTCTGGTCCCACGGTCTGGCACCCTCGATGTCGTTCAAGGCCTTCTCCAAGCTCCGGAGTTCCACCTCGACCTTTGACTTTGTCTCCTCGGCGTTCGTGATCGCAATCTGCTCGAAGCTCTCGATGGCCTTGAGCTGTTTGTTCACGTCGTACGTTTTGGGCTGGAATGTCTTGAAGTACTGCTCGATCTCGTCGATGACCGCCGTGTTCTTCAGCACCGATCGATAGTGGCCAAAGTCAACCGTCGTCGGCTGTTCGGACAGGACCTGCACCCGGCGGCGGGCATCATCGTTTCGCTTCTTGAAGTTTGCTAGCGCGGTCGCCGTGCTGCCGCGGAGGCCGAGTTGGGAGCTGACTTTGCTCCAGTCGAGCTTCAGTGCTGCGCGAGACTGTCCGCAGGTTAGTCCGTAGCCGCATGTCTGGGTTGTGACCCGTGCCAAAGGATGGCACAGACACGGATGGAGCTTCGGTACGTACTTGAGCCATTTTGGCGACTTTGTGGCGGTTGCTGGTGCAGTGGAGGTGAGGTCGTCGAGCTTTTGTCTGTGAGGTTTGAGGTTGTCCCTGGCTCGGCAAAGATCCCTGCCTTGGAGAAACACACCAGTCACGTGACCATCGTCGGTTTCTTGTGCTCCGCCGTATTGGCCCGCTTACTTCTCCGTATTAGTGGTGGGGGCTGGTAAACCAGCTGCTTTACGGAGTACGGAGTACACAACAGAGTGTTTATCGGCCATGGAAGAACGAAACGGGATGGTTACTTTGCCTTTTGGCTCGTCCAAGAGCATATCATATTATGCCAGTTTATTGGATTGTATCAATACCACTCAATGTCCATGCATGAACAATGCAGTTCCACAACTTTTGGTGCCTTTGGATCATACACTCAGCGCCATGATGGAATTGACAATATCATTTCCGTTCTCCTTGAGTGCTTTGACGGCCTTCTTTCGTGACACTGATGCCTGTGTCATCACCAGTTCGATGTCCTTAGCCTCGAGACCGCTGTCATCCACTTCCTCGTCATCGTCATCCTCTTCCTCTGCCTTCTGTTCTTCGACAGCTTTGCCCTTGCCGTTTTCGTGACTGTGGTCATGACCAGAATGATCGGCGTTGGCTGCTTCGGCGGCAGCGAGCTGCTGGGCAGCAGCAGCTTGTGACTGGGAGTTGAGATCCTCAATCTTGGCCTCGCCAAAGATGCTTGTGGGTCGTCAGATACAGCTTTCATCACCTAGGCAGGATTGAACTTACATCCAGGTGTTGCTGGTGGGCGAACGGTAGACATCAGGGTTGGAGATGACGAACAGGATCTGTGGGCAGTGCATTAGCCTTGCGGAAAATCACTTGGATGCCACATCGGTTGGGATAATGATCGTGCTCTCATCCTTGAGTTTGCGGGGGAATGCACTTACGCCCTTCGGTCTCCGCAGGGTAACTCGTGTGATGCCCGGAACGTGCTTCAAGCCCAACTTGCCAATGGCCTTTCGTGCCTTCTTCTCGTTGCGGCTGTGGACTGCGACGGCAGAGCCGGCGGGAATATTGGCCTCTCCCTCACCACCGGCCTCAGGTTCAGAGTCGGACGAGCTGGATGCGTCCTCAGCTAGCACCTTCTTCGTAGGCTCATCATCCGGGAGCTCTTCTATTCTTGGGTTCGCCATGATGATAGGCGAGGTAGGAAAGGCGGAATGACTAGGCCTGCGCAAGGTTCTGGGTTAGCCAAGGTCAGGACCAAACTGCGCTGCAAAGGACTGATTCATTCATCCTCCTCGGGGAATCCGTCCTAAAACTCGGCATGAACATGCCCCTGGGACGAAAAGGTTTCAGGGGTTAGCTTACAATTGTACCTTTTCGTGTGGTAGATGCGCTGCTGAATTTTGTCGATTTCGATACCGAAGCTGGTTTCGATGTGGTGCATTGATGCCGAGCTCCAGCGACATCTGGTCTTGGCGGACCAATTGCACATGCGCCGCTTTAATTAAACACGTCAACCTCAACCCTACGCTCTTCCTATAGTATGTAACCCACACTGGCACCAAGGGTGAACGAAACCTCCCCCTGTCCTTCTCCCATTCGCTCGAGCTGTGTGAGACGCTATCCGCGACCACGTCTCGTATCACACTCCCTGCAGACGAAGGTTAGCAAACCCCCTGGGCTCAAGATAGCCAACAACGGTTTGATTGGACTGTACCGGCCACGGCATTTCTAGAGATGGGATCCGCGATATCAACGACCTTGCAACATGACGTCTTCGCATTCTAGTAGAGATACAAACTGCATATATTAACACATTCTCGCCGGTAAGTTCGAGTTGGCAATGGTATACTCCCGATTCCCTACCCTCCAACAACACAAACTAGCTCGGAAAAGTCATCAGAACGGCGAACGGCCTCCAGGCTTCAATCAGTCAACTGCCAAAGCATATTTTCTCAGCATGTCCGGCCTTTTAGATAAATTGAGCATGACCAAAAGCGACGGCATGAGCGGTATTGGCCCAGACCAGGGTGCACTCAACGAGTCCGATTCACCTTCTATAAATCCCACAAATTCGGGCACTCGAGAACAGTCCGAGCTTGGAGTGGGTAGTGGCGACGGCAAAGGCCTGGACCGAGCACCCAACAGCTTCGGTGGCCCATCCTTTGGTCGAACCAGCAAGACCACCAGTCACAAATCCGAGACGCTGAACAAGTTGGATCCCCGAATCGGGTATGACGATGACGATGTCCGCCAGCAGGAATTGGAGCGTTATGAAAGCGAGTACGGTAAGCCGGAGGATTTTTCCGACGTCCAGCTGAATGTGAGGAACATGTCCGGGATTGGGGCGGACCAGAGCGCGCTCAGGGAAAACCCAGCTTTCCGAGCGCAGGAAGAGAATACGACAGTTCGGCACCCCAGTGACGGCTAGAGGGAGCTCCAAGCGAAACATCTACAGCGAAAGTGGGCAGGGTATCGAGACACTCGAATGCCCTGGTCATTGTTAGCGGTGACATACATGCAACATCTATCACACATCGCATACTATTGGTGACATGAGTCTCAGATATGATACTATGTCATGACGTCACTCGATATATCTTTTATGTTCTGTATTAGCAATGCCAATGATCCAACTTCTATCAAAGGTTTCCTAGGTCCTTGCTCTTGCTATAGACTCCACGCCTGACCTGTGTACGGTGCTCTGCGCCGTATCAGTTACCAAGAGTTCGCACGGAAAATAGTCCACTACCGCTGAGGACATTAACGATGTGAAATGCCACCTGTATCTAGATTCCTACCCTTTTTCGGGCCCTCCACGAGCCATGGCGGGACCCAGCAGCTGGCATATAGCTTCCAGCGCCGCCTCCCTTATGCACCCCGGAAGTTCAGCAGAAACGTCTTCACCAAAGATCAAATCAAGACCGCGGAATTGCAGAAGACCCCCCACACTCCGAACCAAGTGGTGACAGAGGTTCCGCATTCCACTGAGCCCTCGTTCATCGATGTTCCCAGTCCGCTGTGGTATCACCGTCTTGGACCAGTGGGAGACTTCTTTAGCTGGCTCAGTCGCATGCAGCGACGCAGACCAATAACCACTACCTTAGCAACTTCTTTAACCACGTACTTGACTGGTGACTTATTGGCACAAGATATGGGAGGAGAGCCATACGATGGCGCTCGAACATTGCGAATGCTCGCAGTTGGAGGGTTGGCTTCAATCCCAGGATACAAATGGTAAGAGGCCACCCTACCACCGTTCCTAGCCGGTAGTATATATGAGATTGACCCTGTCTCTGAGAAAGGTTCATGTTCTTGGGCAGCCATTTCAACTATGCCTCCAAATGGAGTTCAATCACAGTCAAAGTCGTCATCCAGCAGTTTATATTCGCTCCGGTCTTCAACACGTACTTCTTCGGCATGCAAGCGGCTTTGACAAACCAGCCACCTTCGGCCATCATCCACCGCGTTGTTTCCACTGTCCCAGAAAGCTTGGTGAGCTCGGCCAAGTTCTGGCCTCTAGTAACTGCCTTGAACTTTACTCTCATCCCGGCGCATCTACGTTTTGCGGTCTCGGGTTTCTTTGCCGTCATATGGCAGACATACCTGTCGTTTCTGAATCGACGCGAAGAAAAGACAGGGCCTACTGGTACACTCGCGGACCAAGCACGACAGAAGCTGTACGAAGATGCCCCGTCGGCTTCGGTTGTTGACGTCCTTGATGGCGCCGATTCAGGAAAATCCCTCTGATACCCCTTGTCACGACGGTCCGTTCATGTCAAACTTAGGCATTCCCAGCCTTGCCCTTTAACCAGAGAGGCTGGTTATGTTATACTATACTATATAGCATGCGATCCCACTGCGCCTTTTGATAGACAACATGGAACATTTCAACCTTCATTCGACTGTCCAACGAGCGCTTGGCCCGGGAGATCTGGTGTTAGCTGCGATCCGATGGCCTCAACCGAACAGCGGCATTGACCAGCTTTATTATCCTTTGCGACGAGCTGTATGACATATTACACTGTTGTATCAAAAAAGCCACTCCTCCTTCCAGCCTTCGTGATGCCTATCTCATCACCCCTCCAATGAGCAGGAGGCGCTTAACACGAGGTAATATGAGAAATGGCTAGTACATAATGAAGTAAGTGGAAATGCACAGCAACACACTATGTCAGCAAGTGGAAGGCATGCATTGCGGTGTCAAATTATCCGTTAACACTCCGCAACAAGTGGCGCGATGCTCTATGCAATTAAAGAGCGACAAAGCGACCTATCCAAGTTGGGAAGAAGAATTGGCTAATAGGTTGGTTTGAGTGACATGATCGTGAAAATATGAGAAGCGAGCGAATCGCTCTTTTCCGGTCAAGGCTGTGAGTCCAGGGCATAAATTTAGATTCCAATCCTTGAAAATAAGCAGTGACTCTCTCCGGTCTCAGTTACATATATGACTTTGTCCGTGGCCGCGGAGGTGCAGACGCACAAGGCACGCGCGGGCTTCCTCGGAAAACTATCGACGAGGAGTTCTGGTGTAGGAGGCATCCGACGTAGATCCTTCCAACGGAGGATGCAAACAGTGGTGTGAACTTGCTGCTGGAGTCGACGTACAGTATGTTAAACGATCGCAATCAGGATCGATACGCTGGTGTACAGACTCGGCCACCCACGTCCGGCGGGCTGCGGTCAATCCAGCAATGCGGCAAGTACAAATGTGTCCAAATGGGCGAGTGTCGATCTGTCGACATGGATCTACCTGTATCGGCCACTAACGGGCACAGATATGTCATGCATGTATGGCCGGATTCAAAAGCACATGGTCGGCGCGAATTGTACATGCTTGCTACGCTACACAACACAAGTGATCCGGATCCAATGCCGTTGAGACTCAAGCGAGGATCTGCCCTAAGAAATAGTTTCGGGCAGGTAGTACGCCTAGGTACGTCAGGTTGCTCAAACTTCCACCTCGACAACCAATCTGTCTGCTCCGCGCATCGTTCTCCATCGATTCGTCGATTCGATCACAGCCGAGCAGCCTTTCAGCAAGAAGCCCCATTTCCTCGCGAAGCCTTCACTGATTTCCCATCCGCCCATATACCATGGGTCGCCCCACACCAGAAGCCCGCGGCGCTCAGCGTCGTCAAAGCCTTCGTATAAAGCTGTGGCAAGATCGTAGCCAAGATCGTGGATATCGTATTCCTCGGCCCGGAGGATCAGGTTGTCCCGCATTGCGGGGAACGGGAGGGCGTCGATCCAAACCGGATGAGGCGTGCATTTTTGCAGCGGAGTCGGTTGGAGATCGATTGGGATCTCGCCGGCCGGAAGCTGCCCGACCTTGAGCCCGGAAATACCGAACATTGCGTGGCATTCCACCGACGGGAGGTGGTCTAGGAGTGAGAGGGTCGCCATGTTGTACAGGATGGCCCGGAGGACATTGTACTGCACTAATGTGATGAGGCAGTGGTCGGCGGAGAGCGGGAAAACGACTCGAGGGGGCGGGCGGTCGATGATGGCGGATGTCGAATAGGGCAGAAGGGGTGGGATGAGTTGGCGTTTTCGTTTCGCTGGTTTCGTGTCATATGATGAAGACGAGGCGTCTTGGGTTGGTGGTGAAGGTGTCGTCGACGAGCTGGCTATCAGCATGCCATAGCCTTGCCATGGCTTGGGATCGGTGATGGGTATCGACGCCTCTGCTGTCTGTCTTTGCCTCTGACCTACGATTGAGTAGGCCTTGATTAGTGACCGGCTCGGACAGTCAAGGCCAGACAAGTACCTACGCCAGGCTCTTTGCCGCAAGCGATTCTGCAGCTTCCTCCTTTCAACTGGGTCTTTCAATCCATGCCAGTCGTCCATCTCTGCTTCCAGCAAAAAGGATCAGTTCAAATGTGTGGGTCTCGGTGCTGTAACATCCCTACCTGGGCAGGAGGATGGCGCCGATCGCCAGCCAGAGTCATGGCTAGTCATACCTAGGGATGGCTTGCCCTGTCCAGTGTTCCATCATCGTGTTTGAGGCGAGCAAGACAGGAGTGACGAAAAAGAACGGGAACAGGCGCCAAGGCGCCATCCTGCCTCGGACGCCTCGTCTTTTGGATAACTAAGCATTCAGAGGAAGTATTCGCAACAGCCACCTCTCTTTACGCCGTGAAATCTCCCCAGGGTGGAGATTAGGAGAGGGTCTCCCAACAGGCACTCGGCAGCGTGTGTTGCACTCGTATAGCATATTCCGTATATATCAAAGGCGCAGGACTGGCCGAGAGGTTGAGCCGCGCCACTGGCCGAGCAACATGTCACATTTGACAGCCAATCGCACAACACGACGAGTTCCCAGTGCTTTAGTGCGTTACGCACTAAGTTGAATATAGCTAGAGTATTGGTGAGGGACTATTCTGATTCGATGGGCGGATGAAGTAACACTATTGCCGACAGAGGACGGACAGTCCATCACGGTACGGAGTACTCTGGACGGTAGACTGTATTTGGGGAGACAAGTATAAGATCTCACACGTTACGTTTGGTTGTTGTACCTCTCTATATTTTCTTCTCTCGCCGATACAGTAAGTCCCTGAGCTCCCCAGCGAGACTATACCTCCTAAACCTAGGTATCTTTCTTGGGTGTGGATTCATTTCATCTACGTTCAAGCTTACGACATGGCAGCACTGCTATCCCGTGTCTACACGGCTTTCAGTCCTCCGACAGTTGAGAAGAAGAGCGACGCCATCAAGATCGGTATCTTAGGAGCGGCGAGAACTGCGTAGGTGGCCTGCTAATGAAACATGGGCAAACCATTTCTAACCCTGAACAGGCCTCTGTCGTTGATCACGCCCGCCAAGTCGCATCCAGAGGTGATTGTGCAAGTGATCGCGGCGAGAGATCACAGCCGAGCTGAGGCATTCGCCAAAAAGCACGGCATTCCCGAATTCAAAACTTCATACCAAGGTGAGCATGGACTATTGACCGCCAAACTTCACCCCACCGAGAAATACTAACCATGCATGTCTGGGTTTTGCAGAGGTTCTCGACGATCCGAACATCGACGCCGTGTTCATCCCATTGCCCAACAGTCTGCATTTCGAATGGTCGCTCCGTGCCATCCGTGCTGGGAAACACGTCTTGCTGGAGAAACCGGCCACAGCCAATGCCATCGAGGCCAGCATCCTTTTCAGCCAGCCCGAACTGTCCAAGCCTGGTGGTCCGGTTTTATTGGAGGCCTTCCACAACCGCTTTCATCCTTCCATTCGAGCGTTTCGATCCCTGATCAACCCCGCCGAGGTGGAGCACGTGCACACAGATTGCATGGTCCCATGGGTCCTGGCCGACAAGAATGGCATCGAGTTCAATTATGATCTTGCTGGGGGGAGCATCGCTCACATTGGAACATACACCTTCACTTTACTGCGCCTCATTTTCGATGCAGAGCCCGAGGAGTGCCTGAGCTGCGAGACCCGGACCTTCGGGGATGGGATCCACGACCGGTGCGACAAGAGTTCCAAGGTCTCGTTTCGCTTCCCGAACGGGGGCATCGGCGAAGGTACCAGTACGCTGTGGGGCCCTTTGCTCTGGAAACCCTCCGAGGCGAGGGTGACGCATCGCCAGGTTGTGGTCCCGGATAACACGCTCCCGTCTGACCAGGAAAAGCTACTGACGCGCCAGGTCACGCTGCATGGGTTCATGCAGGCTTTCATCTGGCATCGTATCGACGTCAAGGACTCGTATGTGATTCGCAATAAAGTCGATGGTCAGCCGGTCAAGACGTGGGTCGAGTCAAAGTCGCAAAAGGTATACTCATACAAAGATGCTGGTGCTGAATTCGCGAATGTGCCTGGTGAGGATTGGTGGATGTCGTATCGCTATCAGCTCGAGGAGTTTGTGAACCGGGTGAAGGGTCGTCGGACGCAGACTTGGATCGGCGCCGAGGACTCGATCAACCTGATGAAGATGGTTGACATGGCTTATGAGAAAAGCGGACTGGGATTACGGCCGACTAGTTCGTTTGGGTAGTCTGGGATGAACACTTTGAATGGGTCGCCTTTCGGTATGGTGTTGTTTGAAGCTCTAGACTCGAGAGTACTTTTGTCTCCGGAAACCAGGCTTGCATTGACAGACTTTGCACTGTCCGTATATCACAGCCAAGTCGAAACTTTTTCCAATACCTTTCATTCCATGGCCTGCCTTTTCTGGAAACTCGCCTCATCACTCTGATCGTGAATCGTGCAGCCCGCTGCGAGAGATGGCCAGGCTTCATGTGTACGTGCCGGTTTTTCCAGCCTATATCCATCCGCCTGGTGCATGCCTTCTTGGGATCGACTTGGAGCTGGAGTGTTTCGTTGGGCGGCTACCACAGAGTATTTATTGATCATCATCGACCCCTTCACCAAGCATGGTGTGCCCACCGAGTGATCCGTACTCTGTGCAGGAATGAAGCGGCCTGGTCTTTCCACTTCTGCTTTATGGCGTCCGGCAGATGTTCAGCCGGTGAATCTTGAGACAGGGATTGGGATTGGGACTTTGGGTTCAATGTCTTCCAGCACTGCACTGTTCCATCCTCTGCGTAGTGGTGGCTGAAAAAGTCCCGAATAGTTGGATGACATACTGCTATGACCAACGTGCACAAAGCTTCCCAGCCCTGCAAGATGCCACCTCCAGCTTCGGACTCTCGTGGTGGATCCTAAAGCGAGGTAACCACTGTTCCGCAAATGTGGTGCTTACAGCTTGACCGTGACATGGACGATGAGTTTCATTCCCTCGGGTGGGTAAAAGCGAATCCGGCGTTTCTCTTGTCCTGTGTAAAGAGCTAGATATAAGGATCCGAAACGGAGTCCACTGAGTTATCACTAATAATGGCACCCATCATTGAGGAGGCGGACTAGGGGACTGTAGTAGAAGTAAGACCGTCGCGACGTAAGGTAGGTAAGCTGGAGCGTGAGTCGAAGGGTGAGTAAGTCGCCAGCGGGTGGTTATAAAAGCGGCGGTGTCTGGGTGCGGGCGCCGTGGGGTGCAAGCAGATTTACAGCTCCGGGCTTGCTAGAGCTGCCTAGACATGGATCTACCTGTATCGGCCATTAACAGGCACAAATATACTCCGTAAGGTATCATGTATGGCGTTGTGATATGAATGCTAGGGCTGTATGCCAGACATCCCGTAGATACATCACCGACATCAGAGACAGCGGACGACACACCGATCCCCAATGGGAAATAGCCCAAAGACCAGTACCATGTCATAAATTGGAATACACCTTGGTGCACCGGAGAAGGACCTCGCTCATCCCTTCAAGGGTTGCCGGATAAGCCAGAGCAACGACAGTTATTCACAACTAGAGACGCACAACAGTGTCATTGGTGTTCGACGAAGAGTTCGCAAAGTCCGGGTGGCGTCGATCACAGGTTAGTATCATAGGACCCTGGTAACTACTTGTAACTGATGAATTCAGATCAGAATTAGTATTCCAACGTGGCTTTGGGGTGCAGGAATGCTACTATTCCCTTGACAGGGACAACTGAAGTCGGATCATGAAAATTGTGGGATCATTTGTCCGCACGCGGAGAGCAATGGGATGGCTTGCAATATTACCTAGGTAATCCTCAACTACGATGGCTCGTAGTAGTCGCTGTAACATGGCTGAGCTCCTGCATTGGTGTTTTGCGGTGTAAGTTGTGCTTGTGGAATGCGGGATCGCTCAAGCATAGCACTTAGGAACCATGTCGCAACTCATGAATTGTATTGAATCAGGTCCTGCGAAAAAAACCCGCTCGGGCAGAGGGGAGTAGCCATAGCCACGGATGATCTCTGCCACTTGCCCCCGACAACTTGGGGTCTTTACGACATGCCCACGCCCCGCATGCCATCCATCGATCTTGAAAATGGTCGAACTGTATGTGACGCCTGAATCAATGCCGAATTTATGCCTTGGCCGCCGCCCGAATCTTCGCCTGTGCCTTCAAGGTCTCGAATCGTGCCTAGACATCCTGTTCGTCAGCCTCAATGCTTTTTGAGGAGTTGGTCGTTGGCTCCGACGGAATCCGTCTGTAGCGGGTAACTCACCTGCTTCTTCAACCTCATCACCTTGAACCGCTCAAAGTCTGTGAGGTTTCTCCTCCTGTCCTGCTGTTCTCTCTTCTTGGCCCAGGATGACTCTGCCCACTTGTTGTCGACCTCATACTTCTCCCACAGCTTCTTCAAGGGACCGGTACCAGCGGCCTTTGGTAGGTTGGGGATGACCCAGGGTGTGAGGGAAACCGCGCTTGTTTGGACAGGTTGACGGGGAACAACTGAGCCTTCTTTTGTCGAGGGACCGTCGATCAAGATCTATAGATTTCGCGGTCAGCCCGGATTCCTCATCTTCCAGTTTGGATGAACGTACTCGACCGGGGTCAATGATCTCGACCACAGCAGCCAGCTTGCCATCGAAAGGTCCTGAGCGGAGGGTCACCACTCTTCCAACCTCGACCAACTTCCATCCGGCCGGCTTAATATCGACGTTAGACATCTTGCCGAATTGACTGCGCGCAAGATCAGTAACGGTGTCGGACAGATACTAGTTGCAAGAGAATGTACCAAACAGTTGTGTGTGAGATATGAATTGTCACCTGGTTGTGCTCATCGAACAAGTGTGGTGTGGCTGGGCTCACAATTGAAGTCCCCATGTGTGCGCCAAGGCCGATGAATTCTGCCAAGGCCGAAATCTTGGCGCCAGACTTCAAAGGTCCAAGCTCTGCTGTGCCTGGCAAAAGTTTTCCACGGTTGACCTTCTACTGTTTTCATGCTATGTTCACCTAACATCCATCTTTCAACTTGTTGTCGCTGTATGCGGCATTCTCTTCATGACGCGTCCATGCCGTTCAGTGCTGGGGATGGTAGGCAACTTATGACACCGGCCCGACGAATTTGATGTTCAAACACAAGCTCCCTTCCAAGCTCTGTTGCCCTCTCCATGGTAAGCAACCCATCACTCTCTTTGCTCAAGCCACCCCCCGTCTTCTGATGATATAATTTGCGATTGAATTTGGCACTGGAGACTCTCGCCGGAGTCTCTCAACAGGACCGAAGAAATGATATTCAATTCTTACATATGCTGAACCGTCTACTTGCCACTGCTCTGTTCCAAGCCGCTACAGTCAATCCTCTGACTCTGACTGACAAATTCAATAGACCCCATTCCCGAGTCTGGCTTCGCGGAGTCCTGTCCACCTGACGTGTGCCTGACATCCGAGCAGCGGTCGCGTCGGCTCTCTATCAAGGTACGAGTCTGTTCCCTGCAAAGCCCCTTTCCGATGATTACACCACTATGCACTAGATAGTACATGATCAATTTTGAAATGATCGTACCCCTTCACCAAGATCTCTGAGGATTCTCTCCTATTCAACACGTTCGCTTTGGTTCTGCGATGATCGATACTGACCGTCCATCAGGTAGGCATGCATCGCAAATTCAGTGCGACATTTCAACGAGCCTGCTCGTGACACACACCTGGCACATTGCAGTACGAGCCAGATGTTACGTCTGAGCCGTGCCAAACGCATCGACCGCACCAGTTGGGAATATAGATGATGCCGACCTCTTCATGGATATGCCACCTACTAGTAGCCGTGGATGCATGCAAAGCGCCGGGGTTGAGTGAAATTGTGCTCCGTAGTTTGCCGTGACTCCCACCACGAGCCATGGACATGTGAGTTATATCCATCATGGCACGGATATCTTGAGCCATTTCCAAAAACAGGTGGAACAAATGTCCCCTGGATATGTCATAGACGAGAGAGCGATCAATGTCTTGACAATGGTTCTCCTACAATCGAGGCTTCTAGCACTGCCCCCATCTGTATCCTATGGGCCAGGTAGGTTACACCTGACTCAAAAGATCAAAGCAAGCAATATGTCCTAGTAGATCTATCATTGGAAATTTTCTTGTTTCCTACGGATGGAACAACTCCGCGGTGCCACTATTTCTTTCCGTATGAGCACAGTGCCACCTTGTTCAGATGATGTGTTCTCCTGATAGTGTTGGACAGTCCTACTGCGGCACCACGGCACAAACGGGTCAGTACGACGCGACGTATGCGAACTGATCGTAAGCCCTGTTTGGTTTCTGCCCTGGAATCGCCATCAATCTGACTTGATGTGCCACACACATGTCGAGCAATTCCTCCTCCACATTTGTACACATTTTTCCTGATAGCGATACGTACTGCTTACAAGCAGGAGGGCCAGGAGCAAAGACAGAGTGTAGAGAGTACTCCGTACATAGTAGTCTGTAATGGTTGGGGTGCCGGGATCAGCGAAACCTCAGAGCTAAGAGCTTGTGCAGTCCTGGCCTGCTCTCCTCGGATCCTGATTGGCTGTCCTGAAATGAAGTGTTTGGTGCCAGTTTGTACAGTACACTAGGCTGCGCTTCAGCTTGCTCGTGTGAAGGCAACAAAGGGATATCGACGGACGAGACCTGAAGTACTCCGTACATCATCGGCAAACCAAGGGTCCTCTGATAGGCTTACGGAGTACGGAGTACGGAGTACGGAGTACGGATACAGAGCAGTGATACGGGAAGGACATATGATGGAGACTCGGAATTTTACTGGGGTGCCCGCTCTACCTGGTTGGTGTTGCGTTCTTTGCTCAAGGCTGTGTGCTGCAAGGCTCGTGCCTGTCATCCAAATCCTGCCTTCGCCTGCATGAACCTCATGCACCAGTAACCGACTCCGAAATGCAGCCACCTTGAGGGCGTCCAGGGCGGAGTCTCAGGGAGCGGAGCAGAGTTTCCCTGGTGGGAGAAGCACGTTGGATGTCTAGACTCACGACCGGGGGTTGAAGCAAGAACCCGGAGGCAGGCTCTTTGGCAGTGAAACAGCACATAAAACCCATTGTGTGCCGTGGCAAAGCGTCGATGGTAAGACTCGTTAGGAGGACAATTAATGACAACAAGCAGCCTACAGTGAATGAGCACCTGTATCGTGCATGTCTGGATGTTCTGACTGCGCCCTCACTCACTCAATCACTCACTCACTCATACCCAACATCCACTCCGACCTCCATCATCACAGCTGCCCTCCCCTCATATCTCTCTTTCTGGCCTCGAGCTTCACCTTCCTTCCCTTCCTGCCTCCCGGCTCCGTCCCTGTGCGACGTTGGCCCGGACTCTGGCACTCTTCACTTGTACCTCACACCATCTGCTGGCTGGACATTGTGCGTCGCATAGTTGTGTACAACACGCGCTCGTCTTACTCACTCCTCTCTCACCGCAACCCATTCTCTCCTTCCAATCTTCCTCTATCCGACTGACATCCTGTTCTCATCTTCTATTCCAAATCCTCAATCAAACATCGCTACCCGCTGGTACGGATGGCTTCCTCTGCTCCTCCATGTACAGGCGCCCAGCCTCGCAATGTTGATAAGAGTCACGACGGCGGTGCCACTGTTCTCCAACCCGTCTACGCAAATGGCTACGACATGGCCTTGAGATTCAACACCGATGGACTCGGCAAAACGTACATCGGCATTGTTGTCGCATGGACCTGCCTGTTGCTCCCCGCCGCCATCTTCCTCATCCGGAATCGAAATCTCTCCTACCTCCGCATGCGAAACATCCCGCTAGCAATCAGCGCCGTCGCCACTCTTCATGTCTACTGGGTTCTGTGCATGATCGCATATGTTCTCAATGGATACTTTCCATGCGCCACGGAATACTGGATCATGAGCATCTACCTGCCACTGGGAATTGCGCTGTTCCACGCGACAAATACACAGTTGCTTTCCATCGCTACCGCCCAGAAGAGGTACGCCCAGGGTGATGTCCTTGTCGAATCACAACCAAGTAAACAACCGAAAGCACGAGGCTGGCGCAAATGGTGGGAACAACTGAAGACATACAACGCCACAAAGAACACAATGGCATGGATTGGAATGGGTATGATTGTTCAGGTAAGTGCCACTGTCTTGAACCAGATCAGGTCTGAGCTGACAACCCAAGCTTGTCTTCACCTTGGTTGTCTTTCTCATGTCCCGGAAGTTCCACCCTGGTTTCGGGGTCACCGGGCAGGTGACTTCAAGGTCAGGCTGCCGGAGAGGATGGGAATGGTGAGATAGAAAATCACAGATATCGGGCATCTCATGCTAAGGTCGTCACAGGTGGCCTTCGATTGCCTGGCAGTTCTTTTGGGCTTGGATTTACGCCCCTATCCTTCTTTGGCGAGTACACGGGATCGACGACGTTCACGGGTGGCGGTCCCAGACGGTGGCTTGCATCCTTGCCGGGTATGTGCCGTCAGTGTTTTCGAATGATTTTGTACTGACAACAATAGAATGCCTGCTTCGCCAATGTGGTTGATAGCACTTTATGCAAGTCCCATGAAAGCGGTGAACAGATACTTTGTCCCTCCTCTATGGTGAGCTGGCTCAAGAATGGGTCTCCGACAGAGTCACTGATCAAGGAACCACAGGTTTTCTGCGTCCATTGTGATCATGCAGGCTTGTGTGATATTCGTCCCGTTCTTTCAGATTTTTAAGAATAGGAAGCTGGAGAGCGAAACAAGAGAAATCATTGCAGAATGGGAAGAAAAGAACAAAGCCAATGGGTCCTTTACATCCACTTCAACCAAGGTAGGAGTGCGATCAAGATTTTCGACTCACCAATCCGTCAAGAGCAATACCAGTAGCCGTCAAGGGGAGATGTACACGATGAGCGCCCTCGAAAAGACTCTACAGGTCAACCCGACCCCTCTGCTCATGTTCTCAGCTCTGAAAGATTTCTCGGGGGAGAACATCAGTTTCTTGATCCATGTGCGTCAATGGAAAGCGAATTGGGTCTCTGCAAGTCCACGGTCTGGCTTTCTACGCAAGCAGGAATCCTTCAAGCCTCGGGACCAAGCGTTGATTCGTCAACAATTCAGACAGGCTGTTGGAATTTACGCGTCTTTTGTCAGCCTGAGATACTCGGACTTCCCCATCAATATTTCATCTGCTCATCTGAGAGACCTTGAAGCTGTTTTCGAGCAATACGCTGCCTTGGTGTGCGCCGAGCCAGCCACCAATTCCGCCACGCCTTTCGACAACTATTGGTCGTCTACAGTGTCCGAGGATGTCGAAAGTCAAGTCGGCAAGGATGCTTTATCTGTTGTGTCTACGGTAGTTGGTGAAGGTGGAAGAGAAGAGACAAAGCCTGGTTGCGACCGGATAGGTCAACTGCAAGAGTTGAAGATGACCAATTTCGGAGAAAGACTGCCTTCCAGCATCGGCATTCCAGACGCATTCGATCCCGCAGTGTTCGACAAGGCCGAGTTGAGCATCAAGGAGTTGGTCTTGACCAACACTTGGGCCAAGTTCGTCAAAGCAGGATTTGCCCAGAACACTGTCAAGGGAGGCTTTGCGGTGGCGTTTCAAGCAGGAGTTGATGCTTGTCGACAAAGACTTGCCAGAGTTACGGGTCGATTCGCAAAATGAAGTGGCTTGACCCACGCCAAAGGGGGATGGCTAGTTGACATTTGCGGTTCCGGGTGGGTGATGAAATTGAAAATCCGGCGCGGGACGTCAATGGACGGAAGAAAAGGGAAAGGGCGCATGGGAGGGGCGGATGGGAACGACAAAATGTCATAGATGTGCTCACTCGTGCTAGAGTCCAAGATTGCTTGAACGCGCTAGGCGGAGATGGAATGGAAATATGGTTGATTCATGCCACTTGACTCGAAAATAATATCCGAGAGTATGAAGTAAGTGTAGATTCTTGACGTTGCAGATACTTTATCACAATCCGATGAAGCTGCGAAGTTGACTGTTGACTGTTGACTGACTGTTGACTGTTCACCGTTCGACAATGTACACGATTCACAATGCCAGGCGTAGCACTCAGAGACGAGATGAGTGGCGGACTAGGGATATATTGTGTTCTCTGTGCCGGAAGGGATGGTCTACTTAGATCGATCATGGCTGGCTGGGGTTGGCTGGGGGCCCTGAGCCCGCGGGGGATTTTGCCTCAGCACATTTCCGTCCTATAAACCACCAGCGGGGGAGTTTGCTTCAATACATTTCTGTCAAACATTAGGCATCCCTAGCCTTGTGCTTTAACCAGAAGGCTGGTTTAGGTGTGCTATCTATACTATATAGCATGCGCTCCCCATAGGACCCGTTGATAGAGAACATGGAACATTTCAACCTTCATTAGACAATTTCACCACCAGCGGGAGTTTACCTTAATATATTTCACTACTAGCGGGAGATTGCCTTAATATATTTCACTACTAGCGGGAGAGTTCGTCTTAATATATTTCCGTTATAAAAAATCACTAGTGGAAGAGTTTACCTTAATATATTTCCGTCCTATAAATAATTAGCGAGAGAGTTCACCTCAATACATTTCACTACTAACGGGAGAGTTCGCCTCAATACGTTTTCGTTCTATGAACCACTAGCGGGAGAGTCTACCTCGATGCATTTCCGTCCTATGAACCACCAGCACGGAGTGAAGATGGCTTCACGACCAGCCTCGACCGCGCTGTCGACACAATAGGCGAGAGTGGTCATGGCCTCGCAGGAACCCCGGTCCGCTATGTGGAGTCGTTCCAGCGTCCACAGCAGACCATAGCACAGTCGCCGCGGCCACGTCGACATCTTCCATGCCGTCCAGTAGTCTGTCCAGGTGGTGGCTAGGGCGGTGTTGCCTTCGAGCGGCCACCACCAGTGTCGATGGGCATAGGGCGTCACACAGGCGCGAGGCGAGAATGACGATGGCGATGGCGATGGCAATGGCGGCAAGGCCGTCGGAGAGCCTGGTGTGGACGTACTTGGGTCCATGGGGTCCAGGACGGGCGGCGGTTGTTGTTGCTGCTGTTGTTGCTGCTGCTGTTGTTGTTGCTGCTGCTGTTGTTGCCGCCCGTGATTATCATGGTCATGCTCGGCTTTTCGTCCTTGCGACATGTATGCGAAATGCTGGGCATAGTCTTCGTCGTGAAAGAGGTCGAATCCCGCGGCGACCATTCCCGCGCGCGCCTGGTCGCTCGTGTGCAGATTACACAAGCCGTTGCCGCGCTCCAGCCGGTTGCGGATGGCGCAGTGTTTCGGATTCGACGGGTCGAAAGTCGGGGTCATGACCCACTCACTGAGACCGAAGACAGCGCCGGGTTTCAGCACGCGCGCGACATTGGCGTACACGGCCACAAGGGACGGCGAGTGGACGGTGGCTTCGATGGCGTAGGCGGCATCGAAACTGGATGGGGGGAAGGGAAGATTCTAGATGGAATGATTGATAGGTCAATAACACTTGCTAGGTGCAGGTCAAACGACAACACTTACTAGGTGCAGGTAAAACGACAACACTTACTGGGTGCAGGTAAAACGACAACACTTACTGGGTGCAGCTCAAACGAGGAGATGGAGATGGAGATGGAGAAGGAAAGAAAAGAAAAGCTCCCCTGCCCTGTGGAGGAGGTACAGAAGACCAGGTGGGAAGAGGATGAGGATGTCAATCAATCAATCGGGCCAAGAGACAAACAGCCAGTATGGATCTGGCGCCCGGCCCCGGGATGGCAGAAGACCAGACGCCGTGTGGGAAGGGATGGACGTACCAAAAAATCCGCCTTGACAAACGTACAGCTCTTGCTCAATCCCTCCTGCGCAGTGAGATATGTGGCCCGGTCGACCTGGGACTGGTTGATGGTGACGCCGACGACGTGGCATCCGATGAATTTGGCGATTTCGCGAGCCGGCCCGCCGATGCCGCAGCCCACGTCGAGAACCTTCATGCCGGGCTTCAAGCCCATGAGCAGCGCGAGTCGATGCTCGTAGAAGGCCAGTGCCGACTGGATGGTGTCGTGGGCCGCAAATGGCGTGTAGTGGAAGTGCGTGCTCCAGCCATTCTCGTACGCCGTACTGGCGAAATCGTAGTATCTGAGAGGTCGAGAGGTCAGTGATGCTCATATATAAGTGTCTGTCTCTCTCTCTCTCTCTGTGTGTGTGTATATGTGTGTGCGCGTGTAGAGCCATGATTGAGCCAGCCTTACGAATCTGCCAGTTCAGCTGCAGCATGCTGCCTTTTTCTGCGCTGCTCTTCCGTCACGGTCGATTGGTCGTCGTTCTTCCCAAACCGCGAGGTGTAGGCAGAGACGACGTTTGCAAATGTCGTATCCCTGTTCGTGTCTGTTTGCTTCGGAGCTGACCTCTTCCCGTCGGGTGCCATGGTTGATCAGTTCAAGTCCCTCGGAGCAAAGTGAGATCTGTTGACGACGTCCGCGGCTGCTTCATTGCGTCGAACCTGCTTGCCAGAGGGAGATTGGAGCCAGATTATCTACTGTATCGTCTAGAGAAGGATTCCGCCGGGACAGGAGGCGTCGCCGTGCTCGTGCTCGATGAGGAATGCTAGTATTGTTGCACAAGGACAATAGTAAGCAGCCACGGCAGGACAGGACGAAAACAAAAAAACCATGGCATTATCCAAGTATTGAGGAGCATTCCATTCCTCAGCCTTGTCGACCAGTCTCCACTATTAACCGATATGGTCAGAGTACCAGGCACCTACCAGGGCACTCCAGGTCCCTATGATAGAGAACAACGAACTCTTCAACCTAACTTGGAGAGAAACATGGTTGCACCGTTTACTGTGGCTCTCTTGAGCCGACCGTGGGGGCATGGCGGTGATAATGCAACCCTTGTTCTGTATCAAGCACGGTGCTTAGAACCTAGAGATTGTTAACCCTGATGCATATGTTGAGGCCCATTAGCAATGCCGGTAATGCTACTCACAACGAGGATGAAGCTCGGGTCCGTTGTCGCCGTCATGGCACGGGCTGGGAGTAGATCAGTGCACACACAGTACCATATGGTTGGTCTTGGATTCCAACAAGATATCCATATAGGACGCAACAATGCGAAAAGTCCCAGGGGAGACTATGAAATGAGATCGACACAAATACGGCATCATCACCTGGCATACACCTACCACTCCATGTCAACAATTCGTCAATTGTGCTCTACTTGCAAGGTCGTTTTCTATGTCTGAGTAGCTGTCGAGAGGGCGAGGCATCATCTTAACAGTGGTGACCGCGATGAGATTTTCAAGAACGACCCCGTCCTTTAGAGGCTGAGAAACAGTACCATCACCCATCCCCTCCAAGTCTCGCTCCTCGACCGCCCCCGTCCTATGGCTCGATAACAGATCCAGAGCCGATGCTTAGCTTCCAGCGTGTCATTGCGTTGAATGCTGCTTTTTGTCGCAATCACACAATGCTCCATGACCCCAAATCCATGCATGCATCTCGTAAGGTCATGGTCTTGTCTATTAGTGCCTGAAAGCTGGAGGCTCTACAACTTGTCTGTTGATCGAGTTAGCACAATTCCTGTCAGAAGAAAAAGCGGCCCAGGACTCACCATAGTAGTTATCATAGCCCGGAACTTGCGGCTTGAGACCCTTTCTCGTACGCGTCTGTTCGACGACCTTGCCCGGCATTGTGCTGGCGTCAAGTGGAGATCCACCCGGAAGAATTTGCCAATGGTCGAAGACGGATTGAGGGAATGCCTGACCACTGGTGGCGGCGCGCAGGTCGGCGTTGAAGCCAAAGGACTCCATAACCGGAAGGTAAGCCTTGACCGTGAAGAGAGGTGTACCCACACGTTGTTCCTCAGCGAAGACGTGTCCTCTTCTGCGGGTAAGAACACCGTAAATACCACCCATAGCCTGTTCTGGAACTTGGATCTCCACCAGGTAGACGGGTTCTTGCAGACCAGGCTCGGCAAGGAGCGTGGCAGCATAGAGCACACGTCTGGCAGTGGGGATGATTTGACCACCACCACGGTGAATGGCATCGGCGTGAAGGGTGACATCCATGATGTTAAACCGGACAGATCGCAGAGGTTCTTCTGCAATGGGACCTTCACGGGTGGCCCACTGGAAGCCAGAGACGAAAGAGTCCTTGATTTCGTTGAGGTATTGGACCGCCTTGGTCTGATCAACCAACAAGTTGGGGCCAGTGGTGTCGGGTCCGAATGCCCAGATCTTTCGAGCATCGGTAACATCCCAGCCGTGGTCATCAGCAAGGACACGGGCACGGGCCTTGAAGTCATCACGGGGGTTGATCTTGCCGTCCTCGATTTCCTTGGAAACCTCCTCGCTAAGCGGCTCAGCAACAACGTACAGACGGTTGTGCTTGTTGGGCGACTTGGACAGAGCGGTCATGCTAGAAGTGCCACCAACAGTCTCACGGTAGGACACGACAGGGTCGCTGATCTTGAGCGGTACACCGGCATGGTCTTCTTCCAAGTCTTTCAGGCAAATTTCCAAGTGAAGCTCACCAGCACCAGCGACGACGTGCTCGCCAGATTCGGAGATGGTGCACATGACGCAAGGGTCGGACTTGGACAATCGCTTAAGACCTTCGACCAGTTTTGGCAAGTCGTTGGCGTTCTTCACTTCCACAGAACGTCGCACAACAGGCGAGACAGAGAACTTCATCACCTTGAGGTTGTGAGCCGTCTCGGAGGTGGTGAGGGTACCGGACTTGAGCAGGAACTGGTCAATACCGACGAGACCAACGATGTTACCAGCAGGGCAATCATCGATAGGCTCAACGGTACGACCCATCATGAGGACGGTACGTTGGATGGACTTGACGAACAAATCCTCCTTCTTGCCGGGGACGTAGTTGGGTCCTTGGATACGGACCTTCAAGCCAGAGCGCACGGTACCGGCGAAGACACGGCCGAAGGCGTAGAATCGACCTTTATCAGAAGTGGGCACCATCTTGGAAACGTAGAGCATGAGATCAGCCTTGGGGTCACACTCGCGGATGGCGATGCAGGATGCGTCATCCGGAGGACCTTCGTACAAGGTCTCAGCACGGTACTTCTGCGCGGTAACTGGAGATGGCAAGTGGATAACCACCATTTCGAGGAGAGCATCGGCGGCTGGCAAGAACTTGCGCATGGCAGCCTTGAGGAGACCCTTCCCAGGCAACTCCTTCTCTTCGTTGGTGATCTTGATGTCGAGTTTAGCGGTCAGGTTAACCAGGTCGTCAACTTTGCCCTTTTGGAAAGCATCAAAGATCTTGAAGATCGGGTCCAGGATGAACTGGTTGAAGGCACGCTCAAGTTGCTTGCCCTCGTGCTCGGCCACCTTGGTCCATTTCTTGGTCTTTGGGTTGAAGTAGTTGTCGCCCCAGAGACGTTCCATCATCTTGGATTTGTCAACGCCAAACTTCTTCGCATATCTGAGGGCGAATTGTCGAATGGTGAAGGCCCAGCCGTGAAGACCGGAGCCAAAGGCGACGGTGCCTTTCTCGGGGAAGACCTGGACATCACCCAGAGCTTTGTCGAAGTAGGTGGAGATGATGACATTCACCGACTCGATGGTACGGGAGAACGATTGGTACAGATCCTCTTTGGAGACCTGCAGTTCAAGGAGGGCACGGTCGACCTTGTTGATAATGACAACAGGTTTGATACGCTCGCCCAGGGCCTGTCGCAGAACAGTCTCGGTCTGAACGCAGACACCTTCGATGGTGTCGACGACCACCAACGCACCATCAGTGACACGAAGCGCAGCCGTGACTTCTGAAGAGAAATCGACGTGACCGGGGGAATCGATCAGGTTGATCAAGAATTCGTTACCGGCAACTTTCTATACCAGTGTCAGTTCCTCCAAATTGGAAGCAGGATGTCAGTCTTTTTGCCACTAACCTGTGGGATGTCCTTGAGATCCTCCTCGTCGGGCAGATGGGCGTATAGAGAGATGGCAGTGGACTTGATTGTGATGCCTCGTTCTTGTTCGTCCTTTCGAGTATCGGTAAAACGTCTGGAAAAAGCACAATGGTCATTATTTGAGCCTCCTTTTAACCTCTGATGTAACATACGCTTCACCTGCTTTGGCTGCAGAGATAATACCGGCTCGTTGCACAAGGGAGTCGGTCAGGGTTGACTTTCCGTGATCGACTGCACGATTTATCAGTTCGTCGTCTCTTAGCGATATTTCTGGGATGCCTACCGTGGGCAATGACAGACATGTTCCGGATGTTGGCCGGACGGTCCATAAGCTAGACAACGTCAGCACCGAGGCAACGAAAGGTAAAAATGTGCACGTGGGAGACATACGGCCCGGATTTCTTCCACCGTGAAGCTATTGAAAAATTGGTCAGCATCATTCACGACAGCACACCGAGGATATCCTGCGGCAGATGAAGGGATGTCCGGTCATGGCACCTGTCCATCGCACTCCGGAGTATCTTGTGCGCTGTACTCGGAGCAAGCCTTCACTTTTCCACATGCTGTCGCAGGTGCCAGTCGGCAGTGAGATGTTTGGGACGGGATTTGGACCTACTTGACCATGTTGGTGGTGTTGCGAGGATATCTGCCTTTGAGGCGGGGTAGGGCGCTCCCTTGAGCTTTGAGATAGGAATCGCGGAGTTGAGGGCTCGCTCAATCTGCTTAGACGCCTGCACTTATCGTCACAGACGAAATAGAGGCGATGAAACGGAGCTTTGAGCTGGCAAGAGCAGGGTTAAAGACTCGGAGGAGGATGCAGGCGGTGGAGTGAGAAATCTCTCTCTTTGCAGTGGGCGGCGCCAAGACCCAGTGATGCTAGTGGGCTGTCAGTGACTGTGCAGTTGCAGTCGCAGTCGCAGTATTATTTAGTCCGACGCTGGGTGATCTGTGAAGTCCCCGGTCACAGTCACAGCCCCGCCGGGGATTGTGTGGTCTTATCTCCGGTCGTAGCCCTGCACTGCTCTTCCACTGCACCTCCGTACTCGTACTCGGTGACTGTTATTACGGTACTCCAGCCACGGGCCCGCCCGATTGAGTTTACACAGAGGTGACAGACATGCCACTTTTGATGTCTACTATACTACTATACCATGGCCTCCGAGTTGGCCGCCTGGTCTCGAGCAACAGTCCCGTCGAGAAGGATTCAAGGCACGGATCGCCCTACTTGAACACGAAGACTGACCTGGACTCACTCTCGACGCATCAACTCCAACCATCCTCGACTGACTGGATACGTATGACGATAGTATTGTACGCAGATGTACTCTGTACAATGAATATTATGTATATATATCTCTTGTTCTTCGCACAGTACTATTAATTTGGCCTTTCCCAACCCCAACAAATGCCCACGAACGCCGCCGCCATGCACTATCACTACTGTAAGTCTTGAAGAAACATCAACTCGCCCCAAGAATCCGGGCATATGCATCCTCGACTTCTCTCGCAATCTCCAATAGCGACACAATCGCTATGGAATGCGTCGCTTCTGGAAGCTTGTCCCTGTTCAGCCCTATCCATTCCAACGGTGGCGTAGCTTCCCCCATGTCGCGGAGCTGAGGCGTGTCGATGATGGGAGGCTCCAGTGGGACGTACGTGAACTTGGACTGCGGTACGTTGACCACCGCGGTGATCCTCTCTTGACCGCCGTTCTCCCCGTTGCCGACGGGTTCTGCAGTGATCTTGACAGCAGATGGTGGTAACGGCTTCCCAAGCCGCTGAGCCAGAGCTCGTGAATGAGTTTGCCACATGCCCCGGATAAAGCTGATACGGGCGTAATTCCATCCCACGTCAACCTTGCCTTCGAAAATGCTTCGGAAGATGTATTCGATCACGTTCGAATCCGCCCTTTGCCAGGTTTCCATGGATGCAACGAGCCGCGGAACCTTGACGATGGTGCCTCCCCGGGCTGTCGTGGCCCTCTCAATAACATCGGGCACAGAAACCTCGCTGAGTGCCCTCGTGGTGGCCTGGTTCACGTTGGAGAGCGCGACCCTGAGCTGGCCGAGAGTCATTCCCAAGCCGCTGTGGGTGTTGCCCTCGGTCGGCGCCACGGCAAACCGTGCTTGGATTTCGGTCGCCTCCACCTTCAGAATTTGATTATCAAAGAATGTATTGGGAAAGGCACCCAGGTCCACGGCTTGCAGTGTGATAACGACATCCGTGTGCAGGCCAAACGTGCCCCTGCTCATGGGCTGTTGTTTGGAAAGGGGGTCTGCCAGGGGAGCCGTCCAGGTGCTCGAAGGAAAGACGGACCTTCGGCGCAGGAACTTGTCCATGTCATGTAGGGATGTTTGGTATGCTTCTTGCTTCTCCTGCACCAGTCGTTCAAACGCCTGGACCAGGGCAAAGGTCTGTGCTGCGGTGGCCGTGGTGCAGAACACTTGAACTTTACCGCCGTCGACAATTCCGACCAGGCGATCACCTTCGATGCCCTCACCTTGTCGCACGTTGTACATCAGAAATTCGAAGGACGAAATGTCGGCGACGGCAAAAGGCTGATAGTCGAACGCGGCCTTGACTCGGAGGTGTTCGAAACCGACGGATGCTAGCACGATCGGAGCCCGTTTCTTTGCTGTCGTGTCTTCCGGCCAGCGAATTGATGTGCGGGCACGCATGTTCTCCAGCTCAACAAATCCACTCATCCTTCCAACGCTATCGATGCCCACTCGATCAAATCCCACGCACAAGTTCTGCTCGGAATCATTGCTCTTCTTCGACGAGGCCCAGAGCCGGGAAATAGTGAAGACCGATTTCCCCAGTCCCTGTCCCAGGTCTACCTGCAGCTTGACCTCCTGCACTGAAACAATGACGTGCCAGGGCAAGGTGCCTTTGGCGGAAAGCTCCTGGTATCGCTGCATGGCATACGCCTGCTGTTCCTGTGTAGTGGTCGCAGGGGCGCTGGGTTTGGACTGGCTGCGTAGCTCGGCCGGGTACCAAATCTCGCGGAAAAGAAGAAAGTCTTGCACCTGCTTGGCGTTGATATCTGTCTTCATAGGGCTGATGTTGAGGACGGCTGAGATTCCCGCGGTCGCGCTCACATGCTTGCTGTTCATGAAAGACATGGTGATTGTATCGACTTCAAAATTGGCCGTCGACTCTCGGGAGTACACGTGTTGGACTGATGCCTCCAGCTTGTTGAACGTCGTCAAAATGGCGAAGAAGCGTTCCTGATCAGGTGCTGACACCGTGTTGACCGTAACAAAAATGTCTGCACACCTTGCTGTTGCTGCAACTCTTGCGATAGGTTGACAGCTGAGACTGAATTCTTGTCGTTGGATATAGAGTCCGGCGTTCAATTTGCACCGTCCCAAGATAGCTGTGGGGTTGGCACTATCTACTGTCATCTCCGCGTGGAGGGGAGCGGATTCTGCTTGCGATCGAGATTTTTCGCCCTCGGTCTCCCTCTCGCCCATGATTTCTTTGATGCTGGACGAGATCTCGAGTATGAGAGGGACGACGGTGGGGTACAGGGTATTGGATGAGGCTGCAACCTTGACTTCGGTACTGAAGGTGGGATCCTCCACGCCGACATCTTTGTACTCAACTTTGAGGGCTACACCAGGTGATTGAAGGACGGCCGACGAAGCATGATCCCCTTGCACGACTTGCCCATACCGTCCCGCGCGGGATCTCTTTTCACCTTTCAGAAAGGAGAATACTGAGCTCTGCTGACGTCCTTCGGCACGGGGTGAGATATGGACGACCGCCCCTGCAAAATCCGCGTCCACCAAAAGAGAAGCCAGCCGTTTCCCTCCTAAAAGATTGAGCCGGCCCGGATGGGGCGTCTGCGGACTGGTCTCGCAGATAAACGTCCCATTTCGCAACTCTCTGCTTGTGTGGGCAAGAGATATTTGCAAGGCGTGAGCTGGGATTACAAAATCGGAGGCAAGTCGAATATCTAGCGCCTTTCCTTTGGCGTGAAATGCGAGCCGTCGGTCATGTTTTGTCGAGAGGTAGGCAGCTCCAAAAACAATCTCAGGCAGTAAAGCTGAATTGGCTGTTCGCTGGGTTGGATACTCAGACTGCGACTGAGGCACGATCTGCAATTGCGTATCGAGAATTGAAAGCCGGGCAGTACCTTCTTGCCGGGTTTGAAGATCAACCCTACGAATCGAAAATACCAGATCCTGTACCTGACGACTCGGCGAAAGCACAGTGCTCCTCGGCATATTCCACCGGAGAATTATGTTCTCAAGGTCGACCGCGTAGGTCGAATCGTAGAGAGCGGACGAAGGTGGTCCATGACTGGAATTTGTCTCGAGGCTTGCGTCCATGTGCTCCTTGGGTTTCAGTCGTTCCGTGATTCCAGCAGTGGTCATTCTTCGGAGTTGTCGAATATTGTCTGCATCATCAGCTAGCTTGATAGACTTGATACGCTCTTGTAAGAATGCCACAATATCAATCGCCAGTGTGGCAGTGTTCTCGAAGAGGTCAACGCTGATTCTGTCGCTCCATGTCCGGTAAACATGAACTTTACCAGCTTTCCCCTCCGTTTCTGTTTTGCCCGAAGCCTTGAGACCTACGATGCATCTTCCAACATTCACTCTGTCATGTTCCGTTGTACGGTACACGGCCAGCCCCACGCCTCGGGAGTTAAGAATAAATTGCGGCTGTTCGTGGATAGACTCGGGGTCATCTGTTTCGTTGTGAATGAAGACCGAAGTGCCCTCGAGCTTGAGTTCCATCTCGGCAGTGTAATCTTGGTCTTCCCGGACCGCTGGAGCACTCATATGAATCTTGATCCCCGCAAGCGTACCATGGATGGCGAAGCGAAGCAGGAGTGTAGCCTCACTTGTATGCTCATTTTGGGGCTTAGTTTTACCCTCGGTCACCTGCTCCAGAGAAGCTTGCAATTGTTGAGCTGCTCTCTTTATTTTGGGTATAATCTGTATGACTCCGGGTTGGTTCAAGGCGTCAAAGCAAGCTCGTATGCCGGCAGCTTCCAGATTCACTTGCTCCAGTGTACCGCGAGCCCGAACTCCGATTACACTGGCCGTTTTGCGTACAGACAGCCCCCCATTCATAGCCGGCATCTTCAAGATCGACAAATTCCCTTGGGAGCCCTTGTTGGGTACCTCAAACGAGTGCTCATGCTCTTTGATATCAAAGTTGATGTCGTGTCCACCGTCTGCTCGGGGAAAGATAGATGTCCGCGCTACGGGGCCGGCGATTGCATAGCGAAGAGATGGAACAACAGCAAATGTCAATCTGTAATCGTCCAAAAACATGGCAACATGGAGGACAAGGTCCAACTGTTTGCTGGATGGCGGGACTTGCACGCCATTTTCGCCGCTCTTTGGGATGTCATCAATCAATGTGATGATCTCGCGGACCTCGTCATGAACAACTGAATCCATCACCGTGAGGAGCTTCACGACGTCTTCCTTCATTTCAAACCGATATTTATGCGACGCTGCGCAGAGTTGTACAATCGTCTTCTGCTTCTGCTTCTGCGGAGAAGTTGGAGATTGTGGCCGAATTGAGGCGTATACCTTGGGCGAGCGAAGACGCCAAACGAGCAGAGTACGAGAGTGGCCTTTGATTCTTGACATGGCGGTGTTTGCAGCCAATGTGAACGAAGAAATCGTCGGCGCTGAGCCGCCTGTATCAAATGAAATCGCCCCCCGGAAGCTTTCGGCTCCCCACTTCAGCTTGAGATTGACCGTTGTCAAGAAAATAGATGCAGCATCGCTCCCTACCGCCACTGTAAACTGTGTCCTCGTCGCTGGGGTTGTGGTTCTTGCATTCTTGGGCCGGTTGACTTTGGGGCTTCCCACAGCAAGGGGATTACCCAGTTCGACAATCTGGCGGACTAGATGTACTAGAGCCCAGTTGAGATGTAAGGAGGTATCTGCGAGATAAGCCTGAATGACGACTTGTTGAATGTTCCTGTCCGCTCCAGCAGTGACCGTCGAAGGATGTACGAAGATATTGAAGTCAAGCCCTAGCAGCGCTAAGTCACTTTGTCGGGGCCCTGGGTCCAAGACAACACCAATCTTTCCTACTAAGATTTCGGATTGCACAACCAGTCTGCTTTCAGGTCGCTCTGATGTTCGAGTAGCGGGATTTTCGAACAATGAACTCATGATCGGAACTTTGTCTCGTGCATAATCCCAACCTCTCCACTGTTCGAAAGAAGATAGTACTTGTCTTCGAGCAGGGTCCGTCAATTCCAGGTCCTCGCAACTGCATTCGTTAAAGGCGTCGTGGCGTCTCTTTTCGACGGTAGAGAAGATGTATCGTAGCCGAGAAATAATCTTCCAGGAATCAGTCAAACGGACATGCTTGTCAGCACTTCGGAGGACGTAAGAAGGTCGCATGAGGAATACTGGGTCTGACACAGACGAGCCAGCTTGGGCCAGATGGTATATGAGATGTCGTGTTTTGGGGCTTTGGTCGAGCTCTGCGAATGCAGCGGCAATGCGATCGACCATCGAGTAGGTTCTTTGTATGAGGCTGGCCATATGTACCAGTTGTTCAGCCCAAAGGACAAGATCGAAATTGCTCACTTGTAACCTGGAATTCATCTCCTCTTTCAATGATAGCCAGAAGCCAATGTTATGTAGAGCTGATTCAGCGTGGGCAGCTCCTTTCCCCGGACTGGACGCATCGTCAGTAACAGATAAAGTGAGGCTGTCAATTGAGCCGTATGCCAGATGCCCATGAGACCGAATAGCCTCCGATCGCGCGTCACCCTTTGGGTGGATAGTGCGGTACATGACTCGACTGCCAGCGAATTTGACATCATACTGATCTTCGGAAGGTGGACCAAAATCTTGAACACCTGGTAAGCTGTTGACCAACCTCACGTGTACCAGTGGGACCTCTACTGCGAAATCCATGACATGGCCTTGAATTTCATGTCGCTGAATTTCCAAGATCCGCTTCACCACGGCGATTTGCAGTTTATCAAGATGGTCTATTGCGTGTTCCTCATTCAGCTCACGAATCAGCTGTCCAATAGACAGAAATAAGGCAGGGGTGCAAAAGCCGACCAAGCCACTGTCGAGCATGCAGAGAAGACCATTGTGAGGGGCGTTCTTGAATTCAGAGCTCTGCGAATCAGGGTTGTTGCTCCTTCGTGGTAATAACAACTGACCGTCTCGGGATCCGGGGGACATGTCTGGCATTTTTGTAAGATCTGGTTGCACATCGTGCAAACTGAAGTGTGGAGCAGCCCAAGGACTAGCGAAAGTCACTAATGCTGGATGCGAATCGCGATCTTGAGAACGATCTCTTCCTCCGTAGTCACCCAGGTCGTCCTCAGGACGATGAAACGGCACATCCAAACATGTTTTTGAAGGCGTTGATCCATACAGACCTCGGCCTGATAGTGGACTAGGTCGCTCGATGTTATCGTTGTTTGCACACGGTCCCTTCTTGGGGAGAGTGGAAGGGCTTGATAAAAATGAGTTTTGGCGGTGTGCAGCACGTCTGCGAGCCTTTTGTCCTGTTGTATCCGAGAAGGGTATTTGTTCGACTTTGCTAATAGGTTCGGGCATAAGCGGCAGTGGCATACTCGGCGGATCACGAGCCCATTCCGCCTTTCGGTTGTTTGGTGGATACTGTTTCTGGGACCGCAGAAGGAAGTCTGCCCGGTGAGTTCGTTGATCATGATAAAAAATATGCTGTTGCTGCAGGGCTCGAGTCTGCGAGAGATCATCTGTCTTGTCAAGCATGCCAATCCTCAAAGAGGTCTGAAAGCACGCGAATGTCTCCACAGGGGTTGACCCTCGGTCATGGGACCGAAGAGCTGATGTATGGTCTACGGCTGCAAGCAATATTCGCGGGATATTTACTCGCATCCTCTTCGCAAAGTGGGAGTCAGCCCAGTCACCAAACGAGATATCCGAGGTGGAAAGCTCCAGTAGAAAAGCAGAACCACCAGCAACCAACCATAGACGCAAACTGGCAATGTTTGCTCTGAGGAAAATCACATCGTGGACGACCGACTTTTGAAATGGTGGCAAAGAATTCTCATGATCGTCCAGGGTATAGCTGAACGCCATAATTGAGTGTAATAGTGTTTGAACGAACTTGGAAGAGCATTCGCCGGTCACTTCTCCAACGTTGAAGTCCCAGTTACAGACATAGGTCGGTTCCGTTGGGGGTGCCCCAAAGAGTCGGTGCCCGTAGACTGCGACGCCGTCAATGAACAATTGACAGTTCGTTATCTCACTGGCTGCACCCGTCTCGTGCTTAGAAATCGACTCGAGAGAGACTTCTAGCGGACTCGAGTTGACCTGCAAGTCCATGTAATAGTTCGTGAAGCGCATGTCCGCCTCCACGAGGAGGATATCCACTCGGACATTCTCCCTTTGCGAGTAGATGTGGGCGGGCATAAGCACACAAGAGCTATCTGCTCGTACAGTCAGAATAACATCGAGGTCGTTCTCTTTCTTGGTTCCGAGGCGTGAGCCGTGATCCTCGTGGCCTGCAAGCATATTTTGATACTCCTCCAATGTTCTGAAGTGCAAGTGTTCGCCAAAGTAGTTTTCTTTGACGTTCATAAAGTAGCGGATCAGGTACCCGTGCAAGAAGAATTTGGGAGCATAGCCCGTGATCGTCATGAAAAGCGAATCCGTCAAGCTCGGTGAGATGGCGGAGTAGTAGTTGTAAGAGCCTTCGAGGTTAAGCTGTTTCAAGGTGGCCATTGTCGAATCCTCAGCCAGAGTATCTAAGGTGTTCCAGACGGGGGTGATCAACTCTAAAGAGGCGTTATGACCTTCGGCAAGAAACGTGACGCTGCTCTGGCGGGGAGAGAAGTACTGCAAGGGGACATCAACATCGCCATTCAGCTGTTGGAATCCAAGCACGAGAAATGCATTTTCTTCCAGGTCACAAGGGCTATCGATGATATTGTAATCGTTCGCGTTGAGATAGAGTTTCAGGTCTGGGAAACGCAAATGCAATCGATAGATGAAAGGTACAAAGGTCATGTAATCAGGCTTTTGTCCAGCGGTGAAGTCGCCTATCAGATCGGTCAGTAAGAACATGTGGTCTCTGAGAAGGAACATCTCCATAGCGTTAGTCTCGACGTCGAAGGTCCAGGTATGAAGACTGTTCCACACTAAAGGGTTGGACAGGTCGCATGAGACTTTTTGCGATCGACAACGCCAAAGCAAGGCGTGGTTCACACTGGAGGTGGCTGTGGTATCCCGGAGGTCGAGACGCAGTTGATTTCTGTAACCCTCTTGGCGCGCAACCATGTCCATCTCGTAGCGCACCGTCGAATCTTGCCCAGCTGATACAGATAGCCAGCCAAAAGGCCGCACGTCAGGGCCAAGCTTGGTCTTCTGTGATCGGCGGAAGCGAAAGTGCCTTTTCTCTCTTTGTTTTCGTAGAGCGGCTGCCTCCTTTACAGTATGGGCTCGTCCTCTCCACTGCCAGTCCTTGGATCGCTCCCTGGTCGGCACACGAAGGGTAACTTCATCCTCGAGGTCAACGCGGATCAACATCACCGTGCTGACTCGCGATTCACCGATCTGTAGTGGAGATGCCGGAGTGGCAGACCGGTATGAGTTTGGAAGGAATGCAGTCTGAATTTCGGCGCGAAGACGATCTGCCCACGGACCGTAATTGACCTGGCCACCTTTGACGGCCAAATCGAGACCGTATGCAGGAGGGCTAGACAGGTTGACCGGGTCGAAATCCGGCGTTACCAGTAGGTTCGAGTTTTGTTCCGTGACCTTTCCTGGCATATCCCAGTAAAAATTCAAGTGAACTGCGGGCGAGTCAAGAATCTGGGAGAACCTGGCGTAGTCCACATGAGACCAGCCTTCATGATCATCGCGCTCATCCTCGTCCATATAACGTCCCAGGCCGTGCCATGACCTATTGTCTTCCTGAAAGTCGTCGTACATATAGTGCATCTTTCTTTCAGCCGTCTGAGAAGCTGTGGTTCTTATAGATCCTTTCGAACTGCCGAGACCGGGAAGAAGGCGTTTAAGGCCATGGAACAGGCGGCCTATCCGACGAGTCCAGCCAAAGTCCAAGAGCCACCAGCGACGTGGCCGTCTCAGGGACTCTGCTGCAGAGACAACCCTTTCCGCAGCGGCGAGCTGAGACCGACGGTAGTTGGGATTGGGTCTCATCTCGACTTTGGGGTGATCAATGTCGAAATCGAACACTTGTCGAAATATGTCCGACGGCCCCGCAGCTGCCGCATCAATGTGACCTTTGGCAGTTGCAAAGGTCGAGACAACGAGTGCTCTCGTGTGTTCATTTCCAAGGGTGATTGCACCTTTGGAGCATTCAACAGCGATCGGGAGCATTCGGATGAGAAGTGAGTGGAAGGAGGAAATATGGGCTGCACATTCGTCTGGGTTTGAGGCAACGGTGGTGAACGTGTCGACCCGTTCTATCGGAACCCGGTCGTCACATGGTTCAACGACTCGATCAATCTTTTCCGTGGACAACCTGGTCTCGGAAGTATCGCTGGCAGAGGCAACCTTTGACCATAGACTCGTCCTTCCTCTGCGGTGGTGAAGCTTCCCATGTCTGCTTTCGGGCTCGTGGCCAGTCGCATGGGTCTCGGAGCAGGTCTCCTCTTCGCCTTGCACCCCCGACGCGTCCTTCAGGATGTCTTCGTAAACCGGTGTGCGGTTATATACGAACCACTCCAAGCCGGACATGTTGATTGCGACGCGGGCTTCCGATGTATCGGCTTGTTTCGCCCTCCCCAGCTCTTGGTCTCCCATTGACTGCTTGGACGGGAGAGAGCCATCCGCCGTCGACTCTTTCCCCTCCGTCTCCCAGCTAGCTTGCTCATCGAAGGCCGTGAGATCGACTTGACGTGTGGTTCGGAGCCAGTACCTCCAAGTGATGTAGCCATTCTGGATCAAAACAGTCTCGTTCTCGCCATGATAGCGGATACCTTTGAAGAAGATTCTACCCGCTAGAAAGGACAGTTGCAAAGCCTGAATATCGATCCAGACCCGGTACTTATGCCACGTAAAGGCTCGGAGACCGTACGAGACGATGGTCGCAAAGAGACGGTTGAAGTAGAAGAGGAAGAACAGGGCGAGACAGGAACAGGTGGCGAGTTCGACGAACCATGTCCTTGGAGATGTCAGCGTACAGGCGCAAGGGGGAAGCCGTGGTTCTATTACCAATTGAAAGAAGTGTCCTTCGAGATAGGGCGTCCAACAAGGTCAGCCAGGTCGGACATGATGATCGGGCTGGGCGAGGTGCAAGGCCTGCTTCATGACTGCACGAAGAGCCTGGACGGGAAGACCACAAGCAATGCCCACAGAATGCGCCCACAGCACGGGGAGAGGCTGTTCACCGTTCTACATTAGGTGAAGTAGTTGGCCGCAGAGAGCGAAGCAGGTGAAGACTGGATACGAAGTTCAATTAGTGGACAAAAACACCAGCACAGAGTCGGTGCATGCTCCGTACTCCGTATGTAGTGTAATTCCCCGCAGGCTTCCACTTGATCGGCGTCATTTTCTAGATCGCGTTCGATGTCCACATCCACGCTACTCTCATGTGCCACGGTCCCTTGTTTCCCACTGCCGCCAGCCTGCAAACCCTGCCACTCCAGACTCTTTCGTCCATGGCCTGATTGCTACGACAATGTCCACAAGCCCTCACTACGGCTGTCCGTAGCTTCCACAGCTACACCATCCTCGATGGCTAGTCCAACAGCCTGGACATCTGACGCCATGATGGACACGACCAGTAGTGGCGGAACAGGCAACAGACTTACCAGGGTGACCATCATTCTTGCGGGAGTTGCTTCGCTGGTTGCTACTTTGCTCTCGCTGCTGTACGTGTCTCTATCGAGCGGGCTCGATGGCTACTGACAGGATGATAGGTCAATATGGCTCCAGGCGAAGAACTACAGAAAGCCTTTGCTCCAACGATACGTTATTCGGATCCTCCTTATGGTCCCTATCTACTCGGCCGCCTCCTGGGCTTCGATCGTGTCGTTGAAGGCCGCATTCTACCTCGACCCCCTGCGGGATATCTATGAAGCATTCACTATATACACCTTCCTACAACTACTCGTCAACTTTCTCGGCGGCGAGCGAGCGCTGATCATAATGATGCATGGAAGGCCGCCCGTGTCGCATCCATGGCCGATTAACCTCTACTTCTCCAAAGTCGACATATCCGATCCGCACACGTTCCTTGCCATCAAGAGGGGCATTCTGCAATATACATGGCTCAAGCCCATTCTCAGTGTAGCCACCATCATTCTGAAGCTCACTGGCACATACCAAGAAGGGTATATCGGGCTGAACTCGGGCTACCTGTGGGTAGGCATTGTGTACAATCTCAGCGTGACTGTGAGCTTGTACTCTTTGGCCATGTTCTGGGTCTGTATGCACGAGGATCTGAAGCCCTTTCGGCCAATGCCAAAATTCCTGTGCATCAAGCTTATCATCTTTGCTTCCTATTGGCAAGGTTTCTTCCTTTCCATTCTACAATTCTTGGGGGCCATCCCCAGCGACGTACCAGGATACACAGCGGACAACCTGGCCGCTGCTATTCAGGACGCATTGATCTGTTTTGAACTGCCGATCTTTGCCGTTGCCCATTGGTACGCTTTCTCATGGCACGATTATGCCGACGTCACGATTTCTGCAGCACGTATGCCCGTCAAGTATGCGCTGCGGGATGCATTTGGCGTCCGAGATTTGATCGAAGACACGAAAGAGACATTTCGAGGCAAGCAGTACGATTACAGAACCTTTGATTCGAGCAACAACGTCATTGCGCACGAGGAATCCCATTCCCGTGTCGCCAGGATGATGGATGGCATGAGATACGAAAGAGGAGGAAAGGGAAAGTATTGGATACCGAAGCCCCAAGCCGCCAACAGCCGAACGCCATTGCTATCGAAAGATGGCTCGTCAAGACCTCCTGCCCCCGAAGCAAGGGGCCACGCCCACGACTACCGAGCGACTGATCCTGACTGGGAGATTGGACTAGACCCAGAAGACGAGAGACTGTACAGCAACGCTCGAGCATTGGAGTTTGGCGATTGGAACGTAGGTGGTTTCCTTCCTTTAATCAACCCCATGGCCGTCAGCTGACCACCTTCTGTTCACAGTACCCAGTGATTACAGCGCACGAAGCTCGACGTGAAGACTGGCTACACCGGGATCCCCACCTTCTCACGACCTCGACTAACCGCAATCTCTTCCAACCTACACGGGACCACAGGACCCGACGGCGCAGCGAAATCCACCACAACATCCAGAAGGGCAAGAACCGCAGCACCTCTCCCTCTGTACGCTCAAACTCGGTCGACCCACCTCCCGCCCCGGGCGCCATCGAAACAAAGCTCAAGCGGGAGCATTCGCCTGCTGGCTCAGGGAAGTCCGACCAAAGCCAGCTTGTCGACCTCATTGTTGAAGACACCGAGGCAGAAGAAGCAGAGCGTGTGCGTGCAAGGAAAGAAGGGAGCGACGCTTGGAATCGCGGCCAGCACCGGCACTTTGTGCGCACATATAGTATTGACGCTGAAGCGCCCGAAGGCCAGGAGATTCGACAGGGCTGGGACCCCGCCGACATCCCCGCGAAGCAGCCGCCGCCGGAACACGCGGTGAGCGACGACCAGGAGAATTACGACGACAGCGATGCTGGGTCCAAGCACGGTCAGTCGTCTAGTCAGAATAGTGCAAACGGAAGGTACGGGAGTTTGATCGAAGAAGACAATGTCTGGGATCGAACGTGAAAGCCAAAGCGTGTGCTTTTTCTTCTTTTGCCATCAGCAGGGTTATGATCGATGCATCCAACATACGGTCCGGCCATGGAGGCTCTGGTCACCATTGTATCCATATGAGGGGGAAGGAAGGCTGGGTTCCGGCGTCTAGTAATCAAGAAAACATCTTTGCGTTCCTGGCAATGAGAGCGTTCAAGCGAGTAATCAAACACACCAGCCACTACTAGGTGCCTACCAGCCATGCAGTCACATTTCTCACTCATAATATGATATGTTTATAGATTCAGTTCATGAGGGGCAGCTGATGATACACAGTACGAGTAGAGATTACCTTGGTTTGGCGCATGACTCTATGACTCTATACAACGCATTCATTCGTCCCGGGCGATGCGATTGGAAAGTGAAGACGATTGAACATTGTTGACGTCTATGCATGCAGATTGCCCCGTCTATCGTAAGCATCTCTATCGTAGCACGAGTCTATCCTTGCCACTCCTGCAGTAGGTATCTAGGTACTAGGTAAGGCAGTGGTGTCCGGAAAAGACTCGCAGAATCACCCTCGTACCGACTATTCAAATCGTGACGTGACGCGTTCCGTTTTGTGATCCTCAACTCCGAACTCATCCTCGTTCTGTGCCTATGCGCCACTGTCCGATATGCTTTGAACAAAAGAAAAACGTTGAATCACGCAGACGGGATGTTGCCCTCGTCGCCTGGTGTCTAGTCGTCTTCATCGGAGAAGACCTCCTCGCCCCTCTTGCGGCGGGCCATTCTGTCCTTCTTCTTCTTTCTCAGCTCAGAAGAAGTCAGCTTCTTCGCTTTCTTGTTGCCTTCAATCTTGTTGCCCATGGCATCGAACTTTTCCTCCTCATCGTCCTTTTCGGTCAGACGAGGACCACTGCCCTGGCCTTGAACCCAGTTGTGACCTGCGACATCATGTTAGCACTGTACCGAAACAATATCAGGAACTTCGAAACTCACCTGAAGGAGTCATCTTTCCGTTCAAAACGGACCACACTTCACTCGTCAAGCTCTCCGTAAACTCGGCGTTGTGGGAGATGATGACAACACCACCCTCGAATGCCTTGAGAGCCTTGGAGAGGGCGCCCAGCGAATCACGGTCAAGATAGTTGGTGGGCTCGTCGAGCACGATCAAGTGAGGGCGTTGCCATGTGCATGCAGCGAGCACAACCTTGACACGCTGACCGCCAGAGAGACCGCGCATGCGAGAGTGAGAAACCAGTTCGGCATCGAGACCGAAGTTGGCACAGTGCACCTCGATTTCACGTCGAATCAAGGGTCGGAATTGACCGCTGGCCAAAGCCTCCTTCTGATCGACTTCAGCGACCATTTTCTGATGGGAAGCAAGGATCTCGGATCGAGGAATCCAGACGTTATCGGCAGTCATCATGGGAGTCCACTTCTCGTTCTTCTGACCGACATTTTCACCCAGAGCAAAGGAGCACTCGTACTCGTACGAGTTCTTGAACTTTCTACGGGAGTGGATGCCAATAACACGACGTTGAGTGCCTTCGATCTTGTAGATCTTGTCCATGGCTTTCTCGTCATCTTCGGTGACAATCTTGTTTGCACGGTCCATAGTCTCACGGTCCTCACCGGTCTGGAATCGCCACTGAATGTATTCAGATGGAGTCTTGTCGAGGTGGTTATCGATGTGAGCGAAAGCGTGTTGCTTGATGTAGGCGATACGGATGTTCTCGTGCTGGTAGACTTCACCAGAGGTAGGGATAAGTTCACCAGTGAGAACGTTGACAAGCGTGGACTTGCCAGCACCATTGGGGCCAATGACGGCAATTCGAGAACCGAGGGAAACCTGGAACGTGATGTCTGAGATCTGAGGCTTCTCGGTGCCTGGGTATTGGAAGGCCATCTTGCTGACTCGAACAATAGCCTTGGCCTTGGTCTTGACACCTTCGAGGAAACCGGGCTCAGGGAATTTGAATTCCAGCTCAGAGGCACCGAGCTCGAAGTAAGAACGGGCAGATGGCACGCGCCTGGCGAACTCGGTCAGGTTACCACGGTATCTGCGCAGCTTGAAGCGCTCATAGTGAATGACGTGCTGAATGACGTTGTTCAAGAACTTGGAGTCGTGGGAAACAATAATGGACGTGCAAGGTGAGTTGATCAGGTATTGCTCCAGCCAAGCCACGTTCTTGACATCCAGATGGTTGGTAGGCTCGTCGAGCAGCAGGATATCAGGTTCCTCGAAGACCGCACGGGCCAAAGCGAGCTTCATCTTCCAACCACCGGAGAGAGACGTGATCGGGGATTCCAGCTGGGACTGGAGGAAGCCGAATTCAAGGAGCTTGGCTTCGATTTCAGAATAAGGGGTGTCAATGTTAACCTGTCTCAACTTCATCTCGGTCCAGCCGATGACGGAGAGCTCAGTGTCGGCGGCGTCAAGATCGTGCTCAACAAAGACAGTCTTAACCTCGTTTTTCTTGGGGAAGCCCTCGACCTGCTCGTTGTTGATGGCGCGCATCAAAGTAGACTTGCCAGAACCGTTGGGACCCAACAAACCGTAGCGCTGACCACGCTTCAAACGGAGATGGGTCTGGTTGAGCAAAATCTTAGCACCGTAGGCCAAGTTGAACGTGCAGTTGCAGAGATCCTCGCCCTCTTCCTCATCGGCCTCTTCCTCGACCTCTTCCTCGGCGCCGGGGGAGGCGCGTTTCCGAAGTTGCTCAGCAACAGATTGTGCATTAGCCTCGCCGACGATAGTCTTGAGGTATTCGACGGTGTTGGAAACCCAGTCGGCAGTGTCGGTGACCTTCTCGTCGACAAGTTGACCTGCAATAGCAGAAACGTACTCGATGACGGGCTCGGACTTTGAGCTAGTGCCCTTGTGGCTCTGGTCAAGAAGAGACTTCAGGATGGCTGAGACGGTGGAAATTTCGCCAGCAGTAGAAACTTGGGGGGCGGTGCCGTCCTCTTTGACTGCACCGACACGCTTGAGGGTTTCCAGACCTTGCTTGGTCTTCTCACGAGCCTCGGGATCAGCCACGTTCTCGAAGTTCTTGGTCAGAGCAGGCATCAGCTTGGGCAAGAAAGCGGCGACAATCTGAGGATCCTCGACCAGCTTGCACATGTTGTCGACGATGACGGCAGACTTTCGCTTGATGGCAGTCTCACGCTCGGCCAAACCACGCTCAAGCAGAGGGACCATGATGGCCAGAGTGGGCTCATGGACGTCGGTGACGAAAGTGGTGGCACCGAGCAAGTGAATAGTCTCGGGGACGTTCTCGGGCTTAGCGATACACTTGATAAGCTCGGGAATGAATCTCTCGATATCCTTGTTTTCAATCAACTTGCAGACTTTTTCCATTGTGCCATATGCCTTCTTCTTGATTTCGGGCTTGGTGTCCCACATCGACTCAGAGATGATGGGAATGAGCGTAGGGACCAGGAAAGAGAGCTGGGTCGGAGCAGTTTCGACGAGGGCCTCGATGCAGTCGAGACCGGTCATCTTTTCGGGCCATTTCTGGGCGGTAATGATCGAGTTTCGAATGTGGGGGAGGGCGGCCTTGACGGCGTTGGGGTTGATGGCTTTGACAATGGCAAGAGATGCGGCCTGCGCAACGTTCTTGACAGAAACCATCTTGTCACCAACCGCAGCCAGAGTCAGCGGGAGGAGGCTGACTAGGTAGGGCTCAAAACAGGGGGAAATGCTGGAGTGCTCGGCGATAGCCTTGATGCCATCGACGGCACGCTCTCTAACAAGAGCATCTTTCTTGTTGGCCAGTTGCTTCTTGAAAGTTTCGACAGCCTTGAGAGGCACTGCGTGCTCTTCGATGGGGCCGTTCAAGAGGGTGGCAATGTTGATGGCGGCTGCGTTGGCCTCATCTTGGGCCTTTGAAATGGACAATTTTTGTAGCAGTTGCTCGAGGGTGGCGACAGAGTGCTTCGTCTCCTTTTTTGAGGTCTCGGGAGTGGAAGTCATCGTGTCGACAGCGGGCATTATGCAGGGAAAGTTTCGATTGGCGATGATGCGAATGTGTGTTGAGGGAGAATTGATTTCAATCTGACTTGACTTCTGGCGGGAATAAGTCAGGAATGTCAGCGAAACGGCGGTCTAGCGGACGGTGAGAAAAGGGGTGCCGACGGACTGCGCTGTTGACGCAGGTCTCGCTCTAGATGGCGTCTAAAGACAAGGGACAAGAAATGCAAACACTCTATGAAGAGAGATGCAGGGAGGGAGTAGAGAGGGGGTGGATGAGAGTGAAACAGAGGGGAAAGGTGCAGAGGGCGAGGGCCATGGTATTTATTAAATTTTTCGATTCCCTTCGCCAACCCCGAAAAGATTTTTTGTTAGCGCCCCCATCATTCTTTCTTCCACTTCCACCGCCGCCGCCTCAGCCGGGAGCCAGGCAACGCACCCAGCGCACCCAGCGCACCCAACCCAGAGCCCAGATTTTCTCCCGCCACTCACCTGCGAGGCGAGTCTCTCAAACCGTCGCTGTCGCTGTCGCGGTCGCCTCAACCGCCAATCATCAAACTGTCACTCACCGAATCCCTTGTCGATCCTTGCGTCCCTTCTACAGTACGGATAGTGTCTCGATGCGTCCAGAGGGCCCAGAACCCCAGGACACAGATTACCAGTCCGAGAGTCGCTGTCCGGACTGCCTTACGAGCTACAAGTGAGCGACGGGTCCAAATCTGCCTGCGCATCTGTCCATCCGCCACCCCCCAACTTCGACCGTTCGCCTATGCACTGCGGTCCTAAAATCATTGGGCCCCTGTCATTATTATTGGTGTAACAGCCATCAGGATGAACGGAACAGGGCTTAGGGGCTTCTATGCTTTAAACTACGCTTACGCCCACCACGTCAGATCTGGCGTTCTCGCCAGTCTGTATTACTCCTGCTCTGTAGTGCGTACGTCGTAGCACAACTCTAGACGATAAGAGTCCAGGGACATACACCTACCTATCGCCCACAAGAAAAGGAGGATGTTTGATCAGCCCCGACTCCGCCTGTTTCGAACATCTTCAGGCTGACAGACAGCTTAAGCACCGCCCAACGTTCTTCATACTTCACTGGAACAGCTATCTAAAGCGAACGGACGCTCCTCTTTCCCCCGAGTGCCATTGTGTATGGGGGAAGATAGCTGCCTGAAAAAAGAACTACCCGCCACTATCGATAGGGGCCGTTTGGAATTCCTGATAAGCAGATCACTCTGGTACGGAGTAGGGAGTATCCGTGCACTCCGAGCTCTAAGTTTGACAACTTAGCCGAAAACAGCGGTCGTGGGCGCCGCTTTTGGCCTCCTCTGCACCCGTGTACGTAGCCCGTGGTTTTATCGTCGTAATATTAATATTTTTTCTCTATACGGAGTACACCTCCGCTTACCCTCGTACTGTGCTAGCGTTAATAGCTCATACCGTCGGTATTTATCTAGGCCGCCTCTATAGAGCGTATACTGACTTAAGAAGTTAAGAAGATATTAAATACTCTCACACTGCCCGAGGAACAGTGTTTGGTTCATGGCTCGCTTATATTAACATTCGTCCTTATCCCTTCATCCTACAAGCCCGCCCTGGGTAGGTTCTAAGTTTTAACTAGGTCGATGTCAAACCTGATTAACTCAATATAATAGCCCATCCTCCATACTGGCGACGTGCTTCCCCATCCGATGACTTCACGGATGAGAAGGTCTGATTGCCTGGTAGGCGCGGAGGTAGCCCGGGCGTGATAGTGATAGTCTCACGCGAAGAAAAGGGTCTAGACTCGACCATTGAAGAGAGAATCGAGATGGAGCCATGTTCCAGTGATATAAAGATGATCTCAGACTATCAGTAGCTCCTGAAAAAAGGCAGTTAGCCCAGCGCCGTCCACAATACACTTTAGTGATGAAGGACCCCTCTACTTATAGCTCTCGATATGCTGTAGTTTATCAAATCCATTCTTTGTAGTCTCCCGACTTAAACTCTTTCTCTTCTCCCCGGTCTATCTACATTTGATGCAGCTGAGCTTGGAAGGCTGCTTCGATTCCAACTTCCGTTTTCTAATCAACCTGTCAGCCATACTCTACATTTGTAGTGGAGGGAAAAGGAGAGGGGGTCGGTCTACTGACCGGTCCGTGATAGGTTTTGCGGCCCTTGAACATCCAGTAGAGGCCTGCGAATAGTACGACAGCCCCTATAATCACCGAGCTATAATCTGGAGATCCACATTAGTCCATGGTTTCCTGAACACAAGAGACGGGCGTGAACTCACTCATGTTGTCTGCGGCAACTGGCATTGTAAAAGGGAAATCGAAGAACACGACCATAAAGGTGATCCACAACAAAGCAATCCCATTAATAATAGGACCTAGAACATTGCCGAGTGGGAATTGCGACGGCTTGAGATGCTTCCGGCGGCCCAACAGAAGCAGTGCGATTGGGAACGCGAATGATATATTGGCGAGGAGGACGTTACATCCCACCAAAGCATTAAACGCAGTCGAACTCCCCAGGTATACAAACCCCAGGACGGCAATGATTGCCCAGCACAGAATGGCAGCATTCCTAGGCATCTTGTGGCGGGGATGAATAGACTGCAACCTGCAAGTTTGAAACAAATCAGCCTGAGATGCGACCAAGTAGAGAGGGACCTAAAGATCGCCATTCAAATAGGATCAGCGTACCGGTCACTATAGGGCAATGCACCGTCTCGAGCAAAGGCCCAGACCAAGCGGTTCGCCGTTTGTTGTGATGCGACGGTGGCGGCGCAGGTAAGATAAAACAAGATGCACAGAAGGAAGATGGATGCGGCCTTGCTTCTCGTAGCTTGATAGAAGATCTCTAGGATAGGTACTCCTGTTGGAGTTGCAAGCACGCTGTCCAGATCGATGATGCAGAAGCTTATTGCGATGGTTGTGACGATCATGGTGCAGAAGCCCAGGCAAACAGTACTGATGAGGACGAATGGCAGGTTCCGTCGAGCATCTAAGTAGGCGGATGGGTCAAACATTTGATTGAGCTGGATCTTGGGTCAGCATCAATCTCACCTTGTAGTTCCTCAGCAACGTGCACGGCACCATCCAGCCCGCCGTATGCAAAGGCAGGATTTGTCAGGCCGACAATGAACGCAATCCCACCGGACTTCCAGCCGGTGCCGTTGGTGAAGGTCTTGAAGACAAAGTCGGTCGAGTTCTTGGGAAAGGCCGATCCAATCATGGTCATGTTGACCAGTAAGAAGGCTACCAAGCAGACGTAGAAGCCGACACGATGTACAATGGGTAGGACTTTCCGTCCATAGATATTGAGGAGCATGAAGAGGAGACTGAAACCTTCGTAGATGATGAAACCCTGCCATCGATGGTATGTGACACCAGGGTTGGCCAGGATGATCATCGCCATAAGGAACTGGCCCAGCATGACGGTGATGGAAGCAGAGACGACACACCATCCGATCGAGTTGAAGTAGCCACAGTACCAGCTGAGAATCGGAGCCCACTTCTTAGGCGCAAGCTCAGCAGTCCACTAAGGACCAGATCAGTCAACAAGTAGTAGCGATCGAGGGTCGCGATACCTGGAACGTACATGGTATTGTCCTCCTGAGGTTGGATATGAACTGCTCAGTTCGGCCAGAGAGAGCGCCACTGCCATGGTGAATACGGTCACCCCGATCGAGCCATAGATTAGCATGACCTGGAATTAACATTAGCACTTCTCTGAGGGCCACGGCAGTCCACCAGTATCGTAGTGTCATGTATGGCGCAGGCGATTGGGAAACTCACAGTACCACCACTGTTGATCCCTGTGGCAAGCGACCCAATGATTCCACACCATGAATCGACAATCATGAAGGACATGGCTAACAGGGCGAAACGACTGTAGTTTCGTTCAAGGACGGGCTTGTGGCCAGTGAGTCGGACCAGATCGATATCATCGTGAGCGATGTTCTTCGTTGAGCCAGGTTCGATGTCACTCATGCTGACCCGAGGAGAGGTCCGCGCATCTTTTCGCTGCTCTTCCATGGCAGACGTAATTCTTGAATGATGACTTGGGGCTCCGATTCACGTTCTTCAAATAAATCGTAATACTGGACTTTCGGAGTAGCTGAACGAATATTCCAGGGTATCGATTGATATATCTAGCCTGTACCATCTTTAGCTCCTTCTCTATTCTTTTGTAGAGTGCACTTTAAGCGGCTCTCCAGAGTGCATAGAGACACTCTGATCCCCGATATCAAGATCTAACCCCATAGAAAGGATTGGATTCGGCGGACCCGTGCAATACCGACTCCTATTTCGGGGCCGCCGAACAAGTACTCCAAGCTCATTCTAGTCAAGGGAACGAGGCTGTGGCCTTATTGGTTCGCGATCTCATCAAGGCCGAACTGACCATTGCTTGCACACGCGACAGGCGTCGGTGTTATCGTCTATACGAAGAACCCCTACTGTATTAGCAAAGATAGGGACGATTTTGTTCCCCCGTTACTCTTCCTGACTCCTTATCCTCATGCATTTACGGCACATAACTGGAACCCCAGACACGTATCAGACTCTATCAGCAAGGTGTCCGATGTCCGGAGGGAAGTGACCAGCGGTATAATAGAGTTTAGAATCCCTAGAGCTTCATGTCTACGGTTATTCGACCGGAAAATTTATGGAAGAAAATTCGAGGTACAAAATATCCCGGATTGAGACAGGGAAGATAAACCATAACCCAGGGCTCCGAAAGAACGATTCAGCTTTCTGATGGCCAGAGGACATCACCAATACTCTTAGACATACACTAGACCAGCCACTAGGTGTCTGGAAACCAGTCGATAAGCTAGGTATCTGAACTTCTATCATCCATGAGAGATGTGTACTCCTCCACAACTGTACCTTCAGCTTTCACGCACTTTGCTTGACGGAATCGTCTCGTTTTGGCTCTTCGTTACCTTCACCAACCGGAATCCCATCGATTTCCCCAGGGTACGTGTCGTCAAGATTGAGATCCTTTCGCACATGGATCGGCACAATCACACTGTTCTCGCTCAAGTAATTTGTGTCCTTCATGCATTTCCAAGTCACGAAATACAGAATGGGCCAACACAATGTCGCCAACGCGAAGAACGCAGCATTTTCATTTTCGTATGGCTGGCTGGTTGCGTCAACTCCAAATGAGACCGCGGTTCCTGCACTCATCACTGATAGGCGAACAGGGTCAGCTTCTGGTCTTGCAACGGTTCCTGGGGTGTTTTACCTCCGACAAACAGGCCGCTCATGGCTGCAGACCTCCTTGGTTCGTTTGTCAAGCCACCGAGAACGTAGATGACAAGATTCTGGAAGATTCCGTACTGTGCAGCGTACAACATGTAGATCACCACGGCTCCAGCATATGCTTTATCTCGGACATCGATCGAAGGTCCCGGCACAGATCTGTCAAATTTCCAGCTGCTCAACCAAATGGTCTGTGCAATATAAGCGCCGGTAATCCAGACGGCGTCGATAGTAATGCCAATAAAGGCACGTACTTTTCGTGTCCCGAGCTTTTCGCGATCTAGAACGAGACCCATGCCGATGGTGACCGGAATTTGAATCAGATTGTTCAATAGACTATTGAGAGTCCTGGTGCGGAGATTGAATGCGTAGGCATTGATCGACGCTTGTAATGGAAAGAAAACCTCCGGTGCAAACATTGTTGGAATGAGGAGGAGAACTCGCCAATCTGTGCAAGCTGCCTTTGTTTCGAGCATAGCGTCCTTCAGTGACATCTTCTTAAATATGGCAATTGCTGTGCCGTCCGCACGAATCAGCTTCTCCGGGGGTAGCATAAGCAATGCAAATATAATGGACGAGGCTTGGATAACAATGAAGGTGATGTAGACTGAGCGAGGGACCCCGGCAGATGTCGCATTCCAGTTGATACCTAATGCAATGCACGCTCCCACTGCAGCTCCCGAAACATTAGCCGTCCATTGTATGGCCCTCCATGTTCCTTTCTCTTTCTCCTCGGCCAGTGTGTTAGCCATCCAGGCAGCCGTCGTCCACAGGCACCCGGCACACAAACCAAGGTATGCTCCAGCGAAAATCGGATACCAAAGATGTCCAAATGCGTCAAAGTACCACATGGCTCCGATGTAGACGGGATAACCAGTGACGGCGAATGCGACGGAGGCACGAGGACCGAACAGGTTGAGTATAGGTCCCGCTCCGATGGCGCTGAAGAAGAAGACGCCATAGAGAACACCGTTACTGGTGTCAGCCATTGAGACGGAAGATGGGCGTCCACCACCTGCTCCGAGGAGGGTAACTGCCAGATACAAGCCGGGGTTGCAGAACAAACATGCTGAAATGAGTAAGTTTTGAATGAAAGGATTATTTCGGCGAACGAATTTCAAGTTAAGATCTGCCATGATGAAGCGTGTGTCAATGTGGCATCGATTGTGGTATGATCGAGCTTTGTGAGATTTCCTAAATATATATAGGTATACTGTTTGGTAAGTCGTCGCCTCTTGTCTATCACAGACTTCCGATCTCGTCTCCCCAACCCCTAGATAAGAGCAGCCTTATGTTGGCTGCGCCGCTGTGAAAAGAATCGCTTATCAATGGCCGAGGGGCCTTCGGCGCCACCGAAAAAGTTACAGGCTTCAATACTTATCTTGGGCTTGAAAAAACCCCTGAGGCCATGATTAAGCATCCAGAACTCGACGGGTCATATTTCGGCACAGGCGGTCTTGCTTGCTGGAATTTTCGGCGCCGACTGGCATGTTCCTGCTCGAATATTCGTAACTCGGCCTGTGAAACTGGTTCCTACCCTTACCTAAAGCCCGATGGCTGCTTTGGAAATTGATTTCTGTAGATAAAGTAGATTCTCATCTCCCTTGGGCAGCGACGAATATAGTCCTTTCAATTGAGCACGATCCGGACGAGGCCATACATGACCATGTCGCGAGATAAATTGACGCAGGATGATCTTGCAGTCTTGGCTGTTCGAAGCATTGTGGCAGACATGTGCATGCAGCACGGAGGTGGCCATGGTGGCTCTGCTCTTGGGATGGCCGCTATAGGTGTTGCTTTATGGAAATACATTCTACGCTTCAACCCAGCCGATCCCGATTGGTTTGATCGTGACCGCTTTGTGCTGTCAAACGGTAAGTCCGCGAAGGAAAGCGAAGAGCATTGCACAAAGACTAATGCGAGTATACAAAACCCAGGGCATGCAAGCTCTTTCTTGTATACAATGCTACACTTGACAGGCTACGAAGCTTGGGATACCGATCAGCTAAGAGGGTATACACATCCAAAAGAGAATGGCTATCATACCCTTGCACACGGCCATCCAGAGAGAGAGGCCCCTGGTGTCGAGGTGACTACAGGTCCACTCGGGCAGGGAATCGCGAATGCTGTCGGGTTAGCCATTGCCTCGAAGAATCTGGCCGCCACTTTCAACGATGGCAAAGACAGTCTCATCCAGTCCCGGATCTATTGCATGGCGGGAGACGGTTGCCTGATGGAAGGCGTTGCGCTCGAAGGTATGTAGAGTATTTCTGTCACCGAGTTTTATTTGATTAATGCTCTTCGCAGCCCTCTCACTGGCTGGCCAGTTACAATTGGACAATCTTGTTCTTATCTATGACAATAACCAAGTCACCTGCGACGGTCCCCTGGATTGGATCAACGTTGAAAACACCAATGATAAGATCCGTGCTTGTGGGTGGGAAGTCATCGACGTTGAGGACGGGACATACGATGTACAAGCTATTGTTAGTGCGTTCAGAAGAGCTACTCTTGTACGGCAGCGGCCAGTGATGATCAACGTTCGAACTGTCATAGGAGCCGATACTCAGTCAGCCGGTACCTATAAAGCGCATCATGGATTGATCGACTCTGAGAGTCTTATGCGGATGAAGACTATACTCCAATCGAGCTCCGAGGTCTTTTCTGTTCCGTCAGCTGTCTCCGAGTACTTTCAACCGCTGAGAGAGCAAGGTATCGTGTTACAAAACGAGTGGACAGCAAGACTTGAGCAATACGAGGCGAGGTGCCCGCAAAAGGCGGAAGCGCTCCGGCAACGCATGAATGGTGGCTTGCAAGATGGTTTCGACATGCTGAACAGTTTGTCGAGCTCAGAATTCACTGGCAAGGCAACCAGAGAAGTCAACGGCATCATCATCCGCCATCTCTCGAGGTCTCTACCTCGAATGTTCGTTGGTGGGGCCGACTTGATGAATTCGATGAAGATTACATACTCACAGCAGGAGGTCTTTGATGCCGTCAATCATACAGGAAATTTCATCCGTTATGGAATTCGAGAACATGCAATGGCATCGATCGCAAATGGCCTTGCAGCGTATCATCCTGGAACCTTCTTGCCAGTCACCGCAACCTTTTTCATGTTTTACCTCTACGTCGGTATTTGCGTCCTGGAGTGTTGAAGCCAGCTGACAGAGTCTATAGGCTGCACCTGGGGTACGAATGGGTGCCTTGAGCAAACTTCAAGTCCTTCATATCGCAAGTCATGATTCCTTTGCCGAAGGCCAGAATGGCCCGACGCATCAACCAGTCGAGTTAGACTCACTCTATCGTGCCATGCCAAACCTGTGGTATTTTCGGCCTTGTGATGCGTAAGTCTATCTTGAACTCTTCACAACACCTGCTGACCTGATCTAGTGAAGAGCTGATCGGTGCCTGGCAATGTGCTTTGGCAAGTCGGGAAAGCCCCTCTCTATTCTCGTTGGCACGAGATGCTGTCGGTACCATTCCTGGAACACACCGCTCCCGCGTGAAATATGGGGCTTATGTCGTTCTTGAACAACAGAATGCAGACTTAACCATCGCTAGCTGTGGTTCCAATTTACAGCATGCGGTTGAGGCTGCTCGGCTGTTATCAAGGGACCATCAAATAAGCGCGCGGGTCGTGAGCGCCCCTTGCTTGGATCTATTCGAATTGCAAGCCCCATACTACAAGGACGCGGTCTTTCCTCGAGATGGAAAACCAATTGTCAGTGCAGAAGAGTATGTTCCGACCGTCTGGGCACGCTATGCTACAGCAAGTGTCGGTATGTCATCGTATGGCTGTTCAGCGGCGAACGAAAGCAACTATGCGCGATTCTCGTTAGATGCCCGTGGCATCGCCCAGAAGATTCGAGACTACTTGACTCGTTTAGCAGGAGCGGATGCGAGATTAGCTCTCTGGCAGCAATTATGAGTCGCATGGGGACAGATGCAAAGATATCTCCGAAGAGGTTCGGATGGAAATGTTTTCCGTGACAGGGACTGTAGGATCTCGGCCCCGCCGAATAAAAAAGATCGTCGGGCTGAACAACATTATAAGCCTCGGTGTGATATTTCCCTTCCTCCTCTTTTTCGTCGGCAGTCTTAGATAACCCGACTTGCATGCTGTGTCAAGATGCTTGACCTCTTCGATCTGAACGGTCAGACGGCTCTGATCACGGGCGGAGCTCGCGGCATCGGCCAAGCTATTGCTATAGGATTGGCCGAAGCAGGAGCTGACATTATCCTGGTCCTTGTAAGACCATTAATTTGCCATGGACGCGCTGATACTGACCGTTGTCAGAGAAACACATCTCAAACTCAGACCAAGTTGGCGATTGAGGCACTGGGTCGAAGATGCTGGACTTACGAAGCCGACTTGGGCAATGCCGACGCTGTGAGCCATATCATCGCCACTGTCACGGCCCAACACAGTTTCGAGATCCTAGTCAATGTGGCCGGTATCCAACGACGCATCGCGGCACAGGACTTTCCCCAAGCGGTGTACGATGAGGTCTTGCAGGTAAATCTCGGTTCAACGTTTATCTTGTGTCGCGATACTGGCAAGTACTGGCTGCAACATGGCATCCAAGGGCGAATTGTCAACACTGCTAGTTTGTCGTCCTTTCAAGGTGGGATCAACATGGCAGCATATTCGGCCAGTAAGGGTGCCGTACTTCAACTCACAAAAGCCTTGAGTAATGAATGGGCTTCTCGAGGAATCAGGGTCAATGCGATTGCGCCGGGGTGAGTTCTTGTTTTGGGATCCGTATATGTCTTCCAAACTAACACTTGTAGATATATTGCCACTGATATGAATGTTGATACACGAACAAACCAAGACACCACATACTTCGACTCTATTACCACACGAATTCCGCAAGGACGATGGGGAACACCTGAGGAGTTCAAAGGCCCAGCAGTCTTCTTGGCCAGTCGAGCCAGCTCTTATATCACTGGGGAAACGATTGTGGTTGATGGAGGATGGATGGCTCGCTAAAAGGTCAATCTTGTAATTTGTCAGAGGTGTCATCTGTTTCCAACGCTTCCTCACATCCTTCGCAATGTTTGCTGAAACTTTCCATCGTCGACCCGGTCTCCCAGAATAAAATGATCGAGCTCTAAATATGCGATCGCTCCCAATCCTCTGAGATTATGACTGTCACCGGCTGCATTCCACCAAAAACAGCATACCCTGAAAGCATCGGTGATATCTCGATTCATCACAACCTTTTTACACGCCACTGTTCAGAACATTATCAATGACCTCTGTGACAGATACAAGCTCTTCGTCCTGGAAAGGCCTTCCGACTATTTGCAAACAGACAGGTTGAGCAGCAAAAAGCTTCGGGTCATCTTCAGGTTATCAGTCACGTCAGTCTTTTCAAGCGTTTGAAACAACTTACACATTTCATAAGTCGCTTTATCAAATGGATTGTCCAACGGCGTATATGTGAGATCCTTTGGGTCGAGCTCAGCCGCAATTCGGAATTTCTTCAAGGGCAGAGTCAAGGATGGATAATCAAGGATATTCCAGATGGAGCTATACCCCCACCAAGACGGGAAGTTGTGGGTGTAGCTAGCTGAAGGATGCACCGGTGCAATGATTGCATCAAACGGCCGGCCTCTGCTTGTTCTTGATGATGTACTCCACCAGTTAGACATTGTTGTCTTGTATTCCATCATCTCACGATTCAGGCCAAATGACTCCGCTGCAGTCAGAGGTTTGATGCCGAACACCTCGAGATGACGTTTAAGAGAAGGCAACATCTCCTCATTGCCTTCTGCGAGTCGTGCTTTCAGTTCCAAAGCACCAGTCTGGAAGTATAACTTCCACGTTGTCAAAGCCACTTTCCAGCTGTCAAGTGGAAGGTTGATCTCGATTACTTCCACAAATTAGCATGTTTTGGCCACTGAGAAATGTGCCCTCATCTTACCTTCATGCCCAGAAGCGATCAATTGCTCAGCCGTCTCTTTCAGAGCCCGTACGATGGGTGGATGCGGCATACACACGCCATCAAATTTCCACAAGGCAACTGTAAGTTTGCGTTGAGGTGGCTCAAGGTGTCTCCAAGGCATGGGCACGACAGCCGGTTCGAACTGCAGACGAGGGTATGCATTGATGATTTCGACAAACAACTTCAGATCATCGAGGCTATGGCATACCGGGCCACAAGATGTTTTGATTGATATCTGGCCACCCAAAGTCGTGCTCAGACCAGTCTTGCATATTCTATCCGCCGAGGGTTTGATCGAGTAGAGTCCATTGAACGCGGCAGGAACTCTGATTGAGCCGCCTATGTCGGAGGATGGGCAGACTGGGCTACCTCTCATAGCAACCAGTACAGCATCTCCGCCCGAAGAGCCTCCAGATACCAGTAGTCCGTTGTAAGGATTGATCGTCGTACCCCATAGCGGGCTGCTGGTTTCCAGGGCCATACCTGTCTGAGGCATTGTAGTCTGAGCAAATATTACCGCCCCGGAGTCCCGAAGCACCCTAACGATGGCAGCATCCTCTTGCGACACGATCTCGTAATTAGCAACATAGCCCAAAGTCGACGCATGCCCTCGAACGTGGTACTGATCCTGGAGAACACCGAGTCAGTCAATCTGTTGGGAGAACGACAAAGCATATGATATACCTTGATCGCCAGGGGAACACCATGCAGTGGTCCGAGAACTTTGCCAGTAGCAGCATAATGATCATCGTGAGCCTTGGCTGTAAGGAGGGCTTCATCGGGGAAGAAGGCCGTCAAACAATTTGTCTATCATTCATGTCAGCCAACATTTGCTCCCCAGCAGACCGATGTCAAACACACAAGCTGATGAGCTATAGCTGCTCTGGCACAGAAAGCCTCGGTGACCTCAACGCTAGTCAACTCTCGACGAGCGATCTTCTCCGTCAATGCAACCAGACTTTGTTCGGTGATTTCGATTTGTTTTGGAGTCAACACTCCGCAGTCTCGTGGCACATGGATGACACTCGCGGCAGGAGACTTGGGTTTGCTTGTCGGAGCAAGACGCCAGGCCGTTGGGATGGCATCCAGCACTGTGTTTTGAGCTTCTTCGGCTACTTTCGACCACTGCATCATTGCAAACCGAGCGAAGTGACCAGATCTGATGACCTGGAACTGATTCGATTCTTGTCCGGGCCAGAGGCTGTGGAACGCTTGATCCAAAGCTCCTGTACATACTTCCTGACCGATCATATATCCTGATCTTGTAGTCCGGCCGCATCTTGTCGGGTTTAGTTATGTACATGGAGTCCGTACCCACTCGGTCGGACGACCCGGTGCATTCGGCGGACCCGAGCAATAGGTCGTTTGGACGGAACCACTATACTTTGTACGCAGCAATATGCTTTGCTTGTACATATACCCAGCTCTGAAACAATGGCCATCAAGGTCTACATTCGACAGCTCTCTTTCCTTCCTATCGCAACCTTCAAAAGTCATGTCTGAGGTGATCAAGACTTTTGACCCTTCCAGCTTGGCAAGCTCACGGCCTGTCTACTCTCATGTGGGCACAGTGCAGGGCGGATCAAATCTCATCTACACAGCAGGACAGGTCGGAGTTGACCACGAGGGAAAAGCACCAGCCTCATACGAAGCACAAGTACGACAGGCATATCGAAACCTTGCAAAATGTTTGAAGACCGTCGGAGCAGAACCAAGTGATATCATCAAACTCACATATTTCATTGTGAACTATTCTCCTGCGAACAGGGCTCATGTCGAGATTATGAAGGAATTTCTACAAACCCATCGGCCAACTACGACGCTCGTGCCGGTGCCATGCCTTGCTCGAGAAGATTTACTCTTCGAAGTGGAAGCGGTAGCAGCGGTGAAAAGCACCAAAGAAAATGAGGCTAGCTCAAACTCTCGAGATTACGATGTCATCATTGTCGGGGCGGGCCTGAGTGGACTTCAGGCAGCTCGAAATATTGACAAGGCCGGACTGTCCTACGTTGTTCTCGAAGCTCGTGACCGTGTTGGGGGCAAGGTCTGTACCGTGGAGGTGTCCAAGGGTATCGTCGAGCTTGGGGCAGCCTGGACCAATGATCAAAATCAAGTGAAGATGACTCAGTTAGCCCAGGAGCTCGGGTTGGAGTTTCTGGAGCAGAACACCCGTGGTGATGTGGTCCTTCAAACAGAAAATGGAGCCACCACGAGATTTCCGTATGGAGCAGATCCAAAGGTCTCTGAGGCTCAACTGGGTGCTAGCTTCCCTTGCTGACACTTCTGCAGATTGGCGACCGCAACCGGAGAGACTTGAATCGCATCCGTGATCAGTTTGAGGTGTTATGTCAAGTACTGGACACTTTTCAACCCCAGGAATATGATGAGCTCACCGTAGAGGACTTTGTGAAGAGATTTCGACCTACTGATATAACGTTATCAACGGTTACCATATGGACTCGGGCGATGCTGGGAGTTGAGCCTTCCGAGGTCAGTGCACTCTACTTTCTAGAGTATTGTCGCAGTGGCGGCGGTCTCCTACAGCTGCGCTCGGACCGAATTGGAGGTGGGCAGCATCTTCGATGCAAGACTGGTAAGTCGAGGCCTGCGCCAGGCGTTCGCCAAGTTGACATGGAACAGGCATGAGCTCTTTTGCCAATGGTCTTGCATCAATGCTACGGCCCGGATCGATCAAGCTGAACAATCCAGTTGAGAGTATAACGCAGCATCCAAGTGGCAGAACGCACGTCACAACACGCGGTGGCCAAGAATACCGAGCTGCCAGAGTCATCGTCTCATTGCCAACTCCGTTGCTGAAGGACATCATCTTCTCACCAGCTCTGCCAGCACTGAAGCAAGAGTACAATAGCTCCGTTCGACTTGGCTACTACTCGAAGATGATTGCATTGTACTCCCGACCATGGTGGCAAGACAGTGGCCTCTGCGGGCTTTCGCAGTCATTTGTTGGTCCAGTTTCACTTACCAGAGATACCAGCAATGCGTCAGCTAGCCATTACTCATTGACTTGCTTCCTCGTAGGAGAGAGTGGGCGGAAATGGTCGCAGTTGCCCGAAGGGGAGCGTCGAAGAGCAGTGCTCGAGCAGCTTGGGACAATGTTTGGACCTATCCACAGCGACGAAGCGCAAAATCCGATTGAGCTCATCGAGCATGAATGGTCCAAAGAAGAATTCAGCAGAGGATCACCATGTCCAGTGACTATGCCGGGCACACTATCGCGGACCGGTCATGTGCTGAAGAGGCCTTTCGGTCGTATTCATTTCGTCGGGACAGAGACTGCTGACAAGTGGCGAGGTTACATGGAAGGTGCTATGTTATCAGGAGACCGGGGAGCTGCAGAAGTTGTGAAGGCTCTAGGCGCTTCCAGATCACCAAGACCGAGACTGTGATGTATGTACAGAATACCATAGGGATTCAAGCTGTGGGTTGTAGTGGCGGGAAAGCTGTAGTTATAGCTTCGGAGCTCAGGGGCCTAGGGCCTTCTGCAAGCTTCGGCACCCCTAAACCCCTAGGCCCTCTATTTTCCGCCCTCGGAGGACGGTCATACAGTACGCCCGAGGCACGTGCCTGCTCAAGCCTAAGGAGCCTATGTAAGCCCGCCAAGTGCCCGGGGGTGCCTGGTACCTTACATACCTAGGTATATGCTCACTGTTACCACCATATCACCAATCAGGCCCCCCTTGGTCTCTCTACTCCGTACGGTGTACCTACTACACGGAAACCACCACTGTTGACCACTAAGTTCGAGATACTCATCGCTCCATGACAGCGTGATGAGGATGCTTCGCTCTACCGCATCCTGACTGTCGTGCAAGGATTGCCTTCCACAACTTGTGTTCCTATGGCTTGCGACCTATGCTATCGACGCAAAGTACGATGTGACCTTGACAACGGTCCGCCATGTCTGGCGTGCCTCAACAATGGCGCCCAGTGCAGGTAGGACTCCAGCACCAACAAAGGTTGTGCAGGCTAACAACGACTCTAGTTTTCGGCTCGCCGAGGAGCAGAAGAACAGGCGACGAAGTCGTAACAAGCGGCTGCTGAGAAATGCCTCCAATCCACAAGTGGCCACGACCTCGACCTCAACCTCGATGCGCGCATCTTCAGCTGCCCGCTCCAGCACCCATGGAAGCGAACCCACCCCTCAAGATCGGCAGGAACGATCGAGCACCCGAGTAAGAGCTGGGTCGTTGCATCCGATAGTGCCAACCGAGGCCGACATGGTGGAAGACACCCTGGGAAAGACGGCGTTGACAAGGTTCTACCACTACAGCGTCAACAAATCTAACTGGGATATATTTCGAGAGCAAGGTATTACACGAATCGCGTACATTGGGGGCCCTATATCAAACTTGGCCCAGATTGTCAAGGAAGAAGCACACTTTAGTGGAAGCGAGATTTCGACTTTACATCTACCATTTCCATCCATCCGGCCATTGCTACCATGGGGCCCAGCGGCGACCATGCCCCTTGTCAAATGGCACTCTGAGTCATTTGCCAATGATCTCAGCTCTCTTCCCTCCCAAGATGTCCGGGATGACCTTGTCGATTCATTCTTCGAGAAAATCCATCCCGGATTTCCAATCGTGGATGAATACGAATTTCGGAGCGCCTATCGTGATCCTCTGAACCCGCCGCCTCTTCTACTGTTACAGTCAGTGTTGCTTGCTGGGGCCCATGTCAGTCAACACCCGAACATCGTGTCCTCCAGGGCACTCGTCAAAATGGTGCTCTTCCGAAGAGCAAAAGCCCTCTTTGATTTGCGATATGAGAACAACCGGATGCACATGATACAGGCAGCCTTGCTCTTCACATGGCATCTGGATGGGGCGGATGACGTTTGCTCAAATGCATACTCCTGGGCCGGCATCGCCTGTCGTACTGCTTTTGGTCTAGGTATGCACCGAGATCTGTCAGCCAAGTCAAACAGCTTAATGCCTATCGACGATAGGAGAATATTTAGGAGAATTTGGTGGACTCTCTTCCAAGTGGAAGTCCTTGCAAGCTTACACCATGGTCGGCCTTCCATGATTGATTTGGACGAGCTTGATCAACCACCGATGAATGAAGATGACCTCATCGAGCAGAATGGAATTCGGAACCCCAAGATTGATCTGGATTTCTGCGTCCAGAATGCCAGTCTTTGCATGATCATTCATTCCATCATGAAGCTCTCAAGCCCTGGCGCTGTACGGAGATTCCTCCAGGCGCCGGAGCAGTTCAGAACTGCACAGGAAGATCTCAATCAACGGTTGGTGTCGTGGTATCTGCGTTTGCCGCCCCATCTTACCAACACTGGTTCTTCGAATTCGACTTTCTGGAGTCTCCAACTTCAGATACATTACAATCTAGCACTTTTGGACTTACATAGGCTCTCGCGAACCTTGTTTCCTGCTTTGCACGACATCCAGGGAATGCACTCTATGGCAACATGCCATAACGCGGCTTCTTCTATATCCAAACTCTTCGATGATGTTGTGTCAATTGACGGTATCAGCAGTTGCTGGTTCTCGTCTCTCACTGCGCTGTTGGCGATTACCATCGAAGTCAGTCATGAGACACGGACTGCGACTAAAGATGGAGTGGCTGTGCTCGCCATCCAGGCACAAAATCGCCTAGAGCGGATTCTGCCAGTCCTGACTGCAATATCCCGGTATTGGTCCAGCGCCGAGGCAATCTTACGGCTGTACGAAGACTTGCTAGTACAGTTCAAAATACAGTCGAAGTCCTGGGCTGAGCCGCACCCACTGGGAATTAGCCAACCAAACGAGAGTTCTAATGGCGTACATCAGGACGTTGCTTCTGGCTCTGCCTCTTGGGTAGATAACGACCATGGTGTTGGAAGTGCAGAGGCTTCTGGATTAGATTGGCAGGCTTTGTTCGGGGCGGCATTGCCTACGGATGCCGTAGAAGTAAACTTCGATGGCATTGATGATATATTCGGGTTATAAGAATTTCTCGAGGAACATAAAGCCACCAGATCTTCTCTCACATGAAAGCTATTCGGATCACGTAATGACGTCGACGAACAGTACTGCGGTCCATGCGTCTCGCCACACCCTATTTCCCCATGATATTGGGGATGTTCCCGTTCATTACTCCCCTCGATTGAGGCATTTTCACTTCCGGAGGTCTTTAGCCTACACGTGTAATAGCGGAGATGCTTGAAGTACAGTAGAAGAAGGCCCTTATTGCCTGATATCTCCGTTGTTTGTCCAACGCGGTCCCAATATTACAAAGCTGGTTCAACATCCAAATATCGTTATCGTAACTCATCCTGCCCTCATCTTCGTCCGCATCCGACAATTGTCTGAAGGCGTTGAGACACGGCATCAGTTGTGATGGTGTCTGCGCCTGCGCCTGCTGTCATCACTGTCACTGCTACTGCTCCTGCTGCTTCGGCTCCTTCTCCGACTTCTTGACCTCCGACGAGAGAGACTGCGACGGGGTTCATCGTCCTGATAGTCACCATATCCTAAGCTCTCGCTTCCCCTGCGTTCCTTCTTCTTTTCCTTGCTCTTCTCGTGTTTGCCTTCAAGCTTGTGCCCTGCGTAGGCACCCGCGAGAGCCCCAGCAACGGTCACTAGGTCATTGCGGTGGCCCAACTCTCGGCCAGCCCCTACCCTGGTTAGCCACGGGTGTCCAACAGTGGTGTCCGGAGCCACTTGACGCCCAGGTGGGGAGGTACTTACATGTGCCCAGGGCGCCGCCAATAAGGGTCGCACCTACATCCTTTGCAGCCTTGTGATGGTGCTTCTCCCCCCTCTCTCGCGACCTCTCCCTGTCTCTTCTCGACCCTCTGGAACTAGAGCGGTCCTCGTATTGCGGTGGAGGAGGGTAGTAGCCGGCATCGCTGCCACGATGTTGACTAGCTGCATACGGGCCCGAGTTGCGACGTTCCCGGCCATGTTCAAATTCGCTGCCGGTGTACTGTCCAACTTGCAAGCCAGAGGAACGGGGCGAGTACCGGTATTGGTCGTCGCGGGGAGGCTGGTATCCATGCAGGCTCTGCCTCAAGGTTAGTTGAAGGATTGAGAGAACAGATGGGTAGAGGTGTCGCTGATGGAGGCCTTACCTGAGTGGCGGCTGGAGCGTTGTAGCCCGGGTCGCCGTACTGTTGAGATGCTTCGTGCGGTCGCGGAGGAGGCGGATAGTTGGTATAGCCGCCGGCCGGTGGTGGAGGGTATCCGTTGGAATTGTAGTAGTCTGCCATAGAGATCCGTATAACTAGAGACTGCGACTGCGACTGCGACTGCGACTGTGGTAGGTGAGATCTGATGTTATCAGCAAGAAGAATAGAGGCGCAGATGGGCGGTCTTCAAGAGAGGATCAAGCATCCATCAGCTGCGGCCTTAGTCATATCATATCCCTCAGGTGTCAGCGCGGGGCGAAAAAGGTCACGGGCGGCAGAGTCGGAAAGGTATGGTTTCATTCCTGCATGTACCGTACCTAGCCAAAGCCACTAGCCACAAACTATCCATCCAGCTGGGCGTTGTTTATCTTCTCTTGAGATTTCTTGCAAGCTCACAAGATGCCACGGATAAGCAGATCAACGGCTTCTGGGACGGGCACGTCCGTCACTTAGTACTGCCGCTGCTTTAGATCGGCCTGAGCAGTGAGGATCCGTTGGCGGTGGGGGTTGGAAACTCGGTTCTTCGGCTCTTTCTTCAGAAACAGCTTGGTCGAAATAACCCTTCTTGTCTATCATCGAGTCAGACAGTATCTGAAACTCGCTGATAGAGGAAGCCAGCTGTTCCTGGGCTGACAGGCTGTGCCCTACCAAGCACACGTCTTCCATCTGCCGCAACACTGCGACCAGCTGCGACCAGTCACTGTAGCCTTTGCAGGCTGGCTGTTGGGGTTGGTCGAGGTCGGTTGTTATTACTAGGTAGGTGACGACCAAACTTCGAGACGGTGGCAGGTTGCGCACTGCGTCATTATACGTCGCGCGCTTTGAACGCGCACTGGCACGTCAGAGCCTCGTGCAGCGCAGTCTTGGGGAGTATTAGGGAATATTGGGTGGGTGAAGAAGGCTGGCCAATGAGCATCCCTCTACAACGGGTATCTCTTGGCAACCGGCGATTGCTCGGGCCCAAATCTTCACGGCATCAATTCCGGCACTTGGGCTGCGACTCGGATGTCATTGCGCTCGTCTGGATCTTCCACCTTTGCATCGAGAGGCTTGCCGACTTTTCCTTTCGCCAGTTATGCTTAACTTGAGAATGGCCTGCGATTGGCCTCGAAAATCTCCGACGCATGGCAGCGCTGGCGAACTGTCGCATTGGGCGATGGCTCATCGCTCCTATCGCGCCCCGAGCCCAATCCACCGACCATCAGTCGGGTAATGGAGGCAAATACCTCAGTCTAGCACCCTCTTTTTTGGATTTTGCTTGCACATGTTGGGTCAAGGTGCCCCTGATTGGGGACCCATACTATGTTCTCATCTGTCGAGAAGCCCGTCCTTTCTGGGATGACAGATACTACCAGGTAGGTATATATATCAGGGGGGTCTGCCCCGACCCTCATCCAACGAAAGACGGACAGAGTAATCACATCCACTACTTTTCCTGACATTGTGGGACATACTTTTGGTTCTCATTTCCTCCTCCCATCTCCCATACCTAGAACACCACTGTCGTGTGACTGCCCAAACCGTCCATCAACGAACCCTACAACATGTCGTCCTCGTCGGGCGAAAGCGCCGAGGGGCGCGAGATTCCTCGTGCGAGCCTCGAGAAACAAGATACTCACTTGACCCGGTCATCTACACGTCGAACACTCGAGCGATACGAAACAAGGCCTACTCAAGATGCCGCCGAGGTCTTGGACCTCCCTTACGAGATCCTCAGCGATGATGCCAACATGGCAGAATATACTGAGGAGACGGTCACCGGTGTCATTCCCAAGAGAACCATTTCGCGCCTCAGTGGCAAGCTCGAAGAACATGAATTGGTCACTTTCAAGATCAACGACCCCGAGAACCCCAAGAATTGGTCGAAGCCCTACAGTATGTTTCGCTGGCAAATCCCCAGTGGCGCGGATTGACTAACCCGTGGTTCTAGAATGGTGGTGTACCATGGTCGTCGCATTCACCTGCTTCGCGGTAGCTTTCAACAGCGCAGTCATTACAGCAGACCTGGAAGGTGTTCAAGAAACCTTCCACGTGTCCAACGAGGTGGCGCTGTTGACCATCACCATGTTCGTCATCGGATTCGGAGTGGGACCGTTGGCTTTTGCTCCAGCATCCGAGCTATGGGGCAGGAAACCCGTGTACATCATCACGATTGGCATTGCCGTCATTTTCGAGATCCCGTGTGCGGTTGCGAAGAACATCGGCACGCTCCTCGTGTGCCGGTTGATCGACGGCATCGCGTTCTCGGCCCCCATGACTCTTGTCGGCGGCACTCTGGCGGATCTGTGGAAGAACGAGGAGCGAGGGGTCCCGATGGCTGTGTTCAGTGCCGCGCCCTTCATTGGTCCTGCCATCGGCCCGCTTGCAGGCGGCTTCTTGGGTGATGCGGCCGGCTGGAGGTGGTTGTACTGGATCCAACTCATCCTTTCTGGGATCTGCTGGATCGTCCTGACCTTCACCATTCCCGAGACGTACGCAGCAGCCATCCTCGACAAACGGGCGAAGAAACTGCGCAAGGAGACGGGCGACCAAAGATACGTGACGGAGAAGGACATTGACGCTCGACCGTTTGGCGAACAGCTCCGCATCTTTTTGTTCCGACCTCTCCAGCTGCTGTTCCTCGAACCGATCGTCTTCCTGATTTCCCTTTACATGTCGGTCCTCTACGGTCTGCTTTACATGTTCTTCGTGGCATATCCCATTGTCTACGCCGAGGGCAAGGGCTGGTCCCAGGGCAGCACGGGGCTCATGTTCATCCCGCTGGCGCTCGGGGTGATCGCGTCCGCCGCACTGTCGCCGTTAGTCAACAAACACTATCTCAGCATCTGCGCCAAAGCACCGGGTGGAAAACCGCCTGCGGAAGCGCGTCTGATACCCATGATGTTCTCTTGCTGGCTCATCCCGATTGGACTCTTCATCTTCGGCTGGACCTCCTACCCACACCTCTCGTACTGGGGCCCGATGATGGGCGGCTTTCCCGTCGGTTTCGGATTCATCTTTCTCTACAACTCGGCCAACAACTACCTCGTCGACACCTACCAGCACCAGGCTGCGTCTGCCCTGGCCGCCAAAACCTGCATTCGCAGTTTCTGGGGTGCCTCCGTCGTCCTCTTCACCGAGCAGATGTACAGCACGCTGGGTTACCAATGGGCAAGCTCGCTGCTTGCTTTCATCGCCTTGGCGTGCTGTTTGATCCCGTATGTCTTCTACTTCAAGGGTGCTGCCATCAGAAAACTTTCCAAGTTTGCTTTCCACGAAGAAGACGTGGCAGACACCCTTCCTGCTGGGAAGGTGTAAGCGGGCAGACTAGGTCACATAACCCGACCTTGCTCCCCGCACGAAAAAGCTCGGGCAGACTAGGTCAGATAACCTTCCCTTCCTGCACGAGGAAGCAATACCAGCACGCCGTCTACAGAGCATGTCGCTGCCGACTTGTTGGTCCCTGGAGGCAAAGAACGACGAATAAAGGCCGCCGACGGCTTTCGCATTGGCAAGAACACGTCCAGGAAAAGCCACGCCGCCGCTTCACTCGGCTTTCTGCAACCTGAATGAGGACCGCTGACGCCGTGCCTGGCGGGCATCCATGGATTGAATTAAGACTAGAAATGGACCGTGGGCGTCAAGATGACTATCCAACATGCGCCGTAAGGTATTACAGCGCGCGCAGTGATGTGATTTCTTGAATCCTGACATATCTGCCATGCCAGGAATCTATTCGGCCACTGATGAGGAGTGGCATATTTGCATAGCATAGTCGAGCGCGAAGTGTTGTACGGAGTACGGAGTACTGCTGGGTTTATTATATGATATGTACATAGCACCGCTGTTCCAATTATATTTAATTTGCATTACTGAATTTACATGATGATTACAGAGTACAGAGTATATCCATTGACTTGACACATTACATCTTCGTCAAGATATAAGTTATGGCTAGCTTGCAGTAGCACTATATATACTAGGTAGTGTGTCACGCTTGACCTAAACGGTTACACCACGACAGTCGCCAAAAAGGACGAGCGAAGTAACTAATTAATTCACTTGGTGTATATAACCGTGATATAGTGTATGTCTTATGTCTTATATCATATTTCATATTTCTTATGTTATATTACTCATTTCTCATCTCCTATTCCCTATTTCGTTATATGTCTTAGTCTAACCCTAACCCTAACCCTAAGTCTTGGTCATGATCTTGATCTTGCTTGATCTTCTTGATCTTAATCTTGCCATTTTGGCACCAGTCAGTCATGGCCATTGCAGCTCCTAGCCGGCGGAGGGAGTGAGTCAGTCGTGGCACTTCTACTGCGGCTATTTCCGCTGCAGAACCCTCTGCTGCACATACTATACTTACTGTATACTGTATACCGTACGGAGTATTGGTTGCCATCGCTGCCATCAAGGCTGTCTTACTAAGATATTTATTGCTAGTATCTTCGTCAGAGAAACCACCTTGTCCTAGCTGGAAGTTATGCTAGTGTGCAGCGTGCAGTGTGTAGTGTGCAGTGTGTAGTGTGCAGTGTGTAGTGTGCAGTGTCCAATGTGTACAACTGGTAGTTGGCAGCTGATATCAACCCTGTCCATTGTGCTGTCCTCCTGTCCTATCGCCGACCGCTTTTGACTCTTGACGTCCTACCACCGACCGCTATTGACTATTGACTGTCCTATTACCGACCGCCATTGACTCTACTACCGACCGCTCTTGACTCTTGACTCTACTACTGACCACTTTTGACTCTCGGCTGTCTTATTACCAACCACTATTGACTCTACTACCGACCACTCTTGTCTCTTGTTTCTTGACTTCCTACTACCGATCGCTATTGACTCTTCACTCTTCACTCTGACTTCCTCGCCAGTACCATCTTGCCCTCTTCCTACGACACCCCTCGATCCCTGGACAGCCGTCGGAGAGGGAATGAGAACGAGAACTTGTCTCGCTTCTTGGCTTTGCCGTTTCGAGCATGGCCGAAGATGGACATGATGCCCAAACTCGAACCAGAACCAGAGCCAGAGCCAAACCTTGCATCAGACCTAGAACCAGAACCAGAGCCAAACCTTGCGTCAGACCTAGAGCTGGCGTTCATGCCGATGATGCCAATGTCGTTCTTTCGGCCGAAGTGGACGTCAGCGTCAGCGTCAGCGTCATGGGCGAACTCATCGTCGAGTCGGCTCATGTCCTATATCCGTTTGTGTTAGCGGGGTCTTTTGACTGGATTTGTCGAGTGTGCAATGTCCATTCTCTTGCTCTGTCATCACCAAGATACTGCTGTGCCATCTCCATTCTCTTTCTCTTTCGCCACCAAGATACTGTGGGATCAGCTCGTCATCAGATTTCAGACTCAGACTCCCACGGGCATTTCACCTTCCGCCAGCATCAATCAGCATAGGTAGTGAGGCATTGGCGGGCGTATGTCTTCCCTTCCCCCTTCCCCCTTCCCCCTTCCCCTCCGCATGAAGTAAAGTATAGGAGAGTAGACTAGAGTAGACTATAGCGTATTGACTTGACTTGACATGGCTTGACTTGGCTTGACATGGCTTGACTTGACTGGGCTTGACATAACTTGACATGGCTTGACTTGTTTGACTGGGCTTAACTGGTTTGACTTACCTGCACATCATCGACTACCGAGCTGGTGTCAGAGAGAGTGAGTGGGCTAATACTGATGCCAATACTGCCACGACCGGCGTCGTCTTCAGTTCCAGTTCTAGTGAGAGCGGTTGCGGTTGCGGTTGCGGTTCCCTGACCGAATGAGACTCGTCGGCCCGGATGAGGTTCTTCGTGGATAGTCTCCAGACTCGGACTGGGGGAAATTCTGCTTCGTTCGTAGATGTGGATTCTGGTCAATGGAGTCGGAGCTGGAGTCGGAGTCGGAGCTGGAGCGTGCCGTTGAAGGACAGGGTCTCTTGCATCGACATCGACATCGACATGGGCGTCAACGATCGGTGGGAGGAGCGATGCCGAACTGGAGTGCATATTCGACTTTGGATTTGGTGGAACGCTGTTCGAACTTGGAGTTGACGTTGACGTTGGCGTTGATGTCGATGTCGACGTTGTCCTTGGTGTAGGCAGAGATAGTGTAGGGCCCAAGTATTCCGCCACTCCATTACTTTCAGGGCTTTGGTTCAGCGCGGCGAGGAGACTAGCTCTGTTCTTTTGCAAGGTTCGAATGTTGATGTTTGGATTCGTGTTCGTGTTCGTATCCAAGTTCATGCTCATGTTCTGGTTTGTGTTTGTGTTTGTGTTTGTCTTTACACCCCCCGGCACAGGCGGCCCACCTTGCATGTCGATTCCAGCTTCGTCGCCGTACAGCCAGATGAGGTTGAAGAAGAGGGCTTTGGCAGTGCTGTGTTGGCGCACAAAGGGCGTCACATTCATGGCCAGCGTGGCACGGATGAAGCGGCACGTGGCGGTATTGGCGAGGTGCCATTCGCGTCGGGCGTGGTCAAGGTCGAAGCCGAAGCCTTGTTGGTCGCGTTCGTCGGCTCGACTGGAAAAGCTGGACAGGTTATTGCCATTGCCGTTGCCATTGGCAAGGCTCGAGGCTTGGGGCTCCGTCCAGTCGCCGAGGATCAGGCTGGACGAGAGTGGGTTGGTCAGTAAGATGGGTTGCACGGCGGAACGCCACGACTGGAAGTTGGATTTGCCTAGGAGCGGGTCGATGTCGTCGAACGGGGGGAAATTCATGGCTGACAGATAAGCTCGGGAGGAATAGCGGGCAGAAGACATGGTGGCGAGGTTTGTGTTTGTGGTTTGTGGTTTGTGGTTTGTGGTTTGTGGTTTGTGGTTTGTGTTTGTGTTTGTGGTTTGTGGTTTGTGGTTTGTGTTTGTGGTTTGCGTGTGTGGTTTGCTTTCTGCGATCTGTAGTCTGCGATCTGTAGCCTGGGTCTGTTGACTGCGATCTGTACTCTGTACTCTGCGATCTGTGGTTGTAGTCTGGGTCTGTTATCTGTAGTCGACCGCGAAAAGAGAAAGACAAGGCACCATTCGCCAGAACACAAGGCCGCTGAGGTGCAATGATATAGACAGACGTAGCAAGGCTGTAGGAAGGCTGCTGGAGCTGAGGTGTAATGATCAATCTATATGCTGGCTAGACTTGGTGCTCTCTCTCCTGATTCAGATTTGTCTCTGTCCCCCAGTCCAATCCGGCAACAAATCAGTGAAACATTCGACTCATCTTCCGGTTGGGATTGATCACTGGGAAATTGGGGGGTTGGTTCTGGAACTCGTAAACTGCGCCACAAGTAGACTCGCGATCTATACAGAATCAAACCAGAAGTAGACTCGTGATATATACAGAACCAAGCCACAAGTAGACTCGCGATATACAGAACCAACGGTCAGGCAGCGAGGAAGATACATACAGAATCAACAGTCAGGCAGAGAGGAAGACACATACAGAGTCAACGGTCAGGCAGTGAGAAGATAGATGTAGATGTAGATGCGGACTCCAGTTTAGCCGCCGACGAGAGCCATCTGAACCCCCATGTCTTCGCATAAGGCGTCAATGTCGACCTCCCTACCTTGGTGACGGACGCAAGAGTGCAGCCTGTTCAAAAACGACCGGGTAGACGGTCCACGATGTGTATATCGTCCCTGGTACGACACCCACGTCGCCCGGCGCAGATACGACTCGGCAAGCGCGTACTCCTGACGACGCACACACAGGGTCGCGAGCTGATCACAGGCCCACACGGTGGTTGCACTGTTACTGTTGCTGTTGCTGCTCGGCGGGTCGGACGCTTCGTGGTCCAGGATGCGGTGGGCCACCCCCTCGACGGCGAATTCCTCCTTCTGGTCGGCATAGATTCTGCCTAACGCGGCCAAAGCGGTGCGGTGGCGTTTGCGACGCATTGCCCGACTGTCCTGGATCAACTGGTCACACAGCTGGTGTGCTTGTTGGTACTGCTTGCGTTTCCGCAGCATGTCGATCTGGTCCACCCGCAGCGCAAACAGCGACGAACTGTCGGCCTTGCGGCGAGACCGGTACCCTTCAATCACCAGGTCCATCATCGACTCGACGACCTGATGGCGGGTCTCTGCAACGGTCAGCATAGCCATTGCTTTCGCCAGAGGATGAGCCGGTCCGAGCACCTGGCCCGTCATTGATGCGACGAACCCAAGCAACTGGGTTTCCAACTCGGTCATGCCGCGCCAGGGGGTGGCAAAGTGCAGGAGCAGGCAGGACAGCAGGTGAAGCGGCACCGATAGAATCAACGGCTGCACCATTCGACAACAGTCGTCCAGCGTCGTCCAGGCCTCTCCCGGTCTTCCTTGCTCCAGGTGGTCGCGGCCATGGTAGAGCGCGAGCCAGAATGCCGACGCCTGATCGGTTTGGCCTGCTCTCACTCCGTCCGGGATGGATTCGGGGAAGCGAGACTGCAACTCCCTCGATCTCAGAGGCTTGAATGCCGTGAACTGCCAGTCGACCGCCTCTCGAGCATGGAACAGCCCGTACTGGATGTTGTGGAGGTCCGTCGGCAGGCTGATGTCGACCGTCAGCGACGGCGCCAGGCTGGAGGGCATCGGATGCTGGTGCTTGCTTTGCACGTCCAGTTGATCCAGGACCGTGCTGGAATGGTGGGAAGATGCCAGTGTCGAGGTCGTGGCTGGGGATTCCTCGGGCACAGCAATCTCGCCCACGGACATGGCATCTGGGCTCTGCGACATGTGTTCCCAGAGCTGGGCGAATCTCTTGTCCGTCCGACAGTGACGCTTGACTCGGTCCAGCTTCAAGGGCCGGCCGCGATATGAGATTGACTGAACATCACGCCCTGCATCCACACAAGCCTTGACTCTGGTGGCCAGAATCTCCTTCTCCTTGGCCTTGTAGTTCTTTCGGATCTTCCATTCGGCAATCCGCCGCTTGTACATTTTCTCACTGGCGTGGAATCCGTGCTTCTTGGATAGGATCTCCCTCACATCCCGGAGCTTGCGGTTCTCCACAAGATACAGCTGGCTGAAGACGTCTTTGATCTCGGTCCATTGTTGAGGCGTTGGTCCAACCAATCTCCAAGATTGCGAGGTCCTGGAATCCGTGCTGGCGCTCGGTCGTGGTTGGGGTTGCGGTTGCGGTACGAGGATGAGCTCGTCGTAATCGCTCGTTCCAGAGCCAGCATCACGGGGGAGTCCATTGTCCTCGTTGGGACTGTCCCTGTAAACCACCATCGGCGAGTCAAAGAGATCCATTGATGACATTGGCGACAGGGATGAGATCTCCAGCTCCAGCTCTGCTATTCACGGCGGTCAGGTCCGAGGTCCTAGATGTCGGCACCCGCTCCATGGGAAAACCGAAAACACGGCTGGGCTGTCTTTTTAATACGTAGTGTCGAGTGTCGTCTCACAGCAGTCGTGATCTTGGCTAGGAAGGCTGGGTCACCCCATCCTCGGCGAGTCTGCCTGTCTGCCTTTCAGCCGCTGCAAAGCTACCAAGATCGTGCATTAGCGCCCAGTCTGGCACCGAGAGCGGTGTACAAGGCCAATCGCTCCACGCCGCATACTGGGAACATTTGTGGCGAAGCACTTCGTTAGACACTGGACAGTCACAGTCACAGTCTGGAGAACGTCATTTTGCAGCTATGTTCGTGGTTCATTGGTTCTGTAGCTACTCAGTACACCTCGGAAGACAGTGATGTGATGGTCTGGTCATTCTGTCTCCTCTCTGTCTTGGCCTTCCTCTTCCCGCAGCACTCGACCCTCCTGTCGACTCCAACCTTCTTAGGACTAGGACCTGAGACGCTCATTCAAGTCTAGCAGCAACCAGAGCCTACTGTTGATCTCCAGGAATTTATTATGTCCAAATCCCCTCTCGACCTGGTTGGATCCCGGCAGCATCGTGATCCCAATCCGTATTACTGTCGTTGTCGAATTCTCGGTTGGGAGCCATCGTGCGAATATCCTTGCCGCCTCCGTTGCGCCAGTGTGTCTTCCAGGTCTTGTGTGCCCACTGTCTATGCATTGGCTGGGAAGCAAAATAATGCGCACTCCACGGAGCGCCGACCTTGAGCTGGTCCAGGATAAAGCTCGGGTGCCGGCAGACGATGGTACTCACATACACGTACCGTTTGGCGCGCTGACTCTCGAAGAAATCTGCCCAAGCTTCCAAATGCTTGCCAAATATCTCGATCGTCACGTTCTCTTCACAATCTTCCTCTTGATGAAGCGACCAAACCAGAAAATCACGCAAAGGCTTCTCAAGGTGAAACAAAGCCCACCCGACAAGCCAGCATTCGCGTGGTAACCAAGGGTAGGGAGCAAGGCGGTCGCGGTGAGCGAAAAGACATTTGACAAGAGCCCAGTTTTGATCGCGCCAACCGTAGTTTCTCTGGGCTATCTCGGCGTAATGCGAATCCCAGTACTCGTCAGAGATGAAGGCATGCAGCTCAGAGCGCTCATCCAAAACAGCACGCTGTCTTGCTCGGGCTTGGTGTTTTTGTTTTGATCTCGGCTGGAGTCTCGGCTTGTCAAGGAAATCCGCGAGGCGTACGTAAACATTGCTCCTATTCGGGTCCCTGTGCATCTTCTCTGGTGCTCTCAAGTGACTAGACCGTACGTGCCCCATTCTGGAAAGCGAGGCTGTCACTGCGTGATATAGTAGTTGGAGGAGGTATTGTCAGTCTTGAATCGATCGAGTTATGTATAGAAAATATCCTCCGCGAATCTTGTTCTGCCGGATCTGTTCGTCAGGATATCATTCGGTGGAAGCAGAACCCATAGTACACAGGGAGATTGCCAGGCTTTATTTGTTCGACCATTGATCCCAATGTTTCATTGTCCATCGCGCCAATCTTGAGTAGATTAAATTTTCAGAGTGTTTCCGTCAAAGGCGTCAAAGGGCTGCTTTGTGCCATCGGGATTGAATACCAGAATGGCCTCCACAAGCGCGGCACCTACAAAGGCCGCGAGTGCTTTGTAACTGGTACCTGGCTCGAACTCCTGGAAAAGAGCGTTACTAGTGTAGATGCAACATCAACCGGGCAGATTGGTGTCTAACTTCTTTCCTGATTGAAGAGGATTGCTATACTGTCAGTCTGCGCCCAGTGGTGGTAGGGACGCAAGTGCTCAGCTGTCGAGAACGGGATGGGTCATTCCGCCAGCTGTAAATCGTACTTCCGAGGTGACCACAACGTTCTGACAAGATGCCATTCGTGGTTGCGGAGTGAGTACGGACCATCCACAAGCCTCAGCAAGAGTCCATGTCTGTACGGGTCGTTTCTCTTCCGGTCCCTCAAGCAGGGTGATGGACTCCTCCAAAAGGCTTGCAACATTTCCATCCACGGACACAGTGACCTGCGAGCATACCTGGACCTTGTTGTGTGCTCTGGTATCATATCTTGCCCTCCTCGGTCATTCGTCGTACCCGATTCAGTAGGACAGTACCTTGTCTTCCCAGCTTTTGCTTTCCGTCTTTTCCTGGTCGTTTGGCCTTCGCCATGGCCCTTCGCTCTTGTATTCGGGCCTCTTGGGCTTTGCGTTTCGCTTCAAGTTGCAACTTATGCTGGGCAGCCAGTTCCAGCTCTTTCTTGTAGCCTGATTGTTTGGGTTTGCGCTGCCGATTCTGACGATTGGGGTCTCTTGGTCTTCGCGGCGAACGATCCTCTCTCCGTTGACTCTCCGCATCCTGTGTACCCTCGGCTGCCTCGAGCATAGCTAGCCGCTCAGGATGTAGTTCCAGGCTCGCGGGAGGATGGTCTACCGGGGCATTGTCGATGCTATTGCTGGCCTCTTTCAAGGCGGAATTGTTCTGATTCTGGACTTCTTCTTGTGCCTTGATTTTTGCATAGGCTTTCTTGACCTTAGCTTTCTGGATCAGGTCGCGCTTGATTTTTTGCGCTGGAACGCAGTTAGCATGATGTATGAGTCTACTCCAAACACTTCTTACTCTTTCGACGATATGTGCCATCCGGAAGATTGGCTGGTCCAACTGAGAAGCCCTTCCTTTTCTTCTTGTCTGGTTCGGTTGCTGCACTGGCAGCATCCGCAGTCCTTTTGACGCCCATCTTGCTTGACCCAAACCCAAAATGTTGAAATCGAGGAACAAATGGAACAAATGGTGCCAAATGCCCACCGTCAGTAATTGGGAGGGAGAACCTAATTAAATTTGGGTGGTCGTAGAAACTTTCCAGACGCCAGACGCCAGACGCGGGGATGAAGCGGCTTAGGAGGCTCCGCAGGTCATTAGTGACATGCGTTGGACGGCTCCGTCGGGAGGAGTCATTCATTGTCCTCACTTCAAAGCATGACGCTCGACCGCTCCTCCTTCCTGCGCTCTTCATGACTTGCCACGCCGCACAAGACTTCGCCTCTCGCCAGCTCCAACTACAAATAGTCATGCAGCGGTAGATCCTCTGTTCAGACGCCCTTCCGCAAACAGAGCGTGATGTCTCCAACCTCGACCTGTTCTCCCTCGAAGGCTTGCTCCGATAGCTGGCAGCCCTCAACACTACAATCTACGTCTAAGCATTGGAAGGCTGGGCCGCGGGAGCATGCCCTTTGTCATTGACCCGGAAGGCCTTCCTACACGATCAGCCAAGAGACAGAAACTCTTGTCCCATCCAGATATGGCTCGATATTCTGTGCAGACCCTCAACGGGGCTGGGAACTCCCCCAGTGAAAGAGAGGGCGATGCGAAGACTCCGACCGAGGGCCAGAAAGAAGTAGATTCAGACACAGGAGAGACACCTATCGAGACCAGTGATCGGGAAGAACTGATCCAATGTATCAAACGAGGTCAACGACCAACATGGGTTCCTAGGCCTGGGCTGGAAGCACTGTGCGCAGAAGTGAATACTGAACAGGACCGGCCTTACCAACCTGACAAACCAGTCCGGTCCGCGTCTGTCCAAGATGCTCCTCCGCAGCAAGGGGGAACTCCCTCGACCGCCGAAGCCAACGTATGGTATACCACGGACGCTCTCCGTCGTTCTCTCTCCGCCCTACATACAGGCGACTTCCATGATCATGTCGAGCATGTGCCAATCAGACCGAGCAGTATCCGAACGCCCCCACGGCGTTCACTACAGTCTGCGTACAGCATTTCTCCTCCGTCGTGGCTGTCCGAATCTCCGACCCTAGGGCACGATCCCACGGTAACGAATCCCGCTTCTGACACGCTGAAACGAACGCGGGCGCCTTCGTTGGGGAGCAGTTTTTCGTCACAATTTGTCATGAGAGTCCCGACAAGTCCACTTGTTCATGCCATAAACAACCCGTCTCTGGATTTTTCGCCCAGGGATGCACAACCGCACGATACTAGCATGCCCAATGTCGCGAGGAGGAGGACGATGCATACTGCTTTCGAACCATTGCATATGTCACCGGTTGACGACACTCGTGCAAAGTTCAACGGCGTTTCTCCACCATCTCACCAGGATGCAAATGCGCTTCCTCAAGGCCACAGAACCCGTCGCTCATTGAGTTCTTTCACATACCAACCTGCTGCGAGTCCCCAAGCCGCCTTATCGGCGAAATTGCGTCGGCCATCACTGGCTTCAGATGCATCTCCACGGCAGCGAGCTTCCATGGTCGGGTCTTTCGAAGAATCCATCCTCCGTGGCAGAATGTCTACTCCACCGTCCAAACCCCTCGACTTCGTGGCGCAGATAGGCGTCGTTGGGAAAGGAAACTGCCCAGCAACTCTCAAATGTCCGGCCCACGTTACGGTGCCATTCCCTGCAGTCTTCTACAACTATCCTTCTGCAACTTCTTCTAGATCGATATCAGACGATAATCCCAGCCCCTACGTTGGCGTCATTGACTTGGAACGCAACCTGACACCTCCAGAGCCTTCTTCTCGCCGCACGCGTCGCTCACAAAGCAGCCTTGACCCTGAAGCATTAGCAGCTGCCATCACTAGCCCCGAAAATACTGCTATAGGTAGGGCCTTGGCCCGGGAAGCTCGGGAAAACAAGGACAAGGCGTCACCTTCGCTCAAGGTACCCCCTGGAGGAGCGTATCGAGTGCCACAAAAAGGACAGCTCCAAATCATCATAAAAAACCCCAATAAAACAGCAGTCAAGCTGTTTCTTGTCCCTTATGACCTTGAGGGGATGTCTCCAGGGACTAAGACATTCGTGCGACAACGGAGCTTTTCGTCGGGGCCTATCCTGGAAGCTACACTGGCCCAGCAACAAGCCGATTTGGCTGCCCTCGATCCGCTTAGCAACAAAGATATTCTTCGATATTTGATACATATCAAGTTTTGTTCTACGGCAAAAGGACGTTTCTATCTCTACGACAACATCCGTGTCGTTTTTGCCAACCGAGTGCCGGATGGCAACGAGAAGCTGCGGAACGAAGTGCAGTTGCCGGACCCGAGATTCAGTCCCTACAAACCGCCGGTCGATGGCGGATCACGGAGCCCGAGCCTTGCGGAGGGGGCATGTTCTCCCCAGACGCGCAGTGGCAGATTCCCGGGCTTTGGCTCCTTTGATAACAGCCCAGAATCAGGTTTCGGTCAGCGCTCAAGTACCAGGGCACAAGACCCGGCATCCATTCCATTCCACATTTCCCCGAGGCCTATCGAGCAGGATCTGAGTGGTCCGCACCACGCAATGCGGATGGACGGAGCCAGGTTAGTGGACGTCCAGGGAGATGTGTCTCCCATCTCTGGATTCCTACCTTCGTCGTCTTCGCGGAGCTCACCCCTGCCTTGGCTACAATCTGGTCGTAATTCGATGGTGCGCGGCTTTTCGGCGGAGGCTGGGGATGGACTGATATCCCGAAAGCTTAAAGAGCTCAACGGTGGCGGAACGGAGCAGAACATCTAGAGAAGAGCGTCTGCTGATTGAATGCGTAAATTGACGTTCTTTGCGATGGAGTGAGGCGCTCGGCGTGATAACTGGACCTGGATTCCGGGATACCCATATGGTAGATTTACAAAGGCTGCATTTCGACGAATGATTTATACCTCTGCCGTGTCTGCTCATCTCGCAGCTGCCGTCGCTCCTCGCCTGTGATAAGCTTTGTAGGCCTCCTCCTCGTCCGGCTGATCGGCCTGGCAGAACCATTGAGAGCTGGGTCAGGTGGCAGCCAGAGGTCATTCTCGACTTGGGAGGCATCGATTAAACAGGTTTGAAGAAAGGATGAGGTGCAGGGCCCCCGAGAGGCGCCGTGCACACGATTGGACAGGTTGCAATGGCCTTGGATCCCTCCACACGGAGGCGGAGGTATTTGTTGGTCGCCGGTCCGCGTCGTCATAGTCAGTCATAGTCGTCCTGCACAGCCTAACGGGTCTCAAGCCACTGGCACCTGGGAATGCATAGGCGAGCCGGCTTGAGCTCCCACACCTCGCTGGTCCATCTGACTGCATGCTGCATGTATGTACCTAGTATCGATGCACTACAGCGCTGATGGCAAAGATGACCGCTGGTAGGAATCGGCTTGAACGGAGACGGAGTCTAATGCCAACAGGGCAGAGTTCCGAGACGGGCTGCCCACACTGCAATCGTACTGGCAGTGAAAAGGCATAATAGGCATTTAGGCATCGAGGGCGCAGGGCACTATTTCGACTATCCGTGCTAGTACAGAGCTCTCCGTAGTATTAGCACGCACTGCAGTTATGTTATCTTGGGAGATCCACTGCCACCCAAGTCCACGCGCACTGTCCGTCCGTCACCTTCGACGCTCGCACTCCATCAAGCAGGCCCTCCTCGCCATCCACAACCACTCGCTCTACCTCCAGAGTCGTCCCGTCACGCTCTCTCTCGACCTTCTTCGTTCTTTTGCCCAAATACGCCTTTCTTGTTGGATCCATTTCTCTCCTTGTCCGCCTTCTCGATGCAATACTCGTAGCCTTCTCTTCCCTCCGACTCCCATCCCCTCGTCGATGACCTGGGGGGTCATCCGCCTCCGAGACTGAAGATGCACAAGATCAGCAACTTCACCGGCCAGGCCCGTCATGGCTGGGAACGGATGACTCCAGCAGCGTTCGGCATGTCACGATTCCACCAGGACATGTCCACGCCGCAACCACTGAGACGTCCACAAGGCTCTCCCGCCATCGTGTCACCAATATCAAGCGAACCAACGCCCGTCAATCTTTCTTTCAACGTTCCCTTCTCCTACAACCTCGCCGGCCCGGACTCTGAAGAAATTCTGCATTCGAGCCCGGGTGCTTCTCAACGATGGACCTTCCCAGCGGGCACTTCGGAGGGGACGCCGTGCCACCAGCTGCCGGTCCATGTACAGAATGAAGAGAGACTGCGTTCCCTGTGCTCGTACATCAGTGAGCAGAGTGGAGGTCGTATACAAGCAACGGTTACATCCTCGGAGCCGAAGGCCGGACCTGCTCTACACAGAAAATCCCAGGCATTGGTGACAAATGTGTGCATTTCTGGCGAGGGCGAACTGGTTTACAAAATGAGGGCCAAGATTCTGAACGAGACTCCTATTTTGATGGTAAATACCCTCTCTCTCCTACGATGTCTTCGCTGACCCAATCGAGCGTTCCGCAATTGTTGATATCGATCCTGATTTGATCCTGGACGGCGCAGAAACCGGAATCCGCTCCAGTGTTCTCAGCCATATTGATCTTTGTGCCAAGTACACCGGAACCGACATCTTTCTCCTCAAACCTCGTAATGGAGATGCTTCCTCCACCGGCGTTTCTTACGGCAGTGGCGCCGATAGTGGCCTGGACCAGCGTTACCGAGTGAGCATCTTCGGTGACATGGAAAGTGTCGAACATGCAAAAACTAGGGCATTGATGATGATCGATCAAATTGTAACCTTACCCATGTTATCTGAGGGCGAACTGAAGCTTACGCATAACCAGCTCAAACACAAAATCGACGTGATCAAACTCGAAGTCACCATGCACACCTTGGTCTCCGGTCGTACGGGGAAGAACATCAAAATGATCGAATCGGCGACAAAGACTGCCATATACTTTCCACCTCCATTTCCTGGGGTCTTCGGATACATTCCGCCACATGCTACACGTCGAGCGGCAGATGAGATCTTCATTACCGGAGAAACGCAGGAACGGATAAACCAGGCGAAGCAGAAGTTGAAAGAGCTGGTCGTGGGCATCAAGCTATATTCCAAGGATGTTGTGGTTTCGGCCAGTAAAATTGATAACATCCTACTTGATCGACTGGACAAAGTACGAAAGATCATGGAGACCAATGGATCCCACGTCCTGTTCCCGCAGCTTGCAAGCCAACGAGGTCTTGTACGAGTGCAAGGGACCGACGTCCTTAACGTCGAAAGGACGGTCAAAGAAATCATGGCTCTGGTATGTCACTCAGGCAACGATGTTTAGCTGCACTCATTGACCAAACATGGAATAGGCGGGACAGTTTTTCAGTGCTTCCTGGTGGATCATGATGCCTGATCCGACACAAGGCTCAGGTCTTCGAGCACCGTCACCAGAGGATGTCCGGGTCATGCTGAGTGACATTTGCACAAATTCGGGTGCAGAGATCAGCTTCGACAAGTTTACCTTCACCATCAACGGCTCTGACGACGCGGTGAAAGCAGCAATGATGGTCATCAATCAAATTCCCTTTGTCAAGAGGACTCCTCACCAGCTGAAGGTCAAGATTGAACTTGCCAACGAGCACAAAGAGTTCGTTAGTGGGAAGAAGAATGGAAAGATTAACAAGATCATGGGTCAAAGTATAACATCCCTTCTGCCAGCACTTGTTGCAAGCTAATGTCTCGTTGTAGGCAATGTGCAAATCATTTTTGACGGCTTCAACGAGTACAACTTCTACATTGACGTTGTAGGCAGTCAATACGAAGCTGTGAAAACTGGTCTAGACTTGGTGGAGCAGGAAATGCCAGCCTCCATTTCGTTCCATGTCCCTGACCAGTACCACAAACGGATCATCGGAATTGGTGGACAACATATCCAGCGCATCATGAAGAAGTACTCGGTCTTCGTGAAGTTCTCCAATGCAATGGACCGCGGAGGTGTGGGAAAGGACGACGATGACATCAAGGTGGACAACGTCATCTGTCGGACACCTGCACGCAACGCACAGAGCTTGGACTTGGTGAAACAGGAGATTATGGATATGGTGGAAAAAGCTGTAAGCGAAGATGACTCCCTGACTGAAGTGTCCATGTTCTTATCCAATGATTCTTCCTAGGACGCCGAGTTTGTCTCCGAGACCGTGGTCATTAACAGACTCTACCATCGCGAATTGATCGCACGATTGACGGAAATTGAGGACTTGGAGAAGAAATGGAACTGCAAGATTGACTTCCCAAACACCGAGCAGGCCAGTGACATTGTCACCATTTCGGGCCCAGAGTATCAAGTCCCCCAGGCGGTAGATGCATTCCTTGGGATGGTGCCTGAGAGCCACGAGATTGCTTTCCAAAAATCGGACGACCTGCAGGCTTTCTTCAGCAGTCCTGAATTCTATAACGACCTCTGTCCGAAACTGAGGAATCAGTACGAAGTGGATGTTCACGCCAATCCCGACCTTGGCAGCCTACCGAAGTCTGCTACAGCTTCGGTGGAACGTATCGTCGGCCCATCCGAGGGGAGGCTTGTACTGACATACACGCGAAACAATGCAGGCGGGCTGAAGGATGCGATCGATTACCTCATATCGCAGCTTGTACCTCACGGGCTCGACGCTACGACGGTCAAGGGTGCAATTCCACGGCCTAAGTCAGACTCATTCGAAGACTCTCTCCCTTTCTTTGACTCGAAGCTGTTGCAAAACGCGCCCTCTCTACATTCCACCGACTCTCCAACACGCTTGAGCTTTGCAGATGGCGACAGCACCCCGGTTTCGGAGCGTGCATCTTTGTTCGACCGGCTTCGCAAACCGGGCAGCATCTCATCCTTCTCGTCCTTTATGAGCCGCAAAAACCAGAACAACTCGCCGGGGACGTTCTTCAAGCAGGCCTCTTCTAACGCCAGTAAAGCGTCACTCATCTCCATGGAAAGTCGTGAGAGCGGTTACCGGAATTTCTGGAACGATAGTGGCGTCAACCTCCCCGAGGAGGATGTTTCGGTCTCGCTCAGTGGTGGCTGGCCATCACGTTTTCACGAAAACAAATTCCCCTTTGGGACTGGCGGTGGTATACCCGGAGACAGAACTCCCAAGCACGAGCCTCCTCGCGCCAGTTTTGACTCTGGAAGGCCACCGACATCGCATTCTCTGTCATCCTACCCGGCCCCAATCGGGCCACATCACATTCAGATCCCCGGCGGCACCAACGGATCTGCGCACAATTTGAATCTACCTTTGCGCTAGACTTTTACGAAGTCTATGTTGACCTGATCGACAACGATACCCTGACATCGATATGGAATCATGATTATCTACTCTTATGTCTAGCGAGATACCCTTTGTTGCTACAACGGAAAAAGTAAAGAGATGGAGGGCTGCAGTTTTGGTGTGATGCTTGTGATGGGACTCAAGCAATGATTCGTGTCTGTTTTTTTTCATGTTTTCTGTTCTGCTTGGAATGCACGAACACGCCTCTTGATGTTTTTGACGACGTTCTTTATGCCTGTGATTTGGAAGATACCCGGCACGCTCTCCCGTGGGCGGTTGTTGCTATGGTCCGGTTGGCCCGCTCCCGAAAAGCCATTACTGCTTCAATTGGTCCCTGAAAAGAAAGGAGATATACCCCGAAAGTTGTTTAGAGGAATGCATGCTGTTGAACCGTTTCCAGCTCGATTTCCGAATCGCGAAAGCCATTAGAAGTAGCCTGATGTTACTCTGGACGGTAGAAGTGATGAAGCTAGAGCCTGAGGCGGCCCCAAGAGAGGCCACGTCACGTGCTCCAACGCCACGCGAGACTCCTGTGGGACTCGGGTGGGCGAGTCGCGTCCTCATCCTTGACGCAGCAAGCAGCGGCATTCCCCTGTTTTGTTCTCGGTGCAAACAACAGTTATTACAGGCCTGCACTACGTCTCCAGCAACACTCGTCCATCCCCGTCCCCGTTCCTCTCGACGCCCATTGTATAGCATTGATGCATCGCTCTCCTCCTCTGTCATGCGCCTTTCCAACCGGACATTAAGTGCCAGGCATGGCCGACCACAACATCAAGATTGGATGTACTGTCCAGACGCAGGACGGCAGGGAAGGCGTTGTGCGATACATTGGACCATTGCACATTGCCGCAGGAGAATGGCTGGGCATCGAACTACCCGATAACACAGGCAAAAATGATGGGTCCGTCAAAGGCCAGCGGTATTTCCAGTGTGCTTCGGGCTTTGGCATCTTCGTCCGTAGGGAGTCTGCGGTCAAGATCGTGAAGCAGCCTGTTCAGGGTCTCAAGACCAACGGGACATCAAGTGCCAATGCGCCCCTGATTAAGCCCCGACCATCGAGCGGAGTCACTGCAGATGTTGCGAGGAAGAGGCAAAGCCTGATGAGCACAGGCGCGGGACCAGTTGGTGGATCGAGGCTATCCATGAGGGTATCTATCCATGTCTCTCTTGAGATAGTGGTTCGTCCTGCTAACCTAGGTGTTTTAGTCCCCTACAAAGTCGCCAACAAAAGTCGCGCCGTCGTCCGGGACTTCGACCACTTCGACCCCACGGAGCGGAACGCCAGCAACGACTGCACGAACGTCCGACTCAAGTACGAAATCTAGGCTGAGCACAACGGGGAGATCGCTGATGGGACCGCCCGCTTCTACAACCAAGACCGGCGCTGCCACGGCTAGACAATCCATCGCAGGCGGTGCAGTGAAGCCTCCGCCAACAAAAGCGACGTCTGTCCATCCACGGCAGTCCCTGGCTGGTGCCAGGCTTTCGATAAATGCAAAACCCCCTCCACAAGACGTCAAGGCTCAGACCCCTCTCTCCGGCTCTGATGCATATCGTTCGCCCCCGATACAGGAAGACGCTCCGGCGCTTATACCCTCTAAAAGCACGGCAAGTGATGAACCTCCGGATTCATCGGCCTCAGACCTCGGGCCGTCCACCTCAATATCTGTATCCAAAGAGCCGGAACGTGCTCCAAGCCGCGGCTCAATTGCTCCTGCTGAGGACAAGTCACGACACACACACGTAATCAAGGCACTAGAAACAAAGGTCCGCACATTACAGAAGCAGAGGCAAGAAGACCTGGCGAAACTACAAAATGTACAAGAACTTGAAAGCCAGACTGCGCGATACCAAAGCATAATACAGACATTACAGAAGAAGCTCAAAGCAAATCAAGAAGAGGTCCATGAGCTCAGGGCCAAGTACGAAGATGCTGAAAGCCGCGCTGAGAAAGTACCGGACAAGACTGCCGAGCAGGAGTCTGAACTGGAGCTCGCAACCCTGGACAAAGAAATGGCCGAAGAGCGTGCGGAGATGTTCGAAGCGGAGCTGGAGGCTCTCAAGCTGAAGCACGAGGAATTGGAACTGGAAGTGGAAATTTTGAGGGAAGAGAACCGAGAATTGTCGTCGGTCATGAGCCCCGAAGAGAAGGCAAGTGCTGGATGGCTCCAATTGGAACGCGAAACAGAGAGGCTGCGGCAGGCGCTGGTCATGCTTCGAGATATGTCTCAGCAAAACGAGGGCGACTTGAAGAATGAAATCAAAGAACTCCAACAGAGCTTGGACGAGCTTGAACAGACGGCTTCGAAATACGAAGAGGTGGTAGCGAAGCTCAGCCGATCGGAGGAGACCAACGAACACCTGAGGGAGCAACTCGAAGCCGCAGAGGCAAACGATGATATGCTGGAAGCCATGGCGGCCGAACGAGATCAAAATCGGAATTTGATCGACATGCTGAAACGACAACTGCAGGACCTCGAGGAGCACATACAAGTTACGGACGAGCTTGAGGCATTCCACGTCGATGAAGAGAAGCGTTTGCACTATCAATTAAACGAGACCGAGGCCATGCTGAACGAGACGCAGCGACAAGCTGACGAGCGAGAAAAGACAATTGAAGACTTGGAATACACCTTGACGAAATTCCGAGATATGGTTCACGGCCTCCAAAGCGACATCAACGAACTACGGCGATCCCGAGAGATCAGTGAGCTTGAGGCGCATGAGATGAGCAGCAAGTCCCGAACAATGATGGATCTGAATCTCAAGCTGCAGAGTTCTGCTGCCAAAACTCAGCTGAAAGCGATTGATCTCGAACTGGGTAAGATGCGAGCCGAACAAGCAACCCTGCATCTGGAAATTGTGCAGTCATTTGTGCCCGAGTCGTTCGATATGGACCGCAGACCGATTCTTGCGCTTTTGTGTTTCAAGAGGATCAAATCGAAGGCTCTCCTGAGCAAGACCATCCTGGTAGAGAGAACGCGCGACCGACCCGATCTTCTCCAGGATAATCCCATGTCGGTCTTCGCGGTCATGGAAAAAATGAACCTCATTGCAAATCTTTGCGGCAGATTTGTGCAGCATATGTCGAACTGTTCTACCGCAGACTTCATGAAGTACGGCGGGGCCCCGTTCGAGTTGGAGCCAGTAGAGCAGACGATGAATGGGTGGATTGAAGCCTTGCGTCGTGATGAACTCGCTCATGAGGGTCCTGACCATCTGCAACGTATGGCCGGTATTCTGGTTGACATGGCCGAAAAATTACTTCCAGAGAGCCATGAAACCAAGGCGGCGCAACTCGTTGCGTCCATCTCCATGGTCGAAACTTGCACGGAGGGTGTTGCGAGTCAGGCACAAGTTCTCGACAAGGCTGTTCAGGCTAGACTCGGATTGCCGAATGAGGAAGACGAGGCTTCTCGGTCCTTTGAAAAGCGAATCGATCAATTGGGAATCAAGGCTCGCACGGTCAAGTACATATCGAGCAAGCTTGTGCACGCCTTGGGAGAGCTCCAAGCGCGGTCCATGTGTATGGGCGAATCGACATGGAACGCTTTCTCGGAAGCTGAGCTTTGTGCCGAGTCTTTGTCTCGACTGACTCAGCAAGTGGGCACCGCCGTGATGGAAACGCTCAATAACGCCGAGAGAGAAACACCGCTGTCATACGCCGAGGTCACCAATCTGATGGCAGAGGCTGCACACAAGGCGCAACTGGAGACTGGCGGGCACAGTACTGGCTCCGAAGATTTCTTCGACATCCTGGTCAAGCAATTGCAGGCACTTCAGGCGACGGTTGACGAGCTTAACACCAAATGCGCCGATCTTTCCTCCGCGATGGAGTTTGAGAAGTTGCCAGCGCCCTGGACGGTCCGAGCCAAAGAAGTGAAGGCACAAAAGGTCTTGTCACAAGACTTTCAGGAGGAGATGGCCCGGTTGAGATCGCGAATCCAGGAGCAGACCATCCGAATCTCCGAGAAAGACAAACTACTTGAGGAGCAGCAAGTCAGGGTGGAATTGCTCGAGTCGCGGGCCAAAGAGACCAAGATCAAGGATGACACTGTCAAAGCCATGAAGGATGAGATCGAGACGCTCCAGGCCAAGAACACTACCGCACACCAGAGTCTGCGAAAACTGGAGACAGAATACCAGGCAATGTTGGAAGCGAAGGCCGCCCAGGAGACGGAGCTTGAGGGTGTCAAGCAACACAGTCTCTCACACGCCCATGGTCTGACGGCCGGTACCGTGGATGAAACAAGCTCGACGCGTGCCAAAGCCGAAATAGATCAGCTCCAGGTGGAAATCGCCAGTTTACAGGCATCTGTCCGCTTCCTCAAACACGAGAACCACCAACTCAGAATCCCTGTCAGCGAGGTCAATCAGGCTGCCGTAGAGCAAGCATGGCTGGATGCCGGTTGTCTCAAAGCAGTAGCGAAAGAAGACAAGACCGAGCGACTACGACACGAATCGCGAGACATGTTCGCCGGCCTCATCGAATTGGCCAAAGCATCCAAACCCATCAGACTGGGGTCAGAACCAATCCACAAACAAAAGCTAAATGGGCACAAATCATCTTGGCGACCCGATACGCAGTCGACGTTTTACAGCCTTCTTCGAAGTAAAGAGCAGCTAGAGCAATGGAATGAAGCAAAGGAAGACTTGATCCGAAGAGCGCGGGTTATGATTCGACCGTTACCGACGAAGCCTGTACAACATCAGGAAAGACGAGCGCCTGGCAAGGTTGGCCGGAAATCACACCAGGCTGGACTTGCAAAAATACCGGTGGCTGAAGAAGCCGACGACCTGGAGATTGCTCCGACTGTGGATGGAATTCAAGTGGTCGAATGATATTTTTTTCCCTGTGATCATACAATGTTCGGGCGAGACAGCCGCCACAAACCTTGCTATGGGATACCAGGATAAAGAATTGCACAGTACGGAGTACAGAGTACTAATAGCTACTGTATAGCTGAGGGTTTCCTGCCCAACGGCCTGCAACTCGGGGGCGCTGTCTTGGCGACTAATTAGATTGTTCAGCGAGGCTTAGGTCAGGGTTTCGCCAAAAGGGGCGAGGCTAGGTCAACCATAGAGGTGTAAGCGGAAGTACGGAGTACGGAGTACATCCGGGATACTCTGTACAACCAGGCTCCTCCGATCATTGTCGAATGTAAAGATGTTTACGGAGTACAGAGTAGAGTTCGAGGATTTGCACGGGGCACAGGGTTTGACGCTTCGCGGCATGGTTGATCACTTTGTACGCTGCCGTTATGGACATCCTGTCTCGTCTCACCAGCTCACGGATTCTCGCGGTACAACTTCCTAGCTATTGGCCTGATGTTAGATCCGGACGTCCAACACTGCCTGCCCCCTCACCGTGTCGTTCCGAGGCTCCTCCAGGGAGGAGGTCATGGTTCGCTGGTGTTAGGGCTACTTCAATCACGTAGCAGTTGCGAGGGGTGCGAGGTGTGCGAGCGGGCATGTTTGCTCATGAGATGGGCGACGTCGAACAAGGCCAACTCTCGGAGAGCAGTGGCTCCAGTGGAGAGCGGTGGACAGAGGTGGAGAGCGAGGGAGAGCGATGGAGAGCGAAGTGGGCGTCGATCATGCAGTAGAGTCTCGGAGAAAAAAAGCCAAGTGTGGCAGTGCTGGCTAGCGGACGAGAATGCGGATTGTGATGGGCTGGCGATGGTCAAGCTCGCGGTCAAGCTGGGCGCTAGAGAGCCCTTGACGCGCTGGAACAGGAGACCGCAACAGGTCGATACTCGGCACACTCAGCAAAGACTGCTCTGCATCATCAGTTGCTCTCACTCAGCAGAGGTGACAGGCAGGAAAAGTCTCTCAAACTGAACCAGTAGTGGCACGTAGCACATCGACAGTGCCCGCCAGCAAGCCAGCAAGCCAACTCGCCAAGTACTTGGCGGCCAACCGCAAACTAAGTTGCCCTTGAACGCCCTGCCAGTGCCTCCCAAGCCCTGACCTTCGACCCTGCTGCAGCACGGGCATGAGGAAAGCTCTATATCGCCGTCCTCATTCTTCATTAGTTTATTAGTACTTCTTCTATCACCTGCCAGTGTCGCTTCCTTCTGGCGCAGGCTTGTGCCCATACCGAATGGGTACGTTCCTCTCTTCCCTGCGCCTACCTATCATCCTCTCCTTGCTTCCGTTCTCTCACATGCCCTTTCTCCGTCTCTACCAGGTAGACATTGTCGCTGACTGTAGGCCCCATGGCGCCGTCGCCCAACGTAGCTGCCACCAATATCCGCAAGCTCTTTTATCTGACGGGCAGTGAGCACCGCGAGCGTGACGCCATGCCCGCCGCAGAGGGTGGCCTCAACGGCGATGCAGACCCCAATGAACGAACCAGTCTGCTCCATCGCATCACCGGCACCGGTTCTGGGACTCCCTACTACAAACATGAGAACCGAGCAGTGCGATACCCATTCCTCGTCCTACACCTTACGTGGGAGATCTTGAAGACGAACTACGTCAACGTCCTGCTGGTCTTTGTCCCCGTGGGCATCCTGGCTGGTCTACTGAATTGGTCTCCCACCCTCCAGTTCATTCTCAACTTCATTGCCATCATCCCGTTGGCTTCGTTGCTCGCCTTTGCGACGGAAGAACTTGCGGTCCCCCTGGGCCAGACCATTGGAGGGCTTTTGAACGCGACGTTTGGGAATGCGGTCGAGTTGATTGTGAGTGAGCACACTGGAGAAAAGCTGGGAAATAACCAGGGTGCGGCCACCGCTGACGCTGAATAGGTGAGCATAATTGCTCTGCGCAACAATCAAATCCGCATCGTGCAAGCCAGTATGCTGGGTAGCATCTTGTCCAACATCCTGCTCGTCCTGGGATGCTGCTTCTTCGTCGGCGGCATCAGATACAAGGAACAAAGCTTCAATTCGACCGTAGCATCCACCATGTCCTCACTCATGACCGTAGCGACGTCATCACTGATCATTCCGGCCACGTTATATGCTGTCATGTCCGAGGGTAAAGCACAACAGGATAACATCATGTTTTTGTCTCGGGGCACGTCGATCATCCTGCTTCTCATCTACGTGGCATACCTCTACTTCCAGCTCAAATCTCATGCCCATCTGTTCGACGATCCCGAGGCACACGAGAACGACAATCCCGAAGACCAACTTCTAGGGCCGTGGTCTGCGGGCGTTGTCTTGGTGGTCATCACCCTCTTGGTCGCAATTTGTGCCGAGTATCTCGTCGACAGCATCGACGCCATCGTCGAGGAAGCTCATATCAGCAAGACCTTCATTGGTCTCATCTTGATCCCCATTGTGGGGAACGCTGCCGAACATGTCACAGCAGTGATTGTGGCGTGGAAGAACAAGATGGATTTGGCAATCGGTGTGGCCATTGGATCGAGCTTGCAGATTGCCATCTTCGTCACTCCGTTCCTGGTCATTCTTGGCTGGATCATGGATCGACCCATGACCCTCCATTTCGAGACTTTTGAGACTGTTTCCTTCTTCCTTGCCTCACTGGTCGTGGTCCTCTTGATCCAGGATGGCAAGTCGAACTACCTTGAAGGACTCCTGTGCCTGGGCATGTACATCATCATCGCCCTGGCCTTCTATGTCTTACCGGACGATCCGGATTCCGGCTTGAACCTTGGGAAGTTCTTTTTCGGAGGTGGTGGGAACTAAAGGGACAATCCAGGTCCTAGTTTGAAGTTCTCCAACTGTCTCTTTTGTGAAAATATTTCTCGTTGCTCCATGTCTATGAGGCATGGCTTGGTTGTGGGCGGTTACTAGGCGAATGGTATATTATTGAAGTTGACAGAAGGCGTTGCAGCAGGAAACTGCCGACGAGCAAAGAAGAAGGCTCTTGTAACATCTGGATACCCGAAAGCAGAAAAATACTATGGCTCTCCCCAGTACACATCAACTGCTCGTGCCAAATAGCTGCACACTGGCAGCACATGTAATAAAAGTTATCGTATCATTATCTACCTACCTAAATTGACATGCTCCAGCGATACTGTACTGGTACTGTGCTGCGCACATGCAGCGTTCTGCTGCCCTAGAGTACGTAACCGAAGTCAGACCGCATTGGTGGAGAAGCGCCCCACGTGACCAGGACCAAAAGCTTGTGTCAACTCGATTTCGATGACCCAATGCGTTTCTGAAGCTCGAATCTAACAATCCCATCAGACCTCCAACCATGCCGCCTCGGATAGCTCTGACCACGGCCCGCTCGTTGGCCTTCAGGCCGAAATCTACGATCCCGCAGAAGCGATTTGCTCCCACTCTCCTTGCGCACCCGGTGCGAGCGGCGAGCGACGATGCCACCAAGAAACCGGCCACCACTCCTACCAGCCCTGACATCAAGGGCCCGAACATGGATCCCTTACCCCATGTGACAGAAGAGCAAGCGGCGCTGGACAAGACTATGGGAAAGACGCCGCCGGACCTTGAGCAAGGTACACCTGTGCAGGAGGTGAGTGAGCATGTTTGCCCCCCGTGGAACTGGTTCTGGTTCTGGTTCGGATTTCAGGCAATTGACCACGGTTGGTGGGTTTGACAGATCCTCGAACGTGACAAAGACGCCCAAGAGAAAGCACCGGAGGTGCTAAAACAGAGCATCAACTCCAAGTCCAACACTGGCAGTAGCATCAACTCCACGTCCACTTCCAACACTGGCAGTGGCAGTAGCACCAGCCCTTCCGGATCAAGATCGTTTTCGACCACGACGAGACGGAATGCCGAGACTGCGGAATTGGTTCGATTCCAAGACACAAGAGCAGTGGGGCTCGAGTATCCAGACGCAGGATTTGGTCACAAGTTCCCTTTGCCGGATATCTCGAAGTTCCCCAAGACAAATAATCTCAAGAAGCGCTATGATGAGGTGGTGGACCAGGTCACTAGAAGTTTGATGCGGCATGGCAAATTGAGTTTGGCACAGAAGGTAAGATCTAGTTTCTTTCTGCGTGCAAGTTTGTCCTACTAGGAATACCTTTCCCGTGTGCGGCTTGCTCTACCAGGAATCCCTTCTTTCTCGTGTGCGGCTTTCCCCACCGAGAACCAGAGTCCAACTCTACGTGTACCCTCCCCCGGCGCCGCAATGAGTCCAGCCCGAGCTCGAGTTGCACAGTGGACGACTTGAAGCACCAGGAATCCCTTCTTTCCTGTGTGCGGCTTGCCTTACTCAGAACCCCGTATGTTAACAAAGTTGGTGTGCAGAATATGGATGAAATCCTCGACAACCTCCGCAAAGCTCCTGTCCCTTCGGCCAGCGCGGGTGGCCATACGCTGATCACCAATCTACCGTACGAGGCCCTCCCTCTCTCGCCAATTCAATACTTAACCGCCATCATCGACTCGGTGGCGCCTCTGGTGAAAATCCGTCAACAGAAAGGTATTCTGGGCGGTGGTGCATCTATGCCGGTTCCTGTCCCTCTACAACGGCGTCAACGGCGACGCGCGGCCATTCAATGGATTCTCGCAGGTGCGGAGAACAGACGAGAAACGAAACTTGCCGAGCGAGTGTCGAAGGAACTTATTGCCATTGCGGAGGGAAGAGGGTCTGCGTGGGAGCGGCGGCAGAGGGTACACAAGATGGCGATGAGTGCCAGAGCGAATGTCAAGGCTGCGCTGAGTGGGCCTAGGAGAAGGAGATGAGGTGGTATATGATGCTCTAAGAGTAGGCTGGTGGTAGGGCGGTTGGAGAAGAAATACTGGCATTAGGGAGCTATCAAGAAGAAATACTGGCATTAGGGCGCGTCGGAGAAGAAAATACTGGCATTAGGGTGCTGTCGAGAAGAAAAGACTCGCATTAGGGTGCTGTCGAGAAGAAAAGACTCGCATTAGGGTGCTGTCGAGAAGAGAACACTGGCATCAGGATGCTTTGAGATGGTGGAAGGTGGAAGCTGGAAAAAGGAAAAAGTCATGGCTGCTGGAACTGGATGCCGTTCGTTCTATCCAGCAGATTGGCTTGATACACGGATTTTTTGAATGTTACATGTACATTACTACCTCTCTACCGATTTCCAAGGAGCATGAGGATGAGAATGAAAATGAGAGATTTTTGGTACCTGTATGCACGTGCTTACGACAGACTGACAGCGAGCCAGGTGCCTGAGAACAATCGCGATTGACGGGTGCGGCGACGTACTATGACACCAGGCATGACACCAGGCATGACACCAGGCATTGGCCGGCACCAAACACTGAACAGCTGCAGTCTCACAGGCAGCGTCGAACGCTTTCAATGATGAGAATTTACACTGAACAGCTACAGTCTTACAGGTCAGCGTCGAACGCTTTCAATGATGAGAATTTACACTGAACAGCTGCAATCTTACAGGCCAGCGTTGAACGCTTTCAATGATGAGGATTTACCTGGTACGACGCAAACAAACATGGCCTCAGGCCCTTGAGTCTCTTCCATAGCTTCCAATCAGCCGGGTTCATGGTTATTGGTTTATGGTTTAAGGTTTAATGTTTATCGAGCTGAACGCTCGCCATCCACCACTGGGCGCCGAAAGAATTCTCATTCCTCGCTCCTGGTAGCGTAATGACAGCGACAGCGACAGCGATAGCGACAGCGACAGCGATAGCGACAGCGACAGCACGAGACCTACCAGATTACCCCAAGTTGGCTACATGCAAGCTCCAGCTCCAGCTCCAGCTCCAATTCGTCAACGTCAACGTCAACATCACCCACACGCTTCAGGTCAAAGAAACGCCGAGGAAGAGGAAGGGAAAGAGGAAGATGTCGGCAGGACCGGATCATCCCCCTATCACAATACGCGATGATCTAGGTACCTGGCTCTAGCTAGGGTAGGAAGGGAAGGGAAGGGAAGTATCTATATAGAGTATATTTATATATGTCTGTATATGTCTCTCCGTACACCATATAGAGTACCTACTCCGTTAGGTGCTGTACCTTGGTAAAGATCAGGGCGAGCCGCATTCATTATCATTATTATCATTAGAGCATGTGAAAAGGTGGAAAGGTGGGTCTTTGAATTGACAAGATTTCCTAATCGAGACGGTATATACATGCCATTCTATATATCCTCATCCTTATCCTATACACTTCCCTATATCGCTACCTACTTGCCTAACTAGCTACCTGCCTACCTAACTAGTCACCTATCTACCTGCCTGCCTGCCTGCCTGCCTAGCTAGCAGCCTATCTACCTATCTACCTCTACCCTGTAATGCGGTGGTATGTATATGTATATTGCTGGTTGCACATTACCTAGATGGTAGGTAGGTAGGTAGGTAGGTAGGTAACTTTGTTTGTTTATTTGTTTCTTTGTTATTCGTACACCTCTTCAAGGACTCAAGTCTCAGCCTATATGGGTCAAAGCCTGCTCCGGGCACGTCCTGCGTCCTGCGTCCTGGGTGGTCCTCGGCCTTATCCACGTCAACGGTCCGAAGTAAATGCCCGAGGCTATATACATAGGTGTGTATCCTTGATCTTTGAACTAGGTAGGTAGGTACACAATCGGTCGAAGTACCAACACCTTGAAGCCACCTAACACCTTCAAGCCATAGATGAAAATAAGAAGCAATGTCTTGCGCATCCTCGCAGAAAGCAGTTACACTAGTATCTGGAAGTATAGTAGTCATACTGAGAAGCAGTTACACTAGTAGCTCGAAGTATAGTAGTTATACTATAGAAACATCCAGCATCCATAACACGCCTACTTATAGCTGGAAATATAGTAGTCATACTGTAGAAGTATCTCGAAGTATAGTAGTTATACTGCAGAAGCAGTACACTAGTATCCCGAAGTATAGTAGTCATACTGAGAAGCATCCACATCACGTCAACCAGTATCCCGAAATATAGTAATCATACTGCAGAAGCAGTACACTAGTATCCCGAAGTATAGTAGTTATACTGTACAAGCAGTCACACTAGTAGCTCTATAGTAATCGTACTGCAGAAGCAGTACACTAGTAGCTCGAAGTATAGTAGTCATACTGCAGAAGCATCCACAACACACCACTAGACGCAAACACAAAAGGAATGCCCTGAGGCCCGTTGAATCGAATGGTCTTGTAGACGAGCAATTCGCTGGTGAAATGCACGGCGGCCACCACATACCCCCACAGGGCTAGCTGGTAGGCCACGGGGTTCTCGACATGGTAGGCGCCGTAGATGCGGAGCAGGCCGGCAACGAAGGTATAGACGCCGAAGAGTCGGCCGGCCAAGGGGTTGACCTGGTCCTTGGCTTTGGCGGCTTGTCTATCGTCACCGGCGACAGGTACGAGCTGAGACACGCTGTCATCGGGGGTGGTTGAGGTCGAAGACGAGACTCGCGGCACAAACAGACCGTTGTAAATCCGACGGGTGGCCGACAATGACGTGTAAGACCCGATCGTGCTATAGGCGGCGGCCACCGCTGACTGGGATGTCGATTCTGGTCAGTGATGGACGGAAAGAGGGGAGAAGGGGCACGGTCTGAATTTGACCTTGACCTTGACCTTGAGCTTTCCGGGGACGATGGTCTGCCGCCGGTCCTTGATCCGGGTGACTAAGGTGGGGGGAGGGAAAGAAAAAGAAAGGGAAAGGGGAAGGAAGGGAGAGGGAAAGAAAGGCAAATGGAAAGGAAATGATGACTGCTTACGACGAAGAGAAAGACGGGCAAGTAGCCCTTGTCGGTGGGCGGGAGCAATGCCCGGACGCTTGCCATTGTTGTCGTTCTCGTTCTCTGCTCTTTGGTTCGACCTGGGGGAGATGTGATGTGATGTGGGTGAGTGGGTGATGTGTTGGATGGTGAGCGGTGTACGGTGGGCACTGGGCGCTGGGCAGGGATTCCTGAGCACTCGGGGCGCCTGTCCGAGGGGCTTCGGGCGTTGATATATGTAGTAGGATGCAAGGTTTAGCCGGAGGAGGAAGAACATGTAAATAAAAGAGAAGGAGGAGGTGAATGGTGGGGTGAAGGAGGCGGAAAGACAGGAGCTTGGAAAGCCGGGCCTAAGGTAAAAAGATCTCCTCTCCTCAGCCCGTCCGATTCGGTCTCCTCCGGCTAGCTCTACTTCAAGTTCCGGTGGTCAGGATTTATGTCTTACCTAGTAATTAGGCGGAGGCTTCATCGACCTGTTCTTTCCGTTGTGCCATTCTATTCATTTATTATTCATTGTACGGTACGGCGCGGTCCGGAAAATGATTCATGTCCTGCTCCTGCTTGCGGGGTGGAAGGTAAGGAGGTACAAGGTATACTGGATCCGTATATAGGTGGACGGGTGGAAACAAGTCTCTATCTCCGCTACTGCCATCTACCACTATATAGTATATACACTATACACTATAGGTGGTACTGTATCTACCTACCTATCTATATGGGGAGAGGCAATCCTACCATATAATTCGAATCTCAATCTCGAGTCTCGAATCTGTACTGTCTTGTCCTGTCTTGTTGGTCTCGGTCGCCCACAACCAACAAGCCATGGACGACCTCCAGACCCTCGTGGCCCGGTGGGCTTCTCCTAAGGTCCTGGTCGGCCTCGTCGCCAGTGTCCTGCTGGTCATCTTCTTTTATCAGGGGCGAGACCCCTCTCTTTACAGTCGCTTACCGACCATGAACGACAAGGGATTCTTGGAGTTTTCCAACTCGCGCGTGAAGCGGAACTTTGTGATCAACGGTCGTCGCCTGCTGCGGGAGGGCTTGAAGAAATTCCCTGGCCGGCCGTTCAGGATCTTGACGGACTCGGGGCCCTTTATCATCCTGCCGCCTGAGTACGCGAACGAGGTCCGCAACATCTCGAGCCTGAATCATGCCCAGGCCATTGCTAAGGTCGGCAGCCGTCTTGTCTTCTCCTGTCTTGTCCTGCTTGCCCTGTCTTGCCCTGTCTTGCCCTGTCTGATCTGATCCTTGACGCTGACATGATGGCCGCCTAGTTTGTGAACGCCCGGTATCCCGGGATGGAAGCATTTTACGAGTTTGCGTTTGGCGGAGACATTGTGCAGGATGTCATTAAATCCAAGTTGACACAGGCGCTGGGTATGTGACAGGACAGGACACGACCGGACATTCATCCTCTCCTCTTCCTCCTCCTCCTCCTCCTCCTCCTCTCCCTCCGTGTCAGACCAAAAAAATTCACAAGCTGACCATGACCATGACAATCAGGGCGGGTGACAGAGTCGCTCTCAGACGAAACCTCGCTGATGTTGCAGGAATCCTTCGGCGACGAGAAAGGAAAGTCCCGATCCTGGTCCCGCACGCGAGCTGTGTGTGCCCCCAGGTTACGAGCCTCTCAGCTGACATGACGACGGCTTGCAGATTGGCACGCCATCAGCACACACCCGACGCTCTTACACGCGGTGGCACGGGTGTCGTCGCGGCTGTTTCTGGGTGACCGGCTCTGCCGCGACCCGGAATGGCTGCGCATCACGACCACGTACACGCACCACGTCGGGCGGGCGATCAACGAACTCAACACCTGGCCGTGGCTGATGCGGCCGGTGGTGGGCCAGTGGCTGCCCCGCATGCGCGAGCTGAGGCGGCAGGTGCGCGAGGCCCATCGTGTCATGGGCCGGGTGCTGGAGGAGCGGAAGGCCCTGAAAGCAGCAGGCCAGGCGCCCGAATACGTCGACGCGATCGAATGGTTCGACCTGACCGCCCACGGCCGACGGTACGACCCCGTGCACGTGCAGCTGACCTTGTCGTTCGTCGCGATCCACACCACGGCCGACATGATCACCCAGGTCATGTTCGACCTGGCCCAGCACCCAGAGTTCATTCAGCCGCTGCGGGACGAGGTGGTGGCCGTGCTGGGGAAGGAGGGCTGGAAGAAGACGTCGCTGTACAACATGAAGTTGCTGGACAGCGTGCTGAAGGAGTCTCAACGATTGAGGCCGATCAACGACAGTAAGTGGATTCATTGATTTATGGGCACTCTTTCCAAACATCTTTTCACTCCCGTGCGAGGGACATGACATACTTCCTTACCTGGCTGACCGCTGACTACCCGCAGCCTCCCTACAACGCCTCGTCCTCGACGACGTCAAGCTATCGGACGGGACGCTGCTCAAACGCAACTCGGTGTGCGCCGTGGCCTCGACCCGCCACTGGGACCCGGAGTACTACGACAACCCGGAGCAGTTCGACGCATACCGCTTTCTGAAGATGCGGGCCGAGCCCGGCAAGGAGAACGTGGCGCAGTTCGTGTCGACGAGCCCGAATCACCTGGGCTTCGGGCACGGCCAGCACGCCTGCCCCGGCCGGTTCTTTGCCTCCAACGAGATCAAGATCATCATGTGCCACATTCTGCTCAAGTACGACTGGAGGTTGATCGAGGGCCAGCAGCCCAAGTCGATTGTTTATGGCTTTCTGCTGGCCGCGGACCACAGCACCAAGTTGGAGATCCGCCGTCGCCAGGAGGAAATCGATATTAGTGGACCGTGATTGGGAGGGGAAGGTGAGGGTGGTGGTGAGGGTAGCAGCAGACGGAGGAGATTTCTTTATAGGGACTGGGACCGGACTGGTCAGGAACTGGTTACTCGAGCATACAGTAGTAGATCTGTATCTATACTGTCCTGGATGGATATGGAGTACGGATACGAGTACTGATACAGTGCCCAGACCTCGGCAAGCAGTCCATCGTCGCCTACCATCGCTACCGCTGGCACTACCACTACCGCTACCGCCATCCTTCCACATGACCTTGGAACTGTCAATGTCAATGTCATGGCAGAAGCATTCCAATCAAGCACAATCGAAAAGCACATTTGAATTTGATGTCTTCGGAAAGTTGCCAGCGCCAGATCCGGATCCGGGTCCGGGTGGTGCGGATGATCGGGATCGGGGTCGGGATCGGGTCACTGGGGATCCGGGGAGTAGGGGGGAACAGCTCGCTCAGATATAAGTATCCGTGGGTACTCCGTACAATTACTGTGCCGAGATATGTAGGTAAGGTAATACTGCATAGATGATCTGGACGGCACGAAGCATACAGGATGAGGACTCTGTAGTATCAACCATACGATACCTCATACCTACCTAGGGTGGTAGAGGTGGTCCCCCCTTATGTTTCCCGTACAAGAACTCCGGGGAATACACGAGTACTTCCTGCTTCCGGGATTCGGCAATGGCGCACCACCACTTCCGTCCCGTCGCTCATGCTCAAGCCACTGCCTTCACCTGGGCTCACTAATAGTAATTAGAGAGTAGATCTCTCGGGCTCGAATCACTCCTTCACTTGATGTACTCGGCGCGGATACTTGTGATGGGTCAGACGCCAATCCCCAGTCCCCAATGCCTAAGCACTCGCTGAGACTGGTGATCCGTGGTCTATCTTTGTCTCTCTGATCCTTATATATCACAAGAGAGCAAGCACTGTTTGTTGTTAATCGACTGATGGATGTGAGTCGGACTGGCCAATAACTACTAACTACTGACCATTTACCACTGGCCCGTGACCGAAATGGCGGATAACCACAATTATGCATTCGTTGGTAAGTCCAGGCCCGAGTACTGTACAATCCAAGTCGGCGCACAGCCCTGTCCTGTCACGTTTCTTTTCTATTCTGTAACAGGAGACGGGATAAGGCTGGCTGGGGGGAGAATGCCTGATCCTGGCTGACTGGCTGACATGTCCACCTCCCTCACCTCATCCCTCCCTATATTGCTGCACCACACACCTGACTTTCCTCTGCAGGCCTCGGAGCCATGGGCTTCGGCATGGCCAGCAACATCCGCAAGAAGATCCCGTCGTCATCCATCCTATACATCTACGACGTCTACCAGCCGACCTGTGACAAATTCGTCGCCGAGTTCGGCCAGTACGGTCCCATCGAGATCACCCAGTCAGGGAAAGAGGTGGCGGCGAATGCCCAGGTCCTCATCTCCAGCCTGCCCAGCCTCGAGAGCGTGCGCACCGTCTACCTGGACGAGACCACGGGGGTGGTAGCGGCGCCCGCCAACCCCGATCGCTTGCTCCTGGAGTGCAGCACTATCGAGTCGTCGGTAGCCCGCGAGTTGGGCGAGAAGCTGGCGGCCGCGAAGGCCGGGGTCTACGTCGACACTCCGGTGTCAGGAGGCGCTCCGGCGGCGACGGCGGGCAAACTGTCGTTTATGATCGGACATGCCAACCCTAACCCTAACCCTGACTCTAAGCCTGCCGAGGGATCGGGATCAGGGTCAGACCCCATCGGTCAACGCATCCAAGACGTCCTCTCTTTCCTGGGCGAGCCACAAAAGTTCTTCTGGTGTGGCCCGCTGGGGGCCGGGCTAGCGGCCAAAATCAGCAACAACTACATTTCCTGCACCGTCTTCCTGGTGGTGGCCGAGGCCATGGCCATTGGCGCCCGGTCGGGCATCGACCCGGCCCTGCTCAGCAACGTCATCCGCAACTCGTCCGGCCAGACCTTCATGGGCGACATCGTCACCAGCGTGCCCAAGGAGCTGCTAGAGAGTAAGAATGGCTTTCCCGCCCATCTGATGATCAAGGATCTGGGTCTGGGCGTCGATGTCGGCAAGGCCACCGGCGTCACTCCGCACATGGCCCTGGCGGCTCTGGATATCTGGAAGCAGGCGGCGGAGGATCCGGCCGTCGTGGTCAAGGATGGGTTTCCGCAGTTTAAGAAGAACTAGTGAGGAAGATGGTGCAGCAAGGGTTCAGTTTACTGTGCCGCAGGACGGACTGGACGGTGTAGCGAGGAGCTGGACTGTGCTGTACTGTACAGTATGGTGTAGTACAGTTCCCGGTCCGGTCTGGTCTGGTCCAAGGAGAGCTGGACAGCACTGTCTACTCATCTATTTCAGAGTGAGGCAGCTGGACATACCCAGTCGATCATGCCGTTCATCTAGAAGAGGTGATTGCTATCTCCATCTCCATCTGCATCTGTATCTGCATCTGCACAAGCAGAAGCACAAGCATGACAATAAGAAAAAGCACCAAAACAAGAACAACAGGATGTGGAACCCATAAAATCCACCCCCCCGAATGAATGCATGCACCCTGCACGATTTGCCTGTTTACCCGGGAGCCACTTTTCCTCCATATCCATGTTCATATCTATATCCTATTCATATCACATTCTGCCGCGCTCTACATTGCATAACACGTGTCCTCGTTCCCGTTCCTCGTGTCAGTCAAGTCAGTCAGTATCCGCGCGCCTGTTGATCATTATTCATCTATTTACGCCCGTTGATCATCATTCATCTATTCACGCCGATCCCAGGATTCGAGGTCCAGACTCTCCAGACCCCGGACTCCAGATTCCAAACTCCAAACTCCAGACTCCAACTCCAGCACCATGCTCGACCCCTGTCCCTGTCGCTTTCCACCACCATGTCCATATGGCATATTCAAACGCGCAGGATACTGGATACTGGACACTAGACACTGGACACTAGACAGGGCTCGGGCACGCTCAATTCCCGGATTCCGAACGAGCGAACACTATCCAATTCCAATTCTAATTCCATATCCAATTCCAGTTCCAGCTCCAGTTCAGTTCTAGTCCAGTTCCCCCACACATCGCTTCGCCCCAGACCGAACCAACCCAAATCAAACCACACCGAGACCGGGACCGGGACCGGCTCCAAGTCCAGGGTTGATCCGAATCCAGACCCAGGCGATCCGAGGTCTACTCACTACGCACTAGCCTCTAGGTACTCGTACTCGGTACTAGGTGGGCTGCACATGGCTTCGGTAGGTACTTCGTAGATTACCTAGGTAGGTACGCATAACTCACTACTCACTACCTAGGACCCAGGACCTAGTACCTACACATCCTGTACATCATACGGAGTACTGTACGGAGATAGTACCTAGTACCTACACATCCTTTACAGTGTACATCATACGGAGTACGTGTACTGTACTGTTAGAGACGATCCCCTGTCCTTATACCCTGCTGGTGCTCATGCTCACTCCACATCCAGCCTCGACGGATACCCGTACCGTGAGTACCCTCCACCCACCACCCTGCACCCTCCATATGGATACATTTAGCCTCTGACCCTCTCTACTGGGCCGACTGGGATGGCTACCGTCGGGATCGTCGGTATTGTCGGAATTAGCATGGCATCCCTGGCATGGCAACGCATCGCATGGCATCGCGTGACAGTGACAGCCGCTGGATGTTTAGCCGCTGGACAGTGCACAGCACACAGCACACTGCATCGAATCGAGGCAAGGTGAGGCCTGCCTAATGTACGGACTACTAGTTGTACCTACCTAGTACACGTACATACAGTACATTCCGTACTGTACAGTCGGTTGGAACCAACATGTGAGTCCTGGCCACTACCTCCTTCCCTACCTTGTATTCACGGTTAGCCCCCAGCCCTGTTTAGCCGCGCCACTGCATGGTCGCCATGGACAGTGGACAGACATTAGTCCTAGTCCTAGTCCTGGGTATTGACCTGGGTGTTGACCCCGGACCTTTTTAGTCCTGGATTGATTGATTGATTGATTGACTGAATGACTGGACGGACGGACAACTGGATGGATGGATGGAGGAGGTTAGTCCATACATACATACATACAGTACGACCCGTATACCCCTACCCCGTAGATATTAACCAGATGCGCCCTTCTCTGCCCTACCCTACCTTACCATCACTCCTTGCCTCCCGTCCTGTGGCTCTTTGCTCTTTGAGCTGGACATACATACAGACAACATATCTATACTATTTCGCCCTCCTCCTCTTCTTCTGTCGTCGGATCCTACCACTCACCACTCACCACCCATCAGAAAGGGACCCTTCTCTCACCACAGGTAGCTCAGCGCAGAGTACGTCCCCGTCCCCGTCGCCGCCATGGTCGACAAGCCCGTGTCCAGTACGCTGGGAGAGGTCCAGGTCCAGCACAGCGAAGGGAAAGTCAACCATACCGAGAAGGATCTTTATCACGACCGCGACCATGATCATCTTGAACACCCGGACTGGCGACTGGATGCCAAACTCGTCTTGGTGTTTGTTGTATGTGTTTTGTGTTATGTGTTTTGTGGCCGAGTCGATCTGTTATTCTCTCTTCGGGTGGTGGTGGTCTTGATTTCCTTATTCTTCCTTCGGGGTGGTGTTGGTCTTGATCTCTTTTCATTCCCATTCCCTTCCCATTCCCTTCTCCTTATTGCTGTCGAGTCTTGCGTCCTTTGTTCCGGTTACAAGATATTATCTCACGTTGGTGTTCTGTTGTATCATGTATTCACGCTCTCTTGTATCATGTATTAATCTCCTGTTGGATCCTGGCGTTTGATTTCTCTCACGTTCCTTGTCCTTGTACCCTTACACTGTTTCATGCTATTGGGTTTCTGGTTGTTGGATCGTCTGGAGATAGATCATACCAACACACCATACCATCCCCATACCATCCCCATACCAACATGTTATACGACGCCACCATGTTATACCATCCCATCTTTATACCATACCACCTTGTTATACCATCCTATCTCATACTACACTCTATATACCACCATGTTGTACCATCCCATCTCACACCACTCTCTTAATACTAACCACCTAATACTAATGCTAATACTATCAGGCCATGATGGTTCAATACAACGCCTCCTTCTTCTCCTTCACCCTCACCGCCCCCATCACCTCGTACATCAACCAGGATCTCGGCCCCAAATCCTACTACATCTGGATGGCGACCGTGTGGCCGCTCACCTTCTCCGCCACCATGACCATCGTCGGCCGGTTCGAGGACATCTTCGGCCGGCGCTACGTGATGATCTTTGGCAATGTGCTGTGCGTGATCGCCTCCATCGTCGGCGGCACCACCAACTCCATCGGCGTGTTGATTCTGGCCAACGGGCTCAACGGCATCGCCGGCGCCATCCAGCAGACCGCCAGTGCCTGCGTGTCGGAGCTGGTGCCGCGGAAATACCGGCCTCAGGCGGCCTCGACTGTTGCGGGGAGTGGGATTGTGGGTGGAGCATTTGGAAGTCCTATTGGTATGTATGAAGTCTTTCACCTGATCCTGATCTAGAGCTGGTCGGGGTTCATATTTTTTACCTGTTTCTTCCGTCAGTCTTGGTCTGTGGGTATGATGTTTGATATCTGCTCTTCCATCAATCTTGGTCTGTGGGTTTGATGTTTTGTTTTTAGCTCTTTCTTCTATCAATCTTGGTCTGTGGGTTTGATATTTTATATCTGTTTCCATCATTCTTGGTCTTCAGGTTGATGTTTTAGATCTGTTCTGGTGTTCGGGTTGATATTTTAGATCTGTTCTGGTCTTGTTCTGCCACTAATACATCCCAGCCATCCATGTCGCCACCCATCTCTCCTGGCGCTGGGTCTACTGGATCACCATCATCGCCGCCGGTCTGGGCGCAGTCGGACTTGCGCTGTTCTACTTCCCACCGACATTCGAGGACGTGCACCGACGCGACCATCGATCGAAGCTAGAAGAGTTCAAGAAGATCGACGTGGTGGGCGTGATCCTCTTCGCCGGCGGCATCACCATCCTCCTGGTCGGCATCAGCTGGGGAGGCACCAACTACCCGTGGAAGAGCGCCGGGGTGATCGTGCCTATCATCCTCGGCGCCCTCAGCCTGGTGGCCTTCGGCTTCTGGGAGGTGTACGCGCCGCTGGCCGAGCCGATCGTGCCCTACCGGCTATTTAAGAACGTGCGCGGCTTCACCATGGTCCTGGTCGCCGAGTTTGTCGCCGGCATGTTGCTCTACTCGCTGGCCTCGCTGTATCCTTTGCAGATCCAGATCGTCTACACCTCCGACCCGGGCAAGGCTGGTTGGGAGTCGTGTACCGTGTTGATGGGCACTTTTGTCGGCCTCATCATTTTGGGCAATACTATTGGGCGGATTGGACATGCCCGATGGATCTTTTTGGGTTCCGTGTTTTTCAATACTGTGTTTATTGGATGCATGGCAGCTATGAGTGAGTTTCTTCTTCCTTCTTTTGTTATTAAGTGTCTCCTTCCTTCCCTCTATTGCCTTTGTGGCCTCTTGCCCCTTTTTCCTCTATTGGCTTCATTGCCCTTTTTGCACTCTTCTTTTGGCTCTATTGCCACCTTTCCTCTATTGCCTCTGTGCCTCTGTTGCTTCTATTACCTCTATTACCTCTATTGCCCTTTTCCTCTATTGCCCCCTTTCCTCGTTTGCCTCTGTGCCTCTGTTGCTTCTATTGCCCTTTTTCCTCTTTTACCCTTTTCCCCTATTGCATTTTTGTCCCTTTGCCCCTTTGCTCTTCCATCTCTAGTATCGTCACTCCAACCCCCCTCCAACCAACTACAACTCCTACTCCTACTCCTACCCAATCAACCATTTACTACGGTTACGGTATACTAAGAAAAAACAGCCATTCACTCCGCCGCCTCCATCATCGCCCTCACCACCCTCACCGGCTTCACCATCGGCTTCATCCAACTCACCGGCATTGTCATGATCATCCTCAACTCTCCCGACGAGGACATCGGCGTCGCCGTCGGCCTCAACGGCTCCGCCCGCACCTCCGGCGGCTCCATCGCCACCGCCATCTACAGCACCATCCTGGCCGATCGCGTCAAGCACGTCTTACCCGGCATGGTCGCCAAAGCCGTCCTCCCGCTAGGTCTGCCTGCTACTAGTCTCGGCCCGCTTCTACAGGTTCTGGCTTCCGGCGACACTGCGGCCGCGACAAAGATTCCGGGTATCAGTTTACCGATATTGGGTGCTGCACTCGAAGCGTTCAAGGAGGCTTATGTTAAAGGATTTAGGTGAGAAGCCCAGAAGAAGAGAACCCTCCCCCCTTTCTCCCACCCCCCCAAGATTGAACCAAACCCTCTCAGAAGAAAGAAGAACAATGCACATTGCCCCACGAAGATTGAAGATTGAAGATTGAACCAAATCACTCTCTTTGGACTTCCTTTCCTCCCTCTTTGGACTCCTTTCCTGCTCTTGCCAGCATGCACTATCCACTATTCACCATACACCATTTGAAATCGACAGTATACACTACAGTATACACTACAGCATACACTACAGCATACACTACAGCATACATTGTATCCACATTGTATGCTGTAGTGTATGCTGTAGTGTATACTGTATTGCATACTGTCTGCACTGTCTGCATCTATACTGTCTGCATGCTGTACTGTCTACTGTCTACTACTACTATCTGTCCTATCCTATCCTGAATCCATCGCTAATATCACATCTTCCACAGGCTCGTCTACCTAGTCGCCATCGCCTTCGGCGGCGTCGCCACCATCTGCGCCCTGTTCACCAAGAACATCGACCATCTCCTCACCAACGACGTCGCCGCTAAACTGCACACTCCGGAACTAGGTCTTGGGCACCACGACAAGAACCACAACCACGATCATAAAAATGGTCACGATCATGATGCCGAAGCTGGAGTTGGGACTGGGGTTGGGACTGGGACAGGGACGGGAGCTCTGCACGACGAGAAGGTCTAGTCTAGTCTGCTCCGGATACTGGGATGTGTCAAAGGTTGAAATGTTCCATGTTCCACGTCGTCTATCAAAGCGTCACAGGGGGAGCGGGAGCGCACGCTACATAGTATGCCTAATACCAGCCTTCTGGTTGAAGGGCAAGGCTGGGAATGGGAATGCCTAAGGTTGACACTAGTCTGTTCCGGATACTGTGGATGATAGGCGCCCTGGAGAGCGTTAGGTGCGTGGAGAAAAGAAGTCTAGTTAGTGTGTGTGTCCCCTCTCTCTATGTCTGTGTGTCTGTGTGTGTGCCTCTATGTGTGTGTGTATGGACTGACTGGACTGGACGTCAACTACATTCTCTGAACCCGAGAAGAAACGGTCCACTGTTGACGGTCTAGCAAGACTCAGCTAGCGTATATCTACATACATGCCTATATGCATATAAGCATATACATGTAGGGGATACTAAGGAAGATGTGCGATCTACGATCTAATGCGATATAGGATCTATCATCTAGAATCTTAGGGTTGGGGTTAGGGTTAGGGTTAGTTAGCAGGCGAGTGGATTGGATTATGTATATACTGCATAGCACAGCACAGCACAGCACAGCACAACATAACATGAGATCCATGATCCATGACCCATGATCTACTATCTATGATCGATGATCTATAATCTATAAACGAATAAACCCAGTCACGACTCACCGGTACTGAAAGACAAGACATGAATTGCTGTCTTGAAGAGTGGGATCTCGGATCTGAGAGTGCCTGGTTCAGGACGCAGACAACCAAGGCAGTCTCCTTCCTGAATATATACGTATATCAAGGCTATCGGCTAATAAATGACACAGTGAGAAGAGTCGATAACAGAAGCCAGAGGAGGGAAACATACATCATACTGTGGTGCTTGAAAGGTTCCTATATACATATATATCTCTACTGTACCCTGGTAAGAAATCTATATCGGCCCGGATCCTAAGCCTAAACAAAACATCTTGCAGATCTAGCTCTAATGACAATGGATTGTTGTTTGTCGAACCCCCCCAACTCTGACAAACAACAAACCGTCTACAACGCTACATCAACTAGTATACTTACTCCATGCCCGGATCTTGGCGCCGTATTTGTAGAAGATGAATGGCACTGGGATCAACGCCGCCGAGAGAAAGCCCGGAATGCTGCTCGCCCATCCCACACCGAGGTTTTGATACATGGCGTGGCTGAAGATCGGGAACCTGTGAGGGATGTCAGCATCAGTATACCGGAGTCAAGCAGAGGGGCAGAGAGTAAGAATCCACTCACGCTGCCCCGAAGATACATCGCAACAAGTCATTCGCGGCCAGGACGGAGGCGGCATGTTGTTGGTACGCCAACGCGAGATAGTTGAGGATTCCTTGCTAGACATAGTCCGTCAGCATACCACAGCAAGGAACAGCACAGCAAGCATGGAACAGCACAGCAAGCACTGCCACTGGGAAGCCATGGCGAGGACGAAGCTTGAAGTTTGATGACTTACAAAGAAAACAAGCAAAGCAAATCCGAACGGGACAGATCCAATCAGGGGAACGATCCAATGCCTGGGCATGTCAGTCAGTCACTCAGACTTCACACATTTGAGATGTCGATGGTGGTGTCAAGTCGACTTACGTCCTTGCTTGTGCCGCCCAGCCAAACCAGAACATGCTGATGGGCACGCAGAAACAGCCAAAGAGCATGGTCCAGAGCCATTCCTCAAGAGGAGGCGGCTGTCCAGTGCGTGCCCACTGCCCACCGTACCGATACCGGATGAACCACATCTGAAAGGCCATTCCGATGAAGACGCCAATGAGGGCGCCGAAGAAGCTTAGACCAACCACTCCCGGGCCCCAACCGTAGATTCCAGCGTAGACGAAAGGGAAAGCTTCGAAAAAGAGATACTCGATGCCGTAGAGAAGTGCGAGGTAGAGTGAGAGGAGGAGGACTAGCAGGACATCAGCAACGCCAACACCAACACCCAAAGTCTCGAGATGGACACTGACCGATGGGTTCGTAGATCAACATGGCAAACGGTCTGATGAGGTAGACGCGCGCCACGCTCTCCAACGAGAGAGCGCCGACTCTCTCGGTCGCCGATTTCCACTCCGGATTGCCCGTCTGCTTGCGCAGTCGTGCCGCCTTGTCGCTCAAGATCTTGTCCGCCGATGTCTCGGGAAGGAAGAAGAACGTGAGGGCGAGGACGAAGGCAGACATCCACAAGATGGCCCAGATGGTCCAGCGCCAGTTGTGCAGCTGGAAGGCAAATCCACCGATCAGCGGCCCGATCATGGGACCCATACCAGCAATACAGCCCCAAGTTCCAAGACAGTAAGGCACGTATCTGGGTTCGAAGACGTCGATGATACTGGCACCACCAACTGCCATGCAGGGGCTACCGATAATACCACCTAGCAATCTCATGGACAGAAGAGTGCCGAGATTCCCTGCAAGTGCCGTGGGTACCTGCAGGCACACAAAGACGATGAGAGTTGGGATGTACACGAGATTTCGTCCGATCTGTGGTATCTCGGACAGGGGACCCCAGATCTATTACCATCGCGCGTCAGGTCAGTCGGTTTCTTTGCCGTAATGCACTGCCGTATTAATTCACGCACCATGGGCCCTATCCCATACCCAACAACAAAGAGACTGAGGCCGAGAGCAGCTGCCGAGTTGCTGCAGTGGAATTCCTCCATGACGCCTTCCATTCCTCCAGAATAGACTGACGAGGCCGCGGTGACCGTAAAGGTTAGAAGGCCAACCTAAAATGGAAATCATGAATCTCACTGAGGTAACTCGAAAGTGGACACAGCGTCAAGACTGAGACTGACCTGGATAGGAATGAGGCATTTGGCAAAGGTGGAAAAGTTCTTGGGGTTCTTGGGATCATCTTCTCCATCCCAAGTGACCAAAAACGCATCTTTCTTTACCTCGACGAGGTCTTCGACATTGCCTGTGTTGAGGCCAGACTCGAGCTCGTGCTCTGGCTCTGGCTCCGACTCCTGTTTACTGACCGCCGTCTCAGCATGTGGAAAGAGCCGGCCACCGGTGATGATTCGAAGGAGCGTGACGGCCGGGGTGTTTTCGAAGTAATCCCTGCAACCCATGGTGGCAAGAGTCGAGGCTGAGATCTTTCCTAGGCAGTGATTTTGGTTTGGGACCCTTCAGAAGCATGTCGTCTTTTGTACTTGGGCCGAGACTCACGTAAACACACGACTTTTCTTCTACCGGCCGGAAGGGCTCCCCAAAGAGGTTGGGCATCATCCTGGACGCCTCCTGAGTCCTGCTTTCCTCGTGGGTGGGTGCCTGTCTGTTCGAAGTAGTAGCCAGCATGAGCACCATGACCCAGTCACCACGGCTGGCCGAGTCTCCACCTGGAGAGCGGTCTTACAAATTGACCGTCTGCAGGACACAATGGGTCAGCCTGGTTGCTGCTGATTTGCTGGGGCTTAGCAAGGCTGTGGATCAGCGGGGCCAGCTAACCGCCACAGGGAATTCTTACGGCCGGCAGATATGTCAGCATCAGTTTTCCATCTGCCATCATCTCGGTGCTCCGTGCATGTCCAGCCGTGGACAGTGGACAGTGCACCCTGACCCTGGTCCAGGTTAATCTCCAGGAACTTCAACAATCCTAATCCCTCGATTTTTCTCCTATGAAGTCGAACCCTCCCGATCTTGGCTAGCTGCCGTCGCTCCGCCGATGCAAAGGCTCATCCTCGACCGCCCAAGGCTTCCCCGACACCGGGAGGTGCGGGCATGTCTCGCTTGTCGCTGTGGGAAGTTCAAATGCGACCGATCCAAACCCCGCTGTCGACGATGCCTGACCCAGAACAAGAGTTGTGTTTACCTGTCGTCCACAGATGATAAACTTGCCCAAAAACTCGAGGCCGACGAGAATATAAGGCTCTCAACCCAGCAGCCCGCCTCCGCCTCTGGCTCTGGCTCCCAGCCATCAACCACAGGCAGCGGCCGTCAAGGTGATCAGACCATCTGGCCCAACCAAGCCGGTCTGCTGGCGGCGAGCGAAGATGCTCCCGGTCGGTATTATTCCAGTGCTTCGTGGGTCTCCTTCGTCGAGGATTCGGACAACTCGTCGCAATCGCAACCACAGTCTCCGTCAACTGCGCTTCCCAGAACGGATGGCCGAAAGTGTCCTGCTACTCGCTCATTGGGGAGTGCTGATGCTGACGTCCTGGGGACGGGGCCGAAGGATATGGAATCCAACGTTAGCTCTCTCCTTGAGATTGCGCCACTGAGTGAAATCCAGACACTGATCTGTCATTTCGCCGAGTTCAATCACCTCTACTATCCCGTGGTCGATTTACCTGAGATGATGGCTTTTCTTCGCAACCTACGGCACCACGACAGCATTCCCGTCGGCTCCGCGGCCCTGATTGCCGCCATGTGCTACCAAGCAGCCTCCTCTCTGAGCTGCTCGAGCGAACAGGATCCGAGGTCAGGGCCTTGGAGTATTCAGTCATCGGCTTGGAAAGCCCTGTCACACCAGCTCTTGTTTGCTTCGAGATATCCACTTCGACCGAACCTGAACACTGTCCGAGCTGCGATTCTCCTGGCCGTCTCCAGCATAGCCGAATGGGCTCCGGATCCGGACCCGACTCCGATTGCGGTGCTCGTGCGTGCCGGTCAGGCTCTTGGGCTACACCGCGACCCCGAATGGTTCCAATGTAGCGCTCGAGAGGCCGACTTCCGCCGGCGAATATGGTGGTCGATACATGGCATCGATCTGACGTATTCCATGGCTCACGGCGTTCCACCGTTGATCCACTCGAGGGGGTACGACGTTAAGACTCAAACTGGCCATGATCATGATCATGACGGTGACTGTAAATCCCTATCCGGATCCGAATTTGAAGCCCTCGAAGCGAGGAAGCCGGGCAACACTATCGACCTCCACCTGATGTGGTCCCGGATCGTCGAGACCATTTACAGCACCCAGAAGCCAACCAAGGAGATATTTGAGAAGCTTGAGGCCGAAATGACCGAGTGCTGTGCCGCAATACTGGACAAGTCTGACTCTCGCCGCCCGCTCCGTGAGCCAAGTCCACGTGACGAATTCATCGCGGCGTGCGAGAGGATGTGCTGTCATCGAAGCGTCTTGATTCTGCATCAACCGTATCTGCGATCTCGACTCTGGCCACAGACTTCCCGGGCCAAGACACTGGAGGCCTGCAAAGGCTACATCAGGGAGTACACGGCCACTCTTACCAAGCCGACCCTGAGCGCCTATCGATGGATCCTGCGTCATTACAGCGTTTTCCACATGTGTGCCATCATCCTACAGGACCTCTTTCAAACCCCTCACAGCAACGAATCTGCCGAACTTTTAGAGTTGATAGAGCGCACCTTTGCCCAGTTCTCCACATATCCAGACACAGACCCGAAATGGAAGAAGCTCGAGGCTTTGCGGGTGAAGGCGTGGGTCGCCAACGGATGGGTGCCTGCGGCTGAGAATAAGAAGCCCGACAACGTGGATGCGGGCGGAGGGGGCTTGGATTTGGCGTTGGGTTTGGATTTGGGTTTGGATTCAAATGCCAGTCTGCTAGAGCCGGAGTGGGAGTGGGATTGGGACCCTCTGCTTGCCTCGTTCGTCTGGGACGACTCTAGCAAACAAGCAGCATAGAGCGACGACGGGGATATGCGTCAAGACAGGAGCAGGTATCAGAAATAGAAGTAGTAGTAGTAAGAACGAAGAAATCACTATACCTTGAGGTGTAGATAGATACCAAATGGTACCTGGACGTACTAGAGACAGTTCAAAGGCGAGATCTTTCCAGCGAAAAGGGTGGCAGGTAGTTGTAGGTACTGTACTATTTAACCAGCCAGCTATGTTATTACTGTACCTAGGTACCTAGGTGGTACCTACCTAGTAGGCATAATAGACACCAAGGTGGTAGGTAGACGACAGGTAGATACCCGGTACTCTGTACTTAGGGTTAGGGTTAGGGGACTCTCTGTACTCCGTGATTCACAGTATTTCTACTGTAACGCGTAGCACCCGACGCGCCGTTCGTCACGCGTCCCGACCACCACCACCACCACCACCAACGACCAACGATTACTCCGTCCATCAGAATAGATCAGAATGGATTAATCATGTAGACTGGATTCCTGACTACTATTCTGTACTTGCTGAGGTATGGTCTGAGGTCTCTTCTATCATCTCTCTGCCTCTCACACCCTTCTTGTCTGGCAAGTGGAAGTGGCACAATTCTTCGACATTGATTGATTCGTTCTTTTGAGGGAGCTGATGACCTTCCGGTGCGGGACACGCGGACACGGCCATGGCATCAGACATGGCTTCGGCTTCGGCTTTGGCTTGAACCATCCAGGGATTGTTCAGCAGCCTTGCCGGTGGCAGTGGCAGCGGAGTGTACATTGGCGGAATAAGAATAGTGCACACCGGAATCCGAATGTGAGGGAGCTTGGACATGGACAGGGACAGGGACATGGCCATAGGACATTCGAATGGCAAGATGCATCCAAGTCCATGAGGAGGAGGTGCTTGCGGTCAACTTCACCTTCAACCTCGCAGACCATAACCACATTCTCATCGAATCATGCACCTTCGTATCCGTCATACCTTTCCTTCGACCCCTCGTCACCCCATGATGATCTCGCGTCTTTCCAACGCCACGCCCGGCGCAACGGTCTGTCACCCACCAGCACAGTCTACAGGGGCACATGTTATGAATATCTCGCGCAGAGCACGTTGCGGTCGTACGGGTTCGAACTGTATCGTGTCGGCGGGCGGGGTGATCGAGGCGTCGATCTGGTTGGTGTTTGGCGGATTCCGAAGCCTGTGTCGGCCAAGGGAGCGCGGGTGGAGGATGCCAGTGGTCTTGACAAGTCTAGAGATCATGAGTCGGATGAACAAGCCGGTGGCCACGGCACGTCAAATGAGGATCATCAAAACGTGTTGAATGAGGATCGCCTCAGCACGTCCAGTCAATCTACCCACGACATCTACAGTCCATTGAGTTCTCAACCAGAAACCCCCCAGAGAGCATCCAACGTGCAACGGCGTGCAGACACCCAATCCGACAGGCCCGACCAGGTAGATTCACACACCGTGACCGACACGCTGAGGGTTCTGGTCCAGTGTAAACGCCTCACTGGGAAACACGCGAAGATCGGGCCGAATCTGATCCGCGAGCTCGACGGTGCTGTTCGAGGAGCGAGGCACTCAGCTCTATGGGGGCCTGGTATTACTACTAGTGTTGCCGTTGACGTCGACGTCGATGCGGGCACTGGTACTGGTATTGGCACTGGTACTGGCACTGGTACTGGCACTGGCACTGGCACTGGCACTGGAACTGATACTGGCACTGGCACTGATGCTGGTACCGGTACCTCCAACCCCTCATTCCATTCCACAAACACATCTACAGGAACGGGCCCTGCGATCGGTATTCTCGTAGGCACCAGGTCGGCCACTAAAGGCGTTGTGGAAAGCATGCGTCGATCAACGAGGGGGTTAGTATGGATCATGATGGAGGAATTTGAGGTTGAGGTTGAGGATGAGGTTGAGATTGAAGGTGAAGGTCAAGGTGGGGTTGAAGGTGAATGTCAAGGTCAAGGTGAAGCCAGCATCGAAGCCAAACCTGCCGGCGAAGAACAGACTAGTGCCGCTGAAGTCGATAGCAGCGCCAGCGAGCGAAACCAAAAAGAGCAAAATCACCACAAGAAACAGATCAACCAGGTCAACCAAATCGACCCAAGGAAAGAGGGAATAAATCAAAGAGATGGAACCGACCTAAAGAAAGAGGGAACAAATCGAAGAGAGCAAACCGACCCCGACTCCGAATTCCATGTCGATGCCGATGTTGATGTCGATATCTCCAGCACAGACACAGACTCTGATCCCATCTCAGACCCAGACACAGACCCAGACACAATCCCGCCTACTCACCCTCACCCTCCTCGTCCTGCCCATCCCATCTTAAAAGGCCGCATCAGACAGATCCTATGGAACCAAGCGGCGCGCGATCTGGGCCTGGAAGGAATCGACGTAGTTAAACGCTACAGCTACGATTACAGCTACGACTACGATGAGCAGAAGCAGAAGCAGGGGCAGGGGCAGGGGCAGAGGCAAGAGCAGAAGCAGGCGACAGAAGAAGTCGTGTTTCTGCGTGGCGGGATGGTGTGGGGTGGGTCGTGAACGGGTGTCAAAGGCTGAAAGGTTCCATGTTCTCTATCAAAGGGGTATGGGGGCCTAGACTTTATAGGGATGCCTATACCAGCCTTCTGGGTAAAGGGCAAGGCTGGGAATGCGCCTAAGTTTGACAATAGGAAGACAGGAAGTATAGAATAAACAAGAACTAGAACGATATCAATGTCAATATCAATATTAATACCCTACACATAGTTACCATATATATATATTCTACACATACCCTATATATACCCTATACATAACCTACACATATATTGTATGGCAAGAATTGGAAATCTGTTTCAGTCTATTCCATTCCCACTAATTCAGGTACCGAGGGAACAAGTGTAAGTGTAAGAAAGTGGCCAGATGAGATGAGCTGACTTGAGCAGAGTAATACTGGAATGAAGGGATCACTAAATCCTCTGTCAACTCTCTTTCGTATTCTTATGCTTGTGATGACTGTGCCTGCGACTGTAACTAACTGGCCTATCCTTAATTCTCTTCAGAGGCTATCTGTCCCTTACAAGCCCAACCCAGACCAGACCAGACCAGGATATCCGCCATCTCTCGATCTATAAGACGGAACGACCCATCGATCAATCAATCTCTCTCTCTACCTATAGCCATCAATCAATATATGAGAACATCGACTCGACTCAACTAGACCCCTCTAGTCCAGCCCAGTCCAGTCCAGTCCAGTCTACCTCCAACCAAGTACAATCTACAACTTCGCCTTGATGGGTTCCGCTTTGGCCCCTTCCAGAGAAGGCAGCAACAGGTCGCGAATGTCGTTGGCCGCTTCGTTCAAGAAGAAGCTCATTCGCTCACACCCGAGTCTCTTGGATACCACGTTGAATTGTAAACTAATGGAAAAGGGTTAGCAATGCTTTCCTCTCCATCACAGCAATTTCCGTCTTTGCGAAACAAGACAAAATCAAGATCAAACGAGCAGCAAAAAAAACATACCTGTTTTCGTTGATCATATAAGCAATACCCCATCCCTGGTCGACCACTTGACTCCATCCGTAGCCGTTGAAGTATTCGGAACTCAATTGACTGGAACTAATGTACCACGTCGACGAGTATGCGTAGGCTGGGTCCTTGAACAGTTCCGGCAGTTCTTCGCCCTCTTTGATCAACTTCTTCAATCCAAACAAGTGTCGGTCGACCCCGTAGCCCTCGCTGGCGGCGGCCGTGTATTCCACGTGAGCCTTCACCGCGGCCCGGAATAGACGTTCGGTCTCTTCTCTCGGCACCGACGGGTCAGCGATGGCGTTGCAGAAGGCCACCGACTCGTCTGAAACAGAACGCGTGGTTTCGGTCCGGCCCAGCTGATACTTCCGGGTGGCGGCAGATTCGTACGTCGGTCGGTTCTTGCCGTACATCTTGTGGTAAGCCAGTTGAATGACCATTTGCACGTATGCGTCTGGGGAACACTTGAATTTCTTGATCAGTCCCTTGCCGTATGCTTGGTAGGCTTGCACTCGGAGATCGTGTTGAGAGATCACCTGGCGGAATTGCGCCTGGGCATTGGCCAGATCGTCCAGGACGGCGGCAGAGGTCTCGAATTTCAAGGGAGTCGGGTCTGGAAGGTCGGATCGAATGCTCGGGTTGTCAAAGTCCAGTTTGTTTTGTACAATGAGGGCGTTGACAGTGTCGCACAGACGGTGTGTGGGGGTGCCGTCCATCATGCTGTGTTCCCCGATGAAACCTGCGGTGCCATTGTCATTGACGATGAACTGCAGTGGCTTGTCAAACCATCGGTTTGCTCCGTCGCCGTGCCAGTAGACGTGGGCTCGCTCTTCCAGGGTGATGGGGGTGGTAGTGTCCAGGCAGACGACGAACGAGGAGGCTTCGATTTCCTTCAGCACGGCCTCGTTCAACGGAGATGCCGCCAAAAGGTTTTCGCGGGCTTTGGCACCTTGGTCACGCGGGAAGGTTGTGATGGCGCCAACGGGATCAGCAATCTGAGCACCTTTGTACACCTTGTTGAACTGCTGTTCCAGTTCGGACGTGTTGAGTTGTCTTCCGTTGGCATGGGTTTGGATCTTCCAGAATTGGTGGTTTCGCACCGCGATGATGTGCTCGTTGCCTTCGGCCGGGTATTGAATCGGATAATCGGTGGGCAACGCGGCGACTCGAGAGGTGTTGAACATGTACTCGTAGCTGCTCATCGCCATGGGCTTTCCGCGCATGTACTCGGGCTCCAAGCTGCTGGTGTCGACCTGGCGCTTAAACTCGAGAGCGGCGGTGGTGATGGCGGCCGCACGTTTGGCCGGGTCTCTTCGACGTCTATCGTCGCGGAAGGAGTAGAAGTAGGAAACATAAGGCACCACAGGGTCGCGGTAGCCCAGGTATGCCGCCTCGTTCCACCAATCGATGATCCAGTTCTTCACGTTGGGGTCCTGCGCTTTGGCGATCAATCTTTCTTGTAGCTTGGGTCCCAGACTTCCCGGCTTGTTGAACGCTGCCACCGCTTTTTCTGAGGCCGAGTATTCTTCTTTGGTCAGGAGAGGGTGCAGACTCTTCAGGTAGCGGGCGGATGTCTCTTCGAGGGAGGGGACTGGCAGTTTCGGCAGAGAGTCCTCGAACCGGAGCATGTTGCCCTTGGATTTGTCTTCCCGGTATTCTGCATACATTGAGGTTAGTCTTGTTCTTCACAGCATCTCATCTCGTCCGCTCGGGATGGCTTACCCTCAGGGACCCAGAACTGCGGTTTCGTCGAGGCTTTCCGTTTGTTTGCGGGGGCCATGGCGAATGCCTGAGACTGTCAGCTCTCGAACGGCCAATGTTGAGGATGAGGATTCACATCTTCCTACCTTGAAAGCTGCTGAAGTTCTGGATGCTCGAGGGATTGCGAGGAGTGATGAGTGTGCTCGACCAATGGAGGACAACATACCCAGATCACACAGGCCGCAAGGGAGTAGGGTGCAAGGAGGGACTGGGGACACGAAATTCAAAGATGGCAGCAGAGACAACAGATCAGCAGGCCGCACGAGACTTTTTAGATCGGACTGGATTCGGAGAGAGATATGGGAAGCAGCCAGGGCACGAGCTGTATTACCGCGGCGTTGGTAGGAGGGTGCGGGAGCGCAGAGGCGACCTCCCTCGACACCACGCACACGCACACACACGTTCCAGTTTTGGCCGAATGAGCCCGTTCAGCCGAGGTAAGAGGTGCCTGGCTGCCATTGGCTGAGTCGTCCGGGGCGGCGGGATGGAGATGGGAAAACATCGGCCCGGTGCCAAGCAGCAGCCATGTCGTACAGAATACCTCAATACTGCCAGTCAGAGATCTCGGAGGGAAGGAATATCAATATCACAATCAGCTTCAACCGGGAATCGATATCCGGAGCTCAGGAGGCCAGGGGTGGCGGCCTCAGTCATGGTAACGTTGCCCTCTCTCCCCTCTATCCTCTATGCTTATTACTGCCTATATCAGACGCACGCCGTTGACCCGCTCGAATAGCTGGGCTTCGGTTCTATAGTTTTTCACCCCCTGCGACATATCTGTGCAGCGCCTCTCCCAGGCCTACGTGATCTTCCCCGGTTTCTTCGTCCCCCTCATGCCACGACTCCAAAGCATTCAGACTGCACAAATGTCTCATCGTGGGTCGTCCGTGAGGACAATTCCAGGGCTTGTCAATCGTCCCCATATGCGACACCACCTTCTCCATCTGCTTCTTCGACAATGTCTTGCCGATCATGATGCTGGACCGACACGCTCTCATGGCAAACATCTTCCTCACTTTGGCCGGTCGCGGAACTCCCACTCCCGCTTCATTGCCACTGCCACTTCCAAGCCCAGGTGCCTCGGCGAGAAGGTGGATGAGTTCCTCGAGATCTTGTGTGTTGAAAACGACTTCCTTGCTCAACGGGAGACTGACAAGTCGGCATCGTTGTCCGACCATGCTTTCGCCGCTCATGTCCATCTCCACCACAAACCCATTCTTCTCCAGCCCTTCCTTATTCTCAAGCACTATCTCTTCTTCCACCGCCGTCAGATCTAGAATCGCCGGCCGGACAAGTCGCTGATTTCCCACCACAGTCTCGGCCTGTAGTCTTTCAAAGTTATATTTCTCATCGGAGGCGTGTTGGTCGATAATAAACAATTCATCTCGGCCTGACCGCTCCTTTCTGTCTGCTAGTATACGTGGTTTGGCGGGCCGCACCGCGAGGATAAAACCGAGATTGAACTGCCCCACGATAGCCATCTCCGCGAAATCCTCTTTGGACACTGTTAGAGAGAGTCGCGTCTCCGGATCCTGCAAAATCGCGTGGTCACTGTCCGCCGTGGCTTCCTGGGTATTCAAGTCGGCCTGGACTTGCTCGAGAAGGGCTCGCATTTGCCGGGCAACAGATGCAGTAGAGAACTGGACCGTCGCCAACAGGTTCGTCGTGGAATCTTTTGTTTGTCCCGCAGTCAGTGCTTTGGTGGCTCGCTTCAAACTGTCTTTGCTGGGAATAGCCGACTTTTCTTCAGCAGCTCGGATGAGCTCAGCTACTCGTGCTTCTTCGGCTTTCTTCTTCTCTGCCTCATCGATGTAATCAGTGTCGGATTCATCCCCCGGTATATCCGCCTTATCGGGTGGTTCATCATCTGATTCACCATCCTCTCCACTGTGTTGGGAGTCTTCGGACTCTTCTGAACCGAGCTCTTCACTTGCCCCAGAATCACTTTGGGCAGAGTTGGACGCCTTGGAATGCCCGGCGACTTCTTCTTCGTCCGAGACGTCAGCTGCCTCAGCACCAAACTTGCGCAACTTCTGGGAGAAATAGGTCACTGGCGAGTCCTGCGTAAGACGTTTGCCCACTGCGTCTGCTCGCTGCTTCCCGGCCGTCTGTTCTCTTGTTGTATGTGCTCTAGGAAACTGTGTCCCTAGAATCGTAGTGATCGTCTTGTCTCCAATCTGAACCGTAGCAAGCTCTGCCGGTATCCTCTTGGGTCTCATACGATCGAACGCGTTAGGCACAGCACCTGGCTCCTCCTTGGCTATTGACGGCATGGTGGATGGAATCTCGGGAGACTCTGAAGCAATCTCGCTGTGGGAATTTCTTTCGTCCTCCCAAGTCTGTTGTTCATCCATTTTGCCATCGTCATCACGGGCATGAGGGTTGTCGGAATAATACTGGGAGCCGCCGTCCATTACCTCCTTGTCCCCATCCTTCAGCGAGGCGAGTGTATGGACATCGTCATACTCATCTAGCTGAGCTACCTTCTGCGCTTGCACGTTCAAGCTTCGTGCCAGTTCCTCGGCTCGTTTTCCTTCTCGTGCCAGAGCGTTTGCTTGCTGCTTTTCGTCCATCTGGGCTTCATCCCTCGTGCTCGTGAAGTTCTTAAAGTGCTCCCTGAACAACATACCGGGATTATCTTCCCCTGTTGAATCCACTTCTTCGGTGCCCTGACTCTCTGCCTGCTGCTTGGGTTGGCCTGGTGATGTAGTCTCCTGGCTGTCCGTATCTGGCGAAGCCGAGGACGCCTGCCTCTGAAAGCTCAATCTCTGGAAAGCAGGCAGCTTCGGCGTCTGCAGTTGAGATTGAGGGACGGTCTGGTCATGCTTGTCGAACATCTCATTCAGAGCGACCTTCAAATTCTCGATGAGAGCGGCCGAGTCGTGGAGTAGTATGGTTCGCTTGTCGGGCGACACATTGACGTCGTATGCGTTTGTGTCCATTTGCAGATCTGCAAAGATAAACGGGGATTGAGACACATTGAATGCCTTGTATACTTCATTGATGGCTTTCGCAATTTGCGGCAAGCCACAAGGCCTGCCGTTGACGAAAAACATTTGACGATCCGGGGTTTGTCTGCCTTCACCGAATACCGGCTTTGATATATGACCTTTGACATGGATTCTTGACTGAGTTTTGTCTTTGTGGACCAGTTGTGTGAGCGTGGGTCGGAACTCCAGCTCCAAATCCAAGGGAACCAGGGCAGCCAATGTCTTCGCTCCATATACGTTTGCGATGTTTTCCCTAGTGGTAGCGTTGGCTTTAGTCGAGAAGACCGTCACGCTCTTCCCCTTGGGCATGGTGTTTTTGACGGTGAACTTGACATTGACACAGACACATGCATAAGCTTGTAGCAGTGCTAGCACTTTGCCATACTCTCTCTTGATGTTCTTGGCCAGTTCCTTCCGTCGAACGGGCAGGCTTTCGAAGATGGCTTCCACCGTAGCGGTAGTGCCTTTCTGACAAGCGACAAGGGTTGCAGACTTGAGCTTGCCCGAGACGTCAAATTCGAGTCGTTTACCTTTGGGAGCCTCTTCTGCTTGTGCGGTCGTGACTGAGAACTTGGACAGGGCGCAAAGAGAGGAGAGCGCCTCGCCTCGGAAGCCGAAAGTCTGTAAGTTGGAGAGATCTTCATAGCTAGATAGTTTTGACGTATAGTGTTTCAACGCGATACTGTCGTAATTGGCGGGCGAGATCCCGGACCCGTTATCTTGAACTTCGATTGCATCCAGGCCATTGTTTCTGAAACGAACCTCGACGCTGGTAGCCCCTGCATCAAGGCTGTTTTCGATCAATTCTTTGGCTACAGAACATAAATCAACTATGACCTGCCCAGACTGGATCTGGTGCACGGATTTGGCCTCGATGGCCTTGATGGTGGCCATTCCAGCCCATGGTTGGCCGTGGAGGGTACGAAAAGAGTCAAGCGGTGTGAGGGGCCATCTTAGGTTTGACCCGAGCTCTCAAAGAAAGCGCAATGGATCGTTAAACAGACAAACAACAATATCAGAAAGGATGACAGTCAAGTTGGAGGAAGCCGAAATCAGGCAGATATCGGGCAGCACGTGATCGACCACACTAATCCGTAGCAGGAATAGCACCCGACATCGCCAAGCATGGCGTTAATTGGTCGACCTCAGGTCGGCTTGAAGCGGCAAGATCTTTCTCTCCATGAGGGCGTCGAGGCAAATATCCAGCCTTGGATCAGCGAACTGTTCCAGTTCCTGCTCCTGTTCTTTTAGAGATTCGATTCCAGCCATAGAGTTGTGGTAGCGCTGGCACATGAGAGAACTACGACGCTTCCATCTCCATGTTGCAAGAACTGCCCGTCGAGGTCATCCAGCAGATCACCGGATGCTTACCCACGGCGACGTCGATAGTCAACCTTGGCCTGACCAACCGCAAGCTCCATGAAATCGTCTCGGCCGACGACTATGCTGTTTTCAGGGGGTTTGTGCGAGGGACATTCCCATCGATCAGGACGCCTCCGCTGTGGAGAGATGCCGCTCGTGTCTTGACATCGCGGTCTCGGGCCTGGGACCGTCGAGCATTCATTGGGCGACAATGCCATCCACCACCGGACGCAGTTGTCCTCCCGCAGGGCCAAAGAGCACGCATCGTATCTGGCTACCAACCAGTCATTGACAGCTACGAAGACTGGCAAGGAGGCCCTTGGTCTAGTCGCAAGGAAGTTTTGGCCTGGGGAGCAGGCGGGAGATTGAGAACGCGTACCAGCACGGACGGAGGAATCACTTGGAGCTCTTTGCGGACACAGGATGACCACAGGCAGGACCTTGACATTCTTGATGTCCATCTCCTACGGCCGCACCAACACGACAACACCGATGGCGAGACGATCATCCTGATGAGGCCTGACAAGGAGGTGGTCAAAGTCGAGACGACATCCACGCCCGATGTATTTAATCAAAAGTCGACATATATCATACCAGCGAATGATATATCGTGTATGGACGCTACCAAGGGCATCCAACCAATCCTCTCGTTAGTCGGCGGGTCTTCCATTCGCCTATATCCAGTGCATGGCGCGGAACGGAATATTCTACCAATAGACACGGTACCCCTCCAAGAGAAAGACAAACGCCCGCGGTTTGCCAAGTTCTTATCAGACGACACATTAGCAGTCGGAATGCAATCGCTTCGTGGACAAGGCCGAGACCCGATTCAGATTTACAATGTCAGTCCGACCGGGATATCAGTCAGGCCCGTTGCAGAGACATTGCCCTTTTCCGAATCCGCGGCTCCCATCATAGGGAGACACGGCGCCAATGTGGTGGCGCCCTTGGACGACTTTGGCACGAGTACACGCCGTCCCGGCCAGATGTTTCTGTCTGGCTGGACTGATGGCGTGGTCTGGCTTCATGACACACGCACCCCGAGGCCGGTGGCTGAGTACATAGACAGTGTGGACGACGGTCAGATTCTCTCGCTTTTGCCGATCGGCCACGAACGCTTCCTCGCAGGAAGTTCTCAGAACGGTTGTCTGAAGACGTATGACCTCCGCATGACAGGAGGGCGAGTGTATTCGTACCTCGAAGCCCGAGCCCGAGCCCGTTCTCCCAGTGCCGACGCTCCTACTTCCCTTGAAACGGGCTCTTCCAGCCCCACAAACAATCAATTCAACCACGCAACCTCTCCATCTCCGTCTCCATCTCCGTCTCCGCGCGACTTCAACATCTTCCTCACTCCTGCCATCAACTACGCCGAACAGCCATGGGAGCCTCTTTCCCACCGGCGCCTGCGGCAGGACAACCGTTACCGCGGTTCCATCTACTCGCTCTCCAGCCCGTCACCCATGTCCCCGACCGTGTATGCCGGGATCAAGAATCATGTCATGCAGCTCGACTTTGTGTGCACAGACGACTACCGAAGCGACGTACCGGGACTGGTTGATCCGGTCTTGGGTCTAGACGATCCGTCGAATCGCGTCTTCGACTTCTCGTGCTACGAGCGGCCGCGGGAAGGACGGGAAAGTACGGATCCGGTCTTGTTAAGGAAACAGAAACAGATGAATCTGACCGAGGAAAGGAGGAATAGTAATAGTGCCCGCAAAATCGGTCGTGGAGGGCACAGCGTCAGATCCGCACGTGTAGCTGCTGATGACGACGGATGGGATGAGCGGTGGCAATTAGAGACCCATGATGGCGTCCGTGAGGGGATAAACTGGGGCCCGTAGGGCCTGACTTGACTGATCGATCGCATAATAGATAGATAGATATTCACCGGATATTAGGATTTAGATATAAGGTGCGAAATTTGTCGGACATCAGGCCCCAAACCAAACGTAAGGGTTTCTAATAAGATCGTGTGTTCCCAGGTAATTCTGTGTCAACTATATAGATTATTGTCTCTCTGTAGTTGCGCCGTGTTTGTCTTCATATCACTCTGAAAGGCTCTTGCAGACCCGACGAGGCTGAAGTCGCCAAGCCCGCCGTCACAGCCTCGCGCCTCAAAGTATCCGAGACAGTAACACCACTGTAACAGCCCATCAGCTCTGAATCCAGCTTCTTCCACCAGTCCTTTAGCCTTCAGTTTGTGCTGTGCATTGTCCAGCTCCACGACGTCAACTCCCACCTCACCTGACCTCAATCCTTTCTCCTTTCTCCTTTTCCTTTGAACTTCTGCTATCGCAGAATCCCTCTTTCAATTATGGCCAACGCACCCACCACCAAATCCCTCTACCGGCGTCTCCTGCGCGAACTCCCTCCTCTCCCGGTGCCGCGGCACAAAGCACCACGGACCTCGATCCATAGCTCGATCCGCGCGCACTTCTACCAGCCTCCGGCCAGCAACAGCGAAGAATACATGGTCGCCCGGCGCCAAGAGCTGGAGCAGTTTGCGGCATACCTGCGCGCCCAGCGCATGTACAACACCCTGCTGCTGCGGTATAATCCTGGCATGAGCATTGTAGATGAGGAGGAGCGGGTGCGGCTGACGGCGCGGAGGGTGGGGATGGAGTTACCGGCCGAGTACGAGTGGGAGAAGAAACCATGAACGGAACGAAAGGAGTTAATTGTAATGAAATGGCGGTGATGGTACTACCAAAGGGAGGGGTTTCTATCGATGGAGCAGTAATGTCAAAAAGGACACAGTCAAGGATGGGAATGTCGAAAGGGACACATCAAAGATCGAAATGTCAAAACGGACACAGTCGAAGATCGGAGTGTCACAACTGACACAGTCAAGAATAGATCTGTCAAGTCCAACCGAAAGGTGAAGGAGCAGAAGTTAAGTGAAGAGCGAAGCGAACCATCCCATCTGGTGAAATGTCAGGCATCGAACACCGGACATTCGAACAACGAAAGCGCAGCGGAGACTACACGGACACGGAAAGAGGACGAGCAGCGAACAGTGAACAGCGGATGCAAGGGGACAAATCAATGCGAATGCGCAGACAAGACAAGCTCGGAAAATCTGTGGCGACCGCGGCCGAACCATGAGGCATTGTGAAAAGGAGTGACCCTGACCGAAGATGAGGCATTGTGAAAAGTAGCGACCCCGAATGGAACATGAGGCATTGTGAAAAATAGCGACTCCGACCGAAGAAGAAGCAATATAAAAGCAGGAGGAGTGCTCAACCTCAGCTCAGCGGATCGGTCTCTGCCCAGGGCGGAGGAGATATGTATCGAAATGCAAGAAAGACTGTCTCTCCACACTGCACAGCCTCGCCCGTCGCCGCACTGATCTAAATGTTGATGTCAGATCATTGAAGAGCATAGCATACATCGACTGGTCTAAATGATGTCCAGGTCAGATCACTCAAGAGCATGAATACATCGGCTGATCTAAATTTCAAGAGCATAGCATACATCGACGGATCTAAATGATGTGAATGTCAGTCAGTATTACCCACCAACGCGCAATGCTATCGGGCTTCTTCTTCTTCTTCCTGTGGCATCAGACCGCTCTTCCTGTGCATTTATCTCTCTACTCCCGCCCGTGGGGGATCGGGCATCAGAAGTCTGCTGTTCGACGAGTGATAGGTGATAGGGGTAGGATATACACATATACATATACACATATACATATACACATATACACATATACATATATACTACATCTATACTACGTGTGTGTGTGTGTGTGTGTTTAGCTCATCATGTCCAGAGAAGGGTGGGGTCTTGATGCTACGCTATATGAGTTTCGAGCTCCAGCTCCATAGACAAGACGACTCGTCCTATTGTCTGGCTCGTTTCGTAAGTATCAAGTCAAACCAGTGAGTGATCCTGTATCCATGGATACTTGTGATATAAACATATAGACAGAAAGACAGAAAGACAGAAATAGGGAGGAATGCATAGATTCAAAACCTAAACTACGTCTACCCTAACCTATATACCGTATCATCATAACCCCGGATATCATGAAGCGCCGAACCCCAACGTCAACCTGACCTGAACAGCAATCAGGACCGTCTATCATGACGTTCTGGCCTAGCTTGCCATTAGAATCCAGAAAGATCTCGTTCAATGATTCCCTCACCTACTCTCATGATGGTGGGCCAAATTCGTCTCCGTATCTGTATCCGTATCATAGAAGAAAATCTCCCTCGTTAGAAAAGGCTTGGTCATCCAGCCAGAGGTTCTGTCCTGCCTCAGCCTCAGCCCACCAATCATCAGGGACATCGAACCGCAGGACTTCACCGGTGGTGGTACCATTGGAATCCGGGCCAATGCCCATTCCAAAGATTGGGAAGTCCGGCACCATTCCAGCATGATAGGTAGGATCGACCTCGGGATGGCTATGGGTGTCGAGTATCATAGAGTCAAAGTCGAATCCGGCCCCTGTCCAATCTGGTGCCATTGTCTCGTTCTCGAAGTTCTAGATTCGAATCTGCCATCTGGATTCATATTCTCGAGGATATCGGTCGCATGTGGCAGGTCTGGTGTCATTCCAAGAGCGGTCCCATGTGGGAGCACATCTGAAGGCATTGTTGCGAGGTCGTCCATTCTCATATCCAGCACAGGCACCTCGTCCAGGAGCGGCATATCTAGGGCGGGAATGGGGATGGGAATGTCATCCAGGAGTGTTTCTCCGTTTCTCGACAATTCAAACTCAAGCATATCGCCGCTGAACATGAACACAGGGTCCAAGGGGTTGGAGACATGCGCTTCGTCTTGCGGGTTGCCGGCTTCCATAGTGGTAAGGGTTTCAGTCGCCCTGATCTCTCCCATCTCCATAGACAAGAGCTGTTGCGACTTCGCAATCTCCTGGTCGAAATTGCTTTGGTCGACGTCCGTGTCCGCGTCCGCGTCCGTACCTGGCGACTCGGAGTGCGACAGCGGTTGCTCCAGGCTGGATTGGTCGTGGTCGTCGAGGTCTCCAGTGATATCCTCAACGACAGCGCGCTTGACATTCCAGGGCATATCTCGTTCTGCCGGGACTTCGTCGTCCTCTTCATCCAAATCGAGTTGTTCCATTTCTTGTTGAAGCTCCGCAAATTTGTCCATGACGTCTTGCAGGCAGTCTTCTGCGTTGTTTTCGGAGACGGAATGAAGTCCACGGCTCTCTTGAGCTTGCTTTGCCTGCACCCGCCGGAGATCCTGCAAACATGTCTGGGTGGATGGATCGTCGGATCCGAATGCTTCGTTCGCACTATCATACGCTTGAGCGTAGTAGTCGTGCGCTTCCCCCCAGTCCATTCTTTTCTCCCAGATACACCCGAGATATGACATAGTCATCTGCCAACAGTCCTTTTCTTCGTCGGCAAAACCGTTCAAGAGCAGAACGTTGTGGAAAATCTTTTCCGCCTCGTCGTTGAAACCATGCAGGAAATGAAGCCTGCCGTACAGACACAACAGATGTCTGTAGTAGTAACTGTTATGGCCAAAGTGTTTCAGTCGTCGTCGCAATGCACGTCGGCAGAGCTCAGATGCCGACTCGAAGTCACACTCCTCCGTGATCGTCTCGACCAGTATCGCCCCAATCTCGGCTGCCAACCTTGAGCGACTATCAGCTTGTCTCAGTGCAAGGTCGTACATCAGTTGCAAAACCAGATGAGAAGAAGGGACGAACCCTCCTGACCTGCTCGCCAGCGCGAGAATCATTGTTACAGGATGTGCCTCTCCCAAAATTCTTCTAGAAACCGTGCCAATGTAGGAATAGGTGTTGCTTCTTAGTTGCATAGCCAGACCGGGCGAATCTTTCCTACAAAAGTTAAGAAGCACGTACAGCAAATCACCATAATCATACCGAAGGAAATTCACAGTATCTCTGCGAACTGTGGTGACGAGAGCGGCAGCAGCTTCAGTGATACCGTTGGCGATCAAGCTGCATCTCTGGTAGATATCGATGAGGAAACCTTTGGGCGTAATAGCCGGAGGCGTTCCCATGTGAGTCTTCTCAGCCGGTTGCATCCTGAGGGGCGAGTCCTTGCGGAGACTCCATTGGAAGTAATTATTGACCTGCATCAAGATAGCCTCGAGGTCACGGAGCTCATTGGAATGGTGTAGTGTAGTCATCGGCATCAGTGCGTTTCGGCCAGAGGGATTCTGTGTCGGATGCGAACCACGGTCAGTAGTTGGTCTCGTCCTGGTGATTCCATCCCGGCCATTGCTGGAATCGCTCGAGTTCGGATGGCAAGACTTTTCGAAAAGAGTCGGGAAATGGCGCTTCGCACGCTGCACTGGGACCAGGCTGTGAAGGGTCGCTGGAAGAGGGATCCCGGCTCTCACGAAACATTGAGCAGAGTCCGCCACAGCTGCCAGTTCCTCCCGTTTGTAATTCTTTTTGAAGTTCCAGTTCTTCATTCGATGCTTGTACATATGGGGCCTAATCAAGTTAGCACTGGCCGTCAGACAGGGGTAAGATACTGACGCAGCATGGAAGTTGTGGTCCTGTTCGAGAATTCTTGCAATCTCTTTCAAAGGAAGTTTATCCTTGATATAGAGTCGCTTCACAATTCCCTCGATGCGCTTCCATTCAGCCTCGCTTGGAGCGCGGTTTCGACGACGCGGTGGTGCCGTTGCCATTGCTGACTTGTGTGGTGGTGGCACAGAGATCCTTGATATATCGGACACTGTCCAAATGTATGCTAGGAACAAGTAGGGTATTCAGCCTGATGATAATGGTGATGAAATGGGACTGAGTAGGAACTGACGGCACGACCCGACAGAAGAGTCAAGTCGCATAATGAAGATCTGATAGACATGACAAGAAGAGAAAAGAAAGGCTCGGTTTGAACGGACGGCGTTGATATAGATCTCATGGGACAGTCAAGCCGCGCAGCAAAAGTAGTTATTGTAGAGAGTCCGAAGCCATGGCCGACGCAAAGAGGCGGTGCATGGAGATGTTCCCATTGGCTCTTTCGTTCCTCGAGCATCATCAGCATAACGACTTTTGTTCAGCCAACCAGACCCTGGTTGTACTCAGCCGCCGCCTGGCCAAGGGTTAGACACCATCACATAATCAAAGAGATTGCCTGGGAGGACTAAAGACATAACTTCAACACGGCAGGTTTGACATGTCCTTCCAGCTTGGTTCGCAAGAGGAGTGACTGATTCATGAAGCAATCCAACCGAGAGCAATGAGTGACAATCTCGTGCGTCGGTGAAAGATGAAGTCCTGCTGCAATGGCCAAATGAACGTGACAACTGCGGCGGTGGACGGCCCCGAAACCCAGGCTGAAACACGGCTAAGGGGCTAAGGAGGCCTTGACCTATAGAGCGCTGGTATCCATTGATGATACTGCTGTCCGGAGTTGACACACAGCGAGCACAATACGCCTCCTCGTCGATGCAGCAGCCATGAAACCGAGTATAGAAGGTAGGAGATAATATCGTGTTCAGCACTCAGTGCTGAATGCTGAATCTCTCTTGCAAGAGCCCATCAAAGTGCATTCGGTCTGGTCATCATGTGCCGGGTGTTGTGAAGGCGTCTCATTTCCATGATTCAGTCCTTTCTGGCGGTCCATTGTATGCGAATATAGTATACTTCTTCTCATGTCCTTTCCATCCACATTCGCCAGGTCGAAATCAAGGCAATGCCAGCTTGCCTCTTCCTATGAACCGTATCTATGACAACAACAAGCCGAACCCGCGAGACACCGATGCACCGTGTCCGTGGACCAAGAGAACTCACGAGGCTCACTCTCGCACAGAAGACACATAGATCATAGCAGCAATGCGAAAACGCCACGACACTTTATATCAACCACTCGAAGCTGTTCCATGGCAACAATAATGCGGGACGCTGCCATCACCAGCTTCAGCGACATCATTCTGATTTGTTCTTCTTCTTGCACCTTAAGGTCCTCTTGACCCATTTCCCAACAGCGGTCGGTCTGAATTCCTTCGTCTCGCCCGGGCGAATTGGGGGAGTCATAGCGTCAGGTCTCCGCATCTCTCCAGACATAGACATCACAGGAAGGGTCGAAGTTGCCACGGAAGCTGTGGTCACTTGATAATGGACGTTTGTCGGGATCAAGGGCGACAGGCCGCCCAGATCAGAGCTCATTGTTCTTCGATGGTGCCGACCACAAGATGAAGACTGACGGCCGGATTGTGGTTGGGGGGATCTACCAGAGATGCATTTTGTACTTGGTGGCTTCTGCAGCTTGGCCGGCGTTTGTATTCGGTCTGTTCCTCGTTTCCGGTAGGTTACAGGAGGAGAAGGAGAAGCACCGTGCGGCGACTTTGACACAGCTAGATGACACATTGTCCGTTGTTGGTATGCATCGGCTCCCATGCTCTTCTTAGGTTTTGCTGTGGAGGCTTGGGAACGGCTGACCTCTCTGTCACTGTTGAGCCTCTCTTGCACCAAATGGGCCTTCCTTCTCGCATGAGCATCCAAAATGAAACGTTCTGTGGCGCGGAGATCGGCAAACCCTTTCTTCAGCCGGGCAAACCGGGAGAGACTTTTCTCATCATCGTCCCAGTCAATGTAAGAGACTTCTGGCTGGGTCTCACTGAACGGAGGCATATGGATGCTGGTTTTCGGGTTCGCACTCATCACAAGATGAGAATCAACTGGTCTCCGAAGAGTGACACCATCAGATGCAGGTATTGCTTGGTCAAAGGTATCGTCATGGTAGATGGATGTTTGGCGCAATAGGGGAGGAACTTTGCGAGCCTGGGGGCTGGTACTTTGAATCTTTGTGTGGGGAAGTCCCTCTGACGGGATTGCCGAGCAATTCATCGAGACAGTATTGGTTGTTGGTGTTCCCTCAAGGGCTGATGAAGTTGCCGAGTATTGTGAATGGGTCAGCGACGGCACTGGAGTACTGGACCGAGCTGTCTCAGTCAAGGGCTGTTCCAGTTGTGAGCACGGTTGGTTCAATGGCTCGGAAGTCGCATTTCTTTCTGGGTTATTCGGTCCGGGCACGCGTGCTGCAGATGCTGACGGCGTCGACGACAGCCAGCAGTCGACACTAGCAGGACCTTGCTGGAAGTCACTACGTAGAAACAGTCTTGGGGCAGGTGGAAGTAAACTCGGAGGGCGCTCTTGACGAAGTACAGAGATCCGATTGCCAGGATCAGCCGGGGTAGCGATTGAGTCACAGTAGGCAGTGCTTGCGGCAAAGAAGCAGTCGCCCCATTCCTTTTCATCCGTGAGCGGAGGTATTTGAGGAGGACTTGCTGGCCACAGCTGCAGCATTTCTTCAGGATATAGGGAGGGCGAAGGAATTCTGGGTAGAAGGAGAAATTCTTCTGATGATGAATTCGAGATCAGGTGGTCTGGAGGAACTGATTTCCGGTTCGAAAAGGAGCTTTCAGGACGGGTGACGCGTATAGGCCCGGCGAGATCCCCTTTTGTTATTGATGGCATCCTCCTGAATTCTCCAGGAACAGAGTGGTCGTACCCAGGCATGTGCTCAAGAGTCTAGGCTTTCAAAGTCAACAATTTGCCATTAACAGTCTTGGTCCCGGAGAGCAGGGCGTCGAAGAAGGCCAACTGGGTCCTGACCATCTCAGTGCAATGAGGAGGAGGAGGAAATGGTGTGAAAAGAAAAGCTCCTAGATTTATTAGTCCAGGAGACAGTACGATCGAGGATCGTGGCTTTCTGTAGTCACTGTGACTAGCCTTGAGCGGCCCCACGAAGGAGCAGCATCCCAACTGATGCATGCAAGCCACAGTCTGATGCACAACCGGCGAGGTCAATTGGGATGATGGGCTAGGCTGTGAGGGCAAGCCAGGGATGACGCTGCAACCTACACATGGGGGAGGACGAATGTGGTCGAGAGCAATGACCACGTCCAGACTGCCTGGCCGTTGCACAGACACAGGGCATTCTCATGACACGGACACCATTTGGGTATGCTCGATTCGGGCATGACGTGCCTGGAGCATTCGGAGTCGAATGTTCGCATCCAAAAAAGGCGAAGAGAGTGACCTGGCCATGGGTCTTGGATTTCTCTATGCGTTGATGACTTCCGCCCTGGACAAGATTGTCTGGCAAGGGCATTCAACCGTGGAACAGAAAGTGAGATTCCCACATCCTGCATGGCTTGTTATCGACTGTCATGTTTGGCGGACTCAAGTGTTAGGTAAGCCTTCTTGGTCGACAGGATGACCCCGGCCTGACTTGTCAATTGTTTTACGCCATAGAGTCAAACCGTCGCTGGTGTAGGGGATGGAAGTGTCGCATGTGCACGGGTTGACAATCCAGCCGACATACCGTCGCACACCTGCTGGACTAGATGAACCCCTCTCCAGGGGGCAATCCAATTTACATTCCAGTTTATCGGCACAGCAACCAATTTTCGGCAAAACAAGAGAACACAAAGAGAAGAGCGGGTTCGAAGCTGTCCTGCTCTTGGTGAGCCCGTCAATATTTTCATCGATGCATCAATGCAGACGGTCCAGAATGATCCGTGGGGGCGTTGAGGAGGGCAAACAAGAGAGGTCGATGGAAGATCGTATGCGATGTGCCTAGTTCCATATGCACGACGTATCTGATCCCCAAAAATCTGCATACAGCACCCAGACCTGGTTAAGGGCTAGAGACGATGCCATGATCACTAGGACGTGTAAGATTTGATCCTGGTATAACACTCGGGACAAGCGAAGGACCGCAGCCTGCAGCATAATAATAGCTCATGAACATTAGCCTCATTTTGAGCGAGATGTCCACTTCCTGGTATCGTCCGTCTCATCGTACAGGCTGAAAGGGGGCAGGGAGGTCAATGATGGGTGCTCAGCCTTAATTAGTAGCAATAGAGATCTGGGCAGCGACCCTGCTGGAGATAGTCGAATGGCCTTAGGAGGCTCCCTAGCCCTTGGTGGGCGGCAAGACACGCATCATGTGGACTGCAACATTCCGAGCGAAGGGGTAGAGGGACTAGGAATCAGGCCTGGCAGTGGCATCTGCGGTGTCCGATTCGTGACAGGTGTGTGCTTTGGAACCAATCCAATGGCGAGCATCCTCCCAAGACATCCGCACACATTGTAGTACCTGGTTCCTGGAAGATGGATGGTAGATGATGGTGGGGGCGAGCAAACAGCGTCAAAGTGGCTGCTCGAGGTATTTTTTACGTCTTCCTTCTTTTCTGTATTCCGCTATCTCAGCTTCTTTGACGGCGAGGTGAGACTGGAAGAGCCCGGAGCTTGATGACGAGCGATCGATCGGTGAATGGACGGGGTGGCAGGGATGAGGTGATGGCGTTTTGATGAGCTGGCATGGCCGCTCACCGAGTTTCTTCTCTCCGTTCTAGTTGGGCCAAGCAGCAAACTGCGCTCGCGTCCGGACTGCGCTGTCCAGCCTCCTCAGCAACTCGCAACTCCCACAAATCCAATCTGAAAAATCAAGGTCGCGTCTTGGACCATGGCACACCGTTCGAGGACTTTTCCAGGCTGTTCCTCAATCCTATCGCCTTGTTTCCAGCCTTCTTTGGGTTTCAACTGTCGGCTGCGGCCCTCATTCCCGGCCGAGGCGATATCTTGAGCCTGCGCTTCCCTTCCAGCTCTACGAGTACCTTAGCAGATGCGCTCTATCCTAGAACACTACCTATCGAATAACATTAACATTTTTGTTTCTGACTTCTCCACGTCCGCTCCAGCTTGGACGGTGTCAATCACGGAAGAAAAGCGTTGGCTTGTGCGAAGGACGGACCTCCCATGCAGCTGTCTGCGCTTCCTCCCACGTTTTGATCTCGCCGCACCCACCACCCTGTGATCCTACCATGTTCTTCAACACCACGCAGTTGAACAAGATCCGTTGTTTAGCATAGCAGAACAAATATTCATGCCTCATCACCAACATTTCGGGTCGACACCTTCGAGACAAGATTACGGCGCGATCGCTGGCGTGGACACCCAAGCGAAGCCCAACCACCGTGATTTCGCCGCATTGGACCAGCCACACAATACCTTCTCTCACCAACTTTCTCCCTCGCCCCATCAATGCTGCTGTTCAGTGCCTGACACCTTGCTCCAATACTGCCTAGTACTTTACCACCTCGAGAGCTTGTGTATGCCGTGTTTTTCCACCGCCGGACTGAAGGTCCCAACTCCTAGAGCTTTGCGCCGTAGGCGCATTCATCGAGTTGTCACAACATCCTTCCACCACAGAGTACCCAGCTGTCGAAGTGTCTCGACACGAGCCGCCTCACTTTGACGACCTTTACGAGTCTCACGATCCTCACCCAGAACCATCACCCCGACGCCAGCAACAACTATCCACACCGCTTCTCCAAAGAGATCCTATATCCTCAGGCTCAAGCACCGCCCGGTCTCTGCGAAGGACTCCCCGACTCCCAGAAAGACAGACTGGCCGAGATACGGGATCTCGTCCTGCTCACCGAGTGAGAAGGCCAGAGACACCGCCCGGCACACCCCCAGTTCAGTTCGACGATTCTGACTCTACTTCTCCACAATTCTTCCAGCGACTGGTGCAGGACGAGTCATTTTGGCCGCGGAGGACAACCCGTATTTCCCGAAACACTCACGAAGCAATCTTGTATGCTCTGGAAGCTATCAGAAGAGGTAGTGGTGTCAATCCAAAGCCACTGACTGCGGATTTACTTGAAGAAGAGGCTCGAATGTCAGATCTGACAGGGGGATATCCGCCCGGTACCGTTGCTGCATCTGGTCGGACGCAAAATGGAGGAGCAACTCGTGCGACAGCCGCTGCTGGTACTGGGCCTACCCCGACCGAACCACCTCGATATCGTACTCCGACGGAAGTCATGCGAGAGCGACGAGCGCGGGAAGCTCGCAAAGCCGAGGAGGCAGCCGCCAGGCTTCGTCAAGAGGAGGAAAGGAGGTTAATGCAAGAGGGACAAGTTGTTGGCGTTGGGGATGATCCAACGCGACGAGTCTCGGGGAGGCCGGGGGCTCAGTCCACCCAGGCCTATAACATCGGTGGCACGTCCACCCAGGTACCGGGTCCTTCAACTCGGCGACAAGAAAATGTCCCTCCAACACAGACAGGTGCCTCGAAACCGACCCCTACGCACTCTAGACCCGTTCAGAGTGGCGGGAGGGGCCCGACTGTCTCTGCAGCTGCACAGCGAGATCGAACTGAAGCATATGAGCAGCTAAACATCCCATCCACAGCTAAGCCCACTGGACAGGCTGGACAGAATCCACGGGCGACTCAACAGAGTCAACAACCCCCACAATCTGCTGCTCAACCTGGACAACCGAGTGGACAACTCCCCGGAGCTGGAGGAAGGAGAGGGTTTCCTAGCGCCTTTGAGAGATGGGAAGACTTGTCTTCACATTGGGAAGGAATCGTCTCATCCTTCATTCATCGATTGCAAAACAATGCGGACGAATTAGCTGGCAAGCCGATGGAAAGACAGATGGCACGACAGATTGAAGACTTGTCTGCCGCGGGCGCGAACTTATTCCACGCTGTTGTCGAGCTTCAACGACTCCGAGCGTCTTCGGAGCGGAAGTTCCAACGGTGGTTTTTCGAAACAAGGCACGAGCAGGAGCAGGCACAGGAGCGACAAGCGGAGCTCGAACGTCAGCTTCGAGCAGAACGAGAAGCACGGACGCAAAGCTCCGCGTCGATCGAAGCGGTCCGTGCCGAGAAACTCCGCGCAGAAGACCTGGTCAAGGAAATGCGGCGGGAATTGCAAATCAGCAAAGAAGAAGCGCGGCGTGCCTGGGAAGAATTGGGAAGAAGAGAACAAGAGGAGCGGGAGAGGACGATCTCATTACGGAGCGGAGAACCCACCCTAATTGGAGGAGTTCAAGTTGTGCCGATGCAAGGGCTTCCAAGTCGGCAAGTAAGCTCAGCGCAGCGACCACAGACCCGAGACGGACCGGCTGCTGGGGCTGGTCCGACAATCTTGTCCGGCCAGCAGCAGCAGCCGGTGCATGGTCCACAGCAGCCTCCCTCTCGAAGCCAGACTACAACAACATCTCTCGACTCCCCGGGCGAAGAAAGTCGACAATTCAGCTTCCAGCCTGACCCAAGAGATTCCCCCACAGTGACGGATCCGTTTACGGACACTTCTCGACAGCGTGAACCTCAAACCCAACTCCGGCACGAACCAGACACGCAGTTCTATCCAAGTCCTCCCCATCCAACACAGCCTCAGACCAGCGCTGCTGCAATCGCTGCCGCCCGTGCCGCCACATCAGGGGCCGGTTCATTGTCCGGTCGAGGTCCGGGTGACACGCGCTTCTATCAAGAGGCGCCCACTGGCGCAGCACCGGCCCCTGTACGCTCAGGAACCGGCGACACAGAGCGATCATACATAGCGTCTACGGCCTCGGCCCTTTCGGAAGAGGAATACCACATCAACCCAGACGGCAGTTACAGACGCGACGCACACGGCCGCCGCATCCCGTATCGTCAGCCGATTGGACAAAATCCGCCGTCAGGACTAGCGGAAGAAGTGGAACTCAGCGAAGATGAGCGAGGGGAGCAAGAAATAGCGGAAGCAGAACTGTCCGACGACGATGACCACACCGCCGATGTGGAGCGCGAGAGGATGTACGCTGCACAGTATAGACAGGGACAGCCTGCACCACAACGCCTGCCTCCGACGACCTCAGGGTCTTCGGGCATGCCGCGAACAACATTAGGTGCACTACCTACCATTCCGCAGGGTCAGAGAGCAGACCTGTCAGCACCCGAATACGAAGAAGGCGAAGAATACGAGTCGCCCGCCGTCACACAAGCAACCGCGACGTGGCAAGATAGCCGTCATCGCCATCCAACGCGCCTGAGCGACATCATCGAAGAGCAGACCTCGCACACAAGCCCCAGCCGGATGAGCCATGCTAGCGGCACTGGCGGTCTACCTGGCGAAGGGTATGGCCGAACAGGAAGCAATACCGGGAACTCACGTTCATCTGGACAGCGATGATTCCCTTTTTCTTCTCGGTCCGTATGGGACGCAGGAAGCTCACAGTCCTGACTTAACCAGATAAAGGCAGTGCTAGCGCGAAGGGGTGGGAGTTGCGGGAGTTATGGTGGGCTTCAGGGGTGAAAAAGCTGTACAGATACAACTTTCAGATTGTTTCCTTTTCACGGTGGATGTTTTTGCTGTTCTAGGTCGTCAACCTTTTTCTCATCTCATGCTTGTCTTGTTAAGGGTGGCTATGACAGAGCTCGCTCAGACCTCCTGCATCCAATCCATCCTGGATCCTGGAGGATTCCTCCACAACAAGATACGGCACAGAATAATGGTTATGCTCGGTGCGCAATGCACAGATAATTCCTTTGCACATAGAAAGGCGGATCAATCTGCTCGTCAAGTCGAGTTCCCTTCAGTTCCTACAAGGTCAGGATCAAACTGGCTCTCTCCTTGGAACATGGCCTCTGAACTGCATTGGCTTGCGGCTAGAGGCCAAGTAACTAGACTCAAAGCCACGCTTTGGGTGGTGTTCATCTTGTTCATGTCAATCACTTTGCTGCTTCCAGTCAAGGAATAGACCGACCCATCCACATTCTGTATCCAATAAGTGATGACATCTGGAGTGTACATGTTGACAGCGATGCACAAGCAGTCAGCTACCACCTGCGGTTGTCCTTGACACTGTTGGACGACCTGGGGAACCAAGGCGATGTTTGGCTCAGGATCAAGGCCGATGTTACCGCAAGGCAAAGCAGTACTCGCATTCAGCACAAGAGTGTCGGCCACCGGTCCATTCAGCTGCAGGTGAACTTGCAGTACGTTGTCTCGGAAGTATGGGATGATGGATGCGACAGTTGCTGTGTTCTGTGGCTGAATAGTCAAAGACTCGTTCAAAAGTGCTGGTGTGATGCCTTGTTTGGGTGGCGGTATGTAGGTAGGCACTGCAGAATCGACGGCTGGTTCTGGCATGGGGGGTGCCTGGCGACGTTTCAGATCGACAACCCGTTCCATATCAGGCGCAGTGTGGGTATCGGCGATGTCGTCTTGAAGCTTGTACCATTCCTTGATCGACTTGCAGTTGCAAGCATCGTCAATGATCGAGTAGAAAGGCTCTTCATCGCCCGTGCATTCCAGGTCTGCGCATGGACTGTTGAACTATGTGACGTGTCAGTGAACTGCGAAGACAAGATGAGAAGGGGCGTTATCTTACCAGGTAGTGGTCTTGCCAGTCAGGACACTCGCAAGAGTACGTGTCAAGATTGAAAGTTGCCTTGCCGAGGAGACAGAACTGGTCCTTGCACAGTTGCTCGATGACAGCAAGTGCTTGGTAGCTCAGATCGGGGGTCTTGTCGCCGACGATTTTGGTGGGTGCCGTGGACGACAACGCGATGAATAACAGTGTGACAAGTAACATTGCGACAGCCATTTCGTACGGGATTGCTATAACTGTGGTTGACTAGGTGGGAGGAACGGTTGAACAAGGAAGAAGGTGTGAGGATGTCGAATAATGAACGAGTGGAAACGATTGTAGGGGTAGACAGGTTGGTAGAAGTGAAAGTGAACTGACGTGAAAGAATTGCCGCACCTTGTCTAGGCTTCGTCGCAACTGCGCTACACCTGCCTTACAATATGAAGCCACCTGGCAGTGACTGTACCGGACATTGCTGAGGAGCACTCCTTCCACATTCTTGAATTTCTGACCGATGTGAACGGGGCTTTCTGGGAATCCGTGGTTGTGCTGAGTTGGACAGGCCAGCTGAATGTGGGCCAGTGTATGGCAGCAATGGGTTCAGAATGTACACTTACAGTAAGCTGGCCTTCACCAGCATCACGGCGAGGAGGAGCGTAATTTTAGGATTGAAGCCGTGCTGTGGTTGTGGCTGAAGGGGCACGTCTCAGTCTCACGAGGCTGAGCTAGTCCCGATCAGCTGACCAGCTCACAAGGCTGACATAGGCCCGGCCCGACCGCAGTCTTGGCAGTTGCAGGGACCAGCAGCCGGTCTGTTGCCTCGTTTTCCTCCACCACGTCAAGCGTCTGTGCTGTCGCATCTTGGACAGTCATATTTAGCATCCAAATGCCCAACTCAGGACTCCGGACTTAGCACTCAGCCTTCGACAAACCTGATTTTGATGATGTGTTTCCCTCTGGTTGCTGCATCAGCAAACATGGTGGCTGGGAAGCCATGTCCGCTCCCAACCACCACCGCCAACACCCCAGCCTCACTACCCTGTCCACCTTTTCTTTCCTCCGATTGAGACTTAACCCGTCCGTCTTGTGTACTCGCCCACTTTTGTCAATGCGCGTGCTTTAGCATCTGTTTTGACTTTACGCATTGATGCTGGCACTGTCCAAAACGGAAACGAACCTAATGAACTTGCAGCCAGACGCTCAGATCCAAACCGTCAGACGAGAAACTCCCCAATACCTACGGACTCAGTCGCTGCAATCGTCCTTTGCCACCAACGAGTACTTCTCTGATTATGCTTCCGACGCTGCCAGTCAAAAATCCGACGATACCCAAGCAAGCTATGAGACGCCTCCCTCGAGAATATCGACCCCCCTCATTCAACAGACCCAGGTTGACTCCGAGATGACGCTTCCTACGAGACCTGGCATTGTCCCGCCGGCGGCCCTCAACACTCGACACCAACCGAATGAGGGCCAAAGCACCGTGCGGATGGTGTCAAACTGTAACGAGATGAGCCCGCCTACACCTGAAATCGATGACACCCCATATCTCAGATTTGCCATTGAGCAACTGACAAGAGACGAGGATGTACTGGGGCGTGGCAGACACAGTACCGCAACCGCGGAGGGAAACACTCCCGTCTTGCCACCGTCAGAACCCGAATCGCCGGAGAATTTCCAAACGCCGACACCCTCTCCTCCACCACCGTCTCCTCCTCGACAACCGCGGAATCCCCGTCCGCAATCTCAGATTCAGCGAAAGCCAGTGCGTGAAGAGGTCATGATCCCGGTGGACCTGTCGAAAGACTTACGCTCGCGACTCGGCTTTGTGCCAATACCACTTCGCCTCTCTATGCTTGCCTTATACTTGATGCTATGCCTATTAATGATCGGCGCCTTGCTCTTTAGCCTAATATTTGCGTCCGGGAATCACGGACTGTACGACTACGATGGGAACGCCACGCCACGATATTTTGTTTTCCAATACTTACCACAGCTACTTGGGATTATACTCATCATATGGTTGTTTGTGATTGAGGCAGCAGTGTACAGATCCCTGCCTTACTTTTGCATGTTGTCAAGTGGTCGCAACCACTCGGTGTTACAGGACATGCGTATCTTACCAGCAAACTACCTCTTACCGGACCTCACCTTTTTCAGGACGGGTGAAAGGCTGCTGGGTGTGACATTTGTGGTTTTCTGGTTGACCAGCCTCACTGTCCCGCTCCTCAGCTGTCTTTACGAAACCCAGTGGATTACGGATGATGGCCCTGCACGTTTCCGTTGGACCACTGTCCGAGGTGTGGGCTGGACCTTGGTGGCACTATACATTATCCTCTGCGCCGGCATCGTGCACTGCATGGTCCGCTTTCGACGCCGAAACTCCAATCTTCTCTGGGATCCCTGTTCTCTGGCCGACCTGATCTGTCTGTTCCGACGGTCAAACATCTGCGCTGATTTCGAACAAACCGAAGTCTCCCCAGAACCTAACAGGCAGGTTCTCCCTAGAACCACCCGTCTAGGCTTCTGGACGACCACCGAACGACCTGATGTATTCCACGCTGTAGGTGAAGAATACGCGCCTATCAAACGCTTTTCCTTCCCACCGCAGCCGATGGCAAAGCCTTCTTCTGATGGCCTGCTACATCCCAACGACACAGTCGATGTGGAGGCTCAACAACGGCACTCCTACGGATCTGCCTTTTCTCGGAACATCCACTCTCCCTTTGTCCGCTATCGCTGGGCACCGTGGTACCTGCGCGATTCCGCCGTGCTGGCATGGATCATCGCGGCAATTCTCCTCCTGATTGCCTTCCTGGTGGTCAGCTTCGTGAATCGTGCGGTACAGCATGGCTTCGCCCCTCTCTTGACATCCCTGACGGATTCTGCTGGGTTCTCACCCGCCGATTTCCTGTACAGCTTCCTGCCCTCGTTTCTTGGGATGGTGCTCTTTCTCGCATGGCAGCCCATCGCCATGTACTTCCGCGCGGTGCAACCATTCTGCAACCTTTCCCAACCTACCGGTACTGATGCCCGGCATTCCCTGTTACTGGCCTATCCGGCCCAAGGGCCGATCGGCGTGATGGTCCGATCTCTCCGCAACCGCGATTACAGGGTTTCATACATCAGCTTCATATCCATCCTCGCGCTCTCGATCCCGGTCCTCGCGGGTGGAGTTTTCACCGCACAGTTCTTCTCCGCAGAAAATGAAGTCAGAATGGTCGCGAGTATGCCAGGCTACATTGCGCTGTGTGTCTTGGCCGCGATCTACACTCTCTCCTACCTCGTGATCTGGCCGACCAGGAAACGATATCTGCCACACAACATCAACACCATTGCAAGCCTCATGAGCTGGCTCTACGCTAGTCCTCTCCTTGCCGACGGCGCCTTACAGAATGTCAGCTCCAGAGCTGAACTGGTCGAGCGATTGACAGGATCGAGCGTGCAGTCAGCGACCCTGACAGGCGATCCTGCTGTAGAAGAGGGAGAGAAGAGCAGACCGAGCCGTCGGCAACGCCGCACAAATCAAGGCGCGGGAACACGATATGCGTTCGGCGTCTATGTGGGACGAGACGGCAAAGAGCACCTCGGCATCGATCGACTGCAGAGACCCGGGAGCCGCGAGATGATGGTCGTGCCGAGTTCGCGGTGATTCAACACAATCCACTAGCATCTGCAGAACATCCTGGCCTAGGACCAGGAACATTGTTCTACCGGATGCAGTTCGAATTATGAACAAAGATGAAATTCGATTCTTGCGATGCGACGCGACACGACAAAAGTTCAAGACTTTACGACTTTTAATGTTTGAAACTTGCATGGCGTGGCGCAGGTTTTCGCATTGGCTGGACGACAGCTTTTCGGGTTCGAAAAGTTTCCAAGTACATGTAGGACGGCGCTTCTCATTCGCAGGGACATGGATCCATATCTGATGAGTGGGATATGGGATATGGGATATGGGATATGGGAAACGGGAAACAGGAAACAGAATCCAGGTATGGCGCAACAAATCCAGCATATCGCTCGCAGGTATATTTGCCGCACCACAAAAATTGAAGAGCACGGATACAGACGAGACCAAAGTGCATGGATAAGGACATGATGTAAATAGACAGGAAATGCTACGCCGACATGTACAGGGCGGAAGTGCTTGAGGCGCTTAAACTACCGAGATACCCTGACGGACGGAATTGGGAATGCAATGAATGGAACGTGACTTTCATTTTTATTTGCTTTCCGAGACCACTCGTAGCCAAATGACAAATTACCACGCTCGCATCAACTACCTGAATCGGCAATCGAAGCTATCCTGTGTGTGGAAGAGAGACAGAGAGAGAGACATCCTCCGTACATTTCTGCCCATGTGCAGCTGCAGCCACGACATACACCCAAGGTACCTAGGTACCTAGGTAGGTACTGTCTGTAGCTACGTAGCTAGCCAGATACCAAGATCCCTCCCAGCCAGAGCCCTGCAGGTACCAATAATCCGTCCAATCCAGTCCAGTGTCGTATTGTATCAGTGAATATGCGACGTTACTGTGTTCTGTGTCTTGGTCCGCTACTCCATTTGAGCACCGCCCCAGGTCTGGGTCCACTTCATCTCCACTTCATTGCCATTGCCGGTGCCGGTGCCGGTGCCGGTGCCGTGGTTGTCACCGTAGTGGTTGTCGTGGTAGTTGTTGTCACCGTAGTTGTTTTCACCGTAGTGGTTGTCATCGTAGTCCTCATAGTCGTCGTCGTAGTCGGCGTCCAAATCCATAGCTTCGGCATCGAAGAGCAGGTGCTCTTCCTTCCAGACCATGATGTCTGCCATGGGGAATTGGGGGGTAGGACCGTCCAGACCGGTAGGCTTGAGGCGGTACAGCCAATATCCAGCTCCGGATCCAAGAAAGGCAGCGAATGCGGCTTCGGTGGCGTGGTCATTGAAATCCCGTATGCCACCTTGCATACTACCGGAATTGATGTTCTGTATGCCACCTTCAGTCATAGCGGCATTCCGGTACCAGTTGTCGTCGACCTCGCCACCGCTTCCCTGGTGAAGAAGAGAAAAGGCTGTCAGCATGTCATCTCTCTCAGTCTCACTCAGTCACCAGCATGTCATCCCCTCACTCAATCACCAGTGTTTGGTTGGGGTCTGCAAGTCATCTCCCTCACTCAGTCACCAGTGTTCGATTGGGTCTGCACAGACAGGCCAGCCCGAATCCCAAATCTGGCTTGTGTGTTGTGAATGCCAAATCTGGCTTATGTGTTGTGTCTCTTTGACCACCCCGACTCATGAGGAACTGGAAACTTAACTCACCATCAAGTAAGCGCCCATAATCTCGAACTTCTGGGTAGAATAGTATCCCTCCAAGGCTTCCTCATACTGAGCCCAAGGCTCGCCCGGTGCGGCTTGGACACGCACGATATCGCCCACCGCGAACAGCGGCTCAAACTCGGTCTTTTCGAGCGGCAGATCGACCGCCTCGTGCACCTCCTTGTTGTCATCATCTTCCTCAGCCAAGTACTTGTAGTAGTCTTTCCACATGTCGGAAAAATGCTGCGACAGGGCATCAATCATGACGTGTCTGGGTACAGCGGAGTGGTCTTGATGTTGGCAACATACGTGAGCTGGAGCGGCCTCTTTCCCAGTCTGCGAGACGTCGATCGTCGAAGATGGAGTCGGCACGAAAGACGCGGCTGACCCCAGCCCCGAAGAGAAGTCGAGTCGTGGCTCGGGCTCGTTGAACGTCGCCGTCGCTGGCCGTGGAGCCACATCTGATGCAGGCGCCATGCCGTATCCTTGGAACGGGATTCGGACCGTCGTCGCGTCAGAGCGGGTGTGAATGAAGTGCTCGTAGCGATCTGAGGCGGGCGACGGTGGGCGCATGGTGGGAATGAGTAGAGTACGGCTGTACAGTACGGAGAGTGTCTTAAAAGAGTAGAGTACTGTTTGATGTACAGTACGGAGAGTGTCTTGATGGAGAGGGGTCAAGTCAGGATTGAGTAGTCCAAGATCAGATCATCGACATCGATGGCATTCAACAGCAAGCAGTCTGAAACCACGCAGCAATTGAGTAATAAGGCTGGCTCACCTTTGAGGACTGACTACCTCACGGACACTGGCATGCGGTGGGGAACTAGTACTGCAGGACTGAATACCAGGCAAGGTCACAAGCGGTAAGATACAAGGTTCAGAGACGGGAGGTATCTTCGCCAGAGCCTAACGGTAATTACTGACTACGAGATAATAGTATGAGCTCCATTGGCTTACCGAGTAGACGGGCGGGCGCATGAGAAGTGACACCTGGGGCAGGGGGGCGGGTGGTGGCTGAAGTGGAAGTGGAAAATGAGGCAAACACACAAACCAGTGAGTGTTACACAAGCTGACAGTAGTGCAGGACCCCTGCGCCATTCACCGAGTGATGGTACAGTACGCAGTACCTACACAGTACCGTATCCAGGGACTGCGCTGGGTGCAGAGAATTACACGCTTCCTACAGCTAGGGTAGAAAGTCTGCCCTCTAGAGCAAACATATCACAAAACCATGGAGCAGTTCGACTATGCCATACTCGTGCACGAATGCTCACATCTATTCTCCTAGCTGGTACCACTACCAAACCCCCTCCAGATACACTCCACACACACAAAGCAAATTGTTCCTTGAACATAAACGCTGATGCTGATACTGATGATAATGATGATGGGTATCATATAGACGGCCTCAATCAGGCAACTCAAATCGCGACCAGTTCCCATAGATCCATCCGCCCTGGTTTGTCAGATTGAGAACTCCAGGCTCCTCGCTCAAAAGAACAAATAAAATGAGAATAAAGCAAACCATATAGTGGAGATCCAGCCATGGAGCATCACATATTCTCCATGAACCTGCCGCCACTGCGTCCGCTACTGCGGCTCACCCTGCTACCGTCAAGGCTAGCAAGACTTCTCCCCACTCCGTCTCCATGTGTCGACCCGGGCATCAGTCCGCCGCTGGGAAGTGGAGGCACGTCTTCAGCCATGATCGGAGGTTGTTGAATAGGCAACCGGATGGAACTTGCAGCAGGACTGAGCGTGACCGGAGTTCGAGCTGGACTAGGTCGCATCACTGCATACCCTTCAGGGCGGCTGGGCGTGGCCAGAGATATCTGACTGGTATTCGGGACGGCCATATTTCGAGGGTCGGCAAAATCCCTTGTGTTAAGTCCATCATCTCCATGCATTCCTCCTTCTCTATTCCAACCACCCGTCGCTGCAGTAGTCGGCGAGGGGGGAAATGTGGGTGAGTGGCTTCCTTTCCCTCCGTAAAATCCCTCACTGTCGCGATAGAACGATGCCCCTGAAAGACCCCTTTCGGGGTTGTTCAACGGATCCCCAGGCCCGGCCACAGCATCCTTCTCAAACGCACCATAATTGCCTCCATAAGGATCCCCCCCACTGCTGAGCACTGGAGCGATTTTCCTACCGGCGATGCGTTGGAAGCCCCGCTCCGAATCTCTGACGTTGGGTTCAGTAGCTCCAGTGGCGGTGGTGGCCAAGGTCTGGTTGCTATGGGGGCGCAGACGTTTGAGGCTATTGGTGACTGCAGCAGCAAGTGGGACGGTAGAGGATCGCTGCGACTGCGACATAGGGTACGAGTTTCCGGCATCGCCGGTGAGTTCTCTCGCAGCTCGCTGTTCGGGCAGTTGGCCAAGTGCCTTCATTCGCCGACGATACCAGCGAAGAACCACGAGCAAAATGATCAGGATCACCGCCACACCCGCCACACCCCCGACAACGCCTCCCACCACCTGTTGTTGTGTAGGTGTCAAGCCTGGGCTATTTCCACCAGACCCAGATCCAGCATCGGAGTCTGATGTTGCTGCAGATCCAGATGACGTTGTGGGTGAGCCTGCTGGTCCAGCACCTGCGACGCCAGTGAAGGATCCAGAAGTCCCTGCCGCGCTGTTGGCTGTTGTTCCCGAGTCTCCAAATGACGAAGACGACGTTGTCACCGGTTGGCCAAAAGTGAAGGTGGCAGAATCGCTGCTAGACAAGCTCGTCGTAGTTTGAATAGTGCTCGTTTCTGGAGCTGACAAGAGGGAAGTGGATCCGACTGCAATAACAGTGCCATTAATAAAGGAGACCTCAAACGTGGACGTCGCTGTGACAGTCACGGTATTTTGCTGGCTTGTGGCGGTGTCGAGAAATGTAGTGGTGTTGTTTGACGTTGAAGACAGGAAGGATGTAGTCGAACTCAGCGGTGTGGTGGTCACAGTGCTGTCGGATGGTGAAGGTGTTGGCGGAGGTGTGGTGATCGTTTCCTGAGACGAATCGGTGCTGCTGGAGTCAAGCACACTGCTAGCAGCTGCTGCTCCAGGAATGGTCAAAGAACCGACTTCTGACAAAGACACGACGGCGCCCGTCGTTGCAGCAGGAACCTCGGTCAGTTTGGAGATCGAAGTTCCATCATTGAGATTGACCTCGACAACACTGGCCGTGACGGTGGCATCGGGAGCTCTCGGGGCTAAGTATATCCCTGCATTTCTTCGTGGCAGGATGGGACGGGGAAGACGCTGGTATTCTCCATAGATGTTTCTTCGATGAAAGTCGGTCAAGGAAATCGTACGGGTGGCCTTGGGATTGCCGTTTGAACCGTCACCTCGGATACCAAGTTCAGACGTGAAGAGCCCTTGGGTCATTCTGGAACCTGTGTCGCGTGGGTTTCGTATTTCTGGATTAGAGATTTTTATCCGTTTCGTTGGTCTTTCCATGCTAGCAGCGAAGTAAATCCAGACATGAAATTCACAACCACCGTCTCATAAACACTTGTAAAACAGATGTAGGATATATGTCGGTTGTGAACAAAGCCTGCTGCAATAATGATTCGTAATTGGGTTCGGTATGAATCCGTACGTGCAACAGGATCGAGGGTAATATTGTAAGCGAGCGTGGTTAAGTTTATACGTGGTAGCGAACGAGGTTGCGGTATTGGCAGCGCAATTGAGTTCTTTTTGCTGAGAAGCGTCGGATTTCGAAAGAGCGGCAGCTGGCAAGAAGCTCAGCTAGAGTGGTAGACTGAAAGAATTGCGAGATCCTGAAGTCTAGGAAAGAGGTATAAGTTTCCAACATGAGACACGGAGGACAAGGTGGATCACGCACCTCCAATGTTACTACTGCATAATGGCAGAGTCAATTGCCCGTAGAGAGAGTATGTGTAATTTCCAACGAGGTGAGGAATCCCACATTGAGGGGTGATTCGAGCGTCGGTTCAAAAGTCGTCTTGCGCTTGTGGACGGTGTTTTTGGGACGTCGAGGGGTGTAGCTCGTCGTCTTTTCGTCCAGACAAACACTGGAAATATTCTGAAGCCTCGGGGGGATCGATATTAGAAGTAACGAGTGTAATAGAGGACAAACTGCATTAGTAGGAGGGTGAGGACGATAAGAACAATCGACAGGATGCCTTGGATGGACGATTGCGACGAAACGTATTCAAGGAAGCAAGGCAGGGAGAGAGAGTTTGCAGCACGAGAGCAGCGATGATACATCAGGTCAGCTCAGTCCAACTCCCAAGGCGCAGGCCGGGGGCGAGGTGCCGCAGAAGCAGCCCCCCTGGAGCAATTGGACAAGAGGCAGACGCCACAAATTCGATTGGTGGAGTCTCTGAACGGCCCTCAGGAGCCCGTGGTGGTTCATGCCAGGGCTCTAGGCAGCTTTAGGTGTGCCCAGCTGTCACTAGCCACGCCTAAGTAGCCTAAGAGTTGAACCTAGAGCGCCAATAGTGCCACTAGAGCCTGTGCGCAGCAATTAAGCGCATCGGTTCCTGCATTAGGCGGCACCTGTGAAAGACAGCGGGAGATGAACAACTGATCCCCTGGTCGAATCACCACAGCTGCTGTGGAGGAGCTGGAAATCACTTCATTTAGCATCCGTGCAATTCTCCATCCTTTTGTCACTTTTCTGAAGTCTGGGAATCTCCACGACGTCCACTTCGGACGTCTGCTTGACGGCTTTCCTGAACGAATGACACCTCGAGCCACTGCTTTTGCTCTGCAATTCCTCGCAGCTGCCATCCACCTGGGTCTGCCAACCATTCATGCATGCCCACAGACTCCCTGCATTCGTCCCTTCTAGGGCCGCACCTCCGAGCAGCTGCAGCAGAGCCTTACCTTTACCTGGCGAGATCTTCTGATTCGCAAAAGAACACTACAGTGATCACCTACCTACGGAGGAGGGATTCGAGAAGAGATGTAACACATACGATCTGAGACAAAAGCTCACCACACCTGGATGGGGGCACCTCCACCCCCCGACTCTAGTCATCTCAGTTAAGGGAAAGTAATTACTGATATTGTACTCCGTACTCCGCACGGCAAGCACTATCTAAGGGTCGCGTACCCTTGGCCTGACTTGTGTCTCGGACACGAGCTTGAAATCACTGAGCTCGCTGTTACCCCTGGTCACACTGGCCAGATTCTTGCCGCAAGGCTACCCAATCCTTTCAGCGTTCCAAGTCTCATTGACAGTACGGAGTTATCTATATTGTTATCATGCCTATCCGTGCACTCCGAGCACTAAGTTGGCCTAGCGCTAACGAGCTGATTTGCTACAGTAGCTTAACACATGGACGCACTTGAGGCCTTCCCATCCAACTATAACCCTCACAAAGTCTACTTTCTGAGTGCTGGGGAGTCAACAGATATGAACCAGCCGGCTTTTGTTTTCCCTCGCTATCCACCGTCCACTCGCCATGACTGGGTCGACGTAGGCATGGCCAACAAGTTGATAGATGTCCATCCCATGCTCTTCTGACAGCGCTGGAGATCTCCGAAGTATGGCTGGCAAAGTACACCCCTCCAGATGCCATACCACATCTCCGAGCTCAGCATCCCGATGGGCCCAACCGAGGAGAGTCTGATCACGGATGCACATAAGCCGAAGGCGCTCCTGAAGAGTCAAGTCTATGGATTTCAGCACAGAGTCCAGAGGATACTCACGTCGCCGACGAGTCGAAGTTCTTGCGTTGGCATCGTTCAGCCCAAAGTACTCCTTCCACTCTTCCCGGATACAGAAGGATTCGGCTCTGCCACGTATCTTGACCGCGATTCCGTCGCGGCTAGGCACAGGTTGGAATTTGAGCCCGAACATCAGGAAGAATTCCTCGTGGTCGGCTAGCCATGATCTCAGGTCCGTGCACTGGACACTCCCGAATGCCTCTCCAGGAAGCGCGTACAGCAACGCGAGAAAGTCTAGCCCGCTGAGATGTCCAAAAGTCTGACTATGGCAGAGCAAAAGTAGTCGCCGGAAAGCCTTTGCAATTTCTGTGACCGTGGCTTCGACCGCTGGAGAATGACGGTCAAGCTTGCAGTTTCCTGCACCTTCCCCCAATATGCTGCCTAGAGCGGTGATCCGACCCAAACAGTTACCCTTCAATGTGAGTCTGTTGCCAGATATGTGAAACGTGTCGGGCATGACTTCGCTCATCCTGGCGGAAGCTCCAAACGCTCGTCTTTTCTCCCATGCCAAATTGACATCTTTGAAGCACACATATGAAAGCAAGTTCTTGTCGAAGTCGTCAACCTGGAGGTGGAAATAGTCGGGGCACCATGAGGGCAATGTTCGCTGAGCAGGGTGCATGCTCCTCAAGAAGATGATATCTGCCGAACTGTACCAGCTGATATGAGCACCTGTCATCTCCAAGCAAAGACTATTTTCCGAAACATGCTCCGAGTAATTCGGCTCTCGGACATAGATGGTCCAGTCAAACGCCAGACCGAGAAGACCGTACACCTTGTCTCGCAAATGACTGGTCTCTGAGTCACTGGTCATGGCCAATATCTCCAGCAACCGAGGCTGCTGCTGTGCTCGGCATGCTGCGCGAACAGATAAAACTGTCTGAGCATATCTCGGCACAACAGCGAGGTCCCCAATCCACTCAAGGTGCTCTCTCATTAGGGCTTCTAAGGATGGCAGTTCAACCGTATAAGGGCCCCAGAACACGCGAGCTCTTCTCGCTGCTGCGACTTCTTGGATAATCCAAACGCGACTCCAGTAGCGCTGTAACAAAAACCGCTCCAGTCCACTCAAAGCAGTTTGCAACGTCTTGACATCGTCATGATGCTTCTCCCAAGGCTGGTCAAAGTCGTGGACCAGGTCGATGAATCTCTGCGCATCTCCGTCCAGACCAATGTCTTGTCCAAGCCAAATGACAACCATTGTGGCCGTACGATAGATCGTAAACATCCTTGTCACCTCTTTACTCTTTTCGATTATGTCACGCTGGTTGATACATATGGCGTCCACCCAGATGTTGGTGATGTTGTTCATCTTCATTCTATGCAGAGCTTCCGCAAGATGTTGTGAGACCCTGTATCTCTGGTGATTGACGACTATCTCGACAGCCGTCGTCTCATCGTCACTTCCCCAAGAATAAGAAAGGGCCACATACTCAGGGGCCATGCTTAGCTTCGCGTGAAAGAGTTTGACACAAAGCGAATCTTCCTCACCTACTTCCTGTGGGCAAAATTGGAGCAGTCGGATTTGCCCTTCTTCCAATGGCTCATAGGAGAAACTGGCGCCACTGGGCCTCGATCCAGACGGTAGAGGTGAGGACTCGATCTTTGTTTGTGGCCGCCGCCAAATTGCGAGCAGGACAAGGGCAGCAAGTGTGGCTGACACAGAGATGGCAATTTTGTCGAGGTGGTCAATCTCTGGTCGGCCCCGGAACCGCCACAACGTGATGGCTAATAGTGCCAACAATGTGGCGGACATGACAACAGACATGTCTTGATGAGCCATGGTAGGCACATTGTACGTGTATCGGAACAGCCGCTTCCCTGAAAGACGGCATGAAGTATGGGGCACGGTACCAGGAGGGTCCTGGTGATTAGTGGTAGCGGACACAGCTAGGTGGTGTAGTGATTGTCTCAAGGACTTCGAGTTTTCACTGCGCGCAAAGATCCTCCACCGTATTTGTACTTGCGGCCCAATACTCGAGTGTAGAGGCTCCCCACCCCTAACCCGAGTCTCTCCAAGTTATTGGGCAGGCTTAACGCTGCTGAGTCATTTGCCGCCGGCCCGATCCAGCACTGCCGTGATTGCTCGGCGCCGAGATGCTTTGACACTGGCGCTGGACCCCGCCGCCCCTTTAATGCTTCCTGCACTTGCCATTACCTGTAACCGCCAGTGGTAAACACAGACGAGTACAGAGTACCTAGTACCTGGACGGATACATCCAGAACCTCGACCAAGGGCTTCTACACCCCTATTGTTTGAAATGTTCCTTCAACAATCCCATGAGGGCGTAGTGGCGTGGTTGTTGTCTACCTTGTGTGACTCCTCTGTTTGAGCAACTGGTTCCACCAACCTCCCCTGCCGACCCTCCCTACTCCCCAGTCTCGAAAGACAGACAGACAGACATCATTTACTCCATACTTGATCCGCTTCCAAATCCCAAAATGAACACCTTTCCGAAGCCAATTCTACCCAGTCCCCTGGGCCGTCGCCGTCCGCATGGCCAAAGTGAGCCTGGTCCGACACGCACCCTGGTCCCCAGGCTCCTCCCACGTCCCACATGGTCGGCAGCGAGTAGCAAGACTGCCGCAAGACAGGTTTCGATCCCTCGGACCTGCCGAGTGCCCATGTGCCCTTTGGCCAACTGCAAACTAATGAGCCATCGCCTATATGATCCGACATCGGCCAAGCAGCCGGTCAAGGTCAAGGTGCCGCGAAAGAAGCAGCCGGAACAGATCCCTGGGGACATCGGCCGAGATGGAGTGGATGGCCTCCCACAGATCCCAGTCGACGACCCGCTTAATTCCGAGCTTCGAGTGCTCTTCCATCATTTCTTCAACTCGGTATTTGATCGGCTGGCGGGCATATTTCGAGGGCCACTGCTCGCGCCGGGGTACAAGAGCCGCATGCTGGAGGTGGCCTTGACCAACCGGGCGTATTGTATGGGCATCATCACTCAAGCTCAGACCGACATGGCGATTTCCAGATGCACTTTTGCTGAGACACGAGAGTCACTGGACCTCTATACCAAGTTGATTAACATTTTCCGCAACCAGCTAGCCGCCAGCACTACCCAGGGCCCACCCAACCCTCTGCATATCGAAGTCGCTCTCCTGGTCCTATGTGTGCTCTTATCATACAATGTCACTCGTGGGAGAATCAGCGAACTCAACATGAACTGGACAGCCATGCGACATCTCGTCAATATCCGGGGCGGCGTCCATAACCTGACCGTGGCTCTCGCGTACGTTGTCCATGTCGACAGGGTCTGTGCAACCATGCTGGGTACCCACCCAACCTATGTGAGTCCTTCGCCACGACTACATCCGTTCAACCGTCCTCCCTGGGCGACATACAGTCCGGGGTTTGTACGACTAGAAGCCTCGCAGGGTCATCTGGCCACCGGCCCTGTCCTCGAGCACTGCTTGAACACCTGTGAGCTCCTGTCGTTGTACGACGCTGTTCACCGAGCTCCATCATCGGAGGACCATGCCAGTGTACCGTCGCCTCCTAGTCCTGAGTACCTGTACTACCTCCGCGACAGGGTAGATGAGCAGTTTGCGATTTTGTATGCGGAAATGCTGAACCAGAACACCCCCTCAAAGTGCATCTTGATGGCAACCCGGATCGTTGAGTACCCTGTAACATGGGCCAACTACGTCCCTTCTCTGACCATGGATCTGTGTGCCGAGTTGTGTGCGTTGCTCCGCAGCCAGGACTTGTTCGATTTCTGGTCGGGTGCTCTCGATGTCCTCAGTTGGATCTTTTTCGTGCTGGCGACGAGTCCGTGGCCATTTGCGGGCCGGGAGTGGGCAGTGACCTGCCTTCAAGGAATCATCGGGGCCAAGTACGGGGCGGCGCAATGGCCGAAAGACTGGTGGAAAGAGGAGCTTGCGAACGTGAAGAATTTTGCATGGTTTGAGACCAAACAATCGTCCAGCTTCAGACAGGCGTGCAACGAGCTCGAGGCTGGAACCCGTCGCGAGTCTCTGCCAGAGAACGAGAACGGCCCGAAGCCGAAAATCGAGCCCGATGCTGAGCCGGCGCAAGAGAAGGGGATATAAGAAAAGGCCAGTTGCCGGCACGGACACCATACCTACGACAACGACAACGATAACGACATCGCCGAGCTTTGTCGACAAGGTAATAGAAGAGTGTTATCACACAACGATTTGGCAGCATCTACGCAAGATTCAGGGAAGGGCTCATGACACCCTGAAAGAAAAGCAACTCTAATTAGCTGAGAGGTTCTCAGTGCCACTAATATCATGATTCCGGCGTTTTTGGAAAGTACGGAGTACGGAGTACTTTGAGCCAATGCCTATATTATATGCAGTCAAAAGCAAGGGCTACAAGTTTGAAGCGGCAAGGTGAGATGGTTAGGACGGTGTCCTGAGCCAGTCCGCAATCACAGATATGGACGTTAATAATGATTCTCTCATGCCGTGATGGTGATGGTGTTGGTGTTCTATTGATCATGCATCTGCCCCATACCATACCTAGGTACCTACTAGGTAGATACATGCCTAGCAGGCAGTGGAGTGGTCCCTTAGTCCTGTCCCGGGCTTAGGGGCCTAAGGCTTAGCCCGTACCCAACGTCCCCGTATTCAACCTGAGGCCGGGCATCTGGGTCATCTCAGACGGGTCACTCGCTTCGACTGCAGTAGTAGTGGGAGCTACGAGTACAGAATCAATTAATTGCTTGACACATGCCAATGGAAATGTCCAGTCAACCTACAGATAGATACAGTGGGATCAAGTCTCGATGCAACAGCATGACGGTCAATCCCGTCGGCTTGTCCTACGACAGATCTAGACCCCCGGACGTGGCCGGGAGCCTGAGCTTGAGAGCGTGAGCCCTTACAGTAGCCTGTTAGAGACTAAGAGCGTGAGAGCCTTGGTGATAAGAGCCTAAAGCACGCATCACTCCACCAGCAATGACTTACTAGACTAGTGCGGGATGGGATGGGATGCCTATCTCTCCTCATATCGACGCGGATCTGGGGGAGGCCCGCCCGCCGGGGTTGTTTTATGCATCATGCCACAGCTGCATGCATAACCGAGAACGTACGGATATAAAGACGTAAGACGTGCAGGATCAGCATGCCGAGTCCCAGTATCAGCAGCCTCTCAGCTTCGTTACTTACTACAACGACAAAGTACGGATCGATATTACATACAACTACAAAGTACGGATCAATATTACAGTACATACAACTACAAATCCAAAAACTAGCCGACCGCCCATGGCGTTTTCCGGGAAAGTGTGTCTTGTCACCGGCGCAGCAGGCGGGCTGGGCAAAGCCATCGCAGCGGCTTTCCTGCGAGCAGGGGCGTCGGTGTCGATTTGCGACCGCAATGCAGAGCGACTCGCGCAAGCGACGCAAGAACTGACGACTGTCGCGGCGCACCCCGATCGGCTGCTGGCGACGGTGGCGGACATCACAGACGAAGCGGCGATCGAGCAAGTGCACCAGAAGACGGTGGCTACGTTTGCGCGACTGGATGTGCTCGTCAACAATGCGGGCATCGTTGACCGGTGAGTGATGAGTGATGAGGGGTGAGTGGTGAAAGGCCGGCTCGGCTGCTCATCAACACTCTATCAATCTCTATCAGGCTTCGAATGTCCCTAACCTAACCTTTTCTCGTGGCCCGACCCAAGCATGGATCCCGTGGGCACGCTGGAACGAGACTTGTGGCAGAAGCTGGTCGCCGTGAACTTGACCGCGCCCTATCTCTTCAGCAAGCTCGCCGTGCAACAGATGCTGTCGCAGCAGCCGCCGGCGGGCGTCATTATCAACATCGCGTCGGTGGCGGGCATCAGGGGCAGTGCGGCAGGTAAGTTTGTCAGACTCTTCCCGCCTCAAGCCTCAGGCAGATGTCGATGGCTCTTCTTTCTTTCTCGAACCATAGTCTCACTCTCCTCTCTCTCTCCTCTAGGCGCTGGCTACGTGGCTACCAAACACGGGCTGGTCGGCCTGACCAAACATACCGCCGCCTTCTACAACGACAAGGGGATCCGCTGTGTGGCATTCTTGGCGGGTCAGATGATGACCAACATCGGGGATGGGTTGGCAGCAGGCATCAATGAAGAGGGGTTCGAGGTGTTGAAACGAGGGAATCCCGGCGCGACTATTGTCGACGTGGCCGACGTCGCGGAGATGGTGACTTTCTATGCCTCGGATTCGGCGCGCGTGTCTAATGGAGCCTTGGTGTCGGTGGATGGAGGGTGGATGGCGTATTGAGTACATGCAATGACTACCTGCGGTGTATTGTCGTCTTATCTCCAATGTGCACTTTATCAACACCGTGACACCTCTCCGCAAGCAGGTCAGTCAGTCACTAGCAGTCACTAGTAGCGGTCTTCTCCTCCCCATTTGTACCCACCTCGCCGTCAGCTTCCCTGCGATTGCGGAGGGATAGAGGGAATTCCCATTGTGGAAGGTAAGTGACGGCTCGATTCTATACGCAGTAGAGAGTATTTAGAGTACTTAGATCCCAGCACACGCACCGCACCGATGAGCCAGGCCAGAAACCCAACCCCAACCCAGCGCACCCAGTTCCCAGCTCCCAGGTTGCAGGTTGCAGTTTCTAGTTCCCCCCTCCCACCTCCCCTCCCACCTCATCTCCCCGGTCTGCAGTCCACGAGCTTCGATGGCTTCGATGGACAAGGTGTTTGCCGGCTATCAGTCGCGGCTGCGGGTGTTGGAGGCGAGCACCAACCCGCTGGCGCAGGGCGTGGCGTGGATCGAAGGCGAGCTGGTGCCGCTGTCGCAGGCGCGCATCCCGCTGATGGACCAAGGCTTCCTGCACAGCGACCTGACGTACGACGTGCCCGCGGTGTGGGATGGCCGCTTCTTCCGGCTGGACGATCACATCAGCCGGCTGGAGAAGAGCTGCAGCAAGCTGCGGCTGAAGCTGCCCTTGCCGCGCGACGAGGTGAAGCGAGTGCTGGTCGACATGGTGGCGCGGAGCGGGATCCGCGACGCCTTTGTCGAGCTGATCGTCACGCGCGGGCTCACGGGCGTGCGTGGCGCCGGCCGGCCCGAAGACCTGGTCAACAACCTCTACATGTTCCTGCAGCCCTATCTCTGGGTCATGCCGCCCGAAACCCAGCTGGTCGGGGGCAGCGCCGTCATCACCCGCACGGTGCGACGCACGCCGCCGGGCTCGATGGATCCGACGGTCAAGAACCTGCAATGGGGCGACCTGACCAGAGCGTTGTTGGAGGCCTCCGACCGCGGCGCCAGCTATCCCTTCCTGACCGACGGCGACGCCAACATCACCGAGGGCTCCGGCTACAACATTGTCCTGATCAAGGACGGAGCCATCCACACTCCGGACCGTGGTGTTCTGGAGGGCGTCACGCGCAAGACCGTCTTCGACATTGCAAAGGCCAATGGCTTTGAGGTCCGTCTGGAAGTCGTCCCCGTCGAGCTGGCCTACCGCGCCGACGAGATCTTCATGTGCACCACCGCCGGCGGGATCATGCCTATCACCTCCCTGGACGGCCAGCCCGTGAACGGTGGCCAGATCGGCCCCATCACCAAGAAGATCTGGGACGACTATTGGGCTTTGCATTACGATCCAGCCTTTAGCTTCGAGATCAAGTACGACGAGGCTGGGGCTTCCACGAACGGTGTCAATGGCGTGCACAAGTGATTTGAGTACAGATTCGGTGTCAGCTTGTCTGACGAGTCGAGTCGATTACAAGTACAGATTCGGTGATCAGCTTGTCTGTGGAGTCGAGTCTCGCTGGTCTGTCAAAGAATATAGTCAAGGAAAGGCGGTGACTATCCTGGGGTTCTCTCTACACGAATGGCTGGTGGGTTAGAGAGAACCTACAGTACTACAGTACTACTGTATGCCATAGCCACAGCCACAGCCTCGTCCAGATAAATAGTCTAATCCAGTTTCAGCCTCGTCGGCTTCCACCATACATAGCCAGTCTATTCCGTACAACTCACCTTGGCCAGCACACCTAGCAGCAGCGAGTTTCAAGCCTCCCCTGCTCCTCGCGTCCATACTGACATGCGGAAAGGAGATGTAGTACTCCGTACGCAGATAGATATCTTTATCTACTTGTGGGTAGCCTAAGCCTTAGCGCCGCCATGAATCATCTCCCGAGACCCCTCCAACCTCTCAGCCCCGAGCTGTCGTTCCCATGTCGCTGCGACCCGACCGCCGTCGCCGTCGACAATGGTGCGCTGGAGACATATCCCGAGCGACGAGGCTACCGGCTCAACTACTGGGGCGAGCTCAACTTTGCCAATATCCTGACATTGGCTGATGGATCCAAACCGAGCGTCGAGCAGGCCACCAGGTTGCTGCAGGAATGGTTGTTTTTCGGTCTCTTGCGGGCCATACATTCCATCTATGACGATGACTTTGACGCCCGGGATTATATCACTACCGATACTACTGGCACTGGTTCTGGCTCTGACCACGGCGGCACTATCACTGACGATGACTTTGACACCCAAGATTATATTGACACCACTATCACTGGCACTGGCTCTGGCTCTGACGACGACAGCACTATCAATGGTTCTGACGACGATGGCGATGACTTTGACGCCCAAGATTATATTGATACCACTATCACTATCACTGACGACGACGGCGGCGGCACCACCAGTGGCTCTCACGACGACGGCACTATCACTGGCTCTGACGACGACGGCGGTGGCTGCGCCACCACCACCACCACATACCTCACCCTCGAAAAACTTCCACAACACGCCAACACCTGGCTCCAACTAGAGGGCGAGCGACCCAAGACCGTGCGCAGACAACACTTGCACGCGGTCGAGGCGCACTTGATGCGCGCGTCCATGTTCCTCACCAACAATTTCACCGCCTTCGACCATGGAGGCATCGAGCCCATGTCCGGGCCGACGCGTGTCGTGCCCGACCAGTCCAAGCTGGCCCTCGAGGCCGACTTGGAGATTCTGCTCGTCGTGCTCGTCGAGTCGCTCGAGTGGATTTGCAGGCGGATCTGGTTGGGCGAGAGTCAGTCTTCGCCGGTAGCCCCGAGTCCAGAGTTCGTGTGTCGCGCGACGCGGCGTCTGATGGACCGTCGGAACTGGTGTCCGAGCGAGCTGAATCTCATGGACGTCGCCTTCGATAATGGCACCTTTTGCTTTGCGAGTCGAGTGGCGCGCGGATCGGGATCCATATCGGGATCCATATCGAAGTCCACGTCCAAGTCCAAGTCTAAATCCACGTCCAAGTCTGACTCCGAGTCCAAGTCTAAATCCACCGCCGCCACACATTCGCAATGCACCTGGAACAAATGTCTGGCTTTTCAGATGGACGTGGCTACTTACCGAACAGCACATACTGCGGCGTGCGAGGGCTGCCACGAACTACGTATCGACGACGGCCAACTGGCGACCATCTTGGAGCGGGATGGCCATGACATTGAAGGGCGGCCGGTTCATCCACGCGTCAAGATCACAGTGAGTGCGAGTGGGAGTGCGAGTGTGAGTGGGAGTGCGAGTGGCAGTGGGAGTGCCAGTGTCGAGGATGGCGACCAAGTCACGCTCTCTCTGACGGATCAGGGAGACTACGTCGCCATCTCCCACGTCTGGTCTGATGGCCTGGGTCATCCGCCGGGGGTGAATTCATTGCCGGCGTGTCAGGTCCGCCGGCTGCGATCGCTCGTCCTCCAAACACAGACAAGGACAAGGACAGGAACAGGAACAGGAACAGGAACAGGAACAGGAACAGGAACAGGAACAGGAACAGGAACAGGAACAGGAACAGAAACTGGAAGATGGTCTGGGCAGGAGGATGTAGGGCCGGACGCAAAGTCGAACGCAAACGCAGAGGCCGTGATCTGGATCGACTCCCTCTGCGTACCGGCCAACCTCGGCCTCGCCAAACGACAAGCCCTGGCCCGAATGGCCTCTGTCTACCGCGGGGCAAAGACGGTGTTGGTTCTCGACTCGGACTTGATGGCCGTGCCGTCGTGGTGTACGAACGAGGAACTCCTGCTCCGGGTCGCGCTGTGCACGTGGATGCGGCGACTGTGGACGCTGGAAGAGGGCGTGGTGGCCCAATCCAGTTCCAGAAGCAGAACCAGTACCATGTCCAGGTCCAGGTCCAGCTCTCAATCTCAGTCCCAGTCCAGCTTCAAACTACTATTCCAGTTCTCCGACCGCGCAATCCCACTTCCGGCTCCTCGCCCCCCGTTCGTCGACAGTATCTCATCGCACTGTGCGGCCTTGATCTCGCAGTACCTACCTACCGACACGGACATGATGTCTGTCATCACGGCGCTCCATTTCCGCTCGACGTCCTGGAGCGCCGACGAGCCGCTCTGCATCGGCTACATCCTCGACCTGGACGTGACGACGATCGTGGATGTGGAGGATCCTCGGTTGCGGATGGCGGAACTATATCGTCTACTGGCCAAGAAGACGACGGGGATGGTTTTAGATGACGACAAGGACAAGAAGAGGATAACTTTAGACGACGACAACAAGAAGAAGACGAAGACGAAGACGGTGATGACTTTAGACGACAAGGACAAAAACGAGAAGACGACTACGACGATGGCTTCAGACAACAAGAAGAGGAAGACTTCTTCATCCTTTCCCTTCCAGTTTTTCTTCACGCGCGAGGAAAAACTCGACCTCTTCCCCTTCAGCTGGGCTCCGCTGTCCTTGATGAACCTGCACCCCCACGACGTCCACTATCTACAGGGTACTGGTAGTGGGCCGGAGGGCGGCGTGGTCACCACTCCGACCGATCGAGGTCTGCAGTTCCGATGGACGGGACCGTCGTGCGTGGTGAGTTTTGAATTCGACAAGACAACCAGCACCGACAGCACCGACAGCGCCACTGGCATCAGCAGCAGCACCACAGGCAGCACCATCAACAGCACCACCAACAGCACAGGCAGCACCACCACCACCACCACAGGCAGCACCATCGACAGCAGCAGCACCACTACCAGCAGCACAGGCAGCACCACCACCACCACCACAGACAGCACCATCGACAGCAGCAGCACCACTA